ATGCATCACACTCTATCCATCCATCCTCGCAACCTCCTACCATTAAACATAATCTTAACCCCCGTCTAGTTCTTCCACCTCCAACCACTGCCGCCACCCCAGTGCGCCGCTCCCAAACTCTTCCGTGAACTGAAATAGATCCATGTTCATGTTCCTCCCTTTCTCTTCCCCCTCCGTCTGAATACACGCATACATACCATCTCCAGAACGATAAGACAGAAGCAAAAGAAAAAACTAAACCAGTTAAATATATACCTGTACTATACTAAAACTCACCCAAATCAAGTTCTGAGGCTCCTTCTGCTCCTGGTTTCTTTCTACAGAGTACGGATAAGGCTGTTGTGAGATGAGGTAGGATGGGGAGAAGAGAGAGATAGATGGGCGCTACTTGTATCTGCCTGCATATATACTTATATTTCGTTTGTACCCTTGTACGGCTAGTTTATTCTTTCTTCTTACCTTTTTTTTTTTTGGTTTTAGATGTTGTCTACGGATGGAAAATGATAGAATATCAGTCTCCTATTATTAACGAGAGCTATTACATTCGATGGGCCTAGGGGGTGTTCAATTTCTACGTAACTAAGACAGGCAAGTAAAACCAAAATGGTATAAACAAATTCTCCCGTTGAAACAGAGCTTTGAAGATGGGATGACCCTATACTCATGTGTTAGACTGATCTACTACCATAGAAGTAAGTACGTGCCGAAACATCAGATAAGAGCTCGACGACATTTGGTAGCTCAGTCAGTATAATAGCCAAAGTGCCTCACAGCTAAGGAGTAGTAAACGTCCTTCTTTGAACCCATCACCTCGATCTGTACTAGCTGGGTGTCTCTCGGTAGCCAAGGAAAGGGGTTTGAGTGGTCTTGATTCGAGGTTATGGCATTGGTAATGCAATTTTTTGGGAGCCAGAGCCACAGAAGGTAAGTGGTCAAGGGTGAATGTCGCATGGTAGTAAGAACGGGGTAAGAAGTCTCGTAGGTAAGTAGAATAAAGCCTCGGGTAGCCCTCGAGTAGCTAAGGAGCTAAAAAGGGGCTATTGTAAGCTGGCTGCAGCTCGAGTCTTGGTAAATGTGTCTTGATTGATTGTCTGAGTTAGTTGTGGTCTCTGTGTTTGACGGTTTGACCTATCGTCTGATGTACATAATGACTAAGGACATGATGACTAGGGGAAGGAGTGAGCTCTCGTGTATCACATGATATCATGTGATACCCTTATGGCCTGTATCTAACCAACCAACCAATACACTCTACCAGTTCTTACTACCGAGCTTTCAAGCCTTACTTACCAGCTTATTTCACCTAAGCTACGCCAGTCAAGCAGCTACAAGGCCTTAGATACCCAAGACCTTGTCCAGGAGCTCTCAAAATACCTGTTTGTCACTGTTTGAACCCAGTGCTTCCAGCACATGTCAGACCCCTGCTTATTTTGAACTGTCGGGTGTGGCCGCACCAAAAATGGCACCGAGTATGTATTCGAGCCCAGGCTGGAATCTAGTGGATACTGACTGGATGATAGAAATTAAGATTGTGGGCAACCTGCACGAGTCGAATTTAATAAATGCAGGTAAAGGTAATGCTTTACTAAGAAGCTCTCGTCCACGAATAGCGGGTTATCTGGGCTTAGCAACGACTGCAGATCTTAATAATGTTTTTGAAAAGGATCCTATCAAGACTTTGGTCGGAGATTGGGTTGCTGAATTTAGGGTATAAGGCAAGGCTTCTACCAAGAACTTGAACCAGATTCTTAGTCGCCTAGAGGACAAACTAGAATATAAGGGGCTACTAGATGCCTCGAGACCCTCTATATCTAAAAAGAATATAGTAACTGAGCAACGCTTTTATACTTGGACCGTTGTATAAGTGATCTTATAATCTGGACTAGACTGTTTTGCGAAGTCTATTCGTAGTGAAGTTGGAGTGGAGATTCAATCCGAAGACATCTATAGGGCCTATGCGTTGTGTTGTTATTATCAGAAGTCCCATACTAGAAAATCGACTAGATAAGCATCAAAGCCCGCTGTCGAACCGATTTTTGGTGCGGGTCTAGAGCAGCCGGAAGACCCAGAATTAAGATCAAAGGACAATCTTCTAGACAGGCTGCTCATAGAATCCACCGTGCCCCATTGTACATGCTTATCACTCCCGAACATTCCTCTGTAAGGTAACAGCTATCCTAGCCTAGTAGTACCACCGGCACGTAGCTCACAACCGCCAGCCCTTCAGGCTTGTTCTAGTTCCTTATTGAACGTGGCCCAGACAGGCTTGGAGACTTTGTCACCTTTTTGTTGTCAAATACATGGTCGACGAAGAAGCCGCTGACAGTGTTCTCCAAACGCAGAAGGAAACTATCAAACTTGAATGAGTGGTCTGCAACAATCTGTTTGACAAACTTCTTTGCGCAGTTGCCTTCGAACCAGCGGTCGAATGAGTGCGGGTTGCATAATATTCAAACTTGTTGTTCAACCCATGGACCCGGCCAACGGCCTGTAAGTGGGTATTTGTGTTATTGGCGGGTTCTAGTAGAACGACTGAGCTGCATGCGTGATGCAGATTTAATGGCTGAAGATGCGAAGAGCTCTCTTTCTTCGTGTTCTGACTAACTTTGCTTTTCGCAGGACTGGTCTTCGTGGTCGGCAGCCAGCCTTGTTGGCTTTGCGTTCATATCACCATCGTTTTGCGCCGTCCAGATGGTACGCCTTCGTGTCTATTGCCTCCAGGAACAGGCAGATGTGTGGGTGCAAAACAAAGCAAGTTCCCCGCTACCTCCGTAGTGCGTCGTGGAAATGCGGCGCCCATCCAGTCACTGACGTGATTCTCCGTCCAGAATAAATAACTTCACCGAAGACTAAAATGAGTGGTGTTTATTGGTTGTCGACAAGGAAGCTCTCATATGTGCGGCGTCAACGGGGTCGAGAGATTTTATAATTAGGCACCTATACTCATCTCCTCCTTGGCGATAGCCGTCAGCATTTCGAGGCGGCTAGCGAGTGTAGGTCTCTTGGGTACGGTACCATACTATTGATGACTCGTCAACAATCGAAGATTTCTTCAATCAATGGCCGAAGTGTCAACATTTCGACTCCTTGAAATATTTGGGGCCATGGCGCCCGTTTGTCCCATTCGGTCATCCTGTCCATTATGGGGCTATCGTCAAGTTCCTGGCTCTAGAGGCCTGGTGTTGGTGGCATTTGTCTATTAGACCTTTGATATTTGGCGATATAGGTTTGGTGGGTATAATGAGAGTATCGAAGCCGTGATGGGAAAATGTTGGATACTTTGGTGGGTATTAATTTGGTCGTTTTACCAAACCATTCATGCTTACTAGCATGTTTGAGCACTGTTGAGAGGCCGAAGAGTTGACATATCGACTCCTTGGAAAATCTGGGGTCATGGAGCCCTCTTATCCCAGTCTGTCATCCTTTTGTCTGCGATGTATATCGCAAAACGAGGTGCATAGTCTGTCCCTGTTTGTCCCCAGAATTCGACCCGAAGGAGGTAGATAACTTCTCAATCTCTTGCTCTGCATGCGTGTAGTCGATATATATAGATTGACCAAAGAGTCATCATATAGTATAGAAGGGCCTTTATAGGCTATGTGAATACAAGATATATCAGTTAAAGTCTTCTAAGGCAATAAGAGGCAACTTACGTGGTATGCTGGATGTTTCTTCCTCGGACATAGCTTCAAATAAGCAGTCGGCGACTGGCTATCGAACGTCTTCAAGTAGTCGTGGTCTATCTTTGGACGAGGTTTTGGTCTTAGCGTTGATCCAGCCAAGTCCGATGCATCCCATGGTCGTGAATTTCCGTTGAATCAGTATCAGAGCTGTTGTAGCTCGTAGGAAGCGATACTACTTCCACATCCCCTCCCTCTCCCTCTCCTCACCCGCCAGTCTCTGCGACCGCCATTCTTGCCATCTGGCAATTATTGCGCAAACGGCAGTGATGCCGTTGAAGGCTGCATTCACGAATTCTGACCAAGTCATTTTATTGACGGGATTAACTTGTGATTCTGATAAAATGGTCGATGGCTGTTTGTATGGTGGGAGTAGCTCCTCTTCCAAGTATCGGATTCGGATAGGTCTAGAGAGTTATGGTCTTGCAATTTCTGTAATCTCCCATAGATCTGGATAGCAGCGGGTGGCCATTTCTGGTCAAAGGTACTCAGGGCCAGTTCTAGCACTTGCTGGACGCTCTTTGGGTTGTTGCACTGGCCACATGGTTCCTCAGCTATGCCGGTACTGATGCCGTTGTAGGCTGCGTTCGAAATATCCGCCCAAGTCATTTTAGCAACTACACGAACTTGTAATTTCCGATCAACTGGTCGAGGACGTCGTCTGAGAATGTTGATGGCGCGCCCGATGGTCTCTATAATAGCACGTCTAATGACGTGCCTAGGGAGACTCTTACTATGTCCAACCACGGTAGACACGATATCCATGGCTTTAGGCATAGCTGGGTATAATAAACTCGCTTTGAAGGGTATATGTTGGACTCACACACATTATCCAAGGTATCTTTGTGCCTTGTAGTCACAGTAGAGCAGTAATACAGGAGTTGTATATTTTTTAAAAAAAAGCGAGAGAGATGATGGTTTTTATACTGCCTCGGGCTGTCGGGAGAACATTCACACAAGAGAGTGACGTAATTCTGGATTAACTATATAACAGTGAAGGTCTAGGAGTACATACGGGTACTAACAGCCAGACAAAGAAGACAAGAAGAGAGAGAGAGAGGGAAGAAGTACTAGATTATGCACTCACGATGGGCTCCTCCAGGCTGCCAACGCGCTGACATTCAGCTTCAAGTCTGCGTTTGCGTCCGTCCGTACCAAACAGACCAACGCATAGCGGCAGCGGCACCACGACGGTAGCAACCACAGCCTGGAAAATGAGAGCCCGTTTCATATGGAAGGGCGGGTCGTCTTCTGGTCCAGCCTTGAGCGCAGTCTCAATCAGGATAAACGCTGCTCCGAAGATCTGGCCTCCCGTCCAGCATAGCGTGCTCGGTATCTCGGGGGACATGGGATAGGTGATTTCAACCATATACTCGAGTGCCACCGGTAAGATGCAGAAGCTGGCTGCACCGAGTAACGCGGCTAGCACGTAGGGTCCCGCAACGTGCCCCGAGCTAGGTGCGAATATGAAGGCGATGTAGGCTACTGCGAGGATGGGGATGAGGATCTTCATGGTCCCCAGGTAGTGTTTTAGTCTGTCGACGATGGGGGACATGATTGCTGCGGAGACTAAGCCGACAACGATCAGGAGAGCGCCGGTGATGCCTGCTACGGTCTCGGAGTAGCCGTGTGGATAGAGGATTTGGTTTAGCAGCGAGGAGATGCTGTTGAAGAGGCCGACGTAGACGCTGAAGGGGAAGAAGATGAGCCAGAACTCAGTGCGGCGGGATAGCTGGCGGAGACTGGCCAGCAGCGGTGGCTTTACTGTCTCCGAGGCCACGCTGGGGGGTGTTGGGGGGCGGCCCGGCACGAAGAATGATGGCACGCATGCCACGGAAGACTATAGTAGTTAGCTACACGTATGTACGTACTATAGGGGTTATAACATCTCCTGATATAGAGGAGAGGATGCGGTGATACGTACAATGATGGAGACGTAGAGGACGAGATTTGGAATCTGCCCTGGATCCGTGGCCAGCAAGGGCCCGATCAGCTGTCCCAACGCTCCGCCCAAGGGGTTCGCGAGACTGGCGACTGCAGTTGCGCTTGTCCGGCCATGGTCGGTGAACCAGATGTCACTGTATCTTGTCGGGGCCGTCAGGACAAACGGCTGTGCGAGCCCGATAAGAATCTGGCCCAGCATCGCGACGCCGAAGATGCCATTACCCGCACGGGTTCCCGCATATCGAATCCAGTTGCCCACCAGCAGCAGGACGGACGCGGTGATGATGGAGGATCTAGGGCCGCCCTTGTTGAGCGTCCATATCACGATCCTGACATGCCCGAGGTTAGCATCGTGATAGCCGAGCAGAGCAAGGTCAAGCCGAAGCACACGACCGGCGTAGAAGAGTCAGCACTTACGGGCTCGCAACGCAGAAAGCAAAGAGAAAGGCAGTGCTCATCCAGTTGATGGCTCCCTCGCTGACGCGGAAGTACTCTGAGGCCGTCTTCGACACGGCTGAGAAGGTGAGCCACTGGTTAAGAAAACAGGGTTAGCAGGAATCCGGGGTAAGCTGGACATAAGGGCAGACAGATAACTATCAAAAGGGACATACATCCCAGCTGACGATGATATTCAGCAAGACCAGCTGCGCCAGGCCGAAGAAGCGTCTCTTATACACCTTGAACGACGGCTGCTCCCTCGTCTCTGTCCGGGTGGCCAGCGTCTCGACTTCGATAATATCGTCCTTCGCCATGCCTGGATGCGAGGAGGCCCCCTGAATATAGTCCGTAGAGTCCATGGTCAGTGCCGGCATCTGGACAGACAGACAGACAAGACAGACGTCATCGAGCGGGCGGGTTTGCTTCGCTCTATATCCTGTCTATCCAGCGCTTCTTCCCCTGAAGCCGCTGCAGCCCGCTACACAAAGTGCATAAGGCTTGCTGCCCTTCCGCTGCCCGGGCCGACACATGTGATGGCGCAGAGTCTAAGGGGAAAAGCCCTGCAGGAGGATCGCGAGCGGCGGCCGTTTGTTTCGAGCTGCGTCCGGGGAAACGGAGCTGGTGGGCTCTTCTAAATCTTCCCTGTAGGCTCCATCAATCCCACCTTTCCGGGCTCTTGTTTCTGTTATCTTGTTGTAGATTGTAGCCATAGCTGTAGATGTAGCTGTGGATGTGGATGTAGGTACGCTGCAAGGCGTTTCTTAGCACAGGACGGCAGCCAGCTTGTTTCCAGCTTCGATTCGCTTCCGAGAGTTCTTCCCAAGGCTCGTATCGACGGCTAGACGGTCGAACCAGCGCTGGACGAGCAGTCGACTTGGTGGCGCATCTCGTTGAGGCTGCCGATTCGTGATATTTGGGATGCAAGCAGTGCTTTGTTTTTTCTGCTTCGCTTCTGCTGCCCGATATTTTCTTTCTCGTCTTTTTCAGACCTGTCTGATTGTTGGCTTTGGAATCCTGATCTGTTCCTGGTTCCTGGAATTAAATAATATCTGCTCTGTCTGGCCGTCGTCGTCTTCTTCTTCTCTGGTTGTCTTGATGTTTGTTGCTGTGAAGATGTTGAGCCGCCCCTTTTGATCGCTAGCACACCAGCTCAGCCTCTCTCGATAGCCTGTCGCACCGAAGGATCTTGTTTCATACGACAGATCCAGCTCCGTGATGATGAATACGAGTATCCGGTCGAGCGAGTATTCTTATAGAGACCCGCGGTACTATTCTTCCTCGTCCCTGGGGAATGCGCACAAGACGCTTGATGGCTACGGCGGAATGATGCACTCAGACGACGGCGAGGGCTCACGGTACAACCACAACGCTGTATGTCTATCCCTATATCCATCCCTATGATGTCTCTGTTTTAGTATCAAGGTCAATGATGGTCGATGACGGCCAATGTCATGGTAAAGTCGTGGTCAATGGATGCTGACTCGGTGCAGCAGCTCTCTCGTGGCTCCGTGCTGCTCAACGCCAACGATCCGGTGTCGATGCACCTTCTCGCAGAGACGGCCATCGGAGACAGCCTGCACTTCGAGGTGCTTTCGTTCGAGGAGGTCGAGGAGCTGAAACGAGAGCTGGCGTTGGCTCAATCGCGTGTCGAGGGCGGGAAACGAAAATTAGCGCTGGAGCTGAAACTGCTGGAAGCTGCTGAGTCGCTCAACAGACTCTACGACGACGGCTCGAATCCGGTGAACGGCCATGGGTACGGACATGGACATGGACACGGGGACCAGCATGCGTCAGACGAAGAGCTGGCTATCACACGGCGGAAATGCGAGGAGCAGGCGCAGGAGATAGCAAAGCTGGAGCGCAGGGCCAGTGATATTCGGACGAAGATACTCGAACACACGGCCGGAGTGCTGCAGATGACACACAAGGGGCTGAAGAAGAAAAAGGGTTCAAAGACGGACGACCTCTCGTCGACATCTGATGATTTGAACGGGTTGGACCCGTACGGCTGTGGACATGAATTTGACCATAGGAGCCTTTACCGGACGGCCGACTATCTCGACCACCATGGCGGTGCACCACCCCGAGACGTGCCTAGCCTGGAGCCGGATGTTGAGTCTACCTCTGCAGACCTCAGTGGGTTGCAGGATACACAGTCGAAGCTCGAGGAGATGACCTACCGGCTGCATGAGATGCTCACACAGATGAACACCGGCCAAGAGGTTGACCCCATCCCTAAGATAGTCACCAACAATGACTCCCCGGACCCTCTGGCCACCGTCAACATCCAGGTTGACTATCTAGAGAAGGGCCTGGAGACGATTGCGCTGCATCAAAGCCATTCTTCAGACCATTCTGCCCGTGATCTGGATGCTTATACCCCCGAAGATGATTCTGCTTCTACCAATGCTACGATTGACCGGCTAGATTCCTTCAGTCGACGGCTCGACGAAGCTCTGGCAGCAGCTGGATCCAGTAGACAGCCTACCAGCCCGCACATGTCGACTATCAGGAAAACCATGGCCGAGCAGCTAGAGTACCTTGACTCTGCCGTCACGGACGTCGAGAAGCGGATAGACAGCCTGGTCGAACAAAAGACCATCCTTGGAATCCAGATCCAACAGCAACGAGACCTCAACTCCAAATCTGATGCTGAGCGTGATGCATATATTGCTGACCTTACCGAGGATCTGACCAAGCTGCGCAAGGAGTTGGACAAGTCTCATGCTGCAGACGAAAGCTCCAGGGCTGAGATAGCCGTGCTCATGGACCAGTTAGATGCTGCTCGACAGGACTCCATGCGTCAGGAGCAGAAGCGTAGCATCGGGGAAGCACCTGAGGTACCTCATGAGAAGGAAGCCCTTATGAAAGCCGAACAGGAACTCGCAGAGAAAGTGGCTCGTATCTCTAGCCTCGAGTCTACGATTCATGAGCTACGCTCCCAGACGGATGCCCACTCCCAGGAAGCCCAGCTTACCCGTGAAACAGTCCAACATGATCTGGCTGAAAAGACCTCTCTCATCTCCACCCTACAATCTTCTCTCCAGGAGCTACACTCCCAGGTAGACAGCCAGCTCGGCCAGATCAAAGAAGCCCACCAGTCCCGCGAGGAAGCCGAGCAAGCTCATGCCAAACTCCAGACTGAATTCTCTGAGCTCGAAAGTGAAATGGTCCGCATCCAGACAGAGCTCACCTTCGCCAGAGCAGAGCTCGACAGCGCCTACGGAAGTAGATCTGAACGCGCCGCCGAAGCAGCCGCCAACCCAGCTGTGCAGCGTGAAATCGACAATCTCCGTGAACGAAACATGGATCTAACCAGCCAAATCGCAACGTTGAAATCAGTACAGATGAACAACGCCAACTCAGCAAGCATGGGCGCTCATGAACGCATTCAGATGCTCGAGCGGGAGCTACGTGAGACTATCGAAGACTACGAAGAACTGACCAAACAGAGCATTGAGTTTGAAAAGGAGCGAGACAAGTTCGAGAACATGATCGATAGCTATAGAGACCGATGTGATACCCTTGAGACCCAGCTCGGTGACGAACGCATCCAAAACCTAGGCATTAGAGATGGCATGACGGTCGAAAACACATCCATCACTGTGCTGAAGAGCGAGTTCAAGAAGATGATGAGAGAGACCAGAGCGGATAGCATCAAGGCCTTACGGGTACGTTGACTTTTTCTTCCTCCTTGCGTAACCTTTACTGACATCTTCCAGGCTGAACAAGAAGACCGACGACGTCTTGAATCTATGCTCAGAGCCATGAAGAGAGAGCAGAGCCTAAAGAAGTCGAACCTCAGCCAGAGCACCTTGGCCTCATGAGGCTTGCACTACATAGCGACTTATACGTATCAGGATTTTCGCCGGAGTTGAGTATTTGATGATGGATTCTCCCTTTTCCATTTCTTTTCCTTGGGCAACTTGGCGTGCGGCGAGGCTAGACGTTATGTGATGCATTCTTTCCAGCACGATTTTTCTTGGATAATATACAACGATTAAAGACTTATTCCGGGAGTTACAAAAAGGGCAGTATCTTGTCCAGCATGTTCTCAATTTTTTTTACCTCTTCCTTTTGTTCCCTTTTGTTTGGTGATTTTGGCGATGTTGACTTTTTGCTTCCGTTGGCTTGAATTGATTGACTGATTTTGATATTGTCTTGCTGCCATGTATACCTATCCCCTCCCCCTTTTGGTCTCGTTCCTTCTTTGGCTTCTACTTCATCTTCTATCTTTGCTTCTATTTTTACCTTATTGTTATATATCATATGCTCCTTCCTATGCGCACGTTACTACTCGGCTCTTCTTTTGATTGTTTGTTTTATATATACGACCAAATACCCAGAAATGCATCTCGGATATCCCGTTTACATGACATGGCTTGCTTGTTCTCTCCCTTCACTCATTAAGGTCAGTCGATCGTTTGAAAAATCCCGAGTCCAGCAGTCGTTGAATAATTGGCTGGCCTGGCCAAAATGACCCTACACAAGGGGAGGCAAGAGCCCTTCTCCATTGTCAATCCGGACTTTGATCGAATACATGTCCGGCAGTCTGCATACTCCGTAGACCGGCCCAGCGGGCTTCGACGAGTTGTTTCCGCAAGAGTATTGAGTCCTCACCTGGATTCATCCGAGTCCTTGCCCAGCGAGCATAGCTCTCTCTACGATGCTTTCCTGTCGAGCTACGAATCCGAACATAATAACGGACCGCCCCCGAATGCGAAGAAAGACGACGTAGAGAGCTCAAAGACAGCTGGTGCCAGCCACTTGCAAGAACTGCGCACCTGGGATAGCGAAAGAGCTCGATGTCGAGACAGACTTGCAGTGCCCTCGTTGGAGACTATCTTCGAGAACCAGAGTGTATCTACTCATCGAGCTGCATCGTCCCGGTCACGGTTAAGGCCATGTGCATCGGTTGATGTCTCGCTGAATACAAAGACTTCATACTCGGGAGTTTCGTTCAGGACACAGCTCGTGTGCTGGAATCAATACGGATCAAAAATATATTCTTTTGACGACAACGACATACCTTCGTTTCGACCTAGATTCTCTTGTACACCGCTTGCTCCTCGTGAACGCCGCCATTCATGCAGTACATTCTCTTCAGATGGAAGTTTTGAGATCCCCCGCTGGTTCAACTGCGTTGTGTCTCCAGCAGAACCTACTCAGCCTATACATCCTCCTCCGCATAGACCTAGTACTCCCCCTGGTGTTCCGTCCTTTGGTTCACCAGAAGCTCTAAACTACGACTTATCTTCTTTCTCGCGTTCAGCTCCACGAACAGGCCAGGGCAGCAACAGGTCATCGCCGCAAACTAATCGAAGCCCAGCTGGAGGAGAAAGGGATGATGATGGATGTGGTTGTTGTGGCATTGGCTTTCAGCGAGCTTTCCGTGAGACAACGTCCTACATCACATATCAGCCTCCTGAACGCCTACCCCCTGGAGTTCTCGCAAGGGCTGATGATGGGACTCTTATTCGAGGGAGGTTTGGTGCTCGAGCAAGCGGACATGGCATTGGTGCCTCAGCATGCTTAGAGAACCATCCTTTTCACCAGAATCATCTGCCTATTGCACGGACAAAGGATACGGATATCAGGCTGCCGCCGCCAGCTCGACTACGGCCCAGCACTTCCCCCAACGAGTTTGGTGTCTGTGTGTCATCAACTGGTAGTCCAATCTCACTTCCGCGGTATAGATCGTTGCTTGATGACCACAGGGTTCTACCCGCTCCCTCTACCCCCGTCCGAGTTTCGTCCGCAGCCCATACTAAAAATCCGACTACTCCACCACGACCTAGAGAGCAGATGGTATATTCACGCCCTGTGTCAACATCGGCTTCAGCCAGGAATGTCACCTCCTCATCCAGAACTCAGCACGCCAGTGCGCCATCTTCCAGCCAGAGCGGCTTACTACGGCTCTGGAATCTCGTTTCATTAAACGTAACCAAATGCTGCTTCGGACTGGGCGCTGACGACGAACACGAGAGACAGCGAGGTACACAGATGCAACAAATGTCGAGTTCCCCCACCAGGCAGCCATAAGCATAGCAATGGCAGATATCGACTTGAGCATCCTAGGAGAAGTTGTATCAAGTTTGCTTCTTGGAGTAGTCTTGTCCTACGTTGTCTAGGGTATCTCCCTGGCATTAGCCGGCAGCAATATCTATATCAAGCGCAAAAAGGGCTTCTGCTTCTGAATTCTAGCTGGATTCCTGCAGCTGTACTTATTTAATAACGAGTAAATAAAGCCTCAAGTTTCAAGTATACGAGCCCATGCAAGAAACAAAATCCCACGTAGCCATCTCCATCTTCTACCTTCCAGATCTTCTAGAACAAACATGGGGGTCAACTCAACTCCGAAGTAAACTACAAGCATCCAAACTCGAACTCTAGATTTTGCCGATTGCTAATCTAAACTGCGGGTGATCAACGCTGTTTCGTCCATCCATAACCCATGTCCTATATGCGATCAATTTAGGTCAAAGCGGTCGGTTTACTCCGAAGACCATTCTCGCTTTCTCCCTCAGTATACAAACGTAATAGTTCCCCTCCTCCGTGGTACCTCCTGATCAACATAATTGAAATAAGGGGGTAATTCTCCGGGGCAACCCATGTCGGTGGATTGTTTCAAACGTAAGAGAATGAATGGGATGTTTGCGTGGGGTCAAGTTTCTACGTACATGGACTGCATGAGTTTTGATGAAGGATGAATTGGTTATGAAGATCATTTACTGAGGTTGGATTTGCAAGGAAAAGAGCCGAGGTGGTAAAGTAGATAGATAGGATAGATAGGTAACTGAACAGGTTGGTATCGCTGATGCTTGCTGAAGGATGAAAAAGGGGTGAATAAAGTTGATAGAGCGAGAATAGACGCAGCGTGTCATGGTAAACAAAACGGAAAAACCAGAGAGAAATGGCGGGAATAGATTGCTAGTGGAAATGGAACCAGAACTACTCCAACCCGTATATACGCCACCAAAATACAGTATACATGCAGGGGAACGAAGAAGAATAGCCGTCATCATATACACAGTGGAGCAAAAAAAATCGTCCGCTATAGTCCGTCGAAGAATTGGCATGCTTCTTCGAGTTTCTTCTCGCCGGCTGCAAAGTCCCATCCGATAATGCGGGTATCCTGGCTTGCGCAGATGAGCTTACGTGCATCAAACTGGATCTTTAATATTCCTGCTGTCGGAGGAATGGCGGCCTGATGTCCCGCTGCGTCTATATTGGCAGGCACTTGGTTTGCCTGTGCTTGGGGGTCTTGGCCTTGATGCTGGTGAGCCGGGGCTGGAGGCGGGTTGGTGCCTGCTGTTTGATCAGTCGGTTGTTGCGGTGGTAGGGGGTTGTGGGAGGTGGAGGCTGTTGCTCCGGTTGCATGGGTGTTTGCATGGTGGTTGTGGCCTTGTGTAGCTTCCGTTGATGCAGGTCCGGCCTGCAGGTTTTCATTGGTGGAAGTAGTAGGCTCGCTAGCTTGTGTGCGAGCAGCGGCGGCCGCAGCTGCAGCCGCTCTAGCTGCCCTGATAGCTTCAGCCTGGTTTAGCCTCTGCCCGATTACCCATTTGCCTTCTTTATCCCTCATCCAGATGATGATGGATTCGTCATACGAGCCAGAGACAATTCTGGCCCAGTTGCTTCCACCTCCTCCAGGGGGGATTTTAGCACCCAATGCCATAACATCCTGTGGTAGTCTGGATCCCGTGTTTGGTGGCGGGCGGTTGCGGCGGGTCGTTATAGGGTTCTCATCAATGTCTCCACGGCGTCGGGCTTCAAAATATTCCTGGTCAACTGCTAATGCTTCCAGTCTCATTGTCTCTTCTGAACCAGGAGGATCTCCAAAGCCGGCTTGGACAGTTCGGACAAGACCCGAGTGACCCCTCAGGCAAGCAACCTCTGCCCCCGATACGTGGTCGTATATGCGGACCGTGTCATCATTGCTGCCGCTTACGATGCGTTGATTGTCAAATTGGATACAGGCAATTCCCTTATTATGGCCTAATATGGTCTTCAAGCAAGTACCACTATGGATATTCCAGACCTTGATAAGCCGATCACCAGACCCGGAAACAATTTCATCCTTGTCAATTTGGATGGCGTTGACGGCAGCCCTGTGCCCGTCTAGGGTTATGAGCAACGTGTAAGGAGCCAGGGGCTTGATCTGCTGGTTGGCTATCTGGGTCTCTAGTGTAGAAGGTGGGATTGCTGCAGTATCTATGATATATTCTGGGTATCGTGGGCCGGCTCCCTTGGTGACCCTAGGATAGTCTGCATCAGTAGGCAACAGGGCATTCCTGTTGAACACCTTGATAGTCCTATCCTTTGAGCAAGTCACAAGATACCGCTTGTCGAAGCGCAGGTTGAGGACAGAGTCAAGGTGTGCATTGGGAAGTTCGTGTATCTTTTCTCCGGTGGAGAATCGCCAGATGATAACGCTGCGATCACCGCTTCCGGACATGATAACATCTTCCTCCGGGCTTGCATCAAATTGTAGACAGAGAACGGATTTGGTATGACCGGCCAGGGGCTGACCCCTCAGCCGCAGTGTTTCCAGATCCCAGACTCTGACTGTCTTATCCCTGCTGCCGCTGACCAGCCATTTGCCTGAAAACTGAACGACATACACCCTCTCACGATGGGCCTCCCACGGCGCATCTGGGTGGGGCAGCTGGAAATTGGTGAACCGGCCATGACGCCAGTTTTCCTCCAACTTCTGACGCTGCTTGTAGAGGTATGCCCAGTTCAAGGTGGGTCCGTTGCGGGACCATACAGCAGCTGAGGAGTAAGGAAGAGGCGATCGATCGTCTGTGAAGAGTGAATCAAAGCCTGGAGAGTGCATTGAAGGGTCCAGAGAATGGGGCACATTACACTTCTCGGCGAGCCGGGCAGCCAAGCGTGATGGGGAGGAGATGTCCATGGGTGAGGTGGGCTCCACTGCTGCTGCAGCATCATGCATTTCATGATCTCCCTCAGTGTCTGTGGGGAGCCTGCCTGCAACCATCTCCGCTGGCCCAGCCCCAGCACGGTCAGAGGCGAGTGCACGTCTTTTGAGCTGCGGCTGACCAGACTCCGACTCCGAGTGTCTGTTCCTGGATTTCCTGCCTTGCTGCTGCTTGGCAATCTCGCTTGACTGGCGGTGGAACTCCCGAATCGAGCTCATGTTGAGTCTCCATCCTTCCTTGATGTAGAGTCCCCGCCAGAGCCTGGAATCGAGGATCCTGCTGCGCCATGGTTTCGAGGCCAGAGAAGCCGTCAGGAGGGTGGTGGGATCGAGATAGGAGAATATCTCGGCTGTTATCTCCGGTGGTAGTTTCCGTACGGGATCCATATGGAGTAAAGGGGTCAGACGTTCGATCACGCCGGTGATGGTGGATGTCCGGAGCGTTCTCAGTAGCATATACACCAGTTCTGTGCAGCGTTAGTCAAGACACATAATCATTGAGAGGTAGAAGAAAACGTCCGGGAGGGAGGGAGGACGGAGAGTAGTACCAGCTCTGTCAGCTTCGCTGCGCGCGAGGATCCATGCAGGCAGCTCAAGCGTGTCCTGCACGCTCTCATTTTCCTGCAGGCTCTTCGTTTCGTCTGAGTAGCCCTCGTCGATCTTAAATGAGCTCTTCGCGGGGAGAGCAGAGTAGTCCCTTGGTTGAAGCCCAAAGGAAGCTCCCGTCTCGCGTCCCATGGAACCGCCGTAACTCAGATAACCGGTTTAGGCTGTGTTCAACTGGCCGCAAAACACCAGCCAAAGATCCCAAAAGCGGCGAGGCAGCAAAGCAAGGCAAAGCTGCAGGAAGCAAACGCCGGGGTAGTAGACTTATGGCAGGTTATGCGATGTCTCCGGGAAGGCTGTTGTTGTGTCTCTCTCAACGGGGGGAGGCTGATGTTTTGATCCTCCGGCCGAAAGCGTTGCCAACGACGAAGATCAGCCGGACCAGGCCTCGCGGTCGCACCTTAGCCGATCCTGCCCAGCCGTCTCACGGTCTCACCCTCTCCCTGTCTCTCCGTATGGCCGTCTAATGGCCGTCTAGTGTCCGTCCTGTGTAGGTCTTTGTCGTCGTTATATTTGCTGTCGTCGTCGTCGTCGTTTCTTCCTTGTTTATCTCTGATGTCATGTGTCATGCTTAGTCATTATTCTTACTAATCTCTTACTCATCCTCTGACTCAGCTCTGACTCATCCGCGCTAGCCCCTTTCTGAAACGTCGCCTTCAACCTCCAACCTTCGACTTTCTCCTTAATCCCGCATTTTTCACGGACGACGAAGCGACGAAGAAACAAAACGCAGCGACAAGACGATCAGAACTTCTCAGACAGCCGGGGACGCTCATTGTGCAGGGAGTCCTTGTCGGCCGCAGCCCATAAAACCTCGTCCAGGGGCGTCTGCTCTGCTTTGCCCGGCGGTGCGTGATCTTGTGACTGCCACCTCTCGCTCGCCCTCCTTATCTCCCTTCGCAACGGGACTCGCCGCTCGCTCGTTATCGCTAACGGCGGCGCATAGCATACAAGGGACAGCTGCACCCATCGACCTCCGCCGCTCTCCCCATCTCCCGCTACGCTTCATTCTCTGTACGTCCTCCTGCTATATATCGGCCTGTCGGTGTTGGACGCCTCGCGAGGGACGGATAGTAACAAGCGGCGTCTCGACGATCTCGGCAGTCCGTCTGCGCGCGGCTCCAACGGCGTGCATACACCAAGACCGGCCGTATACGAGCTCGCTCCTTTACCTCCTTTTTTCTCTGCTCCTGCTCGTCTCCTTTACTCTCCTTTTCCTCGACTGGCGGACACGAATTATATCTCCGAGAACACCGGCCTTTCCCTTTGACTCGTCCTTCCTTTCTCAAGCGGTCTCACGCCCGGCCTACACACCAGCTCGAAGCTGCCAAAAGAGAGAAGGAGATAGAGGATCAGAAGCGGGTAGCTTTGTCATTTAGCAGGCTCGACAAACGTCCTGATCAGCTGCGGAGCTTTGCTGGCGCCACCAAGCTCCATTTTCCAGCTGCTCGAGCCACCCCACCGCCCAAAAAGCCAGCGGTGGCGCTTGTCTTCTGCGACTCATGCTTTCGGTCCTCGCGACGGACCAGGCTTTCTGGCCAGAGTAATACTAAGGCTACCTTCCTTCATTTGTCGCTCCCTCTCTCTCTCTACCTCTCTCCAGTTTTTTTTTTTTTTTTTTCCTTTTGCAGTTTGGTTATCCGGGATATATAACTGGTGGTGGTTGTTTTTGATATTATCTGGCAAAGATGGAGGGAATGAACGGGAATCACATCATGGCGGAGGACAACATCATCAACCGGCGAGGTGGCGAGTCGCTGTTCCAGAACTGCAGCAACCTAAAGAAGCGGTTGGCGGAAGTGCCTGGCTTCGAGCCTCACTTGGCCGAGATGCAAGAGTTGGATAGAACCAGCGAGGAGAACGACCCGGTCGCCTCGGTGTGGAAGTGTCTACGGCAAGGGTATCCCCTAATGACGATATATAATGCCACCCACCCTGCAGAGCCTCTCTCGATCGACGAGAACAAGCTGCAGGAGAGGAACAGACCGAAGGCCGCCACCTTCAAGTTCCTTCAGGCCTGTCTGCAGGTGCTCAAATTCCCGCAGCAGGAATGCTTTCTCATCACAGATCTTTACGGTGACAGCACCACCGGGTTCGTAAAGGTACGTCTACGCTTCATCTTGGCTCCCTGAGCTTCTATAGAGTCCGATCTAACATAAGGTGCATCTCAGGTCATAAAAATGGTCAACCGCGTAATAGACATACTCGAGCTTCAAGGCCAACTGTACAAAGTCTCGCAGTCGACATCCCTGCCTTCCGAAGGTGGCAAGGCGAAACTTACCCGGAGAGAACACATCCTGAAGGAGATGCTCGAAACCGAACGAGACTACGTCCACCATCTTCAAAACCTACAGGCGCTTAAGAAAGAGCTCGAAGAGACCGGTGCTCTGACCGGTGATGTCAGCCATCAGATCTTCCTCAACCTCAATAACCTGCTCGACTTTGCTCAACGGTTCCTCATCCGGATGGAACAGCATAGCGCACTCCCAGAAGAGACCCAGAACTGGGGCGATCTCTACCTAAACCACCACAATGGATTCCTCCAGTACGAGCCATTTATCGCCAACCAGCCCCGATGTGATCAGATATGTCAGAGAGAATGGGACAAGATCCATACCGCGCCACGATCCCCTGATCTTCAGCAGATGGTTGCCCAGCTGTCAACTCTCAATGGCTTCTTTGTTAAGCCGTTCCAACGTCTTACCAAGTATCCTCTTATGCTTATTGTACGGCATTCACTTGCTACCTTTTTCTTTCACATAAAAACTGCAGTAGCTAACCCGCTTATCTATAGGAGCTTCGAAAGCAAACAGAAAACCCTGGTCTCGATGCCGACATTGGCGAGGCTGTTAACATGATCCAAGTAATCCTAGATGACGCCAACCGCGCGATCGATAAAGAGCACCTAATCTCCGCAGTCGAAGACCTTTCGCAACGAGTTGAGGATTGGAAAGCCCTCAAGGTCGACCAATTCGGTGAATTATTGCGATACGGAACGTTTACCATCCTGAAAGGCGATAGTAGCAAAGACGCAGAAAGAGAGGTTCGTATAATTCTCTCCGACACCAATTCACAGGCCTCCTTGCTTGGAAGCCGCCGGAGCTCCTTCACTGGTTCAGTCATCCACCTCCTTTCAGCAAACTCCCACCGCAACTGGAGCTGGAAACAGCCCAAGGACCTTAAATCCATTTCTGTCTTCACTACACCAACACAAGCCGCCCATCCCCTGGAACTCCTGTCCCCTGATCATTCCGCAAGCACAAAAACACTTGAATTCAATACCCCCCCTCCACCTGGACCCGGACACGGCTCGTTTGAGAACGTCACAACTTCGCCATCCAAGCCTAGACGATCTATTTCTTCTATCTTTTCCCTTTCGAAAAGTAGCAAACATGCATCATCCCCAATTACCCCTTCCATACCCCAGCAGCGCCTCAGCAAGGCCCATGTTCGAAACAATAGTGGAGTTGAATCTGAGGACGGGCGTTGAAAAGGGCTACCCAATATCACAACAATATACCAGAGCATACGTGTTGAGGTATATAAATACATCCAGGAATGACAAGAAGAAAAAACTTGAGTCATGGCTCAAAATTAATTTTTAAACGGCCAGACAACCAAGTTTTCATCTCCAGAACATATATCAGCATAGATTCAAGTTGCTTAACACTTGAATCTTGTCATTATTCTAAAAATATTAAATTATGATACCCTATCTGGATATCTGCTTCCATAAGTACTGTTTGCTTTCGTCCAATCTCCTGCCCTGGAATGCCCCTGAATCACCAACACACCCTGGCTATGACTGAACCTTGGAGCGTTTGGATTGAATATATCGCTAACTCTTTTTTTCGCATTCTAGTATCACATATATCTATTCGAGCAGATCTTGCTCTGTTGCAAAGATATCTACCCGGCCAAGCAGAAGAGCAAGCTGATGGGGAAAGAAAAAGTCGTACCAAACCCCAAAGTGAAACCAAAGCTCCAGCTTAAGGGCAGAATTTATATGTCAAACGTTACTGAAATACTATCTCTTTCAAAGCCAGGTTTGTTCTATCCAGATGCCACAGAAACCCTCTTTCCATTCTAACAATACCCATTAGGATCATATAAGATACAGATATTCTGGAAAGGCGACCCGGGTGTTGTCGATAACTTCGGTATCCGCTACCGGGATGAGGATACAATGAATAAATGGTATAAGGATATCGACAAGCAACGGGCTCTTCAGTCACACGAACGCCCGTCCTCCAAACACCACGGCACTTCAGAGACAGAATTCACATACCTCAGGAATACGCCCAAACCACCAAACCCTTACCAGGAGGAGTATAGCACGGAAGAGGAGCTGTCAAGAGAGCCGACCAACACCTCCTTATCAGAATTCTCCACATCACGAAATGCATCCAATTCGAGCTTACGGGGACGCTCTGCTACTAACGGAAGTGGAGGCTCTGGTCATCGACCGCAGCTTCCAATGCCTAGTGTTCCTTTAACCGTACATACCCAATTCTCCCCTGGAGCTATATCCCCCGGCGAACGCAACGGTCCATCCTATTTCTCACCTACGGGAGAGGCGCCCCCATCAACGCGGTCCAGCTCCCAATCAACGGCCTTCTCGTACTCGCGTGGAGGAACACCATCAAATGCATGGACCGAAGCGGAACAGAACCGATACACCGCTCCAGCCATGCCAAGGTCAGGCTCTCGAGACGGGTCAGGAAGCAACCCGTACTATGGTAACGGCCCTCGTAACGCCCAGCGGCCGTCACTACCTCCATTCTCGTCGAACCAAAACGGGCAGTCCGGATCGCAGTCTCAAGCACAGGCACGGATGAGGTCAGCAAGCAGTCCCGACATCCACAATGGTGTCGTACCAGACTCCCGCCGATACATGAACGGCGGACATACCATGCAGACTGTAGATAACGTACCTGTACCTCCGATACCCCCACACATGGCAAACATGCGAGCTCCCGTAAACAGGAGCCAAACCAGTTCTCCCACTGGGAACTCCCTTCCAATACGCTCCGGCACACAATCGCCCAATTTACAACCACCACCTTCCCGCCATGGCCACGGCCACCCACCACCATTGGGCTATAACTACGAGTCACACATCCCCAACGGTCGACCACCACAACAACAACCTCCAACCTCTATGCCTCAATCCTCTCCATTCGACGACGACTCTCAAATGCCCAGTCAGCTCAAGGCCAAGATCAACTTTGATGATAACTACGTCACTCTCGTGATCGCGAGCAACATACTTTTTCGCTCACTCACAGATCGAGTAGACGCAAAACTAGCCCGGTTTACTGACCGGTCTATTGGTGGTAACTCAGCCCGACTACGATATCGAGACGAAGACGGCGACTTCGTGACAATCGATAGCGACGAGGCTGTCCAACTTGCATTTATGGAATGGCGCGAACAGCACCAGCATGCGCTTGCCACCGGCCAAGTAGGTGAAATCCAACTATTCTGTCAACCGGTGGAAAATTGATCCACTTCTTCCTTTTCCTCTCTCTCTCTCTTTCTCTCTCTCTCTCTCTCGCACCATCTATTCATCCACCTATCTACCCACCTAACTACCGACTTGCTTGTCATTTGTTTTATTTGTTGTCAATAAAAGAAAACCCAATACCCCCGTTCGCTTGATTATTCTGCTTTGCTTTGTCTTGTTCATCATGTTGTCTGGCCTTGCTGTGCGTCTTTTTTTATCATCGTGTATTTCTCTCTCTTTTCTCTCATGTCATATCATATATCATATCCGTTCAAAATATATCACGGATGCAAAGGAGGAAATCTTGGCTCCTGGAGATTTTTTTTGATTCGATAACTATGCCATCTAGGTTATTTGGACCTGAAGGAGATGTATGTGTCGCTGTTACCCGTTACCTGTTGGGAGGAAGGAAGTAAATAAGTCCAACGAAACTAGTATTTTACAAAACTTCAAACAAACACCATCATCCAGCCACTGTACCCCTAACTAGCCTACCTGGCTTTTAATATGGTTCGTGTCAAGATATCATTCACTACATTATAGTTGTTCTAGTGAGACGGGTCTTTCGATATATACAACAAGATACTAAGTATTCAGGTTGTTACTCCAGGTCTATCTCATTTCAGAACACATCGAACAGCCGCCGCAGAAGGATAGTCCATGCATTTCTCCCCTGATAAGACAATAGGTGCTGAATCGCATGATGGACTCCTACATGGAGTTAGTTAAAGTAGCTCTCTTTCACCGTTTCGACCAGGACAAGACATACGTGTATGCTGTGCAGGATGCAGCTCTATCAATCTGCAAAGACTTAATACTATAGACACCATTAGTTCACGACTATATACCAGATAACCATCCGCACAAAGGATACACATACTCCAGCGAGCGTAAGTCGTAGCACCCGTTATCAGCCGGGACGAGAGATGGAGCTCCCGCACACGGCCTTATTTGATAGATATGCGCCTATAAAACGGTAAGCCACGGGAACACATAGCAATCAAGTAGAACCAGCAGTTCAACGTACTCCATATATCGGGGTCAAGGGAGCAGCCACAGCACAAGGAAGCATCAGAAACCCTGGTATCAACAAGGTGTTGACTAAGTACTTCATCTTGTCCTGATAGGGTAGCTAACTAGCTGGGTCGTGATTGTAACAGGTTATTAAACAGCCCTATACCAAGTAGACAAAATAGTAGAGAATAGAGAATAGAACACCTGCTCTCCCTGGGCTAACCCCGTCTTTTAGATGCCATGTTGGTGTAACTTTCCAGCAGCCAAAGCGTGATGGCAACGGATCAACGCCTACGCGAGGTCAGCTCTAGATTGATCTGCGACTTTTGTGCAACCGCAGCAGCAGGAAACAAGAGCTCTTCGTAACCCATGAGCCGTCTATCTAGCTTGCAGCTTACTCTCCAGGCTCGCTTATGATTTAACCAGCCTCCTTGCCTGGTGGTGCGTGGGGTATAAAGTGAGTTTCTGGTACTGGACATCTTTGATGCAGGAGCAGTGATGGCAATCTAGATATCGGGATCAAAATGTATGCTCAGAGAGAGCCCTGGCCTCTTATGTCGGTTGTCTGTCTTGATCAACTGTCTTCATGCATGTAGTTACCCCCCGGGCCTTGCTGTGTGATGTTGACGTTGGTTAACGAATAAGCGGCCAAATGTCAATATCCACCATGTAATATCAACTATCCTCAACCAACTTCAGAGAACCCGAGTATCAACCTGAAGACATATCTCCCGTTAAGATGGCATCCGCAACTCGCTTCAAGCTGATCTTCCACGTCCCCACGACGGCGCTGGAGGCCTGCAAAGCCGCCATCTTCGCAGCTGGTGCAGGCAAATATCCCGGCCCAGGTAACTACACCGAATGCTGCTTCACCACCGTTGGAACAGGCCAGTTTCGACCTGGAGACTCAGCGAATCCGCACATCGGCAGCGTAGGGGCGCTCGAGTACGTTCAGGAGGCGAAAGTCGAGACGCTCTGTGTTGGTGAAGAGGTCGTTCGAAACGCCGTTGCTGCGCTGAAGAAGTGAGTGAATCACGTCCAGCCATGAATAAATGAATGAATGAACGAATGGATAATTGATTAATATCTTCTCTGACGGTCTAGGGCACATCCATACGAAGAGCCTTCATATGAGGTTTTCAGGATGGAGGATTTCTAGAGTTGCCATGAAGTTGACTCGGTTGTATGTATGAATATGTTATGGCCCCGTAGAGTGCGGACACGAATTAGTGAAAGAAGGCTGAATGAATTATCTGTCTAGGGTATCGAGAATAGGGGGCTATATTATTGAATCAAACATTATACATTTAAACGCTTCAGAAGACTTGAAGACCAAAGAACAACCGGAATATTCACATAGAATACATATCAAGGCAAGGAAAGCCTGCATGTATATAAAAATATCAAAGACCGTCCAACCATCCATTCCCTTCCCAAACGCCATCGCTCATAGTGTCGTAGATGCTCCAATTTGGTTATTTTCCTTACTGAGTGGATATGATTTTATATCCGAAGTTTCATCGTCTCTCGCTCTAGGACCTCTGACTCGCCTCCGTCTCCTGTCCGTCGTCTCTCAAGGACCCAGTACTGAGATCCAGACTCGTCGGTGCCTCTAACGTAGCTGATACGTTCGCCTGCATTGGTAGAGACGTTGCTTGGCTTCTCGTCTTCCATGCGTAGCGAGTGTCTGTTTGGGTCCCAGCTAGACGAAGGCCGGACACTGTCGGAATATCTCCTGATAGACCTTGGATCTTGGGTAAATTCCTTATCGGCGTGGATGGGACTGTTCAGCTCCGAGCCGCCGCCGTAATTCATTAGTCCGCTGCCTTGAACCGGCGAGCCTGTGTCGTAGTAGTGGTTCAAGCTCCCACGGTTAGGTTGGGTAGCTGAAGGTGAAGCGGCGCCCTGACTACCTCCTGTATTGCTGCGTAGGCTGCCGTTGCTACCGCCCCAGGCTCCTCGCCGCAGTTTCATCAAGGCACTCAGTGATATCTCATCCTCGGGAACTTCCATATCAACTAGCTGGGCTAGCGGCGGTTGCTGCTGCTGCTGGCACGAATGACCAACATGAGCGCCTAGGGAAACGATTGAGTTGCGAGTACTCCATTCGCTCCGCTCGGTAATTGGGGTCAGACTGGGTTCTCGAAAGTTCTTCCGTCCACTGTGGTTTCGAATTATGCCTTCTGCGCCGGGTGCACCGAAGTAGCCGCCATACACACGCTCCTTGTCATCGCTGCCGTGGGCATGGGCATAAAAGCCAAATTCTCGGCCATAAAACCCTTCATCGTCATGCTCCAGGACATCTGCATTGGCTTCGGCGATAATTGGATCGTCGTCTAGACCGTCTCCATCGTAATAGTCAAAGTCGTCTAGCGAGTCATCCATGCCGAGAGCATCAGTGTCTACTGTCTGGCTCATTCGACTGTCATCTGTTGTCAGGCATGGATCAGTTTGAGACTCCCCCTCTGGCAGAGACGTTTCACTTAGACTTGCGTTCCGTTCAAACCTCCCCTTGCGAGCAGCTTCATTGGCTGCCTGGGCCAAGGCACTGTGGTATGCTTCTAGGTTCCCCTTTGTCAGTCCTTGGGATTGGGATGGGGGTTTATCCATCGTGTGGGCAGGCCCTGCTGCCATGACGCTGTTCTGCGGCATTGGGTGGCCATGGCTTGCACCGGATGTCATGGTCGACTCCTCGGATGGGGCCTGAGGAGGAGGCTGAGCCGCTCGTCTTTTGTTATCGTACAGATAACTCGACTCGTCGTCAAAGATGGATTCGTCGATGGTAGACCCTTGCATCTCAGGGGGTAGTTCGCCAAAGAGGCCGTCGTCATAGTACAGGTCATCCTCACCGTTACCCCTGGAAGCTCCCTGGGCCGTGGTAGGCAGTTCAGGGCTCACCGCAGCGGCCGGAACGGGCTGAAATCCGGTATACATGGATAAACCAGGCTGATTTGAGGACATGATGAACCCTGGAGGCATCGAGACCCCGGTATTAGCCATGGGGACGTAGGCACTGTTCCCAGGCGGGCTTGTAGGGCTGGACATGACGGTAGACAGCGTAGGAGCATATGACTTCATGTAGTTCTGCATGGCTGAGGATGCACCAGTCTCATATTCGTCTATGGAGTCAGCATCGGCGTTGACACCGGGTATCTTCTCCTCCAGCCCGTCGTCGTCCATCATTGCATCGTAGTCAAACTCATCAGAGTCCTCGTCGAATTCACTTCTCCTTGAACTAGCCCCCATCGCTCTTTTCGCAGCTTCCTTCTCCTTGTGCCTTTCTTCCATCAGCTTCTCCTGCGAAGACGAGGCAGCGCCTGCCATGTCGAAGCTGAACCGTGATGCACTGCTGGTCAAATGCCGCGGAAGGCCCAGGGGAACGAACGAGGGATCTCGCACTGATCCGGGCTTGTACCGCATGGTGGACGGGGGAGATCTGGTATGAGTAGACGAGGCATCTTGAGAATTCTGTCGCTGGTGCTGCTGCTGCTGTTGCTGTCTATCGGCTTCGGGTTTGGGTGTCGGTGGTAGGGAATAATGCTGGATCTCAGCTTGTGGTTTCGGTGGTAGCTCGACAGATGCTCTATTCATCTGCCTATACGGCATCGAAGCCATCACCTGCGTCTGTTGGGCCTGCTGCTGCGGCATCTGGGGTCTGGGAGGATTGTCGGGAAGCTCTCTGACCTGTCGTGAACGAGCATTGCTGCTATCTACCATATTCGATCGAGCCCGCGGCACCGAGAAATCATGGACCAGACTGCCTCTGATCCTAGGGTCGTAGTCGTCCGGTAGAGCTGGGACGGTCAACTTGCTGATACTGATATCCTCTGGCCTCGAGCTGGATAGCTGAGCTGACCGTCTCCTGGCCAGCAAAGCCATGGGATTCAGCAGGTTAAGCCTCGTCTTTGTCCCCTTTGACGACGGTACCTCCACCACTTCCTGGCCATGGTGGTGCTGCTGGTGTTGATGCTGGCTCTGGTGCTGGTTCTGCTGGTGCTTCTTCGACAGAGCGTTGCCTGACTCTCGCAGGAATCCCCTGGACTCGGCCGCATAGCTGCTGCTGGTGGTGGTATCAGGCGAGGGCTTCGAGGAGGACCGGCTCGCAACCGCACCAGGCGAGTATCCTCCCTCCCCCATGCCTCCGCCCTTCAAGCTGTCTGACGGAGACGAGCCTGAGCCTTTACCCAGCGTCCATCTCCAGGTCGATGAGGACCGAGCCGTGTTCTCTGGCCCCGCCGCCTGGTAGTTCTGGCCTTGATTTTGGTTCTGGTTCTGGCTGTTTAGCTGCTGGTGCTGCTGAAAGCCAGCACCGGCGCCCACGCCCACGCCCGGCGAGTTCTGCGTGCTCCCATACATGGACGAGACATTCGAGTGATAACGGTCGTTTGCCAGCCAGTTGTCCCTCAGCTCGTATTCCGTCACAACGATTTTCTCTTCGGGCGACGGTGGGACAGTTTTTCCCGGACAGCAACAGATCTTCTCGTCTGAGAACCATTTCCCGCTGTTGAAGGCTGAGTTGAGGTCTGGCTCGGCCGTCCAGATGCCAGACTCGAAGATGCCGTCTGTCAGGGCCGAGTTCGAGGCCGTGAAGGAGTCGCTGCTAGGCCGGGGCGGCGGCTGGGAGGAGGCGGCCGGCGGAGGGGCGCAGGCAACACTGGACGGGCGCTGGTCGTCGCGCCGGATGTAGGTGAACATTGAGAGCTTGCGAGCTGCTTGTAAGGAGCGGTTTTGTTTTATTTGTTTATCTGCGTCTGGTCTATGGGTTGGATGCAGCCATTCTCCGGGGTGTGTGCTTCGTCTGGCTGGGATTAACTTGGATATGTTGCGCGGCTGGATTTGGTTACGGGAGGCGACAAATGGTTACGAGATAAGACAAGAGATTAAGAGATCGATAACTGGCAGAGCAGAAGTAGGAGAGATTAAAGGGATATAACTAGCAAAGAGAGGGAAGAGAAGGGAAAAAGGAGGTTGTTTCCAACAGATTAAAGGAGAGGATGACTGGCGCAGATGCGTCTGCAAGTAAATAACAAAATAAAAAAAATAAAAATAAATAGTTAAATATAACTTAGCGAGTTAGCTTGCTGGTTTCCAGGGGATCGAGGTTAGTTGCTTTAGCCACAGCCTTGCAGGGATGTACATACAGACGCCTGCGGGAGACAAGTTGGTAGTTGGTAGTTGGTAGATGGAGTTGCTGGTATTTGGCAGATATTTGGTAGACATTTGGGGAGATATTTGGCAGATTTGGTAGATGAGATGAACGAAATTAGGCAGAAACGGGAGACACCAACACCAAAGCTATGCTATATTACACCGACTAGAACGATTAAATGCATAAGGGGAAAAAGGGCAGTAAAACAGTAGAAAGAAGAATTTAAGAAAAGCACCGTCGTGCTTGGAAAACAGCCGGCAGAAGTCTACTGGCGAACACTCAGTCTCCATCGATCAATCATGTCCCGTTGTCGAGGATCAATCATCTCCTGCTGCCCACCGGCGGGATACATGCTTGCTGGGTTATACACGAATCCATTCGTCGGATAGCCGAAGCCACCGGCACCAGTGCTGCTGCCCAGCATGCCCGAGCCGTTCAGCGTGGCCGGAGCGGTGCCCGGTGGCGGACCATGGCTGTAAGGCAGCATTGGGGTGCCGGAGAGACGACTGCCGGCCATGGCAAGTGGTGACGAGGTGCTGGCCAGCATCGAGGCGCGTGTAGGAGGGAGGTTGAGTAGAGAGTGCGTCGAAGCCATGGCTGCTGGTGTCCGGTAGCGCACGTCGAGCTCTGAGTGCGCACTTGCGAGGCCGGGACGAGCCGGGTGTGCCTGTAGCACGTTGGCCATACTCTTCCGGGCGTGGAATGGAAGAGATGTCGCTGATGCTGAGCCGGTGTGTAGCCTAGCTTCGGCTTGCAGGCGCTTGCGGCGCTGGCCAAGTGTTTCTTCCTCTGGCTCTGCTGGTTGTGCCGCCGCCGCTGACGTTAATGTTGATGTTTCTGGAACACCTTTGGCCTTCTCCTTGTCGGCGTTGTCGAGGTCTCCGAACTTGGATATCAGATCGTCGAAGTCGCTGCCTCCCTCGCGAGCCTTGAGACGGCTCTTCCGCTGTGCAAGCGTCTCCTCTTCGTCTCCGCTCTCCTCGTTGCCGTTCATATTGCTCGTTAGACCTGGAATATCCAGCGTGTATGCTGCACTGGCCCGTTTATCGGGACTGGGGTCTCTCGGCACAAGGTTGCGAGGTGTACCTGCTCGGGCCGTGTTCAGTGGCTCACCCCTGATCCTAGCCCGCCGTCTGCTCAGTGGCTCACTCTCTTCAAGCACAAGCTTCTCCATCAGTCCCAGCGGCCGGTTCTCGTCATGGAGTCTGCTCTGCTCGGGGAACAGTACACCAAGCGGGACATCGTCGTCGTCGGCTTCGTCCTGAGCTGTACCCTGGTTTCCTTCCCAGGCGAGTGTCACTCGTCCCTTGTCTCGCTTGTCTCGCTGACGTTGTGCAACACTATCCAGTTCAAGTAGAGTCGAGTGCATTCCGTTGGGGAACGCAGTGGCGGCCGTCCGGGTTCTCATTTTTTGCTCATGTTTTCGCATCTGCAGCTCGGCAAGTAGAGTCGTAGGCGGTCCAAAGATCGGTTCATCATCCTCTTTCTCGTCATCACTATCTTCTTCGTCGTCCTCCTCTTCCTCTTCACCTTCTTCATGCTCTCCCGCCTCTCTCAAGGGTGATGGGGTCCTAGAATATTCGTGGGTGGCATGCTCGTCGAAATTACTGCGCAAAGAGGTACTTTCATCGACATTGTCCAGCATCTGTCCGTCCGACGGAGAACGTACATGACTACCCGCTTTGGTGGTAGAGGACACAGTTCTATCAGTCATAGTTCCATCAGACTTCACCAAGGCTCTCTTTTTGTTAATCTTGTTCTTCGGCCTTTTCTGCTTGTAGACATCTGCGCCTAGATGGCCGACTATAGGGTGGTCTGTAAAGGCACTGACGGGAGCATGGGCAGCAGCATCTAGTATACTGTCCAACGTAGCAACAGCCGACTCTCCCTGTATACGAACATCAATCTGGGTCTTAGGAGCGTCGAAGAAGGCGCTTGCACGTAGCTGTGGAGGAAGATTGGAGAGCCGCTTGCTCATTCTGTCTCCCGCATTAGAACTCTGTTCACCATCTGTGATCCAGGCAGCGGACTTGCGTGCATCCGGGGAGATTGAGTTGATCAGTTGTGTACGTCGTTTCTCTTGCTCGGACATTGCAGGCTTGCGGGAGAGCCGCTGGGGCAAGTTGAGCATCATGGGCACGGGGGCTGGGTAGTAGACGATGTCCTGGCCGGGAGGAGGATTATTGTAGTGTGCGGCTTCGGCTGCGAGAGGAGGTTTCGAGAGAGAGACGCCGCGAGAGGGAGGGACTTCTCTGATATGTGGTGTATAATGGACGCCGTCGAAATCTTTAAACAGGTTTGTAGACTGCTGGTAGGTGTCTCCAGACGCAGCGCTATCCGGCCGTTCTTCATGTTGGTGCTCATGCTGCTCATGGTGCTCGTACTGTTCGTACTGTTGCGCATGCTGCTGTCCATATTGTACTTGTTGTTGTTGTTGCTCGTTCTGTAATTGCTGTTCATGCTGCAACGGATGCTCCAGGCGGTGCTGCTCAGGGGGAGGCGGTATGGTGGTAGGAGCCATCTCCGCTGCACTCTCATTCTCTGGCTCGATGATATGAGCCAGTCGAGACGCAGATGAACCTGACCGTAGCCGCGGCCTGTTTAACGAAGACTGTCTCGACAGGCTCCCATATCCCGACGTAGCCATAGGGCCAGCAATACCAGCAGCAATGGAAGCGCTGGGAGAACCAGGGGAGGCCTTCGAATTGGCGATGGAAGCCCCTGACGCCGCCCTCGACCGAGGCAGAGACATGCGGTTCAGCGTATCCAGCACCCTCTCGGCCTCGACTTCCATGCTCATACGCTCAGCAGATTTCTCGAGCCTCTCCACGTTACCGACATAGGCACCCTGGATCGACTGCAAGTCGGGCGTTGGATGGCGTAGAGGCGTTGAATTTCTCCGGCTGCGAGGCGTCTGCATCACTGGCTCCTCAGGCTTGTTCTCTGTCTCAGGCTTTTTTTCAGGGGTTTTCGCTTTCTCGACGGGCACGGCGTATTCGTCTGCCTCGACCAGCTCGTAGCTGGCGGCTGTCGGGCCCATGATGGCCGTCGTCGCTGTCTGTAGGAGGGATTCTGGTGCGGTGCTGGCGGCGTCTCTGTGCGCTGAACCGCCGAAGTTGTCGAAGTCGAGCGTCAGTGGCGCAAAGGCTGGTGACTCGAGGACGGGCGAGCGATCTGAGGCATCGTCGGACGCAGAGGACGCAGCATCGAGCTGGTCCGTCTGCGCGAGGGCGTTGTACATGGTGTTATAAGCGGCTGTGCGCTGGTGGTTGTCTCTGCGGTCAGCGTCTCTGTCTCTGTCTCTGTTTCACTGTCCGTGTCTCTGTGTCTGTGTCTCTGTCAGCGCCCCCGGTCAGCCAGTCAGTCAGTAAACCAGCCAGTCACTGTCAGTCAGAGAAGAGAAGAGAAGACGGAGCGAGTGTCATTATCCGCTTCGCTTCTCTGCCTCTGCGGCTTCTCTGCCTCTCGGTGTTATGGTTCTTGGATCTGGCTGAGTCCAACGGGAGTGAAGAGAAAAGTCGACTCGCCACTGGTGGAGATGTTTCAGCGTCGCCCGCAGCGATCTATATGCATGGGTGGACATGTTAAACAGTTGGTATTGATATCGGCTGGAGTACTTGTTACTACTTGTTTGTGGCTATCTGTCTCTGACGTCTACGGAGTGCGTACGGGGCGGATAGGTAGAGCATAGGCAGATATATCGGCATAGTCGTCTGTCTATCCATTTGCTTCGAATGGCCCATGTCGAAAGAGGCCGGCAGCCATGAAACCAGCCGAGATGGTCTCGTCACTTCTCAGGGATCTCTCTCTTCGAGTGGCTTGGGGGTACATCTCCCGGTTGATCTGACGATTCGCCTCCATCCGATGGTGGCCACCTGGAAAGACAGTTTGGTGCAGTCGACTGATCTACAGGCACACGATAACTAGAACAACTGTGGAAAATGGCCTACGACGATCCTAAGAAGAGTTCGCGTTCGTTAGATGATATTCCTTGCTTTCCCAAGAACTACAGTACGTTTCCAGAAGCAATATGACTCGACACCTCTTCCCCTGCCGGTCCTTCGATAGCAATCTCGAAATCAATATGAGAAAAGTGGGCCAGGCATTGATGTTATCGCCCTCATTCACAAGCGAGTTTCCGGGGAAGATAGTTATCGAAGTGGAGTATCCCGGCACTCTAGTAGAGGGAGTCATGCCTTTTGATATCGACCGTCAAGTATGGTAATCACCGAGCTGATCAACTAAATGGACACACCTTAGTCTTGGGCAGTTACCCGGTGATGCACTCAAAGCTGTTGGACGGCATTATCCTTGCCATCACTGCTGTACGTAGGTAGAGAGTTGTCGATATGGTTAAATATTGTTTAACCCCTTTCGTGTTTCAGCTTACACTGCCCTACCGCTCTAGCAACCCTGGGATGCATTGACCTTCTCTAGACCTCAGTGGACTCACGCGGGTCTCCAGTCCCTCGCCCCTTTCCAGGTACTGCCGTGAGTACTAGTGGCTCCTCTTCACGATGCCCTGTGCAGCAGCTGGCCCCTAAACGCTAACCTTCTTTTCTCCTAATATATTGCCCATATGCTTTTCATATTGTAGACAGGATTGCTGGAATTTGGGGACCAGGGGTCTGCTGATAGGTCTCAAATGGCGCGGATGTACTCAGTGTAGCCATAGCGACAAGGCCAAAGACGGCTTTCCAGGTATCAACATCACTCTCTCCCTCGATGGCTCGCTCTATGGCCAAGCAGTATTCCCTGTAGGACGTCTATAGCCCCATCCTGCCAGACCACTTGGGGCGGCCTACTCCTTTGGCTCATTGTGCTTTAAAAAACATGCATATGGGGTATCTGCCAATAATGGTTTGATCGTCCTCTGAAAGGTTCACTGTATCTGGCCATAGAGAGGTGTCCGTTCATCAAGTTATGCCCGTAAGATATTGCGGCAGAGAAGATGCTAATCCAGAGCAGATGAAGTCGATATTCGATGTTTGATATTTGAAAGATGTTGAAGTCGAAGAGAAGAAGTTGATATAGAGTGTGACACGTGACCAAGTTAGGAAGCGGAAGAAACGACGCGAAGTCGATGTAAAAGAAAGACAGAAACGAGAAGAAGATAGAAAAAGGAAGAAGAGAAGAAGATAGAGAAGTGAGAGCGAAGCGAAGGGATAGAAAGATAGGAGACAGGGAGATGAGACAGCATGTCTTACTACGACGTCGACGCTATCCTGACGGACTCGCAGGTGAGTCCCACCGAGATATAGAGACCGCAGGAGCAGGAGAAGAAGGATATCAAGAAGTGAAGAAGTGAAGAAAAGAAGAGATAGAGACTGACTGGAGCAGAAAGTCCCTTGTACTTTTGAGCTGGACGTCCCTAAGCTGGGCTTCCTCGATGGCAACGCTGGCGGCGATGTAAGTCTTCTCCGCTGTATTCTGTCTAGCTGGAGCTATAGATATACAGGCTGACGGACGGACCCAGATAAAAGCTGGCTCCAAGGTCGAGCTGCCTCTCTGGCTGGGCGAGATGCTTGCCGTAGGGTCAGTCGGCCTCTGATATACTGTTATACTGCTATATGCTGATATGTTGTTTGCTGCAGTGCCCGTCAAGGCTCGTCGCCCCTAGTGACGCTGGATCTGCCCAAAGCGCTGTCGGAGCAGGTTATGAACGCTTTGAAGGCCGATCCCAGGACGGTTGACCTGCGGGCTCTGGCGCCTCATTTCTACCGGCTGGGCTGTAGGATCCTACAGCTCTTCGAGGAAGAGGAGATGGCGGACGTGCTCTCTCACGTACGTCCTTGTTTCTCGACATTTATATGGCGTAACCACGAAGCACAGGCATTAACTAACTAACCGCTTGCTAACTCCGTGTAGACGTTCAAGACGAGAGCGATGCAAATATCAGATCATGCACACAATCCCGCTGGGCCGATGTCAGGCCAGGAGTTCCTTCGTGGCCTCGACGAGACTGAGCGCCAACGTGAGTTTATACTTCTACTATTGACCACTGACACTGACTACGGGTCATGGATCGCTGACTTGCACTACCACTGCAGTCTTCCGGGCCGCCCATGAGAGCGTCAAGAGCATGCGAGCCTGGACAGGAGAAACGAAGAAGAAATGATACATACATCCGTGAAACCAAGTTGAACGAGTAACTCTCTCATGGTGTGCACGGTAGACTGTTATTCGTTGCAACGCTCAGGAACACAGGGGTAGAGGGCAGGTTTTTCACCAACCATGGACGGCGGCCGCAAGCTTAACCCTGCTTCGACTTCATAGCGCTGCCCTGGCTACTTAAGCTATTGACCGGGATGCATACGAGCTCCTGCGAGACCTCTGCCAGGGGTAAGTAAGACTAGGTAGATAATTTGAACCAGCTAGTGAGCTTCGGTGTTTCTCTGGAGGCTGGGCCGGCACAGAGAGCGTAGATACACATACTTATAATCCTAGATATCCAAGCAACAGTTGGGCCATTGCTTTATTTATTTCTTGCAGGTGGCTGTACAAGTCGCTCTGCTTCTATATCTTTATTGAATGCTGTGCGCAGCCTCTGTGCACTCCGTAATACCTCCTCGTCTCCGTCTGCGGCTTTGACGGGCTTCTTCTTCTTTCAGGGGGGAGAAAAATACCGAGATGTGAACTTCCAGCCACCGACGCTTTCTACATCACATTTCATAAACACGACTAAATAGCATCTTCACACGCCTAATTCTTGCGTCTGCATTGCTTCTTGCAGACAGAATACGCCGTTTATCCCTGTCACGCTTTCGAACGAGTCACAGATATCGCATTCCTGCGCCCCCCGCCACCTGCAGACGCATTATCAGCTTCAATCCCTTCGTCCTAATCGCTTCCATCTTCCTCGTCCTCTCCGAAGGCCTGTCCTCGATGGTTGCGCGAGCCTGATCGCTACCATCGCCTGAACCGGACTGTGTCTTTGCTCTGCTTCAATTGATCGCTTGGTCATGGATTCGAGGCAGAGACGCTCCTTGGATCCCTCGGGGCGCCTGAACAGTACGCACACCAGCATTTACCTGAACGGCAGGATACGGGATACTGACAGGACAAAAGGCAAGCAGATGGCCTCTGAGCAGTCTCAGAACGTGCGGCCGAGTTCTCGCCTTCATACGCTGAACGATGGCGTCCATATACCTCCTGGTATGTACGCGCTGGAAGTACCGACAATAACACATATAATCACAACACACTTACTGACAAACCCCCCTTCAGAATACAGGCACATACCCGGACAGGTCAAAGACTCTGATGGAGCGCAGAGTGAGTGCTGAATATACAAAAAGCGAAGACTGCGTAGGGGATGCTAACATACCTGTAGGGAGCTCGAGTGCAGCCGCATCTCCCTTTGTGAACCCGACCTCGACTCTCCTCCAGAACCTCATCAACGAACAACGCGCCTCTCGTGGCCCTCGAGCCAGCTCGGCTTGCGAACAGCATCATGTCGAGAGCAGTCTCCAGGCCTCTAACAATGCTGGAACTACAGACCAACAAGAGGACTCGTCCTCTGAGAAGCAGCGCAAGATTAACCATGCCCTGTCAGCTGGCCTCAAACAGCCCCGAGAGATGGGATTTAGGGAGATGGATCAGGTAGGTGACATTGCTACGTCCCTTACAAATGACATATCTAACAAGGAGATAGTATGTATCAAAATTGAACAAGCTGAACTTCGACCTAAAGCTTGAGGTTTTCCACCGTGCGCAGCAAGTATCTGCACTAGAGAAGAAGCTGGAAAAGATGGATGAGCTCGAAGAACAGGTCCAGCATATGGAACTCATGGACCAGGAACTACAGGAACTTCGCGCCACGGAAGAGGATAACCAGCGTCTCAGGGAGTCAAACGAGGAACTCAGGTCAGAACTCGACAAGCGAGACCAGGCCGTCAACGAAGCTGTCGAGCTCATTTGCCAGCTGGAAGCGAAGTTGGAAGCCCTCGAGGCCCAGAGGGAAGAGGAACGTCCTCAGACCGCCAGGCCCTACTCCGGTGACAGTACAGCTGCCGTATTTACTTCCAGCTCGCCCCGGGCACTCACACCCAAGAACAAGATCATCCTAGATGTGCCTGAGCGCACATCTTCCCGCAGGGATAAACGACCGTCGATGTCTCGTAGCTACTCCAACCAAATGGAAGCTCATATTCAAACTCCTACGCCTCCTCCAGGCGCTACTAGGCGTCCTCAGCGTCAGCCGTCCTTTCTTAAAGGAGAGGATAACAATACCAGCGCATTGAGGAACGTATATATGACGGATGCAGACAAGTCTCGAACAACATTCAATGCCTTTTCTGTAAGGGGAACAGATGACGGAACGCATGAGATGGAGTCTCCCAGGTTGAGCGCATTGAGTGAATGCAGCTATCTAGATCCACCACAAAGCCCTTCAGATGCCTATGGACCAGGCCGTTCAAAATTAAAAGTCAATACTGACCTTTCTTGCGCAAAGATCCCTATAGATGAGCCTCTATCTCCTCTAGAGCGCTCTCACAGCACATCTAAGCACCCACCAGGCATCACACGTATCGAACAGTGGATGCAGCCTGATAGGATGGAATCGATGAGATCATCCAAGTCCAAGGAAACCCGCCAGCCAGATGCCATTCTAAGAACACCAACAAACAACCAATTTGCTTTGCCTGGGGCTAAGCAATCTTCGAAGGGATATAACTTTGATCCTCCGTCTTTGGTCATTCCCCAATACAATGTTGCCAGACTCCCTCCTACGCCAGATACAATGAGCACAACCTACGCTGAAATGCGCAACAAATCCAACTCGAGCATCATTGCCGAGCGAAGTAGATATGATCGTTCCAACACTATTGGGCGCACACTCTCGATTGACCGCACGCTTGGGCGCCGTCGATCTGCAAATGACGTCGCTACCACCAGGCCTAGTACAGCAGAAACGGTGTTGTCCGATGGGCTAGAGACATGGAGCGATTCTACTCAACCAGCCTTCATCACAGATGAAGAGTATCAGATGGCAAGCATGTTCCCTTCCTTTGCGTATACACATCGTCCATCTACCCGAACCTTTGACCCTGCCGCCCACGCCGGAGCCGTCAATGAGTTAGGTGTAATTATACCCAAGAACAGGGGCCGTCACAGTCATGAAAAGACTTCCCAGGAACAAATTCGGAAGGTGTCCAATGCCCCATCCCTTACTCCGGAGGATTGGCTGGAGGCTGCACTGCCTGCGTCTTCCTCTAATGAAGATAAAGACATCAAGTCATCTCAGCATAAGCCTTCAGAGCCAATGGAGCACCGCACAGCATATACACAGCAAACACCTCCTTCGGGCAACGGTTTCCGCAACCGAGGTGCCCGTGTTCTTTCTGAACTTCAACCCCGTCGGCGTATCAACCTGCGTCCTCCATTCTTCAACAAAATCCCTACGTATTCTCCTGCGCCCCGAAGCAACTCCATAGCAGGCCTTAGTTTATCCACCGGACATTCACCAGCATCGGTCTCTAAGAATCTGCAAAACGATCATCACCCAGCCCCGTCACCGAGTAATAATGTAGGAGGCACAACGCGAAGACCAAAGACTTCAGAAACAAATGATCATAAACGACGCAGTTCTCATGGGTTCTTTGGCTGGATGAAAGGTTCCGGCACCGTCAAGGATGCTGATCCGTCTCTAACTCCGCCCGCCACTGCAACTTCTGTTCTATCAGCGTACGCTCACCCTGAGCTAGATCAGCAGAAGTCCCCTTCATATACCCAGATGCAGAGAACGCCTATTCGAGGAAGTGCTCGGCCTGGGTCGGCACTCGCATTCACAAATGAATTCTCAAGCTCCCCTACCGAAATGGACCCGCTCTCTGCTTCAATGCATGCAGATGAACCATCAGATAGACGCTCACGCTTCTCCGTCCGCCGACCACGCAGGTGAAAGCAACATAATATCATCCAACCCCCCATCACCTACCTGTATTCACCCACAAATCCGTTAATCCAGCATTGCTTACACATTTTTCAACTATTAACTGTACACTTCAATACCCATACCCATACCCATACCCATTTGTTTCGTATGTATCTTTTCCCATTCGTCCTTTCGACATTCCTGGTGTTTACTTATGATGTTATTCCACTTTTGGGAGTTATATGAGTTTTATCCATCCTCGTACATGCCTCTTTCCCCAAAGACTTGCATGAAATGTATACAAATACGATTTCTTTCTTAGCCTGGCGTTTTATAGGGAAGGGAACGAATGATTAAAGACAAGAAAGAGCGGAGAAGAAAGAATTATAAGTATGAACGAATGTGTTATGGTGATAAAATTAGATGGCATGCTTTCCCAGCCTTTTTGGGATCACGATGCATTCTGGTTAGACGATGCAATGATACAGCTAAATTCGTACTGTTGAATTGGTTTAATAGCAGAGTTTCTTCAAGCTAAGTAAAGTATATTGGGACAATAGGTCTGGGGCTGTTTTTGTATATAAGAAAAGTTACAAAAAGGTGGGCGCAGCTCAGGGGTATATGTATTCGGAAACTTGTAGAAACGTAGTCGACCTGTATACACCGGGGAGCTGTTGTACATATACAAATGAATTTTTCCTTACGCGTATCTCTTCTCAACCGTCTTCCAGTTGATGACATCCCATACGGCGCCAAAGTACTCAGCCTTGCGGTTCTCGTACTGGAGGCTATACGAATATTTGTTAGTAGATGTATATGTTTCCTGGGTACGGAGGGGGAAACTGACTAGTAAGCGTGCTCCCAAGCATCAATACCGAGAAGAGGGATGAATTGGCCAGAGACAGGGTCTTGGTTCTAATAGGAAACGGGTCGTTAGCAGATCAATGATTAGGAAAAGATGGCAGCCTCAACCTACAGCATAAGTCTTGATCTGGATCTTGCCAGTCTGCTTATCCTTCACTAGCCATCCCCAACCACTTCCCTGGATACCAGCCAAAGCAGTATTGAAAGTCTTTTGGAAGGACTCGAGACTGCCAAAAGACTCGTCAATGGCCTTTGCAAGAGCACCAGATGGAGGTTCACCACCGCCAGCGTTCTTAGGAGCCAAGTTCTCCCAGAAAAGAGAGTGGTTGATGTGACCACCTCCGTGGAAGTTGGTCAATGCCTGCAAGGAGACCTGGGTCTGGATATCGGCTTTACCCTGGGCACTTGCGAGTTTCTCGACTGCATCGTTGTAGGAGTTGACGTAGGTTTGATGATGCTTGGAGTGATGGAGCTCCATGATCTTGCCGGAGATAGCTGGCTCAAGCGCGCCATAATCATCTATGAAAATATCAAGTCAGTTATACGTGTCTAATGGCATCTGGAAAGGATATAAGCAGCTTTCGGGAAACCCGACCCTTCCACAGGTGCAACCAAATGATGTAAACAAAACTGGCAATATCGAAAGTCCACAAAGTCGAAGGTATATCCTCCCATCTATCTACACTTACATGGAAGGTCTGGCAAAGCAACCTTGGTGATGAATCTAGCAGACGCAACACCTGCAAGGCCTCGGTTGCCGGCCGAGCGGAATGCTGCAGCTCCAGCACGAGCAGCTGGTCGGAAAAGGGTAGAAGTAGCCATGTTTAGCAAATCTCGGGCCAATACCCAGCACTAGTCGGCTCAATTTAAATATGGCAAGAGGATTGAAGCCTTATATACCCCAATCTCGATAATCTTCGGTAGTGGATGTCGGTATCAACAACGATGTTGACAAGTTTTAGATGCAGAGGTTGATGTTGATGTTGATGTTGCTATTAGTAATCACTGATGTCATCGGCGTCTCGGAGATAAGGAGATATAATTTACCCGATATCAGATTCAACTTTCTTTTTTGAGTGGACGTGTTAGAAGGAGAACAACTTTGAACAACTCATAACTTATCACAAATCTACAAGTCAAAAGAGCTTCATGGAGGATGGGAGCAGAAGTTAGGACGCCCAGTTTTACCCCGCCATTATATCCCTTACTGTATATCTAGTCCAACCTCAATCAACACGGTCCTACAAAGCCAATGGATTCCACATATCGCCCGTCCTTTGCAAGGCCGAAACGGAAGATTAATGATGTGGACTCGGAGGAAGAAGAGGAAGAGGCTTACGCGAGGCCCTCATTCGGGTTTCAGGGGTTTGCGCCTGCTTCGAACCGTTCACCATCCCCTCCGACCATGGCACCCAAAGCAGCTCGCCCAGCATGGAAGAATCCAGCAAACAACGGAAAATCAGGAAGCGGAGGAAAGTCTACCCCCATGGTAGCCAACAGCTTTGCTGCTCGCATGATGGCGAAGATGGGCTACGTGGAAGGTCAGGGTCTTGGTACAAGTGGGCAGGGTATCCTCAACCCTGTGGAAACGGTCCTCAGACCCCAGGGAGTGGGATTAGGTGCAGTCAGGGAGAAATCGCAACAGGCAAAAGATGAAGCCAAACGAGAAGCTGCTAGGAGGGGAGAGGTGCTCGAAACAAGCTCTGATGAAGAACGCAAGCTGCGTAAAAAGCTCAAAGAAAGGAGACAGCGAGAAGGGACCAGCGGTGGGAGCGGAGCCAGTACACCCAGAGGTCCAGCAAAGCAGAAATATAGGACAGCACGCGAGATTGAAGCCGATGCGGCTGGACTGGCGGTTCCTAACGTTCTAAAATCCTTGGTTGATGCTACCGGCAAGGAACAAAAGCTCTTGACATCAACAGCTGGCCTGATGACTCCTATGGAATTTGTCAATGCAAATGAGGGCGAGGCTTGGAAAATCGCTCGACGCGCTCGTCATGACCTTGAAGCATTTGCTGATGAATGGAAAGGCCTCGGCGAGAGGAAGAAGTTTGTTGAACTCGAGGAAGCCCAGATCGTTGACGAAATGGACACCCAGCAATCCAAGTTGGAAAATATTACTGCTTTAACACATGCTATCGAAGGGCTAGAAATCCTGGGTTCAGACGACAGCCTCGACAAAAGATGGGAAGAAGTTACTAAGAGATTGGAAGAGATTGAAACAACCTATCAAGACTTGATCGATGAGTGTCAACTTTCCGAAGTTGCCGTTGCTGCCGTCCATCCTCTGTTGAAAGAGTCTTTAGAGGAGTGGACCCCTCTGTCCAATCCCAAGTACCTAACCTCAAATTTCCGCCGTTTACATAGATTTATGTCCCGAACTAAAAAGCCAAACGTCGAAACACAAAAATACCGTCAGTCAACTACACCCTATGAGACTATGATGTATTCTTTGTGGCTCCCCAGAGTTCGGTCCTCTTTATTGAACGAATGGGAAGTCCTTGTCCCCGGTCCCGCAACTTCACTTATGGAGGAATGGAAAGACCTTCTACCTGGCTTTGTATATTCCAATATACTAAATCAGGTAATCGTTCCTAAGCTCACCACAGCACTGAAATCCTGGAGGCCGAAAAGCAGTAAGCACAATGGGTCATCACAGCACTTTCCGTGGTGGCTCTTCGACTGGCTACGCTATCTCGACGAGCACCACACCGACCCCAAGGCGCCAACTGGTCTTATGTCGGATGCAAAGAGGAAGTTTCGAGTCTTGTTGGACACATGGGACCTGGGTCGCGGCCTTATACACAAAATTGAAGTGTGGAAAGAAGTTCTGGGCTCAGAATTTGACAAAGCTTTACAGAATCATCTTCTACCGCGGCTTGGTCGCCATCTGCGGGAAGAGTTTGACGTCAATCCACAAGATCAAGATTTAACTGCTTTTGAAGATGTGATGAAGTGGAAGGCGTTCTTTAAGCCCAATGTTCTAGGACTTTTGCTTTCGGCCGAGTTTTTCCCAAAGTGGCATGCTATCTTGCACCTTTGGCTCACTTCGGAACCAAATTACGATGAAGTTGGTCAATGGTTCACTTGGTGGAAATCACAAATAGCCGACGAAATCAACTCCGTTCCGGAAGTTTCACAGGAATGGAACCGCGGACTTGAAATGATCAATCTTGCTCTCGACCTCGGAGACAAAGCCAAGACCGATCTACCACCGCCGGCTTCCTCTTCATCTCATCAAAAACCATCACATCACAAACACCGGGACAAGCATGCAAATGGAAAGCCCACGAAACCGCAAAAGGTGCAGATAGAGGAACCAACATTCAAAGATATTGTCGAGGAATGGTGTGGCGATGAGGGTCTCATCATGGTTCCACTTCGTGAGGCCCATTTGCAAAGCGGCCTTCCTCTGTTCCGAATCACGGCCAGTGCCAATGGGAAGGGCGGTGTCCTCGTCTACCTGAAGGGAGACGTGGTGTGGGCGCAAAACAAGAAGATTAAGGACACATGGGAGCCTACAGGGCTGGATGCAGGGCTTGTTTCGCGTGCAGAAGGGAATTGATCCTCCCCTATTATTTGATATTAAGAATTAGAGATGTCCAGCGTATGTACTAATATAATTTATATACCCCTATGCCATACATATTTACTCATCTTCCAGTCTCATTCTATATCTTTGCATCCATAAACAAATCCAATCCCGCTACCGCCAGCCCCGATTATGTAATCACACCTTTTAAGTTAAGGGGCAAAAGTAAACACCAAAAGGTTGAACAAGCAACATTTGGATATCATGGGAAGATAGAACTGTGCCTCTTTTCAGCTATGCAAACCATGTATAGTCCTTTGGGGCGTGCATGCATAAGTTTTGATATTCAACATGTCAATTTATAGACGCTTATTTCGTATCGTCTCTGCGACGCTCTTTTCCTTTCTCTCCATTATTCTTTTGGCCTTGACAGTTCTCTCCCCTGCAGACATAATCTATCAGTCCCGTCGAAACAACGGTCTAGGCAATATCTTTGCCGTCAGTATAGTATATTTACTTACCCTGTCATTCTCATTTGTGATATATGCCGGCCGCTTGTTTACGAACCGCGGCGTTTTCGCTGCAATCCCAAAACCATGGATTCCTGTCGAGAAAGCAGATGTGCCGACGACCGTCAGAAGGCTCGTCGTTGAAGGCTTTCTCCGAAGCTCTGTCATCGCCCAGCAGGCCCGGCCAAGGGATATTACCCAGGATGATACCTCTCATCTTGACCAGTCCCTTCTGATTCCGAGCAATCAAGAGCCTCCGTGGGGTACAATTTCACATGCAGGCTGGACTGCACCACATTGTCCGGATCTTCCAAACCAGGAATTTGAAGCAGTCATCAAAGAACTTCCCCATTTAATAGAGGCCAAAGCTGTATCTCTAGCACCCATGGACCCTAGGTCAGCTTCGCGACTGGGCCATCAAGCGTTTGATAACTCTCAGGAGGATGAGAGGAGACGAGAAGTTCCGGATAAACGCGTCGTCGAGGTACTGCAGAGGCCACCGAATGCGTGTCTCCGCGACTACTTGAATCACCTCAACCACCTCAACCTGATTGATCCCCCTCATCTAATCGGGGATTTCCTTCGGTTGTACGAATGTTCACGGTTCTCAGCGCGGCCGCTTGAGGAGGGCGAATTTCGCGAGATGATGGGGCTCTTTGCTGAAATTTTACGGAGCATGAAAGAAATTGACCCAGCCATCCTTTCAGAACTACAGTCAACGGAGTCATCGGAGGGTAGAGGATCGGTTATCGGCCCAAGTTCGTTTTACGGACCTAGACCTGTCTTTTCAAGCTCCGACCCATCCTTTGTATCCTTTGCGGAGAACACAGGACTTCGGCCATCCCGCTCATGGTATTCTTCAATTTACTCGGCTTCCGACAAGAGCAGCTTCCGCCTCGAGACAAATGACACACGCAGTGTGCGGGCACGACGGACACCATCCACCAGGTCACTACAGTTAATGCGTTCGAATGCCTCCATCAACTCCGGAGAGAGTGTCATCCACCGCACGGTTTCTCATGTGTGAAGATAGATAATTATCAACCATACTCAACTAGCCCCAGCTGGTATTGTTTGCCAATGTTGGGTCATGATGACTCGTGCGTATAAAAACCAAGACAAGGCTTGTATCCTTGATAATATTATCGGCGTTGCAACCCTATAATCGTGTCGGGGTCTCGTCAGATGTTTCGACTGTGGCTTGAATAAGCAGCCTCAGCACACGGGGTGAGCCAAGCTCCTCTTGTGTGGAGTTTTATGCATCATGGGCCTAGCATTCTAGTCGCCTTTCACTACTGAATGTTGAAGCTCTCAAACTCATGTTTCGACTCATGCCCACTTGTCACGAAATATGGAAGAGAAGTGGCACACCGCTCTTGGCTATCTGGCCTGCAGCATCTCGGGTAGCAAAGGAGCCACATTATGGTTTCATGACAACACACCCATATACAGGTTAAAATATTAAACCTAGAGCTGGCTAACACGCTTCCTGGCCTCCTCCACGGTAAAACAAACGGGGCCATAGAGATCGGCATACCAAACGATTTTGGCCATTATCAATATCCATGCTATGAACCCAATATAGACCCCGGCCCTCAGTCACTTATATCTACTTTCTTTCCATGTGTTATAGAAGCATTCCTAGGGGCAACCCTGGTTCGAAAGTCTTAATAGAGGGAATTACCAAATCCACAAAGTGATATTGATAACTCGTTGCTACATGATGGAAATAAAATATTTCGACACAAGTTATCGAAGGTGAAGAACAAGATGTATATAATAATAGACCGTAATCTTCATAGTTCTCTCATTGTGGGTCGTTTTCGGTTCTGCGATGCGTCAAATCCGCAAGTTTATTCGCAGAAGGCCAGTAAAAGGAAAGGCATATGTCATCGTGAGAGCTAAGGCTTCCCTTCATCCGAACGAGCTATCTACCACTTCTTTTTGTAGATTAAACCGTTTCCAACCCGGCCAGTCCACTTAGTCCTGCATATGCAGTGTGAGTTAGTTAACTATGTGCGATACTTAGGTTCGGATGCCATGACGCCGGCTTTCTTTTGTACAGTTAGCTAATGCCAGTGATATTTTTGACAGGTAACTAGTTATCTCCACCACACTCATCTACTTGAGAAGGTTGAGATAGTGGGATAGCTTCTTATCAACTCTAGACGTATTTCAATAGCTGACATTTGGTATCAGACGAAGAGTAAAAAGTAACATGGAAACAAAGTTTGTTGGTTAACTATCTAAAATCAGATATCCACGTGATCATCTCTAGCGCCTATTTTTCCGCCGAAGCGACGCCTAAACACCATCAGATAAGATAAATTTTCAATCTTGATCTGATAACCCCCACAATGGTCAACTAAAGATATCAACAACATAGCCCACTATGCAGGCTTTTCTAAAGAGAGGGCTCTCGTCGCTCTCTCTATCCGCTTCTTCTTCTCGGTCGAATCTTACTACATCAACTGATAACCAAATCAATGATATTCCGGCTGAGACAGACGATGATGAAGAATCTAGTGCGGAGACACCGGTAACTTTTACCACTGCCAGCGAGGATGTACTTTTCCCCAAAGTCCGTCCGGAATTAGACGGAGAAGAATGTGATAGGGATTGCGCAAGCTGTACGATCCGATATCCCGCAAAATTTGTTGTGGACTTGGAAGATAAGCTATACGGGAATGTTGGAGGATGGGCAACACACGTCCTTATTGCGACGGGCAAGACAGACTGGGTTCGAGATATTGCCGATGAAGAAGGCAGCGTTATGGAAGCTGTTGAGAAGAGCGGCGTGAAGCCTGCGAATGGGGTATGTGTATATTTGCCGTAGGACAGAGAGGGAAGATTGTGGCCATGCTAATACGTCTATATTATTAGACACTTAAACTATCAGCCTCTAACATGCCGGTACCGGATGAATACCACATGTACCCTGATGGCGAGCAACCGACAACAGCCTTGATATTACCTGCATTCACGATAGTTGAGAATGTCACACCCGCGCGTGCACCTGATCTGATCCACCAATTCGTCAATAAGTCTGCAACAACGACCACACCGCTAGACCAGCCGCCACTGCTCAGTAAACCTCCCACCGTAGATGCAAACTTAGCCGAAAACACAGAATCAGGGAACCGGGCCCCGGCTATAGATGGCAGCAATACCGAGAGAGATGATGAGGTGGCCAATGCTACTGAGATTCCCACGCCACTTCGCTCCCGTCCTTGTCCACATGCGGCAGTGATACTGCTCTGTTCACAGCGTACCCGCGATGCACGATGTGGGCAATCTGCTCCCCTGTTACGACGTGAGTTTGAACGCCACCTACGTCCGTTGGGCTTGTACCGAGATCTTCATGATGAAAGGCCTGGCGGGGTAGGCATATACTTCATCTCACATGTGGGAGGACACAAATATTCCGCCAACGTGATGGTCTATCGGAGGAGAGATTTCGAGTGGTATAAAAAAGAGGCGCAGAAGGAAAACGAAGGAGAAGATGGCAATCGCGGAGATGGGGTTGATGGTGAGAGTGAGGGTGCCGTTCAGGGGATATGGCTTGCCAGAATCCGTCCAGAAGACTGTGAAGGTATCGTCAAATACACCGTACTTAAGGGCAAGGTTGTTAAGCCCGATACACAGCTGAGGGGAGGTTTTGATCGAGAAAGGGGATTAATCAGCTGGTGAAAGCAGGTATGAATGAGTTAACCGGTGGATACAACTGATCAAGTAAGGAACATGGCGTTTGGCTTGATATTCTTTGTTATTCCACGGTCAACTCTTTTCTTATTATTGATCAATCCTGTTCACGTTCGATGGGCTGTTCATCTAACTAGCGCAGTCTATCCGAGCAGGCTGCAGAGCAGTTAACTGCTACTTTGCTTTGTCTTGGTCGCATTCTTTCTTTTTCTTCTTTTTTCACCTTGTTCCCGCTTGTATCATTCGTTCTGTGTATCGGGTGTAACCCCTGTATACATCTATTGGTTAATGTAGCACTCCGGCTTCGATAGGGTGAGATACCCTGAACCCCCATGTCTGCCGTGTTGCTCTAGTTCGCGCCTGCCTTGCATATTTAGCAGTTGGTGCAATGTAACATGCAACGCCCAAGCTACGACCGATGGCTATCAAACAGACAGACAAGTTGGCATGGCGTGTAACGACAGAGACGGCTCAGGGTCAAAGGAGCTTCTAGGCTGCCCATCCTTGTGGCTGGGGGGGCATGTAGGCCGAGGCCGCTGAAATATGCACTGCAAGGGTATACAGACTGTCTATAGGACATACCTATGTATGTAACTATAGCTCCTAGAGAAATCGGGTTCGTACAGGTCGTGCAACGTTCATTTCAAAGGTAGCACTGATACGCAGAAGTATCGGCACAGAGTCATGTTTGGAACGTATTTGGTGGGCTCTTCCACTGGTCCATTCTAGTATCAAATGAGGCCTTCTTCTTTGTAAATTGTACCTTTCAACCTGATACAGAGGGTAAACTGGAAGAAAATAGAGCAGTGAGCACCAGGATGTGTGGCATGTATGTGCGCGTGCTACCTGGCACCATCGAAGCTGTCTGGCCTATCATGTTACACTGCTTTCGATTGTGAGACAGCATAAGTCGAGCGTTGCGGCGTGGGCTGGCTGGCTGGCTGGCAAGACAGGAGGAGGTCGACACTGTTGGGCAAAGGGAAGGACGCGGGCCTTTTTCCTATCTTTATGAGTGATCATATGCATAGAAGTGTCTGCTGTCTTTCTTTCGAGAGCGGGAGATCGATCTATTGATCAACCTTAACGGCGAGTACATGGTGATCGTGTCAAGAATAATATAAATTAAAAAAGAAAAAGAATAGTAACATGGATGAAACGTAGTTAAACTGTCTAACGTCTCACCGATGAGATGAGGCATGATATTAAATGTCAAAAGCCATATCAGTTACTATGCTAGGGTGGTCTCTAGGTGGCTTTTTTAAAATATATATGGCCGCTTGTAGATCCAATTAACTTCCCATTCATTTTCGCTGTGTCTCCGTATAAACATTTTAAAAAGGAAAAATAGAAGAAAGGAAATGTAAAAACGAAAGGAAGTAAAGGAAAAATAGACAAAAGCGTAAGTAAGTATAAACAAGAATAGATATATACCAAAAACGAAGCCATCAACCATCAGCCATGGTTCAGTGGTCCGCTGAGTTCGGTAGAAGTAGACATGGCCCGTCCATTGGATTCCCATGTCTCCTGCCGTCCTCGTTTCCTCCGCCATATGATTAAATAAGGGGATATATGGATGAGTAACGGAATAAATCAAAGGTATCGATGAGAAACAGGGAGAGGGCAGAACAGCAAAAAGCCTCTTTGTATAGAGAGAAAGGAAAGGAATGTAGAGAGAGAAATGTATCAGTGGAGATGGTAGAAGGAGATATATGTATAGATATATCAAGGCAAGACAACGTCACCGGCCATTCCACGCACGTAGATACAGAGATATAGTGATATATTTCAACGCCAGATGAAAAATGAAAGCTATGAAAAATGATAATGACGATGATGCAGAGAATCCAACATAAATAACGCCTGGCCGTTTCCAAGTTTCCGGGCCGTTCAGTAGATAGATAAAACTAGAGTAAAACAAGTAAAAAGAAGAGGAAGAAGAAGGATCCTGGCTTATGTATTTAGCCTTTGGCCTTTTGCTGGTTCCGTTCCCGGCCCGTTCCGGTCCCAAAAGGTAGAAAATGGAGGTTCGAAAGGTTCAAAAAAAGCGATATAGGGTATTCGCAGACGAGGAAAAAGAAGAAAGGGGGCGCGGGATGGAGCGGGTCGGGAAAAGAGTAGTATGTAGGGCAGACTGCGCTTGGTAGGGGTGCATTTTTAATGAATAACTCGTGCATTTGCATTCATCTGTTTTGCGTAAAGACCTCGTAATCGTCGTTGTATCGCTATGCATGGTAGCCAGCGCTATGCTAACTTAAGCCCAAAAACTCCCAGTTCATTTGATCTGGGTATGCTGATCCAAAGAATCTTTGCTGGCCATGTTTCATTTGGTCGAATTCCTTCATGTATTGTCCGCCAGCTCCACCTGCAACGACTGGGAGAACCTGGAAGCCTCCGTCCGCCTGGTGCGGAATTGGAACCGGCTGCGGCGCTTGTATCCGCTGCTGCTGGGGCATGGATACCGAAATGGGATGGTTGTATGCAAGGTGGTCCATAGACGTTGGTGTGGAGACGGGTGCTGAGGTTGTGATTGGGATATCATAACGGGGGATCTGGGATGAGATCATGCCCGTTGTGACATAGTGCACCTGTGGCGGGAGAATGGGTTGTTCTGCGGAGATGGGGATGGAGTGTACGGTTGTTGGTTGGGCTTGGGCATGGAAGTAGTCCGCTACAGGTACGGCTATTATTGGTGAATGCTGTTGTTGGTAAGGGGAATGTTGTTGTGGCCGTGGCTGAGATTGTAAATGTTGCGGTTGTGACTGGAGCTGCTGGTCCTGCGGCTGAGGCTGTTGCGATTGTAGTTGGTGTTGCGGTACTTGCGGCGACTGTGACATCATTGATATCGAATGCTGCGCCTGTTGGGAGTAGAGCTCTGACTCGCATGATTGCGCAGACGGCGAGACGGCCTCTGGTTGGTGTGAACGGCTTTGGTGTTTGGTGAGGGTTGTCTTGCGACAGAAGCTATACATCATTTAGTCAATTGCGCAGTCCTTTCTCAACGGCCACCCTCCCCTGGTGGTAATGGAGGACAAACCTTCTATCACAAGTCGGTTCCAGACACTTGTACGGTCGTCGGCCGGTGTGTATCCTTCTATGTCTAGCAAGACTCGACGACTAGATAGAATGTTAGATAAATGTTCTATTCCTCCACCATAATAAAAGAGAGATGTACATCTGAGAATGCCTTGCTACAGTTTGCAAAGTTGCAGACATGCGGCTTCTCTCCCGTATGTGTGCGCGAGTGCACCGTCAACGCCGAACGCTGGATGAAGCTTTTGGTACAGTTCGGAAAGTTGCATCTATACGGCCGCTCGTTCGTGTGAATCCGGTAGTGCCTGCAGAGATCTGATTTGCGATTGAACACCTGCGATCCATAAATGTTAGCAGGTGTAAAAGGTGCATCCTTTAGTAGCATCGGAAATATCAGAAGCATCTGAAGCATAGAGGATGAGTAGTTGCATCTGCGGTCAGACATACCTTTTTGCATGAGACCCACGAACACGGAAAGCTACGTGTGCGAGGCATGATAGCGGTGCGTGCGAAAGGAAGGGGATGGAAGAGAAGGTCGTCGGGTCGACTTCTACTGGAACATGCACCACGGCACGGGTGAATGGAGGAGATGGAGACGTCGGAAGGAGGATGCGAATGCGCTGTCCGGTGTTGATGGGCCTTTTGATAGAGGTTGTAGCAAGTGGTGCGAGAGACCAGGTCGAGGCCGGAGAAGTGCGAGCAGCAGCGATCTTAATATAATATTATAGTCATGAAGCATGAAACAGACGAGGGGAGCAAATGAAATGGCAACAAGCCCAGCAGCCAGATAGCAAAGTAATCGGCAGCAAGCGATCTCTCTACTCTCGTTGTGAGTTCGTAGCGGCAGCAGGGCAAAAGAGAAGAAAGTCAAAAGTCAAAGCCAAAAGCAAAAAGCTACAGTTAGAAAGCAAAGAAGAAAAGAAAGGAAAGTGAAAGGGCAAAAAAGAGAAGAGGGAGAAGAAGAAGAGGCAGAAGAATAAGAACGAGGGTGAAACCACGGTGGAAAAAGCAAGGCTTTCTTTTTTTTTTTGAAGCAACAGACCCAGCCCTGCGTCTGGCTTGACTTCAATGTCCTCTTTTTTTTACACAGAGTATCAAAAAAGGAAGCACAGCGCAGGAGAAGCACCACCGAGATTCTCGATGTGTATGTTTCTTTTGGAGGAGAGCCAAGTGGTTGACTAACCTTCCAGGACGCCGGTGTTTGCGGCGAGGGATGAGAGAGCAAAAGGAAGACGGGGAAGAAAAAGCAAAACGGCAAGACTAAGAGACTAGCAGGTGGATATTCGTTCGTCTGGTGTGTGGGCGGCGGACGTGGAGAAGAGACGGATGGGGGTGGAGGAGAAAGTGAAGAGGGAGCAGAGGAGGAGGAGGAGAAGAACGAGACAGCGAGAGAGGATGGCGAGGGCCTTTTTTGTTTTTTCTTTTAGTGCTATTTTCTTCTGATGTTCAAGGAGAGAAAAAGAAGGTTAGGTTATGAGCGAATAAGGTTTAAGTTAGGTGTGGGTCAAGTGTTTTTTAAGGTTAGCACTTTTCGGATGATCTCTTGGCGGCGCTAGTCCTAGACGGGCGTATTAAACGAATAACACTTTACATACAGTTACATACGTTACATACCGTACAGCTGACTCAGCATGGCTACCACCAGTAGCGCCTGACTTGATTTGACATCGACAACATGCCAGGACAAGAGAAGCCAGCGCAGAAGAGACAGGGTGGCGGAGAGAGGCAGAGACCGGAGGATAGGGCAATATGGAGCCATATACAGGCTGGCATATAGCGGGATCCTACGCTACCCGGCTCGATCGATCTGATCGATCGATGGACATCTAACAGGGGTACTCGATTATCAATAATAATTGTCACAGAAACAGGACTGACTGATGGACGGACAGAGACAAGACAAGAGACACACGGACAGAGAGCTTCTACACTTTGATCTGACAGTTAATGCCGTTGGGATGCTGCATGTCTCCGCGGCCTCTGTCTCTTGTCTATGCAACGGTGGCGTCGAACCCATGTGTCTGGTGCAACATATCTTCCGGAGTACGGAGTACACCACACAAAAACAGTCAAGAGACAAGAGGCATCGGCAGGACCAGCGCCGGTTGACTGGTTAGAGGACGACTTGCCCTGTGCAGACTCGGCTGGGCCTTACTGGCGGCTTGCTGGCTTGCTGGCTTGCTGTTGGATTCAACGCTGCTTGGTGGAGTGGGTAAACGAAAGGGGAGAAGAACAATATGCACGAAGTTCGTACATAGAAATCCTCCCTTAACGGGCAGAAAGCGGCACAGGTTGAGGTTGAAGTTGCCTCTTTCTGTCGTTCGTGTGAGTGCGACAGCCAATCGTGGGATTCAGAATAAAATGATTCAAGCACAACCAGAACAGGAGACGAGCATACTTTGCTTTTTGTGAGCTTTTTTTTTTTTTTTTCTTTTCTCCCCCGATTTCCTGTGAAAATTTGAAAAGGAACAGATGGAGGGGGTACATGGCCTTTTTTTCGTTTTTGAACCAACAGGTCAAGTTGGCTTGCTTGAATTTTTTTTACTCTGTCCATGATCGATTACATGATTTCGTTCTGTCATCGATTGAGCGAGTTTGTCCCTGGCCCTTGTCCTTGCCCCTGTTCTTGCTTGGCTCGTCCTACGTGCCCTTCACTCTGCTCTCTGTTCTGCCAGCAGAGACTTAGTGAGTTTTGTGAAAATCTGCCCTTCGAGAAAGTACATATCATCTCGCATACTTTACGGGCTGCGTGCATGGTATAGCTGCAGCCATCTTTGCCTTGCATCTGCATTGCCTCCCACCCAACAAGCCTCTCTGCCTCCTCATTGGCGGTCACCCCCACTGGCCCCGGTCGAGGCGAGAAGCAAAAAACAATGACAAAAAGGGGGTGGGAGTGGCCATGTGGCAGGCTGAAGCAAGTGGTGGGATGGATGACAGATACCTCAAGCGAGTGAGAAACCAAAACGCTGAGGGAGTTGTCCACTTCGATATTCCACCAACAAGAACGACTGTTTGAAGACGCCGGCGAGCGCCAGACGGGATATCAAGATCCACTAACGTCGTGGTTTGTGAGTGCGTATATGGATTCAGTTCAAGCACTTACGAGGCGTGAACATAGTCTTACGTCTGGCTCCAACTGGCTGGGCGTGCTAACTGCCTCTTATCCACCTGACGAGCCGGCCTGTTGGGAATGCTCTGTTTCTTGACCCTGTCTTCACATCGCTCTCGTCAAGGGTGGCCCGTCCATATACGACAAATATACATATGTAAGTATACAGCCTGGGCTTGCTTTACGGAGTGCAGGCGAGCTGCTACCACTGTGAGGTACAGTACTAGTTTACGCCATCTATCGACTGACTATCGTGCCGCTGTGAAGAAGGATACGAGGATGGATGGGCGCCTCCCCGCATTATACCAAGCAAGTAGACCAGACTGAACAGGGAGCGAGAGGCCCAAAATGAATGAGGAAGAAGAAAAATCAATAATAAATGATATAGATAAATCTCCATCTTCGATCGATAGCGGCCGAGAAATGCGGCGGGAAAGAGGTCGAGAATGCAGCGGCAGGGATCGTATTACTTAATGGTAAACTAAGGGAAAGGGGGAAAAAGAAGGGGAAAGCAAAGGAATATGCCGCCTGAATGGAAATCATTATCACTGGTAAGCAGTTCTCTATTCTTCCGTACCTATACTTCTGTCATCGCCCGTCTGTATGGTGATGTATACAGATAGCGACATATGCAACAACAAAACCTCGCCATTTCAGAGTAAGGCCAATACAGAGTACTAGTTCCCGTCTCCAGTGGGTCGACAGGAAAGGGGAAAGCTCCATCTTCATCTCCATCATCTCCGCCCTCCCTGCTGTCCCCCATCCGCGTCTACAATCTACCAACAGAGTAAGCGGATAGTCGAACATAATGGAGACAGCGTATACGAATATGCATGCGTCGACACACCAGAGTGCCACGACGGTGGCCATCCCAAAAGGCCACTATCTACCAGACGATCTCGACGGCCAACTTGACGCAGTAGATGTCAGGTCCCATTTTTCTTGTTTCTTCTATGACCAAAAAAAATCATATTCCGTATAAAACTTTTTTCATCACATATTGCTACTCCGTACAGAGTACTAGTGAGTAGATCACTCAATCATCTCCATGTGGTTGAACACGCAACGAGGACCACCACTGCTGCCATATTATTTTTCAACAGCAAACAACGATAAAATGATATTCATAGCAAGAGGAAATACTAGGTTGGCTAGTAGATGGAGCTTTTGCTTTTGCCTTGACTGATATCGAGACTAAAGAGCTTGATGCTTGATAATCATCAGCTAAGCACGGCGTTTCATTTCGATTAATTGAGACCTTGCTTCGTGACCAGAGCTCATGGTAATGGCAACATAAGCCAGCGCGAGATGAGATAAGATGAGATGATACGAAAGGCCGGACTAGATACGTCGAGAGCTTGCAGCCAGTTGGAGCGGAAGAGTTGGCCGACGCTATATGTCTATGGTGCCGGCCGTATAACCCATATCCTTGCTCCCGCTCAAATGCAAGTCATCTATCAAAATATCATCATGTTAACGATACCAGATAGCAACAGGAGCGCCAACTCAAGTCGACACAAAAAGAGCGAGGGAGAAAGATGGGAAAAAAGCAAAGACAGCAGGAAAAAGGAAAGAAAGCTGACCGGCGAATTCAAAGTTACCACTACCACCAAGGTACATGGACTTGCAGCAAGCCCCTTGCAATCTCTCTCCTTGTCTGCTTGGAGGACAGCGAAGATGCTGCTTACGCAAGAGGTACGGAGTACAGGCATCATGGGTCAGCCAGATCGAGGCAGACACACAGAGAGACAAGCATCAGGCATCGTGAGTATCAAGCATAAACACCACCCATGGTTGATGGTTGACTTGCAGCTTGGAGGCACGAACCACCCGCTCGCTCGTCCCAGAAACCCGCCCGGTCCTGGCTCGACACTAATTTGGCTAGCTAGTACGGAGTAGCTCTTCTGCTCCAACGCTGCATCTTCACAGCAGTAACAGTATCTGTCGCCTCTAGATCAGAAGGCGGGACCAGGAGATGGCGATGCGCAAGTCCAGAGCCATCGCTTACCAGGGATACGAATGACTGTCTTGCTCTATGAGATTGTGACAAAGTTAAAGCCATGCAGATGATAGCCGTGACAAATACGCTTATGTCTCTTACTCATGTTGACGCTGGCAATTGAACCGAAGAGCAAAAGCATAGTTATCCAGACTGAAGGAGGATCGATGTGACGGAACGACGCAAACACGATGGCGTGGGATCTCCGCGCTCATACCAAGTTCGTACCTATATTCCGGGTCTAATGAACAGGACAAACTGAGCCACAATGTGTGTTTTGGTCAGGCCAGACAAAGCAACTGTGCGGAACAAGAGCTTTGGGGGAGACTGAAACGGCGAGGAGACGGGAGCTAAAGGCGTATCCTTCTGTCTCGGTCCGTCGATATTGAGAAACGGGCGACCTCGGCTAGGAGATATGAGAGTTACGGAAGATGCTGTTTGGTAGCCTCTTCTTTACCACCAAGCAACCAAATTGCCCGTCTAGAGATAACGGCGGCAGCAGACACGGCAGTAGCCCGAGTGGATGTCGTTCTCCGTCTAGAAATTCGGGCCATCTGCTCTGTATAGAGTACGTAGTCAGAGTCAATAGTCCTCCTTTCCTCTAACACCCACTCCTGGCGCTACATCAACTCGTACCGAAGGGAGGTAGCGAGGAACTATCAGAGATCTATCCTTCGATCCCGTCTCTTTGCCTCTCCACTGCTGGCTCACGGTTCTCGTTTCGAACTGCCGTCCTCTGTTTCAACGGGCGACGCGGATCGACATGGCTTGCCACTTGCGTCCTCCACGCAATATTCATCAACACCAACGCAGGAATAACCAGCTTTGCTTGCTTTTATTTTGCCTTTGTTTCTTTTTCCCCACCATCCTGCCGCCTGTCATGACTGGCTCATGATTGATTGATATTTATATCGCTTCCTCCCTTGTACCCCACAGGCTGGGCGTGGGCGATTGATTGATGGCGGTTTTGAAGAGAAATGAGTCTTTGAGGCTCCAGAACCAAGACCGAGTCCGAAACTGTCGGGACAAACTGTGGATGCAGACCATCGGCTGCCACACGATACGTGCGGTTTATGCTCCGTACTCTCCAGGCCCAGCTCAAACGCTGTGCACGCGACATCTGAGTGTACGCCCGTACTTCGTGACTTCGTCCGTGTAGGTAGTCCGTACTCCGTACACGCTTCCGGAAAGGGCGCTCCCTCCGTCCAAGTTAAGGAGCATTGTCCGGCAGCCCGTATAATTGTACGCACCGCACCCCCATCTCGGAGCAATCAGCCGGAACCAATCCACAGCTCTAGCAGTGCCTTATTCGGGCTCTCTCCAAACCTGGCTTTCGGCTGATTAACCCTAGATGGGCCGCCGTTCAGTCCGAAACGAACGCAGAGAATATCTCGACTCTGACATGAACTAGCTCGCCCCGATGATCAACTGCTATTCATAGTATCTTCTCCTTCGAATGAGACTCGTCCGTCGCCGCTCCATTCGCTCCTCAATTCTTCCCTTAGCCTTAACATTGGCTGCCTATTTCCTGCCTCTCAAACCGTAGTTGGCAAAAAGACGCAGATTCATCACCGAACCGAACCACAGGTTCAGGCCGGGACGAGAAAACAAAAGAAAGGCACAAGTCCCACCCAAAAAACGCCACGCTAGTCACTGGCCGTTACCTGGCTTTACGCCTAGTTTCGCGGTGCTAACTTGTATAAACGGCGGGTGGTACCGTCGTTACCAATACTTACAAGTGCCATTACTAGGTTGGCCTTCTTAAGCGCGACTTTCACATGCCCCCATAAAAAGTAAGCGGATGTTGCAAAAGGCCGTGGGATCGAAAATTGATAGAGTGCGTACTTACTCCGTATGAGTGTATATATAAAAAAGGGGGCTGTCCCGAGAAAATGATTTGGCCCCCTCCCGTCCTATTTTAGCGCTCCCAGGAGCAAGGCATCACCTAACTGATTCCAGTTTAGTATGCGGCACCCAGTCTGTATCAGACCACATGCTATGCCATGCTAGCAAACTTCAATCCCAGTACGGAGTTACATGGGGTCTAAAATGGTGGGCTAACGGCGACTCCGCCGCTAATGACAACTGCGATCTTTTTTCGGTTCATGTCTTGTAATTATGCCAGAGCCCAGCGTCCCCGTCTTTTGGAGGAGTTTATTGCTTGGTACCCCATATGGAGCATAGCATAATTGCGCATCGTTCTCCGCGCGCTGACCGTCCCGAGAACACGGAGTTGAGGCCGCAGCCGACTTGGTGGCCAGGAATCTAAATATAATAATCTGGATACCCACACTTGTTAGAGGGAAATTAGAGAGGCCGCGCTATCGAACGAACTAACACTAACGGACGGAGGTTCGGACGGGACCAGGACAGGGGTGTTTCCTCTCTCTCCGATGGTTTTGGATATTGGAGAATAGATCGAAGTCTACTCCGTACTCAATATTGGCTTCAGCACTCCAGACTGAGTAAGTATGGAGTGATGATTTGGGGTAGGTTCCAGTGATCCTGGCCTCATGATTCTGTCGCTCCTTTCCCTTCTCTCTCCCTTGCATGGTCGTTTACTCCCCCCTTTTTTCTTCCAGTTCATGCATGCAAGTTCGCTGTTGGTTCTATGGATATTTTGTTGGTTGACACCGAGAGAATGGGCCAGCTTTCTCACCTAGTAGATGTGGGAAAAAAGAGCCCAATCCAGACCAACATCCCTTGTCTTCTCTACCATAAGAGAAGGAGTTTCCGCCGTCGTTGTTGATATTAGCTAGCCTTGCTTCCCGTAAGCCCTGTCTGCGATCCACTCCCGCCGCCGTTGACCAGCTGCACGGCATTGCTGACCACAAATATTTCCCAACACCATCCTGGAGCTATATCAACACTCACATATACGCATGGAATTGGGACTCACTACGTACGCAAGTAAGCATCGAACCCGGCTTCTGCCTCTCGAAATGACAAGTAGCGCAACCATAGAGTCTTGGTATCTTGGCATTTCGGTTATTATCTCCAGTTGTGATGTTTCTTGCAAGGATATCGTACAGCCGTATACACAAGCATCAGTGATGCCCATGGTGCTTGTATTGTACTCCGTACTCCTCTCTGTAGAGACGATATATTGACATGAGCCTCGACAACTATGTCAACGTCAACAGGCCAGGTCACGTTGGCTGAGTCTTGACGGGGTTGTTTCTTTTAGGTAATATCGCAGGCTGTGTCTGGCTGACTTGGATCATTTCTCTTGATACTTTTCAGTGCTTGATTGATTGTTGCATGACATTATTCGACATTGAACTAGGATGACGAAGAGGCCTTTTTGTTTTGGCTTTTGTTTCTGCCTTTGGTTCTGCCGCTGGCTCATGTCTATCACGAGCAGACGATGTGACCTTAACTCATTTGTGCACCAAGTTTACGGAGTATATTGACATAAGTAGTACTCTGTAGCAAAGGTGAGACAAGGCGAGGCCAGGCGTACTGCAACCCCGGATTGACTGTGGATGAAATCGAAACCACACTCGTATGGCATCTTAGATCGCCGATATGGATGTTCTGGGCTGATTTCGACAGAAAAGATTCCTAAGTCAAAGATGTCGCGAGCAGAGAGAGTTCATAGCCGACGATCATCGTCCTTGAATGAAGCCGAAGTTCATCCATTAGGCTATCCAGCTGGCCAGGATGTGGTTGGTAAGGTAGGTAGATCTTTTGTTAGGTCTAGGATGGTTAAGTGCTCACGAACACTCCTCATTGAACGAACTACTAGTTAGTTTTCCCTTCCCTCTTCCTTTTTACCTTTTGTCGTCGAGTATAATTTGCATTCTGTTCTTTTCACCCTCTCCGCACCACTGCACACTTACTGAACAATGCATTGCGTGATCAAATGCTGTTTGTTTCGGAAGCGAGATCATACCCATTCGGTATAGTCGTCCATACTGAAACGCAGTATCGCCCAGTTGACTTGAGAGTGTCAAGACGGCACCGCCCATGTCCCTCTTCACCCCCGTTCCCCTCTCTATCGTCACGATGCAGCACGGATAAGCTCCTTATCTTTCCTTGTGGTTTTTTATGCTCCTGGCGATGAAATTCTCTCGACTTCTTCTTGCCACGGGCGCAGATAAGTCAGATGCAGCCCAAACCCTGGCAATATCGAGTCCAACGAATTGTTGATTTGGAAGGAAACGGAGAAAAACGGAGAAAAAGGAATTTCTGGCGGTGAGAACGTGAAGAATCTGTCCATTGCATGCGATATGCGAAGGCAGGGGGTGAAGAGGAGGTGAGAAGAGTGGTCTTCGATTCCTCTTTATTATGCTGTTACTTCCGCCTCTGAGGGTCATCATGCTCGCTGAACGCTCTCCCGCATGTCGACCGTCACATTTGGTCGTTTTACAGTGCCCGTCGTTACCCCATTTCCCGCTTCTCGTTTCCGCATCCCGTTCAACCGAGATTAGTCTGCATGGATGAAGATGTCAGACACGACTTCACGCCCACGTGTGTTTGCAAAGAAGTGATTTTTATTATCAAGACGACTGGAAAATAAAAAGAAAAGAGACAAAGAGTCTCTTAACCAGACAAAGAGAGAGGGCGTTTAAAGATACCCCTCTCGACACAGTCAAGTCAGTTGCTCTTGTTAGGCTGTTTGAAAGTTGAGATAGATTGACGGCCCTCATAATCCTTGGACGGCTGAAGGATGGCACTCCCTGCCCTAGCTTGCATATCGCATACTCTGTACATCATTTGAGCTCGTTGGCAGCTCTCTAGATACGGCCGATAAAAAGGGGGGAAAGCCAAGAACCGTTATACTCAAATATATTGAGAACCTGGCTGAGATGGTGTGGCCATTCAATGTCAATGTATCACGTCCCCAGCGGTGTGCTTGGTAGAATGTGTCTCTGCCGTCCCAACTCCTGGAGGATACGAGCGAAAGAGCACCGGTGAATGAACACGTCCTCGCCTCTCTAATTGTAACTCACGCCGTCGCAGGTCTAGGCCTTCTGCCGCTCCCCATCATCATCGTCTTCTTCGTCCCTCGCTTGTGGTGATGTGATGTGATGTTTCTTTGTCGACGTCGAAGTTCATCAAGTTTGTTTGCGGAAGTCCAAGCGCGATATCTTATGTAAGCAGATAAATAAGTCACGTGTCAGGCACAAAGGAAGCTTCTTTCGTAGCGATAAAGGGATGAAGATAAAGACGAGGAAGAAGGAGCAGCGGAACAAGAGAGCAAAAGAACAGCAAGAAGGGAGGACACCAGAGTAAATATGGCAGAGGAAGAGACGTATATCTTGATTACAGGCACGAACAGGTAAGGCAGTATGCCTTTTCTCGAAGAAACAAGTGCAAATAGCTAACGAGTCGGGAGCTATCAGCGGCCTAGGCTTCTCAACATGCTGCCGATTGATGGATGAATTCCTTGTCTCGCGCCCAGATAACCAGACTCTCACCCTGATATTTACCACTCGCAGCGAGAAAAAGAGCAATGAAACCCTTGCGCAACTAAAAAGTCACCTGCGGGCCACGGCAGGAAGGCTATGGGGCCCCGAAGGATTGGCCAAATCGGAGTCGCGCATAACATTTAAACCTGAACATGTTGACTTATGCGATCTTCTGTCTGTTCGCGCCATGGCCAGGCGAGTTGTTGCAGAAATACCCAAGCTTGATATCCTCATACTCAATGCCGGGATTGCAGGTTTCACAGGCCTCAGTTGGCCATTGGCATGCTGGACTGTTCTGACAGATACCATACACGCACTTACATGGCCAGCTCGCTATACCTATAGTGATATTGGAGTTATGAACAAGAAACAGACTTCACAGCCTGACGAACCGCCAATGGGCAAGATTTTTTGCGCCAACGTCTTTGGACATTACATGTTGACGCATTATCTGCTCTCGGTGCTGGGCAGGCCAACGCTGCAACCTGCACGAGTCATCTGGACATCTAGCCTTGAATCAACAAGGGACGTTTTCAGTGTTAATGATATGCAGGGTCTCAAGGTTGCGCAGTCTTATCAATCCGTCAAGTACTTGACAGATCTTTTGATTTTAACTGAGCCCCTTCCTTCATCTGCACCTTGGGCAGATAAGTATCTCACTCCTTCGACGTGCAGCGGTATGGATGCTGGTTCTGCCAGTTATACAAGGCCTAAGATGTACCTCAGCCATCCCGGAATATGTTCCACTTCCATTGTCCCCCTTGCACTTCCCCTTATCTGGAGTATGGTGTTTGTAAGTTGGGTAGCAAGGCTTATGGGGTCGCCATGGCATGTCATAGACCCTTACTCTGGGGCAAATGCAACAGTCTGGCTAAGTCTTTCGCCCAAATCAACCTTAGACAGTGCTGAGGCAGAATATGAGCATCTAGGCGGAGGGAAACCAAAGTGGGGTTCGGCATGCGATAGACTTGGGAGACCGAGTATTGCTTCTACAGAGGTTGAAGGCTGGGGTTACGGTGGGGTCGTTGGTCCGGCGGTTTTTGAGGCAGATAAGTCACGAAGACGGAAGCGTGGTGCCACAGATGTTACAGCGGAAGAAAAGGCAACATTTGTTGATGCCGGGCGAGATTGCTGGAAGCAAATGGAAACATTAAGGCTGAGATGGGAGGATCTTCTTTCTAGGGAGGAAGCAAACAATTTCAAATCTTGATGTCTAGCAAACTTCTGTTAATATTATCTTCAATTTTTTACCAGAGGATCTTTGTATCATCTACCGGCGGTTTATGTTAGTACAACCTTTTAATACTTATCGAACTCTGCGCAGCTTCACCTAATTTAAGTAATATCATGATGCGAGATGTCAATGCCACAGCTCTTATGCTTTGTTCTTTTCCCTCTAGGACTAATATCTGGTTTAAGAAGTTCGATACCCGGTAGAGCGAATTCAGTATCATTCCCGTATTTTAATGGAAGTATACATACTTGGCAGCGTTTAACAGACCTGATTCCCCTTAATGATGAAGGCACAGTAAGTTAAAGGTCTTAGAACGAATTGCTTGGATCGTGTTGCTGGAGCCGAGCCACCGTATATGTTGGGGTACAAAAACCCCTATACTAAAAGTAAGTAGTAGTAGTAGATTGTGCCTTGACAACCCAATATTCTAACATATTTAGAACGCCCCTGGGGCTTTACATTGGGAGGGACAACCTGAAACCATTCTCTCATTCGAAATATGTGTTTTTGTAGATGCACAAAAAGGGCCTTGGAAACGAGAGTTCTATTCGTAGCGTCATACATATTTGATTCCGTGGCTCCTAATAGCAGGCGTATTATACCATTTGCTATTACTGAACCGTAGCCAGGAATCATATTCAATCTGGTATAATTAAATGGCGTACAGGCGGGTTTATAACGAGGGGAATGGACAATCAGGCGTTGATTCATGGTATCTTCTATCATTTGACATAATTTCGATGAAGAGATCAGACGGTGGTCTTCAGGCTATTCATCGACTGACTCCCATCCAAAGTGTCCTAAGTTCTTGGAGAGTTCTGCCGCATCATGCTTTGGATGGGAGTGGCTTGTCGAAGTTACATGAATCTGGATTATGTGCTGACCTTAACCAGAACAGCAGCGTAATACAATGTCTTAGCAAGACATTGACATCCTCCATGATGAGAATGATAACCCCATATCTAAGGCAAAAGGTATCTCCAGAGCTACGAGGGTCCGAAGCTCATCATGCCCTCCATGCAAGCAAGGGAACTCAGTTTGAACTTGCACAACGTGAGGTCCACGTTTGGTATCTTCCCAAGTTGGGTACTGTCATGCGGTTTTTGGTATATTTCCATTAGGATGCCCAGTGGCATCCCCAATTTATAGTCTACTGGACAGTATAGACATCGTACCCGGTTGATGGGTAGATGGACGATGAATGTAGTTGACGTTGAGATTTAGTTAACTAAGCGCCTGAATTAGCCGCGCGAAGTCTAAATAGTTTCCTGGTCCCTGCCGTTGAGTATCAAGTCGTCAAACAAGCCTTCGGAGGAAGTTGACTTTTTGCTAATGAGAACTACTTACAGGGGGCCAGTAACTATACAAAAGATATGTAGGAACCACATCTAAACTGTTATATAGTTACTCGGGCAGAGGATGAATGGGCCATTAGGGCGGGATCTAACCGTTTCGATATCTTCTACAGCTAGCTAGAGAGAAGCGGATCATAATGAGGAGGTTATTGACCATTAGCCGCTGATGGAGCCTATTAACAGTTTATATTGACGAAGATGAAACTGTATAATAGGATGCTCTGCCCCAGAATTGATATTAAGCTTAAAAGCTGTGAAACTAGCTATTTCTATTTGTTACTTCACGATGCTGGGTGACCCATCTACAGTGGTCTCCGTTTCTCCACTAGATTGTGCCAGAGTCCCTTCAGGTTATTATAAATTTGACCCTTAGCCCGAACCATCAGGTTTCGTAAGAGTTTGTAATCTCAAGGACGAGACCCATGTTTTATTTCTAATAGTTTGAGCTTGAGTGGCCTGCGTTCGTCATCAATGTCATCACTTCATTATCAGCGCTATGTCACGTCGAATACTCTAAATACCTGGCTAGTCATGCGACAATATATTGAGTGCGTAAGAGCGAGTAATAATATATTGGATCTGCAGTGTTGAATCGATAAAGGCTGAATAAATATATTCCATTGTGAGGATACAAGCTAACTATTATAGCCACCGAACCACACTCGAACCCTGCCTTTCGTGTTTTCCATCATAAAAAGCCGCAGCGGGATATTTTTTTGGGAGAGTAAAAAGGGATAAAAGGTGAAAGCATGAGCTTGAAGAAAGGCCCTGGTGGTAAATGGGGCAATTAAAATGCAAGGCAAGACAAAGCTGCAAAAGAAAAGAGAAATAAACGGCAGCTAAGGGAGGAAGCAGAGAATAAAGTAAACCCAGCCCAGCAGTGGAGAAACAAAGGGTGAAGATGGTAATAGATATAGTGGGAGTGGAGAGAGTAAAGGGAGGATAAAGGGTTCGCTATACATGAGTTAGTAGTGGTAAGAGGCGGATGCAACATGCAATGAATTAAGAGATTAAAAAGCAAAGAAGAGTAGGTTAGTAAGAGAATAAAAGGCCATCAAGGTGCAAGAAGGAAGGAAGAGAGTAAAAGGGAAGACCGGAGAAGAAAAAAAGCACCCATCCATCCGATCTATGGTCATGGCTCCTGACTTCGTACCGCCCGAGGTGGAGATTATAGAGAGGCGTTGATTTCTTTATTATCAATTAAAAACGTAGAGGCGAGCCTGTTCATGTCATTGAACAGGTGTGCATTTACATGATAATTGATGGAGCTAGACAGGTTAGTTAGACGTGTAAAAGAGAGAAAAAAAATACAAAGGGGTAGATATATAAATGCAGAGTACTTACAGTCGACGTTCTGCTTGATGCTCTTGTGCGGGAGGATAGAGCCGCCGTTAACGTAGACCTCATCACCAATAGTCACGTCATCACCTAGGACAGAGACATTCTCGAGACGAGCCCAGCGGCCTACCGAGCTGTTCCAGCCGATGATGCTGGATTTGACCCAGGCGTGGTCCTTGACCTTGCTGTTAGCGAGGAGGACGCATCTCTGGAGACGGACACCATCGCCGATGACAACGTTGGGGCCGATAGTCACGTTAGGACCGATGCGGCAGTTCTTGCCAATCTTCGCGGAGGGGTCAACGAGGACGTTTCCGCCGTGAACATAAGGCTCGCTGGGGGAGGCGAGCAGCTTGGAGCCTTGCTTGGTGAGAGAGGTGAGGTAGAGACACGTTCCGCTGAGGAAGTCCTTGGGCTGACCGACGTCCATCCAGAAACCCTCGAGATCAAAGGAGTGCAGCTGGCCGTCCTTGCATATGGCAGGGAAGGTCTCTTGTTCAATGGAGGTTGGACGAAGCTCGATGCGGTTGAGAACGCTGGGGTTGAGGATGTAAATGCCGGCATTGATGCGATTACCGACGAACTCGACTGGCTTCTCAACGAAGCGGTCGATGCGGGAGGGGTGGTTGGGCTTGTGTACGACAACACCGTACTTGGAGGGCTCCTCGACCTTGGTGACGACAATGGTGCCCTCGTTGCCGTGAGACTTGTGGAAGTCTGCGAGGGCCTGGAAGGGGTATTCGCAGATGACGTCCGAGTTGAGCACGAAGAAGGGCGTGTCATCCTTGCCCAGGATCTTCTCAGCGAGCTTCAGGGGGCCAGCAGTGCCCAGGGGCTCAGACTCGACGGAGAACTCGATCTTGACATTGTACATTTCTTCATACTGCGGTGTGTCAGTCTTTGCATCATCGTCAAAGAGCAAAAAAGAAGCTGAGAGTCCATGGAATGCGTGCGTACCTTCTTGAGGGCAGAAACCATGACATCAGGACGGTAGTTGACAGCAAGAACGATATCAGTGACACCGGCAGCGGCCAAGCTCTCGACCTGATGGAGGATCATAGGACGGTTTGCAAACTCGACCAATGGCTTGGGAAGAGTGAGAGTCTGTCATCGAGTCAGCTTTTGGTCGTGTTTTCACAGGCAATGGGAGGCTGAAGCTCTTCTGCAAGCTGTTCAATCCGGCTCTTGGGGGGTTTGTTTCCCTGCGGGCCACGTACCAATGGTCTGAGACGGGTTCCAAAACCGCCGACGAGAATTAAAGCTATACAGACATCAGCAATGGCGCGAGACGCAGTCGACGAGAGAAGAAGAGGCCCAGCGTACCCTTCATGATGGCTGGTGGTGGTGGTGTTCTGAGCTGAGAGCTTTGTCTGTGAGGAAAAGGAGGGCGTTTGCAGGAGTGCGGGACGAGCAGCCAACAGCCAGCAGAAGGTGGTCAGAGGATGGTCAGGAAGGAAGAAAAGGAGAAGACTGAGATCTGCTCGACGTCGTGTTCCTTTTCTTATACTCGCTGCCCAGGGCCGGCGTTGTGTTCAGGGGCTCGAAAGATGAAGAAGTGTCCTGTACGTGTGATTTGCCTGCTTGGGGGGCTGTTTGGTGTTTGTTCGACTTTCACCCGCCAGAGTGAAGTAAGTCAGCTGGGCGAGGGCGACGGCGCAATAGGGCAAACCCGCGGCATGGCAAAGCCAAAAATTTCCCTTCCAAGTGGAGATGAAAGCGCCCCCTGAAGTACTTGGAGATACTTTGAAATGCATACAAATATAGCGGAAGATGAAGTACTTGTAAGTACCAATTTCTACCCTGGCCACTCCCCAGAGCGTCGCAGCCCTGAAACCGTCGAGGGATCCATACAGCTGCTCTAGCAATCGAATGAGCCAGTGCCAGGCGGTCCACCGTATCTCAAGGCCTCGCAAGCCTGTCCCTGGGGCTCTGTCGTTGGTGGCGTGTCCTGACAGGGCAGAGTAGCTAGTCGACGGAGAGGCAGACTCGACTGGGTGGACGACAATAATTGAAAGGACACGGTTTAATAATTGGACACCGGGTGAAACATGCATCGAGATGATAGGTTATGTGATGTCCACTTGATATTCGGGAGATCAAGATACAACTACGTGGGGTTTAACTCTGGGAAGTTGGTAGGAGTGCAGGATGGTACGGAGGAAGGGAGTACAGAGCAAGGCGAGTCGATCGTGGAAGGGGGCTACCTATATTCAATTCAGCTATATACTCCCTATTCTGTATGTAGGTTTATTGAGTGTCTGGAGGAAGCTCGTTGACCTGTTGACGGGCCGGTCCGATAAATTCGAGCATCCAGGACTTGACTCTGGCTACCTTTGCCATCTGCGGGTCATGGCCGCCTGTAGTAGAGGCGCCCTCTAGAAGCTGCCCGGGATAAAGTCCCTCTGAGTCCATCCCATCAACAGGTCTCCGGTGCAGCAAGTCCAGTCTGGTCATGTTGTTGCGCAGACTCTGTCCGTAGACTTGGTCCCGGAAGGCTCCCAGCGCTACTGAGCGGAGGAGGACAATGTCACATGGGCGGACTCCCTCCAGGGCCTCCTCTAGCGGGTTCTTCTTTGTCTCCTGGCGCTGCTGCTGCTGCTGCTGATCATCACCATCTCGCGGCGGAAGCCAGCAACTGATACGAAAACCAGATTTCGTTTCGTCTCCCACCAGCAGCTCGACCAGGTCCATGGCCCGTCCCCAGCGAGTCCGTACTCGACGGCGCTGCTCGACCGTGATAACTGCCACTATCAGGTTGACAGCGACGACTCGTGGAGACAGCCCGTGGACGTACGCTGCCTTGGGAATGTCTTCAAGGTCACTCAAATGGGGGCGGACGGTCGATCGAAACTGAGAACCCGCTGGCAGCAGGGATGAAAGGTCCCCTTCTACACTGTCTGCCAGGCCGGTGGAGTCGTCACCACCAAACGACCTCGTATCCTCATCATCCTCCTTATTATTATTATGGTCAAAGGAGGCGCCTTCTTCGTGGAGGGCGAAGGACTGCTCATAAAACGCAGACAGAGCCGTCGTCTCAAGCCCGCTGACGGACTCGCCGCTGTATCTCTGCACTGCACCCGCTGTAAAGAACCATCCGCCTTCGTCGACGGGGCCAGTCAACGCCGTAGTCCCTCTGGCCGTCTCCAGGCTCCTCCATCGAGCTTCATCTGCCGGTTGACGGTGTTCTTGACCTCTGTTCAGCTTGCCGTCGCCTGCTGTCTCCTGCAGCTCTGCTTCCTCCCAGCACAGAGAGCTAGGCACTGGTGCGCCCGTCAGGATAATGTGTCGCCAGGCCATGCTACCCACGGCATCACCGGCTCTTCCCTCGCCCCTCTAGTTATGTAGATACTGCTCCATCCATCTTCCTCGTCTTCGACTTCATCTTGATATCTTTTTTATGTCTTCTTCTTCCTTTTGCTTCTTTTGACGTCTGGACAAAAGTGCCCGCTTAGTCAGCATCCCAAAGTGGCAACGTCAACGGTTTTTCTTTCAAGTTCAAACATCGAGAACGACGAAGAGAAGAAAAAGACGAAGAACAGCAAAGAAAACACAGCAAAAAGAACCCCGAGATCAGCTGGCGACGGGCATGGCTGCTAACATCGCCCATTTTCTGGTCTTGTCTTGCAACCACATCTAGTCCTCTTCTGCCTCTTCCTGTGCGAATCGAGCGGCTGAGGCATGGCGTTCCACGCGCACCTCGGCCTCCCGGTAAGTCGAGATACATACCACCAGCTCTCCCACGGCAACTATACAGGCTAACATTGGCTGTTCGCTACAGAATATTGCGGCTGTGACCTCCGACCTGTGGCCGTCAGTGTCAAATGTGCTCTCGGCGCCATGGGGAGGCCGCCAGGCAGCTGTCTCCGGCTCGCGTGCGTACCATGCGTCATCGGTAGGAAACCCGGAGCAGACGGCGCGGAAGGATACGCCTCGCTCGGTAGGTCTATACACATCCGTTTATGCTTGGAATGGCCAAAGACTCATTCTTTGTATTAGGCTCCGGTCACCTTGCCTGACGGACTCGGAGTAGATATGCTCAGAGCAGCCACGGAACAGAACCTCGCCCTACGCCACCAGTCGTCCCCCCTAGCGGTGCTCCTACAGGGTACGAAGTGCAATATTACTTCTATTGGGGGCTTAAAAACAAGATCTGACAACTCTCTAGGTAGCCGTGCAGCTAGTTTCAGCTCGCAGCTCTCTCGAATTGCAACAACAAGACGCCACCATTCAACTCTATCCTTCGCACAGTTCAACCGTCCGTCTCCCATCCCCAAACCAACCGGCCTCTCTCCGCTCCAATGCCAAAGATACCTCTTCGGCGGATCGTCACAGGATGTCCTCGCGCGTATGGAAAGATCTGCAAACAACAACCCCGGCAGTGCCGCCGCACAGAACTCTTTCTACAACGCGCTATTAAAAGCAAACATGCCAGGAATTATAATTGAACGGTACCGCAGTGGAAAATTCGCTAGTAACAGCCTGTCTGAAGCCGTCTATACTAAGGCACTTCAGAACGTTGGTGGTGGAGGTGATCCGGCAGTCGCCCACGGACAACAGCAGCACTTCAACCCCGCAAACCCCAATTTGAGTTCTGATCAGCTCCAGGCTATCGGCCAGGCGGTAGCTGCTCGCTCCCACGGTGGTCAAATCGGAATATCTAACAAGAATAGCGGCACAGGAGCCAAAGATACCCCTCTCTACGTTGTTGTCGATGAGTCTCTCGGTAGCTCCATCTTCCGCTGGGTTAGGTTCTTTCTATTTTTCGGCTTCATCACGTATTTCTCGCTTCTCCTTGTCACCGTCTTTGTTGAGACTACTGGTATTATGAAGAATGTCCGAGGCTCGCAGACCAACGAAGCCAAGCCTGAACATCAAACTGTCCGATTCAGTGATGTTCACGGCTGCGATGAGGCAAAGGATGAACTTCAAGAGCTTGTCGAGTTCCTCTCTAACCCTGACCGATTCTCCTCTCTAGGTGGAAAACTCCCCAAAGGTATACTTCTCGTTGGACCCCCCGGAACCGGTAAAACTCTACTTGCCAGAGCTGTTGCCGGAGAAGCAGGCGTTCCCTTCTTCTATATGTCCGGATCTGAGTTTGACGAGATTTATGTCGGTGTTGGAGCTAAGCGTGTTCGTGAACTGTTTACTCAGGCCCGTGCCAAAGCACCAGCTATCATCTTCATTGACGAGCTTGATGCCATCGGTGCCAAGCGAAACGAACGGGATGCAGCATACGTTAAACAGACCCTTAATCAGCTTCTGACCGAGCTCGACGGTTTCTCCCAGACAAGTGGTGTTATCATTATTGCGGCAACTAACTTCCCGGAACTCCTTGACAAAGCGCTAACTCGACCCGGCCGATTCGACAGAAAGGTTAACGTCAATCTCCCCGATGTCCGCGGCCGTGTTGACATTCTGAACCACCACATGAAGAACATTCAGGTCAGCACTGAAGTCGACGCCACTGTCATTGCCCGTGGAACTCCGGGCTTCTCTGGCGCTGATCTTGAGAATCTCATTAACCAAGCTGCTATCCGTGCCAGCAGGGACAAGAAGGCCAAAGTCGGCCCCGAAGACTTTGACTATGCCAAGGACAAGATCTTGATGGGTGCTGAGGCTCGCAACCGCATGCTTAGGGATGAAGATAAGCTCAAGACAGCCTACCATGAAGCCGGACACGCCCTTGTTGCTTATTTCTCGCCTGATGCCATGCCGCTTTACAAGATCACCATTGTTCCTAGAGGAATGTCGTTGGGAACCACTCATTTCTTGCCTGAGATGGACATTGTCTCGAAGGATTACACTGAGTATATTTCTGACATCGATGTCTCTATGGGTGGCCGGGCGGCCGAAGAACTTATATATGGACCCGACAGAGTTTCCAGCGGTATCTCAGGTGTACGTTTCTATAACCCCTAGCCCTTATCATGTCTCTCCGCGCTAAAGTTTTACCATTTATTAACCTTGTTACAATGCAGGACATTCGAAGCGCAACGCAAACTGCCTTTACCTTGGTGACACAGTACGGTTACTCTAAAAAGTTAGGCAACGTCGACTTGAACACGGGATACAACAAGCTCTCCGCTTCAACAAAGCAGGAAATTGAGAATGAGGTGCGCCGTTTGGTTGACGAAGCCAGCGCCCGCGCCTCTGCTATCTTGAAGGAGCATCGCCATGAACTCGAGCTCCTAACAAAGGCCCTGATCGAATATGAGACCCTAACCAAAGAAGAAATGGAGAAGGTACTCAAAGGCGAAAAGCTCGACAAGCTATTGCTACCTTCCAAGACACCGATAAAGCTGCCGGAAGCCCTGACTACCGTCCATATAAATCCCGTCACTGGAAGTACCTCCACCTCAAAGTGAGGGCTATGGCATGGTTTGGAGAGACAGAAAACCAGCCATGATTCAAAAACAGCGCCCATAGTGGAGAGAATTGGAGAGAAATAAATTGTATTTCTCCAGGCATCAAAGCTATATTTTTTGATATCTGTATTATTCTTCAACATATGTTGAACTACTACTACTACTGATACTATTAGTACGATTAGCAAGCACTTACTGATACATACTACTACTTCTGCTTGACCACGGTTTCTTCCCTTGGATCTTCGTCAATCAGGACGATCTCCTACTCCTTTCCGACCCTCTCTCTACATCCAATCCGAGTCCGGGAACTTTCTCAACAAGCACTTTGTATTTTCTTTTTCCACCGAACTACCCGTGCTTTACCCGCTCTCGCATTTATCAATATATATGAACGCGAGGCGCCACATTCGGACATCTCTTCCTCATGCCTGTCCGATTTATCTGTTCTCTTCCTTTTGTTTTTTTTTTTCTGTTATTTTCTTTCCCACTTTGGCTACTTCCAAACGCAATGTGGGAAGGCTTTTGAAATCTCCATCCGTACTCCGCGTATTCTTACTCAACTCGTGTATAATTGGAATGAATAGAATAAAATGTTAAAAGCTCCTGCAGAAACCCATATCCAATAGTTACTGGAGAGTGACCACGATACATATCGTTCTTATCTTGCAACATCTTGAGTACCTAGCTAGCTAGTGCTGGGTATGCGTAAAGGGGCACGCCACCACCCCTTTGCCCGAACACAACAACAAGAAGCAACAGATAACTAACGTGAAAGATAAAAGCTAAAAGGAACGGCCCGTCCGACCCGGCTTATTCTTTTGAGCGTACCCATTCTGGATGTATGTATGTACTTACTTATCGTGTCTTCAGCTTCAAGATTTCGCAGACGGGGATGTCCCCTGAGCTTGAATAAGGCTCAAGTGCGTTGCTCTGCACTTGACAATCATGTACTTCCCTGCAGTGTAACTGATAGACGTATGTCATCAGCTCTTTGTCTACAGGGGACTGATCGATCTGTGCGCTGCCTGCATATAACTACGTAAGTAAATAATATAACGGAGTCAGTCTAAGGTCTAACTCGGTCAATAGCTAGCTGAAGCCCAACCAGCTCATTTCCCCTTATAGAATATGCATACTGACAGCCTGCCTTGCAGCTGCATCAGATAAACATGAAACACTTTTCTTTGACTTTTGAGATGCCCAATCCTGAGAGGCCTTGGATTACTTGAATATTTTCTTCAATAGCTAACTACGGAGTACTGACTCCGTCACAACCAACTAACGAACTCCTTGGCTGTCCGATGCTTTTTGCTTTTTTTATAAGTAGTTAACTAGTTAACTAGTTAAGTGGTTAGGCCTAACGCTCAGCTTGGATCTTGCACTTACAAGAGGTTGACTCAATCAAATGTACTTCGTACTCAAATTTAAAGGCCTGGATACTCAGACCACGCTGAATTTTTCTCGGCATATCCTCGGTATATCCACTAAATAAAAAATGCAAGGAAAATGCATGTTCCTGTACGTCAACAGACCATTACGCTAATGACATATCTGGAACCAATTACTCCTTGGTCGGCCGTGTTTTGTATTGGTTTAATGTCAAATCGCACGGAATGAGCACCGGCTAACATCTACCACGCTCCTAGCGTATACCACAGTCAGAGCCGTGGGAAATGGTTGACAGAATGAACTGCTCCGTAACAGCCCACCTGGTCCCGAATCCGATGTGGCTTGGGAAAAAAAAGCCGGATCTTCCTTGCATCCATGCATGTCCTCTCTCTGTCTCCCTTTTTTTAAACTTCTGCTTAATTTCCTATTGCTTTTTCCTGGGTCCATGTAGGCTAAGATATGTATTCAATCTAGCCCGCATCAAACAACCATGTACTCTGGACAGGCCATTGCAGTTAGGGGAACATGCAACAGTGCTTCCTATACGTAGGCGGCACCGGCAAGCAGAGATCTTTGTCGGAAGAACCATATGTTCTAATGCAAGAGGCTTAACTGGGTACGTATTCAACGTCCCGTTTGGGTAAAGGGCCACCGGCTGCTGTCGAGACGAACGAACTAGAGGTGCAGTGCATAGGCGAAGTCCATCTTAGGGAGGTAGATATACTCCCCGACTGGGTGTACCCATGCCTGGCCGGTGGGGTTGAACTCCCAATGCAAGCCCACGCCACCACGTTGGTAAAAAGGGGCGGAAGGGAGGGGTCTTTGGAATGAGGCCCGCGACAAGGAAACAAACATGTGTAAAAAAAGGTCCCGTTAGGAGGAAATATTGGCGAGTGGATTGACGGTAGGCTGAAGAAGAAGCAGCCTCCTGAGAGGGGGGAGGGGCGGACCGCCTCCGCATTATGCAGATAATAAAGGCAGCTTGTTTCGGGGATGTGGTGCGAAGGAAGAAAAGAGGTTGATAGAAAAAGAAAGGAGAGGAAGAAGAAGCCAAAGAAAAAGAAACCAAACATGTTTTTGCGGCGGCCGACGCACGGTGGTTATATCAGGCGCTTCTTTTAAGGCCTGTGCGCGCGAGTTGCATCGAGATTGATATATCAACGATATACACTCTTTTTGTTGCGGCACACGATAGTTAACGGGCCCGTTAGTTTCGTCCCATGAGCCCCGGTACGCAATCTGTCAAAAGAACCGAGATGAATCTGACAAGTTTCAAAGCGGGACAAGCAATATCGAGCCCACACACCCCACCGCGAGAATGAAGCAGGTCAAACTCTGGTGAATCAGTCATTAACTACTAGTGGCCATGAAAGTAAGCTGTCACATCATTCCTCGCAACGCTGGAGATTGAAGTCCATGGAGGCGTGGTTGATGAACATGGGGAAGCTCATGCCAAGGGAATGGTTCCTTTTTATCAATCACCACGGAGACGTGACCTGCAGAGATGCTATCAAATTCTTGCCTGTTGGATGGCAGCTATGTATATACGTGCATATACATAGACACCAAAAGCACCAAGAAAAACTGAATATCCTGCTTTGTAGCCGAATATACAGCAAAGTGCGACTCTTTTGACCAGTTGCCTCGTGTCTCCTGCCCCAAAGAAAGCACTATACTGGCGTGCCTGTGGCTCCTCTCCCCGTCCCCCCAAGCGGCCTGGACGCAGCTGACCAACTTTTTTTTCTTGTCCTTCCTCTTCATTGTCTCTTTGCAATATGACGTATCTGATGAGACCCACCAGCAGGCGGGCAGTAGAAAATAGTGTTGGTGATAGAAGCCAGCGGCGCAAACCATGCAAGTGCTGGATGGTAAAGATGGCAACTAACTGCCCGATTGTCTGAAGGGCTTTCAAAGGGTTTTGAGCAGCGCTCCAAGGTGCGGGATGTGTGGGGCGTGGGCAAGAAAGCTGATCCTTCGAAGGCGCACGTAGACAAGCCATTTTGAGGCGGGATTGCATAGTTAAAAGCGAGTGGAGTCGGCGTTGATTCAAACCCCCAAAAAGCAGACTGTTGAAAGTCGAGTGTTTGATATGGTCGAATGTCACTTGTCGTGAAGTTATGGATTCACGAGGCAAATGCATTATAATTCCGCACGTATGCATGTACGAAAAAAAGGAAAAAAGAAAAAGAAAAAGCATCTCCTAGGCCATTATTTCATAGAAAAAAGGGCATGTTTCCTAAGCACTCTCTTGACAAATACATATCAAACTTGCTTGCGATCGACGGTCTTTCAAAGAAGATATATTGATCCAAAAGCCCAGGCCGTGCAAGGGAGGGAAGAAGAAAAAATAAAAGTCAATATCAGTTGTATAATGTATACTTTTGCCAACCAGCCAAAGAAATTAAGTATGCAAAATCCAACGCCGAGAAAGTAAGTGAATGCCCGAGTTGAGACCGCCCCTCCACCACACGAGACCATAACAGATTTGTATTATTATTCTTCGTCATCTTCGTCATCGTTGTTGTTGCAGCTTGACAGTTATTCTTCCAAAGAGGTATTGGTTTTGAACGGGATTGAAAAAGGGGGAAGATATGATATCGAGGCGCAAGCCGATCCCCGAATTTCGCACCGTGCATTACTAGTAACAGGTCCTGTTGAGGAGGAGGAGGTGGGATTGGGCCGTTGATATTGACGCCTGAATTCGTGGCCCTCTGCTAGGATGATTGAGAAGCAGAGGCGGATTGTTCTTTTTTCCTGCAGTCCCCTGAATTGAACATGATATATTAGGTATCAATTGAAGACATAAAGGATAGGATATTGGCCGTATAGACGGGTTGCTATACCCCAACAGGGGCAGAGGGAAATGTTAAAAAGTTTTGAAAGAGAAGAGGTATATACCGCACTTATCCCCAGGTCGACTTTCGCTATATTCAAAAACTTATATGTTAGTTCTCACTTTGTATAGCTGAGGTGCTCGATACTTGTTATTTAATAAGAAGGGCCCCGGGCGCAAAACATACCTTGCAACAATATTTGGAGGACATCGTTTCTGTGTTTTCTGATACACAACGCACCATGCTCTGACTAGAAGCCGGATATGGCTACACTCGTAATTGACTTCAACGTAATCGCACATTTTTGTAATATATGTATAACATTCAATAATAGAAGAGGCCTTGGAGTGAGATTAAAAGTGAACGAAGCTCAGGAGGTAAAACGAAGATATAAATAGTCTAGTCCTGTCTAGCCGCAAGTCGAATGTCGGCGGCAAGTATGATAACATATGCATAAACCAAGCGGGCCTGATGTAGATTCTGGCAGGTAACGCTGTGCGCCGGTAACTAGCAAAGTAACCATCTACCCTCGTACGCGAGCTGGTAGGGATGAATTGTTTTTTGTATCTTTTTTTTTTTCAAGAAGTACGTTTTTTTTAATATCTTTCCAGTTTTTGTTTTTTGTGCTTTTTCTTTCCCCTTGTCCATGCGAAGGGGTACAAGGAACTGAATGCACTCATGGTGAAAAAGCAATTGAGCGTTCGTATAAAGATGCATTCTTGGAGTGGTGTAATCAAGATAGTGTACGGGAGTACTTGTGTTCCTTAAAAGGGATATGCCGGACCGGTCTGGTCTGTTCCCAGATGCTGTGAAACAAGGAGGAGAAAACCTGACCTGACATCGGCGGCGAGTAGATTGGTTGAGTAATATCCTTAGGGTGGTTTGAGGCACAGTATATCCATTTCCGGCTGTGGAGGATTATGTTGAAGGGAGGAATTTTTTTATCCTTCCTCTCCCCAGTCGCTTATGCACAACTGCCCAGCTTCCGCGGTGCAAGGAGGAGATCCACCATATAAGATGATGAGATCGACGTTCCTGGTTTTGACATCGAATGGCTTTAAAAGACCTGAACAGGGCGGTAATATCACTGCTTTCCCGGCCTGAAGTGCATTTGGTGCTAGCTTGTCCCAGGTAACGTCGGCCATGCAGGAAGGACATCAGCTTGCGAGGCAGCCGGCTCCCTTCCCACTATTATTTAGTCCAAAAAAAGCTGCAAAGAAGAACAAGGTTTATATTACTCCCACCTGTATGCATGTCCCTACACCCAATGAAGTATCTCTCGGGGCAATGTCGCAAGGCTCGGCACACAATGCCTGTCCGTGGATTTTCGCAAGGCCAGGTGTCGTATTATTATTATTATTAACAATTCCACAAAGAGATGCCAATCTCGGAATTAGCAATCCAGACCGCATTGAGCGGGAAGAGCCGTGTTAGATGCGCATATCTAGGCCCAAAGAAAACGAGATGCGCGATAGAACGAATCGGATACTCCGAGACATTTTGCTCGACGTATTTATGCATATCTGCATCAGGGTCGGAATGATCCTTCCCCAGGCCGCGGGACTGAGAGTTCCATTCGGCAACCGGGAACAGCCAGTCGCCAAGCTAGCGGCAAATAAGGGGAAGTGGAAACCTCGCGTCCGATATCGTTCGCCAGACGTTTATGCTGGCAGGACAGTTCGAGGACTCCAAATTAGACAGCTCGCATTGACGGCAAGAAAAGAGTGGTTGAACCAATCGATATCGGGAGGCGAACGTTGGAAACAGGAAGAAAGAAGGTTTTCGAGGGACGCAGAGGTCTTTCTTAGTCGTGGTTGAATGATGAGTTGCCACAGCATACTCCATACTGTGTATATGCTAGCAGCGAACCGTTTTCCGCAGCCCACATAAACAAACGGGGGAACGAGAGCTGGGCAACCGGCTATGTGGAGGGATTAGTTACGGCCAACGGGAAGCAGTATCTTTATAAACCAATCTACGCGCGCATTGATGACAGAAAAGGGAACTCATCCGGACATTAAAGGACCAACGAGGAAAGAGAAGAAAATGGAAGAGCGGGGGAAAAAGAAAGAAAAAAAAAAAGAAAAGGCGTAGGAAAGGGTCAATGGACATTAAGGTCGCCAAATAGGTAAGACAAACGACGAGGCCAATGGCACCTAGAAATGCCATGACGATAAGTTGATGAGATGTCTTGGGTGTCGTGATCAAGAAAAAGGAAATAAAAGATTTTCCAAGCAGATCATGTCAGTCAGTCACTGCTGTCCATCCAGCCTCGGGACATCTCGACAGCCTTGGACCACTTTTTATAAATTCGATTGCTTTCTTCTTCGGGAAGTTTGGGTTCAAACACTGTCTTGTCAGATTGCTTGAGCCCATCCAAGTTTTGAGGGCCATCCCAGATTTTGATGGCGATCCCAGCGGCAATTGCCGCTCCTAGAGCTGTTACTTCGTGCATTGCTGGGCGTTTTACAGGTATGCGAATGATATCTGCTTGTGACTGCAGCTGTGTGTTAGCTTCTTACGTCACTTCATGGCCCAATTCAGAATGATACACGTACTTGCATGCAGACGTTAGAAGTACTTAGGCCGCCGTCCACTCTCAGCTCAGCAAGCTTTTGTCCACTATCACGTTCCATAGCGTCCAAGACGGCCTTGGTTTGGAAACATACTGCTTCTAAAGTTGCTCGGGCGATATGACCTTTCTTAGTATGCTGTGTGATACCAACTAATCGGGATGCTGTTAGTTGAATGGTTTCTTCTTCTTCTGCCGTTGCTGTTTATTTTTATTTCGTTGACTTAGGGGGTACGGAAGGGGAACTTCAACATACATATTGTTCCTTTTGCGGTATCGATCCAATAAGGAGCAAAAAGACCGCTGAATGCAGTAACGAAAACGCAGCCACCGTTATCTTGTACACTGGAAGCCTCGTCATCTACCCTTCTGGCATCTCGGAAGAAGCCCAAGTTATTCATGAGAAAATTAACGCCGCTTCCGGCAACGGCTATGCTACCTTCCAAGGCATATACCGGTTTTGCGTTGGCGCCAAGCTGGTATCCCACAGTTGCGAGAAGTCCATGGGAGGATATGACTGGCTTTTCACCAACGTTGTAGAGCAAAAAGCAGCCGGTTCCATAAGTATTTTTAGCCATGCCAGGCTCAAATGCTTCATGGCCTACCAACGCAGCAGACTGGTCACCCAGACAACTCATGATCCGAACTCCCTTGAGGACTCCGGTGGCCAACTGTCCAAACGCTGTGGGATCTGCAGAGGGAACTATTTTTGGTAGTCTCAGCTTTGACTTATCTAGGCCGAAAAAGTTGAGTAGCTTGTCGTCGTATTGGAGGGTATGTAGGTTAGTGAACATTGTCCGTGAAGCATTCGATACGTCGGTTACGAATACTTTGTTCTCTTTGCCACCATTGAGATTATACAACAGCCAAGTGTCAACAGTACCGAAGGCCAGGTTACCAGCATCATAGGCAGACTTTACCTCTGGTATATTGCGGAGCAGCCATACCAGCTTGGCGGACGACGAGTATGTGGATATGGGCAGACCACAAATTTCCTGCAGCTCATCGGCGCCTTTGTCCTTGAGCTCTCTGACTATGGACTTGGTACGAGTATCTGGCCAGGCTATAGCGTTGTATAGCGGCTTACCGGTCTCCCAGTCCCAAACGATCGTTGTCTCTCGCTGGTTGGTAACTCCCAGAACCTCAATCTCACTGACAGCGTGCCCGTTATTGATAAACGACTTCGTTGCCTGTTCTATGCACTTTTGTGCAGTGGAGACAATCTCTTCCGGATCTTGTTCGTGCCATCTATACGGAACCAATTAGCAAAAGAAAAGGCCGGACAAAGGGGGAAAGAAAGGAGAAGAAAACGAGGACAAACCCAGGCTGATCATGTACCCGGCCAAGTTCAGTCTGATGAGAGGCAGCAATGTTCCCCTGGAGGTCAAAGATGATGAACCGAGTGCTGGTGGTGCCTTGATCAATCGCCCCTATAAACCTGGACGGCCGCTCCTCACGGCTGGGCAAGATGGGATTGCGAATGGCAAAGGTGTCTAGTCCGTCTTCAAAGGTATCTGCCAGCCCCTTGACGACCTCTATGGCGCTCTCGCGAAGAGCAGCAAGCGAGCTCTTGGTCGACTTCTCTTCGGCCATGGCTTGTACTAGCTCTGCTCTACTCTAATGTATGGGGTGAAGAAAACCGGGGAAGCTGTCTACTACACAGCACCAGTGCCGCAACCACGACCGCCGGCAGCAAACATCTGTAGTATAGGTAGCGAGAGACGAGTAGAAGGAGATGAGGTCGCCGTAGCTGAAGGGGCGAAGAGAGTATGTTTTATATGGGGAGAAGAAGGGGTTGTGCGAAGAAGAATCTGCCTGATCACGCACTCGCGGGGGGAGTTCTTGTGGTTCCTGTGGGTTAAGCGCCGGCGGGGCGAGCGCAGCCCAGACCGACTAGCCGGCTTTCCGATGCAGTGGTGATACGATGGTATGAAGGTATGGTGAGGCAGCCATGATCAAAGGCCAATACTCCGTAGAGGATGAAGGTGATATTGGTGACGAGGGCGGTTAGTTATGCGGGACGAAGACAGCGGCAACAGAGACGTCGTGGAATCAAGCTCTGCGGAGCTAGTTATGTCTCTGGCCTCAACTGCAACATGCAGTGAGATCGGATGCGAGATCCGAACAAGCAGAAGCGGACGACGAAAGACAAAGACGACCCTTGCCAGGCGCTACGCTGCGAATCATTGTGATGCTCTTAGCCGCAGCCGCACCAGATCCGGGGAGGCCGCGCTCGATACCAGCGCCAGGGGAACTCGCTCGCTATGGTGGCTCTCTGATTTGTCGGGCTGGGCGGCACACAAACGGACTATTGATTCGGCCCAGGGATGGATGGCATGCAGGATCGAGCAGATGATGTGCAGATGCGCCGGTCGGCTGGCCGGACCGTGCCATAACATATGACTTGTGCAAGGTAGGCTATGTGTACCGTTTGTTGTGTATATACCTTTTATTTATGTGGGCTGAGGGACAAAGGACAAAAGGAAGGCTGATATCAGACGAATGGACGTTAACTACTGGTCTAGTCTAAAAAACAAAGGAAAGTCGATGACCGTTCAGGTTTTGAGATTATTTTTTTGGTGCGTGTGTGTGTGGGTTAATTTACAAGTCACAGATGAACGGGCTTAATTTCCAACAGAGGGGCGGGAAGGAAAATAAACGGGGATATGGCGGACAGATGGGAGGGGAAGAAAAAAGAAAAGAAAGATGGTTTACTCGGATTCCTCAGCAGCGGCAGCAGAGGCCTTAGCAAGGTCCTTCTCTCGGGCAGCCTGGAGGGCCTTGACCTTCTCGGCGATTCCGTGCTCGGAAGTGAAGTGGGAGGCAAGCTGCTCACGGCCGACCAAGCTGCAGACGATAGAGGCACCGACGACGAAGGTCAGGACGAAGCGGTACATGCCATACCAGGATGGAACCCATCCCTTGACGGCGGCACGGGTGTCGTTGTAGTACAAGAAGGTGAAGGCGAAGAACTGGGTGATCAAGGCATACTCAACTGGGAGGAGGAGAGTGGGCCAGGCGACAGCGGGAGCAACGACACCGGTGGCATATCGGCGGAAACCGTGCTTTCCACCGTATCCAGCCCACTCCATACCCCAGTGGATAGCTCCAAGGAAGGACAGGATCTGTTTCTTGTCAGTAACTTGGATTATTGTCATCATACTCTGGAATAGTATTACATACCACGGCGCCGTAGCCGACCTGGATAGGCTCAATGAGGTTCATCATGGCCTGGGCGGTCTCAACGGAGATGTACTTGCCGGAGCCAAGGGTGACAGCGTTGTTCATCTCCCAGGAGAGGAAAACGGTCTGGAGCGAGGTCACAACGTAGGGGATAACACCGGCCATACCGTAGTACAGAGCCTCCTTGGGGACACCCTCCAAGCTGAAGGTATCCTTGATAACTTTCTAGGGCCAAGTTAGCACGAACGCTGTATATACTGTTTAATTGAAGAGGTAAATTGGATATTTAACCCACCACATCGTTCTTAACACCGGCCATCATATCAATATCGTGCTCTTCAGCGGCGGGCTTCTTAGCCTCCTGGAAGGGGGAAAAAAAGTTCGTCAGTTACTCCATTCGCTTCAAAAACCGGTAGCATCCTCAAAGAAAAGCAATGTAGAGTCACTCACAGTGGAAGAATAGCGGACAAGGGCGGTGGTGACTGGCTGGCGGAAAGCCGAGAGAGCCATGGAGGTCGACCGTGGGCCAACCCATTGCCGGGCGGAGGTGGTCAACTGGGCCTTGAAAGTAGTGTTGGTCCAGGCACTACGAGCAATTGAAGCGTTTGAGCTCGATACGGCTCTGAGCACAGAGCGTGCGGCAGCTGTTCGGTACAACATGGCGAGTGTCGAGGAGGATGTGGTAGGCTAGAGGTTGGTCGGAGCGAAACGGAAGAAGTTGGCGGGCGAGCGCAGAAGGCAGAGATAACCGGCCAGGCGGCAAAGAAGAGCTGTCAGAGCGCAATGGAGGAGTGGAGATGGGCGTGCCGTGTGTGCTGGTCGTACCCGAGCGATGCAGAAGTGCCAATTGAAGCTGAAGCTGACTCTTGATCAACACACAATTTGTTCTTCGTCGCTTCAAGTTTGATGTCGAAGTCGGGTCGATGTTGACGCTTAGTCAGCGGATAAACGAAGGGCCGCTGGTAGCTTAGTAAGCATGGCATGCCTCCTCGAGGAAAGAGGAAGAAAAAGAACGACGACGACGACGACGACGACGAGATGAAAGGCATGATGGCGGAGGGGAGACGGGGCGGGATGCGGCGATGGAGGAGAGTAAATGGCCACAGGGGCGTTGGAGAGGAGAGGTGAACCCAAAAGAACAAGAAGAGAGGAGAGCTCAATGGTGAGATACACTGGGTATCTGAGCGGCTACATGGTGGAAGACGGACGACGACAGTGACCTCGACTCCTCCTCGACTCGTACGGAGTACCGTTCTGGGTATTTGGAATACTCAAAATGAGTCAATAGCTGGACCAGCCAAGCGAGAATATTCACATTGCACCAAATTCAGTCGCCTGCGTCGGGCGTAATGGCAGATATTGCTCTCTACCAACAGCCGTGTGAGCTGCCATCACCCGAGACGCACTTGACTGTACAGCGCAACCGCTGAGGAGCACGCGACAAAATGCCCTAAAATACAGAATCTACAGAGAGCAGAGTCCCTCCGTCCTCCTTATATACACAATTACTGGGTTTTGTACCTAGAAGAGGGTCAACGAGAATGGTATCCAGCAGTGGCGCCACCTTTGGGTGTTGCCTTATGTCCGGCCATCGACCACTCGCAGCCCCTACATTAGACAGCGAACTGTTGGGAGACGAGACCACCCCTGGCGGAGCAGCGTACGGAGTACGGAGAAACTGCAGGAACTCGTTTACCACTGGAGACATACATATCTTTTGAAACAGGCCCAGAAGCGTTTATCCGATGGCAAAGGGCAACTAAATAACTAACTAACCAACAGGAACAGGGCCAACGTCATAAGTCAAGGAGTAGTTAGACAGCACAGAGTCGATAATGCACAATACAATCGACGGTAAGTCGTAATTTGAGTGATCTTTCCGATCAATGAAGCAAAGAAGACTGTCTGTAAATGCCAATCACTAGCATAATAGGTAGTTAGCCAACCGATAACTAGGACAACCAGCTTCACATGTTCGGCTTTAATAGCTATGGAACAACCCAAAATAGATATACTACCACCTTCACTTGCGTCTCCATGCAAGCAGCCTGTCCTGCCGCCTGGCGAAGTCTCTAATCCGCTGTACCAGCCATCTTACTGGGTCTTCCTGCAAGAAAAGGTGGTGGAGCATCGACACGACACGGAAACGAGCATCTACGTCACTCAAACTCGCCCAGCTTTCGCTCCTCCACCCAAAAAGAGCAAACAACTCGAAAACATTTCACTGCATACAACATACAACGATCACTGCACCACGGCTGTCGCTGCCATACACAACATTCAAGCACTGAGACAGCTTAGATAAAGTGAGACTGCCCATTGTCTTGGTCTGCAATTGACTCTGCCAACCCTCAGTTTGCGTCAGAGGCTGCCCGGTTTTCTGTGGTTGTGACGAGGGGTGCTTCTCTTCATGACGGTTAGAACTCCAACTGCGACCAAACCATTCCACCTCCCAGCAGTGCTTTTTCTGACTTTAGATCTTCATTTTACAGGAATAAAAACGTTTAACATTGCTGAGTCGCCCATGGTCTCCGAAAACGCACCTCTGTACGGAACCTTGTACCGGGTCGAGACAGCTGTGGTCAACTACGTGAATCGGCCATAGCCACGACGCCGCCATGTTAGAAGGAATAGTTGCGAACCTGCTGAACAGGTTCCTGGGGATGTACGTGAAGAACTTCGATGCAGGACAGCTTAATGTCGGTATATGGTCCGGAGACGTCAAACTACGAGATCTGGAACTTCGCCGTGAGGCGCTCGACCAGCTACATCTGCCGCTGAACGTCATCGAGGGTCATCTCGGCGAACTCACACTCTCCATTCCATGGTCCAACCTTCGAGGGAAGCCAGTGAAAGTGCATATCCAAGATGTGTTCCTTCTTGCGGCGCCAAAGGAGGATTCCACTTACGATCCGGAAGAAGAGAGGAAGAGAGAACATGCTGTCAAGATGGAGAAGCTTGAAAGTGCCGAGCTTATCAAGGAACAGAATACCGAGGGTATGAGCCAAGAGGAACAGCAAAAGAACCAGAGCTTCACTCAGAGCTTGGTGACTGCCATTGTCAACAACCTCCAGGTGACTATCAAGAATGTTCATTTCCGGTATGAAGATGCCATTGCCGCTCCTGGACATCCGTTCGCCGTCGGTGTAACGATCAAGGAACTCAGTGCCGTCAGCACGGATTCAAATTGGAAGCCTACCTTTATACAATCAACGTCTACGAGCAACTATAAACTTGCCGTCCTGAACTCTCTGGCAATCTACTGGAACACAGATGCAGAGCTCTTTGCGCCGAACCCTGGAGAAGCTGGCGAAGCTGGGGATACCAGTGCTCCGATATTCAGCCATGCGGAATTGCTAAGGAGATTCAGAGATGCTGTTGTCACGGGTGAGAACACACAGTACGTTCTAAAGCCTGTCAGCGGCAAAGCTGGCCTGGAACTAGACACCTCCCAAAATGTCGATCACCCGCGAGCCAAAGCTAAATTGATATTCGATGAACTTGGCTTTGTCCTCGACGACCATCAATATCGTGATGCGTTGATGCTCGTCGATCTTTTCCATTACTTCATTCAGCACCGAGAGTATCGAAGTTTGATGCCTGATTCCCGACCAAAGGAAGATCCCCGTGCTTGGTTCAGGTTTGCTGGTCAAGCCATTCTGAGTAAAATTCACGAAAGAAACCGCAAATGGACTTGGGGCTATATCAAGGAACGACGGGATAATCGTATCCGGTATATCGACTTATTCAAAATGAGAAAGAGGGAGGACCCCATGTCCCCTGAGGAGATAGAGGAGATGAAAGCTCTAGAAGAGAAGTTGTCCTACGAAGATCTGCGGTTTTGGCGGTCCCTTGCTAGAAACCAGTTGAGAAAGGAAAGGATTGAATGTCCGAAGAAGGTCGTCAGGCAACAGACCTGGTCCGAGTGGATTTGGGGAACTGGCAAAAAGGAGGAAGACCAGCCGACAACCATGACGGAAGAGCAACGCCAGGAACTATACCAAGCTATAGACTGGGATGAGAAGAAAGCTATAGCTGATGCAGTTGACCTCCCGCGAGACTCTGTCAAGTTCCAAGTAGACTCGAGTCTCCGAGCTGGCAGCTTCACGTTAAAACGAGATCCTCACGGCAAGGCAAATGAGATATTGAAGTTGGTCTTCGAGAACTTCCAGGCAAAGGCACTACAGCGGCCGGATTCGTTCTTGGTCCAAATTGACCTCGGCGGGCTACGACTCTTCGATCATACCACGGACAATACTGCCTTCCCTCAGATTGTTCGTGTTAAAGATTGCTATTCTATGCCAAGCGAGGATGTCGAAGAGATTACGGAAATGGAAATACCGGAATCTCCAGGCGTTGAAGAGATAGACCGTGAGAGTGATGATAGCTTGTTCTACCTCCAATTTGAATCAAACCCCCTAGATGGGAGTGCGGATTCTGCTCTTCGCATGAAGCTTAAGAGTCTTGAGGTTATATATACCCCCAAAGTATTGGTTGAAATTGTCAAGTTCTTCCGACCTCCAGAACGCCACATGGAATCAATCGGCGCTCTCCTAGAAACTGCGGGAGCAACTGTCGCAGAAATACGTCAACAGACAAGAGCGGGACTGGAGTTTGCCCTAGAAGAGCACAAGACAATTAACGCTCAGCTAGACATCCAGGCCCCGCTTATAATCATACCTGAGAGCATAACTACGGATGATAGTATGTGTCTTATCTTTGACGCTGGAAGAGTTAGCGTGAGCAGCAAGCTGGTGGACAAGGAAACTCTCAAGATGGTTCAGAACAAACAAGGCTCGGAAATCGGCGACGATGATCTCAGCCAGCTTGAATCGTTGATGTACGACAAGTTCCTGCTAAAGCTTGATTCAACACAAGTCCTTATCGGAAATGGAATCGAATCCACGAAAGCCGAGCTAGACCCTCAGACGGAATCAAGGAATCTTCATATTATGGACCGGATCAATATGGACTTTGTACTTGAGTTATGCATCGCTCCAAAGTCAACGCTCACTAGGACACGGATATCAGGTCATCTTCCAGAATTCCACGCCTCCATGTCAGATACAAAATACAAAAATCTGATGAGACTGATTGATATTGCTATCCCGCGATTCAGCACTGATGAGTCTAATGGCTCAGCGGAGAAAGTTATACAGCCGGAGACTACATCAGTTGAAACTAGAGCTAGGTCACAGTCGATTCAATTTCCTCGACAAAGAGACGTACCTGTCCTGAATTCGGAGAACGATATCGCTGAACATGACGATAAGAGATCAATCGACTCAAAAACGTCCAAGAACATACATCGGCGTATGTTTGAGTTCAAATTTACGGTTGATACACTGAGAGGCTCGTTATATCGATCCGATCCCAGCGATGAAAGGAAAGATAGACTACTAGTTGAATTGGTTGCCGAACACTTCCATCTCGACTATAATTTGAGAGAGTACGATATGGCGGCAGACATTGTTCTGAAATCCTTGAGCATCGAAGATTATATCGAGGAGCATTCCTCTGCCCCCGAGTTTAAGAAAATCGTCACATCCAGGGGCTTCGATGCGAACGAAGATGAGGACTTGTTCACTCTGAAATTTATCAAAGTTAATCCTGACTCTCCCGAGTTTGTGTCGGTGTATGATGGTATCGAGATGAACCTCGAACTCTTGGTCTCGACCATTAATTTGATTGTTACTCGGAAGACATTGCTTACTCTGCTGGATTTTGTTCTAATTACCTTCACAAACCAGAATCCACAAAACCAAGTGCAAAGCTCCCATGGACAAGTTGCATCCAATGATTCAAAGGAAGCACCGAAGCCAGCTAATACAGGAAAAATTCGAATAAGCTCGAAATTAGAAAGGATCTCACTTATTTTGAACGACGACGGCGTTCGTCTAGCCACGCTCAGTTTGAATACTGCCGATGTTGGAATATTCCTGGCCAATGAAACGATGCAAATCAAGTCAAGAATGGGCAGTTTGACCTTGTTCGATGATATCAATGAAAATGGCAAGTCCTCAACAGTACGTCGGTTGATGAGCATCGAAGGCGAGGATTTTGCGGATTTCCGCTATCAAACTTTCAATCCTAAACTCAAAGACTATCCTGGTTACGATTCTGAGGTAGTTCTACGATCTGGTTCGATTAAAATAAACTTCATCGACGAGCCGTACCGAAGGGTTATTAATTTCCTGGTTAAGTTTGGAAAGATGCAAAGTATATTCAATGCTGCTCGGCAGGCCGCAGCCAACCAAGCAACACAGATCCAAGAAAGCGCGTCACTGATGCATTTTGATATCGTGGTCATGACGCCCATCTTGGTGTTTCCCCGGATAACTGATAGAGATGGACCTCGAGATTTCATCACCGCCCATTTAGGAGAGATATATGTTTGCAACGAGTTTTCTCAAGCTGACCATGATGAAAATAAGTATCTGGTCAATGCTATCACCGCTGGAGTCCGACATATCCGCCTCACGTCTACTTTCTACTACTCAGAAGATGTCTGTGAAGAACTGGAGATGATTGAGAAGGTGGATATGGATTTCAATATCAAATATGTCCAAGATCCAATTGACGCCGCCATACCTGTTATGCGTGTCGATGGTTCTATGTCACCGACCAATCTCCGAATTTCACAAATGCAGCTCAAATTCCTCCTTGAGCTATCTAAAACCATCCCGGCTGCATTCACACCTGACCAAGAACTTCAAGAAGGACAAGCCCAGCAGGCTCTACCCGAACTCTCTGCAGGCTTAAATACTACCAATGGTTCAGATAAGCCTGAAGAATCCAAGGCACTTATAGACAGGTCCGGTAAAGGCGCTGCAGAGCCCAAAAAGTCAATCCAGCTCGAATTGGGATTCCGCGTGGAAACTGTTGGGCTAGAACTACTCCTCGTTAACGAGGACGCACCAGTTCACTCCCTGGATGATGTTAGCCTATCCAAGTTCTTCTTGAGTAATACCAATGTGAAACTCCAAATGTTGAATGATGGCTCCCTCGAATCCGAGTTGCTTATTCATTCTTTCAATGTCCGAGACAGCAGGTCGAAGGAGACCAACCGATTCCGCAAGATCATGTCCTTGGTTAACACTGAAGTGCAGCAACAGTTCATGGCTAGTTTGTCCATGTCTGGTGGTACTGAACGCCAACTAGTGGTGATGGTAACGATTGATAGCCCACGGATTATATTCGCTGTCGATTATCTATTTTCACTTAAGTCCTTTGCAACAGCAGCATTCCCTGCCGAGCCAGATACAAACACCTCAGAAAGCTCGGACGAAGAATCTACAGGTCCAGTGGTCTCGCGTGAAAATCTACCGTCTAAACCCACACCTATCCCTTCGAGCGCTATGACTGCGGAAAGCAAATCCACTATGACAATGTCCGTTAGATTCAACATGGTTGATTCTCAAGTCATTCTGGTTGCTAATCCAACTATTGCCAACACGGAAGCTATAGTCCTGGGAGCCAAACAGATCGTTTACTCCCAGCAGAATGCGTCTACTCTTCAGATAACCAAGGTCGGCATGTTCCTTTGCCGAATGGATAAATTCGAAACTAGCAGACTTCGTATTCTAGATGATTTCTCCCTAGAACTATCCATGGATACCCAGAGTAAGAGTAAGAGTTTCTCTACAACAAGGATTGACATGCATGTGGAGCCGTTGATCCTTCGGTTGTCACCGCGAGATATCCTTCTTGCCTTGCAGATAATGAACAGAGTGTCTGAGATGACTTCACCTGCACAATCACAGAATGCAGCGAACGAGTCAAAAACGATTGCTGCAAAACCCACGCAGGCAGATCTACAGTCGCCAAGCACACCCGTCCAATCTCAGCTGACTGCCGCAGATAGGATTCAACAGACATCTATTGTGAAAAAGGAAGAGATGTGTATTCAAATAGATGGTATTAGGGTTATCCTCGTTGGCGATGTACACATACTCCCGTTACTTGACTGGAGTGTGCAGTCATTCCGAGCCGATGTCAGAGATTGGTCTGCGAATATGAGTGCTGATACCACTTTCGATACCTTCATCAACGTTTATAATTTCTCGAAGTCTACTTGGGAACCTTTGATAGAGCCATGGCAGCTTGGGTTCCATATGTCTAAAGAACTCAGCCCTGACATATTTTCCATTGATGCCTACTCCCATAAGAACATGGAGTTAACCGTCACGTCCGCAACAATTGCTTTGGCATCTAAGACAATGCAATCCTTATCTGCCGATGAGGATGTTCTGTCAAAGCCAAGAGGTACAGATACTCCCTATAGAATACGAAATTATACCGGCTTTGAATTGCGAGTATGGGCAGATACTGGAAATGGAGAGGAAGGGTATGCCTGCACTCTCGAGGATGGCCAAGAATACCCCTGGAGATTCGAGGACCCAACTACTATGCGAGAAAACCTTACCCCCGAGGGGAACGCTGGTACGGTTGGAATCAAGCTGGAGGGGAGTGGATTCGACAGCATCAACCGCATCCCCCTCATACGTGAAGGAGAAACACTGTATAACCTAAAGCCAAAGAAAGATAAAGTGCTACATAAGCTGTTGGTGGAGGTCAGCTTGGGAACGGACTATGTCAAGTATATCACCTTCCGATCCCCTCTTGTGGTGGAGAACAAGACTCAGATACCTGTTGAGGTCGGAGTATTCAGCCCCGAGGAGGGACATCTCCTTAAGATTGAAAAGATTCTTCCTGGTGATTCGCGCCCAGCACCAGTTGGCGCTGCCTACCTGCATTCTCTCGTTGTGCGCCCTGATCAAGGCTTCGGGTACGATTGGTCAAATGAGAGGCTTTTCTGGAAAGATCTGCTGAAACGACCGACAAGAACCCTCAAATGTCAGAGTGAAAGTGGACAGCAATCTCCACCATTTTACTTCCAGATGAATGCCACTTTTGACAAAAATGATCCTCTTCTCGCCGTATATCCATACATGCGGGTTCGTGTGTCTGCTCCCATTGAAATCCAAAATTTACTTCCATATGACTTCAAGTACCGCATCTATGATAAAAACTTGAAGAAGGATTGGACGAACTTTCTTAGAAAGGGAGGAGTGAGCCCAGTTCATGTCGTGGAGCTTTCTCATGTTCTTCTTCTCAGCATTGACATGCAGGATACAGCATTCCGGCAATGCGAGTTCGCAATAGTGAATGGGAACGTCCAAGAGGATTTTAGAAGAGAGTCTACCCTTACTGTCCAAGACGACCAAGGCCAGGAGCTGAAACTAGGTCTTCACTACTTTACTGTTCCTGATAGCGGCGGCGCCTTCAAGGTCTCTGTGTTTAGCCCTTACCTTGTTCTGAACAAAACAGGGCTTGATCTCAATATTCAAAGCAAAGGCGTTTTCCATGGAAGCAGGTCTGCAGCGGGTCGGGCCATAAAAACGGACGCAACTAACGGAGTCCGCTCGGCTATCCCTTATATGTACTCTTACCCAACAGACGACCGTAAGAACCGGTCAGTACTTAGGGTTAATGGCTCCGCATGGAGTAAGCCACAGAGTTTCGAGGCAATAGGGAGCAGTTTCGAGGTTACCTTACCAGGCTCCAACGGCCGAACCGAGTATCATGCAGGCGTGACAGTAGAAGAAGGAACTGGGAAATACAAGGTCACTAAAATAGTCACAGTTTCTCCCAGATTCATACTTGAGAACAGGCTGGATGAAGAATTGGTTGCTCGTGAGCCAGGTTCTTCTAATGTTATCACATTAAAGCCTCGTGAGCTCGTCCCGCTGCATTTCTTAAGACAAGCAGCCGAAAAACAGCTTTGCTTCTGCTTCCCCGGCGTCAACAATCAGTGGTCCTCCTTGTTCAACATTGCTGACCTGGGAATAACCTACGTGAAATTGGCAAAGGCAAATCAACGGCAGAGATTACTCAAAGTTGAAGTGCTCATGGAAGGCGCCACAATATTCTTGCGTATCAGCATGGAGGCAGTGCACTGGCCATATTCCATGAAAAATGAGTCGGACGCAGAATTTATATTCTTCCAAGCGGTATGGTTTTCAACCCTGACACTATTTGTTAATAAATCTTTCCTAACAGGTTTTAGAATCCCAACATTAGTGAGGACGAAGATGATCGCAGCACTACCTGGCGGCCCATCCGTTACCGCCTTCCACCGCGTAGTATCATGCCTTATGCATGGGATTATCCGGCTGCTAAAAACAAGTCTCTTGTTCTTCTGTGTCGAGGAAAAGAGAGGTATATAAAACTTGCTGAAATGGGCAATTTGATACCTATGAAACTCCCTCCGACACAGGATTTGCCACAAAAGATCATTGATATCCGCATTGAGGCCGAAGGACCTACACAAACCCTCGTCTTGTCTAATTTCCGGCCATCACGAAGTGTATATAGGCAACAAAAGCCTGCCTCCTCTCAGACTAGTGTGTCAACTGGATTTGAGGTCAAGGAGGTAAACTCGGATATTACCTTCAAAGCTCAACTTCGATTAAACGGCATTGGGATTTCTTTGGTCAACCAGAACCTGAGGGAGCTCGTATATATCACTTTCCGCGAGATAGACCTCAAGCTCAGTGAGTCTAAGATCTACCAAACAGTCAACACCACTATAAAGTGGATACAAATCGATAACCAATTATATGGCGGAATATTCCCTATCCTTTTATACCCAAGTGTTGTCCCGAAAACTGGCAGGGAGATGGAGGCGCATCCAATTTTCACGGCGACGGTCACCCGGGTTAAAGATGACTCGTACGGAGTCTTGTATGTGAAGTATGCGTCACTTCTTGTACAGCAGATGACTCTGGAGCTCGACGAAGATTTCATTTTTGCTCTCCTGGACTTTGTGAAGGTTCCTGGCGCCTCATGGTCTGAGGAACGCGAGGACCCTATTTGCGAAGCGGAACTTGGCATCCCAGAGCCCAGAAACGAAGCGCAGGGGCAGGACGTGTATTTTGAGGTCCTTCACTTGCACCCTATGCAGCTTGACTTGTCCTTTGTCCGTACAGAGCGAGTTAATGTTGAGGATACGACCGAGTCATCTAACCCATTGATGTTTTTCGTCAACGTCATGACAATGTCCATTGGTAACGTCAATGATGCTCCGGTGAGGTTAAATGCACTGCTGCTCGAGAATGCAAGGGTGTCTATACCGATGCTTGTTTCGAACATTACAAACCATTATACTCAGGAATTCCTTCGCCAGGTGCACGTCGTCATTGGCTCTGCAGATTTCCTAGGTAATCCTGTTGGTCTGTTTAACACAGTAAGTTCTGGAGTTGCAGATATATTCTACGAGCCATACCAAGGGTTCGTCATGTCCGACCGACCTCAAGAACTAGGTCTCGGAATTGCCAAGGGTGCTACATCATTCGTCAAGAAATCCGTGTTTGGAATCACGGATAGTCTTACAAAGTTCACGGGAAGTGTTTCCAAAGGCTTGGCTGCTGCAACTTTGGATAAAGAGTTCCAGGATCAACGAAGGATGTCCCGAGCCCGTAATAGGCCTAAACACGCTCTTTACGGAGTTACTGCAGGAGGTAGTGCTTTCGCAACCAGCATGGCAAGTGGAATTGGCGGTCTTGCGCGTCATCCACTAGAGGGTGCTGAAAAAGAAGGCTTCCAAGGATTTGTCAAAGGCGTCGGGAAAGGCTTCCTAGGTCTTGCAACAAAGCCAGCTCTTGGTGCCTTTGACCTAGCTTCGAGTACGTGCTCACTCTGCCCACCCCACTTCCTCTTTGTTTTTTTGACAGTCGTAATCTAACAATGAACACAGACCTTGCGGAAGGAGTACGAAATACCACTACAGTATTCGATGCCGGAGGACTCGACCGAGTTCGTTTGACCCGTTTCATTGGCCGAACTGGAGTTGTCAAACCATATTCTCAGCGTGAAGCCCTGGGTCAGTTCTGGCTCAAGACAACAGATGATGGCAAGTACTTCAATGAGGAGTATATTGCTCATCTAGAGTTCCCCGGCAAAGATATGCTTGTGCTTTTGACGTATGATCGAATTATGCTCGTCAGGTCGAAGCGACTTACAACCGAATGGGATATTAAATTGACCGATATTCAAAAGATATCGAAAGAAAGGACTGGAATGACCATTACACTTAAGGGTGGCACCAACGGCCCATTCATACCCGTACAAGACGAGAGTGGCAGAAATTGGTTTTACAAACAAATTGCTATTGGTAGGCCCCATCATTATAATTTTTCCCACAAAGTGAAGTAAAGTCACTAACTAATCTGTGGTTTATAGCTGTTAATGCGTTTAATGAGAAGTATAGCGCCAAGGGATAGTGTTTGCCAGTTATTTCCGAGGCACTAAAGTTAAGAAATGCAACAAACAAGAAGCGGGGAAAACGAACTATTCTTATATACTTTCAATGCCCTTTTATATTTCTTAGCTACTTTCATCCTTTTGTATTGATAATGCTAATTGTTGTGATTGATTTTTACGGGGCTTTTTCTTTTCGGCTATGACGAAGTTTATTCATATAAATAGCACCTTTACGATTCTATATATGTATCATTATTGCAATGACCACGTAGACTAGTCTAATTAAGCGTTTGATCATCTGGAGTATATATATTCCGCAGTGTAACTCCCAAGTAATACGGCATTAGGCGGGCTAAAGGACGGGACGTACCACAAGCTCCTCCACTGCCAAGACCACGTCCGCGCTGTTGGGTGCGGCAACGTGCCGCTCCCGTCTTCCCGCTCTAACAAAAAGCTTGAACACTCCATATTTCGACGACTTGCTTTTCCTCTGGCGTTATTTAGCGGGCTCTGGATATTCCATGGGCGCAACTAGACTGCTGTAGGTTAGCGAGGGTGTGGTGGACAAAGGACTTGTGTTGGTTCTGCGCTATTTATCAAAGTTAAGCATGTTTAGCTAATTAACTACTTATGACTTCATCTTCATCTAACTAACAACAGTAACTACCCCGTAGTCATCATGCTATTATCATGAGTAAACCATGCAGCTTTTAGGTAGTTATATCTAATCATCTATAGAAATATTTTGCATATTGTAAGGTGGTAAGTATACTTTTCCCTTGCGCCAAAAAAGACTAACCATAGTGCGCATTCCCGAAGTGCGTATTCGTATTAAACATATCTTGAGGCTTTCAAAAAAAAAAATGCGCAGGAAATAGGTAATAAAGCCCATCGCCGACTGCATGAGCAATCAACAGTCACACTTTCTAGGAAACCACCTCCTAGCGCTGTTGCCGTTTAACATATCCACACAGGGCAAGCTCACACCCTGCAGGTGTACGTACCCCATAGATGTGGAGTTGGAATGAAGCAAGCAACAAACCGAGACATGATTTGCAGAAAAAGGATCAAATCCTGGCTCTGAGAATGGATTGTGCGGCAGACGAAGAATACATCTCAGTCACGTATTGACTTGCTCAAATAGGATAGATCGAAGTCCTATGCCAGCCTGTCATCCAAATGCCTGTAATATATATCCTAGCTCTGAACCTAGCATGAAGTCGCTCTACATCCTGAGCATGCCCTTGCTTAACAAATGATGAGGCATATATTGCTTTAGCTGGAGTGGATTACATAACTGGGGACTCGTTTGACGGAGCCTACTTCCCGTGATACAGGCCCATGCCTGTCTCACGGGGGTTGTTGCTCCGTGATGGGGCTTGAAGTCGCTACTTACAACGAATGATCGGCCAACTGCAGGCAGTACCCAACAAACAACAAACCAATATTCGCACCTGTCTGTCCACGATGCCATGCAAAGGAAATGATCATAGGTAGGGCGTCCGGAAAGAGACTTTACTGCTTGTCATCAGCTGCATATAAATTACACGACGTTTCTACGTGTCCAAGAAGGTTTCGACATCAAAGGGCGTCCATTGCCGATCACCTGATCGGCTACGGCATCCATGTTGGAGGTACACGGCAACGGCTGACCCCGTCACGGCCTTGGAGCCGTTTCTTCCTCTGAAGGCTCCCTGTCCAGCTGATAGAATGAGGTTTTAAAAGGCCAATTACCAGGCCAGACGAAGACCAGGCCCTAAAACTCTGCTGTGATACAAAACGAGATCGAAGTTTCAAGCAAGAAAAATTACAGCAAAACAAAAAAGACGATGCACTGCCACTAGGACGAATAAATAAACCAATCAGCAGCTGCAGAATGCCGTAAGTCCCGCCAATAAACACTTGCTTATATAATTATGCAGATGTCGAGACATGTACGAGCGATACCACGTTACGCACTAGTCTGCTTTGGGGTAGAAGGTGTCGCACCAATGTCTTGTAATTGACAAGCTGCTATTGGCTGGTATCCGGGATATGTCAGCAGACTGCCCCAGCCCCGGGTGTATCGTACGGTAACCGCCGCCACTGCCCGAGCTAAAGGCGGCATGTAATTACTATCCGGCCCAGTTTCTGCCGCTTACCTAAGCCCTGTTACGGCCCTTTCCCCGATCGGGAAGGCTTGCTGTCCTATTTTTCTCTCGTCTTTTCCGTCGACTTCGACTTCGACCTCAACTCGTCTTTCTCTCCCAACGTCCGTCTTGAGTCTGCCTGCTTTTGCCTCGCGATTTCGTACATCTGCGCTTCTGTCTCGCTTTGTCTTCGAGCAATTGACCTGTTCCAACTGTATGTATTCCCGTCTGTCTTGTCCATACAAGCAAACCCCCTTTTAGCTGTCCGGAAGAGCTGTGTCGTGTGAGTCTATGGGAATTGTATGCAGCTCATGAGCTGATCTATTGATTGTTGCTTTTTCTGCGGTGCCGTCCGAGCCTCTTTTGCTCGCTCAGCCCATTTCTCTCTCCTTAGCTGCTCGCTGAGAACTGTTCTACTACTTTTCTTACTTCTTGTCTGAATCCTGGCTAACAGAAGAAACAAAAAAAGCAGATCCTAATTTATACCTATACCTGTCTCTCTTGAATTAAGGGAGACGTTCTGATGACCTCGAGCTCGTGTGAGGCGGAACGGCAGATATAGTCGATAATTCCAGCCTCTTTCGACATCCATTATATACTCCTATACTTTTGGTGTCCTCTTTGGCTGGTCGTATTTGAACTTCTTTTTGCATCCCTTTGAAACGCGGCTGAAACGTCGATAAAAAAAATTACTAGATCGGGCGGTCCGGAAAATAATATCTTATAGGTACGAAAAGACAAAGCAGACTAACCTCTGATTTAATATTAAAAGCAGATGGGCTAACTGGTACTTCTTCTCATCAGAACATCTGTTTTTCTTTTCTTTTCATTTTAATATATTTGTGAATATGTTTCGAACAACAAGAGCTGTGACGCTGAAGGCGTCCGGAGCTTCTTCTCTTCTCAGACAATCGGCGTATACTCGTTCGATATGTTCTGGAGCAAGATCAAATCTTCAGTTGACCTCTCGGAAGCCTCTGGGTGTGGTTTGCGCCAGTAAAGCCTGGAAGCAGACCAGAGGTTACGCTGTTGCGACTGGCGAGAACAGCAAGGGAGTGGTTAGTAGCGATTTTCTGTTGCTGCTGAAAATTTTTTTCTTGACTAACATAACTATGTACATAGGACCCAAATGACTCTTTTCTCCAGGGCAACACCGCCAACTACATCGATGAGATGTACATGGCCTGGAAGGAGGACCCTCAAAGTGTCCACGTCTCATGGCGCACCTACTTCCACAATATGGAAGAGGGCAAGATGCCCATCTCGCAAGCCTTCCAGCCTCCACCTACCATCGTCCCCACTCCTACCGGCGGTGTTCCTCAGCATATGCCCGGAAACGCGGCCGGAACCAACGTCTCCAACCACTTGAAGGTCCAGCTTCTCGTTCGCGCCTATCAGGCTCGTGGACACCACAAGGCAAAGATCGACCCTCTCGGAATCCGCGGTGAGGCTGATTCTTTCGGTTACAGCAAGCCAAAGGAGCTCGAGCTGTCCCATTACGGTTTCACTGAGAAGGACCTTGACGAGGAATTTGCTCTTGGCCCGGGAATTCTCCCTCGCTTCGAGACCGAGACCCGTAAGAAGATGACCCTCCGTGAGATTATTGATGCATGCGAAAAGATCTACTGCGGCTCCTTCGGTGTCGAATACATCCACATTCCTGACCGCGTTCCTTGCGATTGGATCCGTGACCGTATCGAAATCCCTCAGCCATACAAGTACTCTGTCGACGAGAAGCGCCGCATTCTGGATCGTCTGATCTGGAGTTCCAGCTTCGAGGCCTTCTTGGCCACCAAGTTCCCCAATGACAAGCGATTCGGTCTGGAAGGTTGCGAGACCCTGGTTCCTGGTATGAAGGCATTGATTGACCGAAGTGTTGACTACGGTGTCAAGGATATTGTCATCGGTATGCCACATCGTGGTCGATTGAACGTCCTCAGCAACGTCGTTCGTAAGCCCAATGAGTCTATCTTCAGTGAGTTCAGTGGTAGCGCTGAGCCTTCCGATGAGGGCTCAGGTGATGTCAAGTACCATCTTGGTATGAATTTCGAGCGCCCAACTCCCTCCGGAAAGCGTGTTCAGCTTTCTCTCGTCGCCAACCCCTCTCACTTGGAGGCCGAGGACCCAGTTGTTCTCGGAAAGACTCGCTCTATCCAGCACTACAACAACGACGAGAAGGAATTCAACACTGCTATGGGTGTCCTTCTTCACGGTGATGCTGCCTTCGCCGCTCAGGGTATCGTTTACGAGACCATGGGTTTCCATGCCCTACCTGCCTATTCCACCGGAGGAACTATTCATATCGTTGTTAACAACCAGATTGGTTTCACCACTGACCCTCGATTTGCCCGATCCACCCCTTACTGCTCTGATATCGCCAAGGCCATTGACGCTCCAGTCTTCCACGTGAACGGAGATGATGTCGAAGCTCTTAACCACGTCTGCCAGCTGGCCGCCGACTGGCGTGCTCAGTTCAAGAGCGATGTTGTCATTGATATCGTATGCTACCGTAAGCAAGGTCACAACGAAACCGATCAGCCCGCCTTCACCCAGCCTCTTATGTACAAGCGCATTGCCTCCCAGCAGAGCCAAATCGACAAGTACGTTGACAAGCTTCTGAAGGAGAAGACCTTCACCAAGGAGGATATCGATGAACATAAGAAATGGGTCTGGGGAATGCTCAACGATAGCTTCGAGCGCAGCAAGGACTACACCCCAACCAGTCGAGAGTGGCTTACTTCTGCCTGGAACGGATTCAAGACGCCTAAGGAGCTCGCCACTGAGGTCCTAGGTCACCCTCCTACTGGCGTTGAAGCTGAGACTCTCCAAATGATTGGTGCTAAGCTTGGAGGCATTCCTGAGAACTTTACTCCTCACCGCAACCTAAAGCGTATCTTGGCCAACCGAGAGAAATCTATCAAGGAAGGTCAAAATATCGACTGGTCCACCGCTGAAGCTCTTGCTTTCGGTACCCTGTGCAAGGAGGGCCACCACGTCCGTGTGTCCGGCCAGGATGTTGAGCGTGGTACCTTTTCCCAGCGTCATGCAGTCTTGCACGACCAGGAGAACGAAAGCACATACACTGCTCTCCAGCACATCAGCCCCGACCAAGGATCCTTTGTCATTTCTAACTCCTCCCTCAGTGAATACGGAGCGTAAGTTGACATCAATTCAGAAAAACATTGCATTGCGGTTTTCAGGCTAACTAGTATTTTTAGTCTCGGATTTGAATATGGCTACTCGCTAACCTCCCCCAACGCCCTTGTCATGTGGGAAGCCCAGTTCGGTGACTTCGCCAACAACGCCCAATGTATCATTGATCAGTTCATTGCCTCCGGTGAATCGAAATGGGTCCAGCGATCCGGTCTCGTCATGTCTTTGCCCCATGGATATGACGGTCAGGGCCCTGAGCACTCTTCCGGCAGACTGGAACGTTACCTCCAGCTTTGCAACGAGGATCCTCGCGTCTACCCAAGTGCCGACAAGATCGACAGACAACACCAGGACTGCAACATGCAGATTGCCTATATGACCTCCCCTGCCAACTTGTTCCACATCCTCCGTCGACAGATCAACCGTCAATTCCGAAAACGTAAGCTTACCTTGCCTTGACTTTTTTCACGCATACCAGCTCCAGTACTAACATGTCTTTAAAATAGCACTGATCATCTTCTTTTCGAAATCCCTCCTTCGTCACCCAAGCTGTCGATCCTCCATTGAGGAGTTCACCGGCGACTCCCACTTCCGCTGGATCATCCCTGACGACCAACACGGCAAACAGATCGACGAGCCCGAGAAAATCGAGCGTGTGATTATGTGCACTGGTCAAGTCTGGGCTGCCCTCACAAAACACCGTGAGACCAACGGCATCAGGAACACCGCCATCACCCGTATTGAACAAATGCACCCCTTCCCCTGGCAACAGCTGAAGGACAACCTCGACAGCTACCCCAATGCCAAGGACATCGTCTTCTGTCAGGAGGAGCCTCTCAACGCCGGAAGCTGGAGCTACATGCAGCCCCGCATTGAGACCCTGCTCAACGAGACTGTCCACCACAACAGGCGCCATGTCCTGTACGCCGGTCGTAACCCGAGCGCCAGTGTGGCCACTGGCTTGAAGAGCAGCCACATCAAGGAAGAGCAAGATCTATTGAATGACGCTTTCACCGTCCACCAGGAAAAGCTGAAGGGCGAGTAGATCGCAGAATTTAGAACAGAAAGCAGATGGGAGCTGAAGTGTCTCCCATCGAAGACAGTATTTCTACATGCATGAGTGTGATGGCCTTTCATTTGTCCTTTTCACAACCACCTTTGTTTCCATAGTGTATAAATCCGAATAATTTTCTTTTACATTGCATTCATTCGTTATTCTCTTTTTTCATCCGCTTTTCCTCCCTTTATAAATTTTTATATAAGACGAAGTTAAAATACATGCTGACTAAACTTCCCTGCTTAGCTAATACTACGTCATCGGCAAAAGCGCAAAATGCGCTTCTTCGATATAGAGATCCATCAGCAGTAGCAACCAGGCGTAATGCTCCTTGTACGATATAGATTCCGTAAGAGATAGCTCTAGCCGCCAGATACCGAGCTACCCGATGCGGGGGATTCGAGAAATGAAGGTAAACTGGTGATATTCAGCTTCAACTTCGTGCAAATTACATAAGCTGCGTTTTATCGCACTAAACCCGAATGGGCCTCCCTGCGGAAAGCTTCACAAGTCACGCTTCTTTCTTCTGCGTCTTCGGCTTCTTCGACTTCGCGACTTCAGCATTACGACTTCACCAGGCGGCAGGACTTTTACTGCGCTTTTGCTTCTCTTTATAAAGCTGTCCCAGGGCGCAGCCTTTGCCCCAGAGCCATCTCTGCGCCAGGGCAGCCTCTTTCTACCTACCGTTCCACTGCCGCAAACCCAGCTCATCCTCTCACAATGGCGTCGAACGGCATGCCCACCAGCGGCAATGCCAGCAACATACGCCAAACCGCTCGTCAAACCCGGACAAACCCTTCTAGACAGTCTAAGACCGCTGGCCGCTCGTCTCTTGTCGGCGGACTTGCCGGCGGGCCCTCGAGCCTTGGGGGTGGGCATACAGCCGGTGGCTCTCTCCAGGGGAATTCGGTACCAGCGGGGATCTATCCGGGGATCACTCACTTCAGCGATGCTATCGATGCACTTCCTAGAGAGTTCCGGAGACATAATTCGTTGCTGAACGAGGTTGATGGCAAAGCGTGGGCGCTGGAAGAGCAGTTGTCCAAATTGCTCACCACTGCAACAAAGCTGATCTCTGTAGACTACGATGCTCCTAGGCCGAAGCAAGTACGTTTTCAACTCTTCAGTGCCTTCTGTTAGCTTTTCCATATACTTCAAGTGAACTAAGGAAGATTTGCTGACTGAATCCTATCTTAGGTCGATGCCACACCGACGAGACAGGTCTTTCAGAACATCCGTTCCACTCTCGGCGATCTTCTGGGAACCATCGATGAGAAGAACCATGTTGCGCGCAATGCGAATGCTACACTCCAACGAGATATCAGCAGACTGGATGCTATTTACCCTCACGTACAGCGAGAAGTGAGCGATGAAGCTCGGCTCGGCAGTTTGACACACTGGGCATATATCAACAAACCCACACCAAAAACGAGTGCGAGTGCTGTCAATGAGCGGCCTAGACGAGATACAGCAGGTGCAAACAGCCATAGAGCCGGCCACGGAGATGCGGATAATGAGCCAAAGAAAGAACCTGTTCGCCGACAACGTCGCACACAAGCAGAGATTGAAGCAGATGAGGCTCGAGGTGTGACCGTACGAAGAGGCAAACCAGGGCCGAAAAGCAGAACTACAGACAACCAGTCGAACGAACAAGCTTTGGCTGCCGGGGCTCTCCCTGGGGCTGTGGCTGCGAGTGGGTCGAAACGCCGAAAAGTTGAGCATACTCAATCTATAGCGGCAACAGCTATGGAAAGGTCAGCGAGCACCGCAACAAATGCGGGTGGCCGAGCGGGATCAAAAGAGAGCCCTGCGCCAGATACTGTGAAGAAGAGAACAAGGGCACCTAATGCAAATTCAGCTGCAAGAAAAAGGTATGTCTATTCCACCCGCAAACCAACCTTCTTACTCTTGCACCTATATCGGGGGAAGGATTCGCTGCCTTTACTCTCATTATTGTTTCCACAATACAAAAAGGGGTTACTTCCTTACAGCCACTGGCATATATCCCTTGTTGGAAGAGCAATATCATCATCCAGAAAACGTAACTAACGGATTCATGTTTAAAGTAGAACAAATACCATATCATCAACCGCAGGGTCTCCGGCTGTTGCTGGCGCATTGAATACCTCCCAGCTCGGACACGCCTCCAATAGCCCAGCGCCAGCGTCTTCCCTTCGCTCTCAACCACGGCCACAACAGAATCAGTCGCAGGCTTCTCGCCAGCGGCCGTCTTCGTCTGCTTCAAATCGCAACCCAAGTATGTTCCCTAGAGCCTATAAAATACACCCTTCGAAGATGCCATCTAACACTAGAATAACAGAGAAAGAGCTTTTGGATGCTAGGCCTCCATCCGCAAAGGGTGCGGCAAGTCCCAGAATTGACACATTGGCAACCAGATCAAACGGGGACACCGTTAGAAACAGCCCGAAAACAACAGCTCTTGAGCTCAAACATGAAGAAGCTAGCTCCATGGGTCCATTGGGAGGGTCTAGTCACATGCCTGATGGTAAGGCGGACTACTCGAATCTCCCGGAGCTAAACACCGGTGTTTCCACAAAACGGTCATCGAAACATTCTACACCGGTTTCGTCCACATATACCGAGCCACAGCAAAGATCACGGCCATCTAGGACAGGTGATGGCCCTAAGCGATCTCATAAGAAAACGGGCAGTATATCAACTGCTCGGCAGATGGCTTTATCAGCGGCTGCAGACGAGGCTGCCGATGAGCCTCGCGGTACAGAAGGAGATGACCCAATGGAGCCTCGTTACTGCTACTGCAATGAAGTCAGCTTCGGAGAGATGGTGGCATGCGATAACCCCAGCTGTCCTCGAGAATGGTTTCATCTTTCATGCGTCGGTTTAACCAAACCGCCCTCCAAAAGTGGTGAGTGTTTAGCTTCTTTGATTACTTATTACGAACATGGCTAATATTCTACTTCAGTTGTATGGTACTGCAACGAATGCAAGGATGGAGCGAGAAAGACAAAGTCGGGCAATGGGAAGTAGGAAAATGTCACTCCTTTTTCGGAGTTCGTTCATCGGTTATTTATTTGCAATACGATTGAGCATTGTTTCAAGGCGGACAGTGTCGACTCTATTCTCTTCTATCCTTGTTTTATATCCAGCATTCCAGGCGTGTTCACTTTACTAGAGTTGTTAAAAACATCAAGTATGATATTCGGCCCACTTAGCCATAAAACTTGCTACCCGCGCTACGTTTCACCGGACTGCATACCTCGATCACGATCGAAATATATTAAATTTTATACATGCTAAATAGAAACTCTTAAAATGTTCCCCTGAACCGGTCTAATATCTGTCCAGCTAGCGGCCTTCGCTGGTCTGCTTCCTGGACACCACCAGCTCCGCCACCAGCGCTACTCGAGCTTCTTCGGCCGCCATCCGTATCCGTATTCGCAACAGCAACAGCAGCAGCTCTAGATTCACCTTCTAATCTTCGCCGTAGCCCTTCTAACCGCTCGGGATCTCTGTTTCCAGCCCCCGCGGTTCCAGACGAAGAAGCGTCACCGTCACCCCTATTTCTCGAGGCTCCGCGCAGCCTTTGGTGTTCTGAGGAACCGCCATAAAGCCAACCTGGTATTCTCCATGATGATATCTTGCTTGGAAGCAGCTCAGCACGCCATGCATAACCTATCACCCAGCCAACGAATGCCGGTAGTATAGTGTGGGGTAATTGTGACAAGGACAGCTGAAGCGCAAGAAAATAGATAGTTGATTTGTCGCTAAATGTAATGGCCGATCCAGAGGCACCAGATGAGCTGGTTAACAGACGGTACTTGTATGTTGTGGGGATAGTAGCGTGGTATTGCGCGAGTATAGCAAAGAGAATTGCAGTTGGGCCAGCGGGGAGATGGTTCAGCGTATTCAGAGATAGCGGGCGGGCTATAAGCGTGAGAACGAGAGGAGGTAGGATAGTCGTCAACGGAAGCGTGCTAATAATAAAGCTCTATGGCATGATACAGGTTAGTATTTGAGTTATTCCATCTGTCAATCCTTCAAGCGTTCTCACCGCAAACTTCCTCGATCCCCATAACCGCTCTATGACCCGTAAAGTATAGATAACCATTCCCGCGAGGAGAACCTCCGTTGAATTGGTATAGCATAGCTATTTTAATAGAATTAGTTTATCAATCACTCATTTCAACAGCGCTTTCAGTATAGTATGGAAGTCAAAGGTATATGGTATCGTACCGGCCAGATTAGAAACCGCCATAACTGATTATACTGCCATATATGCGGGTTCACTTGAATGTAAAACAGGTATTTAGCATCTGCAATGCTCACTATTATCGATGAAGCGATAATAAAGACCAGAGCCAATTTGGTCACTGGCGCATTGGTGAATCCTGAGCTGAGCATCCTGATGCTTTCCTTCGCCTCCCCGGGTTTATCTGAGCTCTTTCCCGTAACTCCACAGCCCTGCAGTCCAATTGAAGTATTATACTTGCTGTAGCATGCTATGCTATATGGCAGCAGACCGGGGTGTCATGTTGTTGTGATGTGTGACGTCTTTATTGCTTCTTCAAGGACGGCGAAACTTGCCAGATGGACAGAAGTGTTGATCCGCACGGACCACCTAGATGCAGCTAATTTAGAGAAAAACTCAAAGTTGACATTGAAAGACGATGTAGATTTGACATTGATATTTGATATTGATCGTGATGATATCTAGAATAAATAGCATTGCCTCCAGTATAGAATGCAGCCAGACTCCGAATCCCTCAGAACTCCCTTTTTTCAGTGTCCGAAGAAATGATGCACCGATGCTAAAATCAGGACTGTCCCTCTGCTGTCTGCTGGGCAAGGGCTTTTTGATATTCAGCCGTGGCCTTTGATAACGCATTAATAGTCGGGCCCATCAACTGCTTGACTACCTTCTCCCCGCCATCAACCTCGGCGAGACGGATCTTCCTGCCTGTAGAGGCCATTATTTCTCTGGCATGTTTCTTGAGCCTGTCAACTTCGACCTGCCGTTCCGCTTCTGCTGCCTTGGCGACCTCGTTTATTCGATCCATGGCTCTGTTAAGTGATTCCACCATTGACGCAATCTCAGACGCTCGATCAGGGTTTCCTGACAAGAATGCATTCCAGAATTGAGTCAAGAACTCTGTCGTTGTAGCATGTGTCAGGGTCAGGCGATCAAAGATTGTTTGCGAAAGTCCGCAGGTACTCGAGGAGGACTCTGGGTCTGCCTGAGCCTTCCGTTGCCCAATAATTTCAAAAATCTGGGATTTGGCGCTCGCAAGGCTCGCCTTCGAACCAACGGGTTCTTTCTTGGGCTTTGATTGTTCTTCATCACTGCTATCCCCATCTTCAGGCTCGACAAGGCGACTTAACCTAACTTGCGGCGTATCTATGTAGACCCGACTAAAGTCCGACCGTAGCATATTCAAGCTAGCCGTTGGATCTTGTTTCGCTACAACTTGCGCTTTCTTAGTTTCTCCGGCATTTCCTTCGGAAAAGAAGCGGCTTTGGTCGCGAATATTTAGCAAGATTCGTTTTTGCTCTTCCTGTTCCCGAAGATCTCGCAATTGCAGCTCGTTATACACTTCTCTGTCCGCGTTTTCAGCGTCCGTCAGATGTTGGTCGGCTGGAGCCACATTCCTCATTATTTTTTCACTGAGGGAGTTCAGGGTCCTGATGATAGGAACTTTGTCTACCGCCGTTGGTCTCATATCAAAGGAAGGTCGATTACCTTGTCTTTGGGAGACATTTTCTTCATTCCCTTCTAGATTGATAAGATTGGGCACCCGTTCCACTTCATTAGCAGGCCGTCCCGTATTCTCATCATATTTCAAGTATTTATCGAGTAACGAGTCCGTTGGGTCAGTGTCCGTTATCCGCTCGCCTCTCAATTTCTTGAAAAGGCGGCTCTGAAAAAATTGAGACCAAAAAATCTCTTCCGCCACTTTGGGGACGTTCTCATCGTATACCTTTTTAACTAAGGGGTGCTGGCTGAAGATCAGTTGGATCTGTTCCTTGCTCAGATTGAGCCTTCGCTTATCCTCAACTCGTGGCTTGACGGTGGACAACACGTTATAGGCTCCCTGTTCCTGAGACTTCTCTATAGCATGGGCTCGTAGCAGGTGTATTCGGGAAGACCAAAACTGAGATACAAGCTGTCCGTGTGTAACTGAAGCTGGCTTTGTTCGTAGGGACTCCGCAAATACACGTTTCAAACTCTCATTAGAGTTCAACAGAGATTGCTGCAGAGCCATGTCGGCTTTCAGACGATTATCGTTGTACCATGGCGGTTTCGCAGTCGCAGGCGCCGTAGGCGTACCATCGCGTGCCGGTGTCTGGGCTGACTTCGCATTTTGAATGATAGTATTCAGAGCTTCCTTAATGGCATCGGCTTCAGGGCGCGCATTGGAGGGCGAGGTAAATGTAAAAACGTATGGAACCGGAGCAGCACTTTCCTGGCTCTGGCCTTGACTTGGTGGCCCTTGGACGAATATCTTCAGCATAACTTTCGGGTTGTTAACGGGAGTCTGCTGTAAGTCTGAACCACACAATCTTCCATGTTAGCCAACAAAATCATAAATTCCGCTCTCCACGTCTGCTACTCATAGCACCTAGACGCAGCTGGCAACATACTAGTGACGGACGCTGTTTGCAACGACAACAAGCTATCTGACCCATTTTTGGGAGTCCATGTAATAGACTGAAGGTCGCTCGATATCGCCAGCGTTCCATCCTTCTTCTTATAAGACGCAGATGCGCTGGGGGAAGTTGGTGCCATGGCTCAGGCTTGGTACAAGCTACTTTGGCAGCTCCCACTGTGCTGTACGGCGTTGATCAGACGGCCTGGACCCATCTGGAGGGCAGGACTGCAGGTCAAATTGAAACAAGTACACGGACAGACAGGCTGTTCCTCTGCAGAGTTGACATTGCTGCCTGTTCTTTGCCGTTGTTGGCTTTGGATCGAGGAAAAAAGTAGCTGGAGCCGAAAAGTGGTGTCACGTGAACCACCAAATTTGATAGCTGGAGACGAATTGATAGCAGATATTTGACCAACCTGCTACTTGCAAAGAGAGAGGATGAATGTAGGCAATTCAAACTGGTAATTAGCTATTGGCTCAGGGGATTAGCTGCGTCGGTAAGTACGGTGATAACCATTAAATTTACATTGAAAATTCACCTATTCATGTCTGCCAACTATAGCTAACTATAGCAACTCTGCTCGAAGCCCATTTTTGGGTTCGGTGATGTAGTGCTTAACGATATGCTACTATGCTACATTCATGATTAAAGCACCGTTTTCTTCTTTCTCGATCTAGCTCCCCACAGCAGCCACATGTCTGGGGGAACTAAATAAGCGGGCCACTATGGCATATCCCATCGTTCGATGGCCCTCCACCCTTTTGATTGAACGAAGGGTTTTTTCTGGTCTAATATAATACATCTCAGTTATATTCTAGCAACCTCTAACCTTTCAGAATGACAATTAAAGCTCATGTGTGCGATAAAAGTTCCACGAGTGGCAGAGAACAGGGGGTATTGCCGTAGATCTATCTCCTTGTTGAGAAGTTTGAGTCGCCTGTTGAGCCAGAGATTCATATCACCGACAGGATAGAAAACATTACCGGTACCGTCAGGTATCTTTGAAGCGTTCCACAATCAATTTGCCCCGGTATAGTACCCCTGGACACTATCGTAAGCTCGGTGACAATATGTGCCAGTCGCTTGGAAAATCATCATTGTTCAAGTCTACCTTTTCATGTGTTTTCCCTGGAATAGACTCCATAAAAAGATAGCTTACCGGCCATGAAGGGCTAGATTTGCCCTCAAAGTACTGATATACCTGCGGAACCCTAGCAACTTGTTGATTGAGATGTTGATAGGCATAATGCTGTGTCGCAGCCTCACCAGGAGTCACTCCGTGCCCGCATTTCACTGCAGTCCTGTGGTGATATTACTATTCATAGACCGAGAAAATAACCGGATATTATGGGAGAAGACGCTCTCGAGATGCTGATGTCGCGCCTTACCGCTTAACTATAGAGCCTCATCAGTGCCAAGACATAACTGCTGTGGATCAGAGGCCAACAACCTTTTAAGATTAAGCGCTTGACTTCCGGAACAGGCCAGGCGAGAGATTATGGCACCGAAGAGATCTAAATACAGGTACATATCAAAGTCTTATGACGGGTTCCGGCTTGAAGTCAATCACACGACAGGCAAACCTTCTTCTAAGCCGTTTCCTAAGGGCTTGTAAACCCCCAGGAAGAGCGTTCCAGTACCATTAAAGAGCGGATATATCGTCTAATATCTCGGTAAGGAGCATTATGATGCTCGTTATGTCGTGGAATGGGCTGGAAATACCCCTTAGATTAGAATTTTTGGTCCTGGTGAGTAGTGTCTGGTGTCTGTTGGATCATAATTGATCCGGCTCAGGGGTTGTAGGGGAAGTGTGGAAGTGGATGTTTCACGGATGAAGCTTGACAAATTTCATTCCTTAACAACTACTGACGAGAGATGGTTTTGTTCTACATCTCGGGGCACATTAATTTATCCTGGCTAACTACATAACTACATACATATAGGGGCTTCCCTAGTTCACACTACTCATACCTGGCTGGCGAGTTAGCTGCTTAGCCCGGGACGGACATCCTTGCCTTAGACATGCTTAACTCCGATGACCAGCTTCCCTGAAACTGGCTGCGCTATGAACGTTTCGGTTTGTTCCATACTATCGTTGCCGACTACGAATGTAGTATAGTTCGTGTAAAGTGCGGCAATGGCGAGTTTGATATCTTGAACAGAGAGACTAGGGTCAGCCGAGGGCCTTTGAACATACGGGGATGCTGGAGGCCAGATTGAAATACTCAAATTATACGTACCCTGAAGAGCAAAGTTGCTTCCCAGACACATCCTTCCACCGCTTCCAAATGCCCAGAAGAGTCGTCTCATCTTTTCAAGCTGTGTTTTATCTGCTTCGACCCATCGATGGGGCTTCCAGCTCTCAGGTTCAGGGAATACCTCTGGGTTTCGATGCAATGTGTATGCAGATGACATTACGCGGGTGCCGGCGGGTATCTGATAACCTTCCAGCTCTACCGGTTTACCAGCGGGAACGATTCGAGGTAGTGGAAGAGGTGCTGCTGGATATACTCGAAGAGTCTCATGCACGATGCCGTTGAGCAATGGAAGTTCGTCAAGAGAATGGAATGAAGGGAGCCGGCTGCCTTTTTCCTTTTCGCCATCGGTGGTCTTAGAGATGCTGTCTTGTTTATAGAAGATTGGAGGAGACAAGGTGAGCAGCTCTTCTCGTAGTTTTGCCTGCAGTTCAGGATTCCGGGACATTTCATAGACGATATACGTTAGTGTTATCCCGGTTGTTTCATGGCCGGCGACTATATGGTCCATCATCTCGGAGGCGACTCGAAACCTGGCATCAGCCTTCTCAGCATCACTGTTTGGGTTGACCTGGGAGAATATGCCTTGAAAGAGTTGACCATATACCACAGGCTTGGTAGAGCCAGACTTGAGGTCGGCCTCTCCCTTCGCTTTGCAGGATAGCTGGCTCGCAACTTGATCGCACATCTTCAAACAGAGGTTCTCAACCTCTCCGAACGCTCGTTGCTTTGGAAGCTGGGTCTTGAACACAGAATATAGCTTGAGCCAGTGGTCTCGATACTCGGTGTCACGGAGGAAATCTGTGCTGGCATCAATTCCGAAGAGATATGCTGTCATGAAATCCATACCCACTGCCTGGAAAGGAGGGAAGACGTTCAGCGTCTTTTCAGGACCCAAGTTCATTCGCTCCTCCTCACGGTCGGAAGGGAACGATGGCGGCTGTGCTATTCTCTCGAACATGGGTAGGTATCTCTCCCAGATCAGCTGTTCTGAGGCGACTCTCAAATCTTCCGAGGCCAGGATGAAAGACTTTGAATAGACACGGGACACCATCCTCTTCTGCTCTGAGTGAGCCTTGAAGGACAGCATACTGGCTAGGTTAGGGTATCGCTCATAATTCATAAACAGATCTTCATAATAGTTGTCCTTGGGGAAGCCGCCGAGGTAGATGGTCTTGAGCCCGTTGGCCGAGTTGACGCTGACTTCGTTCGGGGCGAGCTGGACGATCGGCCCCAGCTTCTTGTGCAAGGCATAAATGGTCGATACTTCACGGCAGCGGTAGTTGCGTATCCACCATAGCCATGTCGGAAGAAATGGCGAAGTGAAGTGCGCTTTGGGGATCCGGGCAAGCGGCGAGAAGTATAGGGGGTAGATGATATATCGGTACACGCAGGCCGCGAGGACAGGAATGGCGAGCAGGTAAATCATGATTGTTATTATTTATGCCTTCCAGCTCTCCCCCCTCTCTCGCTATAGAGATGACTGACCGGTAGTCGAGGGTGTTGGTGTGCGTTGGATACCTCGTTCTCGTCGAAAGCGGGCATACCTTCCACCCATATATATAGTTAGAGGCGCGTTGCCATATTACCCGTCACAACCCCCGCGAAAACTGGCCCTGCCAAAAGCATAACTAATATAACCAAGGTATTACTTGTACCTTCTGATAATTAGACCAGCCAACTAACCGGAGATGTCGACAACGGGCGGCCAGAGCCTGGAAAAGCACGTCGTTGATTCGACGTTGGTACTTCCACTTGATATCCCGTCCTACCCTCGCATAATACGTATATGTATCACATCCACCCTGACCCAGTGCACAATTAACTACACCAAAAGCCTTCCATATGGTTGTACGACACCGGCCACGCTCCAGAAACATGAAGCCCCCAACCTGCATCCATGGCAGCTCATGTGGGCATCTGCTATCGTGGCAGCTCCGCCGTCTTGCAGATTCTGCGGAAATACTTTCCCCCTTGATCGAATCTCCAGGCATATCCCCCAACCTGCGCCGGGTCTTACAATGGTGCTCCTCTTAGAATAAGGGCAATCCGTATTGTATTTTAGTCGGAAACTATAATAAATGGAGCCGGTTTTTTTTATTTTTTTTTTGTTTTGTTTTGATTTGATATTTAGCTTGGTGAATCGAGGAACCAACGGGCAAGTTGTATATAGTTCCCGCTCGAACCACAAAGCTAAGAGCGCCCGTTTTATATAAGTACAACAACAAGCAAGGGGGCGAAGAGTAAAAGAGGAAAGAATAAAGTCGCAGTGCAAGCCGCCTTCGCCGTCCCGAAGTGCCGATTCTGGGATACCATGTATGTATGAATTGGGAATGTTAAGAAGGAAAGAGGAAAAATGGCAAGGAAGAAGAACAAAACGGAAAAACGAGAGAGCACTTATTGTGGGCCCTCTGGCTTGAACGGCCTTCTCACAAGGGAGTTTGGAGGAACATATGTTTTCCTGCCATAGAGGAAGTAGTAGATGGTTGCAAACACGATGACTGACACATAAATGAGCGAACTCCAGTTCATCGTCGTGGCATCTACTTCCTTGGTCAATGGGAAGAAGGAGAATACAAACAATGGAAGGAGGAACAACATCGCCGCAGCATTGATGAACCCTCCATATTTGCCAAGAGACCAGCGCCTGGAGGGGAGTGGTTCACCACGGATGCGTTTGAGTAAGATGCAGCCAATGGAGATAAGATACGCACTCATCAAGGAGGCGACTGTTAGTGAAGTAATAGCATTCAGGGCGGTAGTTGAGCCAACATTGATGAGTGCAAGTAGGATAGTCACAACCAGCGAGACTATTACCGCGTGTAGAGGAATGTTCCATGATGGATTGACCTAATTATATGTCAGCACGGAACGAACAATTAAAAATTCTGGGCAGCCATGCAGATGTCGATGGGATGATCAAGATTTTACTTACGTGGGAGAGAAAATCAGAAAATGGTACTCCCCTATCCCTGGCAAATGACCAAGTCTGTCTGGAAGCAGTCGCCACTTCAGTGATAGTACTTGCAACGAGTGTGATGGTGATGATCGCCGTCATGGCGTTAGTTGCTGCATGGCTTTTGGTAGCGTTGAAGAAGATCTGGATGAATGGAATTCCGGTCGGAGTTGCAAGGACTGCCTCGACGTCTCCAACGGTAAAGCATATGGTGAGGATAACAGCCAGGCCTAGAACAAAGTTGACTCCCACAGCACTCATCATGGCTTGAGGTAGCGTTTTCGATGCATCTTTGATTTCCTCGGCTATAGCGTAAAGGGAAGGTATAACATATCAGCAAGTTGTTCTAAGGGTAATGCAGCTATTGCAGGGTTTCTTGCATGAAGAATGTACGTACCCATGTGCACTGCACAGTCGTAGCCTATCATCGACGCAATGGCTGGAGGCAATCCAACCATGACCGCAACCCCTGTAGTAGTCCACCCTCCGCCGTTGTTGAACTGCGTGAAAACGACCTCGGCGCTGCTGCGGGGGGCAAGCACCACAAGTGGCACAATAATGGCAACTATACCGATGATGTGAAGTAGCAGAAGTAAAGCCTCTACCAAGGGGAGTTTCTTCGCAAGAAAAGTGTTGAATATTATAGAAAATACCGCGATCGCAATGACCAACATCGTGCCGTGCCAGCGCTGGGGGATGTAATCAGGGAGGTTTAATATCAGAAGACCCTGAATAATCGTTCCGGCTAAGAATGCAATTGTGACAATGGCGCACTGCCATCCTGTCGAGCATAGCCAGCCTAAGGGTATTCCTTAGTATATAAAACGGACACAGGTGAGTGTGCAAAATGAGGCTCTTACCTGTGATATAGCTAAGATATTTCTGGCAACTTGGTGGGGCGAACTCGGAAACCCAGTGATACTGTCCACCAGCCGTGGGGGACCTACCTGTGGTCAGTACGATACGGGAATGTAAAACGAACGTCGACGCGGAGAACTCACATTGAAGCAATCTCAGCAAGACTTGCGAATACCAGAGAGAAACCGCATGAGACCGCTAGAAATCCCCAGATGAGACCAGCCGTGCCTCCATCGAGTAAAGCAAATCCGAGAAGACTGTTTTTGTCAGTTATTCAAGCTGGAGGATTGAATATGAAGAGCTGTTGAAAATAGCGAGTCGTACCTCAACACCACCTCCCATGTTGCGATCAGCGTACAGGCGAATCCTAGGATAGAGATGAAACGGAAATTTCTCTATAATTAGGGCGCCATGTTAGTCTTCGATTATGAATTGAGATCGAGTACGGAGAAGGGGGCTTACCCTCAAGACCTGTGTCTTTCCCAGCTGGCACATATCATCTCGATCTCGAGACGTGCCCATATATTTGGCTGGAACATGCTGATTCTGTTGTTCTTCATATGTGAAGGCTTCCTCAGGGTGTCCGACGCTCTCATCAGCGCTCTTCAGCCGCTTTGTAGAGATGGAGTCGGAAGACATCTTTGCTTGTGTGTGCCCAGAATGTCCAGATACGACAGGATGTTTCTCCCTAAACTGGTTGGTATTCACCAGCTTCTGGGGCAGAAGACAGCAGTAGAATAGAGTTTCAACCGTTGGATCCCTTCTGAGACTGGAATGTGCAAGGGTGCCGTCAGCTTGGAAACGACGGAGCAAGGGAGTGAATGGTTGGAAAACTGGAGGATGTGGATGTGTAGGAATGAAATCACAATGAGTGAAAAAGAGGGCGAAGATCGGAAATTTTGAACAACGTGGAAAACCTGCAGAATTGACAGGAAAAGAAGAAAATCCCACCCAATATTAACACCATCGTAGGTTCAATAATGGGACACAGGCACCACGGGGCGAAGTGACCTCTCTTAAAAAGAAGTTACGAGGCATAACACTATGTTAATGTCGTGGGCTGGAAGAGTTATCCAAGGGCCACAGAAAGCGTGGAAAAAGGAAAGAGGAAGTATAACGATGGTGCTGGGTATCATTCGAGGGTCCCAGCCCATGCAAGGAAATAAACTCCTTCTGCATACTAGGGGTACCTGTGGAATGGCCGATCCCAGAGTCGATTCGGTGCATGGGCAAAGACACATCTAGTCCGCCTGAAGAGCCAAGTTTCTGTTTCTCACGGGCCCAAGCCAGGAGTTTGGCCACTGGCAGACAAAAATAGGTGCAGCGCTCGGTACGCTGGGAACTATTGGCACCCGTTGGCTAAGCGATATCAGAGCTCTCAAAACGCACGCCCGTCCGCAGGATGCGCCGACTAAACACGAGCTAGACCCGATGGAAAGAAAATAGCTTTTCAACTCTCTTCGTCCTTGCCCCAAAACCAAAGCCATCGAGTGAGGCACCCATGGCCAACCGGGAGTCGAGCCAAGTGTCGATCATATCTGATCAGTCCTGTACTAAAAAGACAGAAGGCGCCCTGGTCAACCGCCACGAAGCCAGCTTAAGCCCTTCCCCCCTAGTCGGCCATGTCCACCCTGATGGCCACCCTGGGCTGTCACACACCATAGCGCTGGTAGTCCCGTTCCGTGCGCATAACGGATGTCTGCACCCGCGCCCCTTGCCCCCTCGCTCGTTTTCCCCCCATCCCACGGCTGGTCCACTTGTGGGACAAAGAATCTTGCTTGAGATATGCAGTACAACTGGTCGGATGGCCGTTTGATTCGTGCGATGTTTGCGAGGCCTTCATCTCGAGACCAATGACCATGGAAACTCTAAAAGTCGGGTGTGATATTAAGAAAACCCTGGATCCCGTTATCCATGCCGGTATTCTCGTCTAACCATGGCCAGACGGAGACACAGATATGGCCCTTCCAGGCTGTCCTGCCTTGTTGTGTAGTTGTGATGTACATCGTTTAGCGATGTCGACGACGTTGCTGGGGCTCGCGATAATTACAGAGAGTGTATGGTAGTTACCAATGAGTAAGATTTATACATAGTTTGAGCCAATAAAAGGCCAGAATATAGTAAATACTCCGTATATCTCGATACATGACACCTCGCTCTTCGTCCTCCGCCTGGGCTGCAAAGCAAAGCACTAACAAACGACAGAAAGCAACTGAGTCGGATACGATCCAGTATTCTGGGTCTGTTAAAGAAACATGCGAGCTCACAAAGATTAAAATTGCCCCTACTAAGAATATTTCTAGATCCAATCCACGAGGAGAGACGGCGATTTTCAGGGCCGACGCTTTGGACCCTGAGCCTCCAGACATTCTACCTGGCCGTAATGCCGAGGGCCGAGCGATAGGAAAGTATTGCGGTTGAATTCTTTGAAGATGACAGATCCCAATTAGAAACGTCGCCTGAGCGAGCCCTTCGAATCTATCATCTCCCTGTACGCGAGGATAAGGGTACCATGCATCATTTACTGAGAGTCACTGTTAGCTAAGGAAAATGTGAAATACAGGACCAGCGAGTCAGAAGCATGGTTGGGAACCAAAGTATGGAGGAAGTTAAACCGTTTATCTGCAGAGAGACGAGTATACTTCGGGCAGGGTAGACGCAAGCGGTGTGCTCACCCGGCTCAGGTACACTGGGGATCAATCGCTTCCTCGAGAATGCCCACAAATATTCTTCTTGTGACTGGGTGATGACATATTAACACCAATCGATAGCCAGGGATAATTGACAAGTCTTCCCACTTGGCATTATCCAGTCCGACCTACAATATGACGGCTCGACCAATACCTCACCCCCCAGCTCAAAACTAAAGTGAGTTGCGGATACCTTGAGGTATATATTTCCTTACTCTAAATAACTTTATAACAATCGGCTGGGACCAGGCAAAGGGAAGATTCTTGTTAAACCGCAAATGGACGAGCAAACCTCACACACAAGACGAGAAAGCCTTGATTTTTGGGAGATATCAAGTCCATTCAGCAAATTATGAAGGAAAACGCGGCTGTGAAGCATGATATCTCTCGAGCAGCCCGCAAGGCGTCCAGGCTTGTTTAAGCCGCCCCTTCTCCTCCTATTCCGGGGCCCTAGGCAGAAACACCATATGTATGTGTATACGCAAGCTGCACGCGATATCGTGGTGGAGTACTCCGTACGGATGCTTGGTAGGGGTTCCCCACGATCCGTACTAATATAAAGAATCTCATGGGTATAAATATTTATGAGTTATATATACTAGCCGGAGGCAACATCTGCCCTGCCCTGTCTATACATACAAGGGACGGAACCCTGGCTAATTAAAGTTTTAATAGTCCAGAGAGAGCACCTCTTTTGGACCACGACGGTAAGCAGGAGCTGGGCACGTCAGGCGCTGAGGTGTGGGGGGTAGAAGCGCAAAGAGCTGGCAGTGGGAAGAGAGAATCAGGCGCATGCGGCGAGAATGATGGCTGTGAGGCAGAGAGACAAGAAAAAAAAAGCCCCACGAATGAGAGGCTGGTTACACTGCAGAGAAAAGCAAAACTCACGATCAGGTGAGTCTGGGGCGAGAATCGAACCCATCAGAAATCACGATACGCGGCCATCGACCTGTCGCCCAACTGCCGTCGGTCTCTCTTTCTCCAGCCCCTCTCCCCTTTTCTTTTTCCTCTATGCAGCACGTTAATTTATCCAGCTCGATTTCCAAGCGTCGAAGCTGCAAGAGCGTGAGCTGATATATGTACCTAGGCGAGAAAACGAAAAGGTCGTTGGCTTTGAGTTCAGGGCCCCGATAAAACGATCAGGGATCGGGATGAGTCATCAAACCTAAGCTCAGTCCATTGGGCCCACCTCCCGCAATTATCGCCAAGGGATCCACTAGTGACCGCTACAGTTTAGCACCGCTCCCCCTGTCGCTTTCTCTTTGATAGTCCAGCTGCCGACGATGAGGTCAAGCAAGCTATCACCCTCTTCAACCCCTAAAATAACTCTGCTCCCCCCAAAAGAAAATAAAGAGCTCGGAGAAAAAACAAAAATAGAACCGCCTAAGGACTAGGATCTGCCTCGGCTTGCATACCTCCTGTTAACTGGCTATCGACACTAGCCCGGAAGACGATCCGGCTTTACGGTTTTCGCCTTTTCCCATTGTTTGTGCAACTCTTGCTTGGAGCATGATGGCCATACCCAAGATGTACGGGGGTGCATGTGTCGTATGCGCTGGTATACATATATACGGATCTCAGAACCTAACTCTTTAGTTTTCTCCCCTTCTCTCCCGATTCTCAGATCTATACTCTCACGAGGCACGACTAGAGGAGACTTGAGCTGCTGCCCTGACCTTTGGCGTTTGTTATATTCTCGCTTCCTTCGCGCTTCCTTTTCTCGGGATGGATAGGTCGTCTTAATACTCTCTCCGACTTTTTTTCCCTTGGGGGGGAATGCGTGTTTCACTTACGACAACAAGCGACTTGCCCGCTCGGATATCGTTTACGACCCTTCTCGGTCGCGGGTGATCCACTAACAACGATTACGATGCCTTTACTACCTTACCAGTCCCCGCCTCTCCTAGCACTTGACTCTACTCACCGAGGGTCCCTGGTCGTCATCGCCGGTGCGATAGCAGGTGCTGTCACCTTGACTGGCCTGTTGATCAGATTGTACATCCACCTTGCGATCAACCCACACTATGGACGAGATGACTACTTTCTCTTGGGCGCAGCAGTGAGTATTCTTTCCATTATAATCAATAGGGGAATAGTTGCTCACATACTAGTTTCTAGGTTGTCGCTTTCTGCCAGTCTATATTAGTATTTGTCTCAGTGTCCAAGGGTTACGGCACATCTGCCGACCTAATAAATCTTAAAGATCTAGTGGTCTTGCGACGAGTGAGTGATTGTTCCAACGATAACAATACATCATCTAAAGAGCTTTAGCTTATCTCTCCATTAGGCATTTTTCTCCAGCGAGATTCTATATCTGGTTACCCTTTACCTTGCAAAATGCTGTGTTATATGCATCTTCCTCAAATTAACTCCCAAGAAAACGCATAACCGTGCTACATTGGGAGCTCTTGTTTACTGTACACTATGGGTTATTGGCTCAATAATGACAGTCGGTATCAATAGTGGTGTCCTCGACAGGACAACTCTCAGGGCCGTTAGTGTATCCTACTGCAAACTCAAGGTATGCTTCCTCCCTGTTCTACACAGATATAATAAGGAAGAAGCTAACGTATCCATTCTAGCTCAACAAATGGCGAGGGATTGTCTCTTTTGACGTCTTGTCCGAAATAATAATATTTATTCTTGCCGTTCACCTTATCCAGGAACTTCAAATGAGATTTCGAACAAAAGCTGTGGTTCTGAGCGCTTTTGCTGCCCGGTTACCGTGAGTTTTACCTTGGAACAACGCAATTTGAAAGTCAAAATCTAACCTACACCTACAGATTGATAGCCCTAGCCATAATACGGCTTCATTACCTTAACAAATGCGGCGCTCAAACAAACCTCACCTTGGATCTGGTGGATTCATCAGTGTGGACCCAAATCAGTCTAAACTACAGTGTGATCGCCTGCACCATATTCGCACTTAAGCCATTCACAGCAGCTGTGAGCACAAATTACGGCACGGCAGGCGACCAATCATTGCAAAACTCAAAAAACAACAGTCATGGAAGTACTGTTGACAACACCTGCTCTCGCGATCTAGAAAGTGGAACATACACGTCTAGATCGAAAGAGCATAATTTTTCTCGGCCTCACACTAGCAACAGCACACACCATAGCCAAAAGAAACAGAGGCCACGACGAAAAAGCCAACTTTCAACATCCTTATCCCGATCTATAGCAAACAAGGAGGCCAAGTCCCAACCCTCACTTCCGCGATTTTCACTCTTCTCTCCATCTTCACCTACACGACACCATCAACGTCTGAAATCATCAGACGAACGCCATGAAATGGCATCAATAAACTCTCATATACCTCCAGTACCTACACTTCCACAAAACCAGACATCCAAAAATACTCACACACGCACCGCAAGCCGCGGCGTACGAGTGCCGTTCCTACACAAGGGGGAGAAAAGGGGCACTGGGTCCATGGATTCCCACGGCTCTCTTTCTGGAGTCGGGTCGATACATGGGCCTGGCCCCGTAGCATCAGATACAATCATCGACCCGCCCGCTGCGGCCGCAACAACAATAACTACAGCGATCACGGCGGGGGGAGGGGATAGGATGGAAGCGAATTCAGAGGCGGATTGGAATGATGATAACACAAAATTGATTATCAAGAAGGATATAGAGTACACTGTTCAGTATGGAGACTGAGCAAGTATTTCTCTGTATATTCTTGGATAGTTGGGTGTATGTACGTATTATATGAATAGAAATGATACCAGTCTTTTGACATAATCGTTTTGTTGCAATGTTGAGAGTTATAGAGTTTAAATAAATGAATATAATGATTAATTGGAGATAGAAAGACAAGTTAAAACAAAGTTAAAAACAAAGGAAGGGGGTAGAAAAGCAAATGGAGTAGAGATACAGAATAACTATATGGATATCATGAACTTGAACCCACAATGCCCATGATACACACTATCATACACATCTGTCACACAGAAGAATGATACAATAGGGACACGGAATGGGATAAGCAAGAGACAAAAACATGCATGGAATAAAGTAGAGGAGTACAGAAGAAAGACAAATCACTGACAAACTCCATTTCGCTTGCTCCTAGAACCAGAAACTCAGACACTTTTTTTGGCCCTGATTATCATTTTTTCCCCATTATTATTTTGCGTTGTTGTCATGATTTAGAAAAGGCGGAAGTGGTAGGATTATTTCTTGAACATGTAATGTCCATAGATGCCGCCGACATCACCTACAGAGACAGGGATCTTGCGAGTTCCCCACCAATGTGCACCCATCTTCCAGCTCCTTTGGCCGTCATCAACTGGCATGGAGGGATCACCGCTGGGTTCACGGACATACCAGCCTCGCCTGCCGAGTTCACGAACAACCCAGCCGCTACGGTTGTTGCTGGACTTGCTACGAGCACGCAGCGGGGCAATGAGACGCTCGCTCATTTCGATCACAAGTAATGGGTAGCTTTGAGGAGTCACCAGCAGACAAGACTTGGAGTTGAAGAGGGCAGCTTGGGTAAGGTAAGGGTTGCGAGTGAGGTCGAGATAGCGGAGGTGTGAAGGCTCCCAGGGAGTTGCGGTAGCTGACGAAGATGAAGGAGGGGCAAAGAAGGAGTTTATATCTTCGAGGGTGAGATCTGCAGAGGAAAGGCCTAATTCCTCGACATGTTTAGAGAGCCTGAGAAGGTCAGGCATGTGGGCAGAGGAGATACGGGCTCCTCCTAGGTTAAGAGAGCGGAGGGTGGATTTCAGGTGTGGTAGGAGGTTTGGTACATCTGCCTCCTCGAGGATACGATGGCGAGAGGCGTCTACCATGAGGTTGAGGTAGACCAAAGATGAGGTTACTGCTGGATGGGTGGAGAGGAACCGGACCACCTCTGGGCCGGTGAGTTTGGTGCATCGTGAAATGTTGAGGTGGGTGATCCGAGCAGTGTATGGGATCAGGAAGAGAGTGCTGTTGCTGATTTGGGTATGAGCAACGTCGAGATGGGTGAGGTTGGTAAGACGGGGGAGAAGAGACTGGAAAGCCTCGTCAGGCAGTCCGGTACACTCATGAAGGGATAGACGACGGATATTTGGAAGGATACTGGGAAATTTGGGCTCCTGGGTGACTGCACTGAGGAACCCAGAGGAGAATTTGGCAGAAGAACAGCCACAGAAGTCTACTGCTCGGAGAAGAGTCTTGCTGATGAAGATCTTGCGTACAACATCACCGTCTACGTCATCTTCGACGTGTTCCTGGAGAAGTAGCTCCTTAAGATTTGGCAGCAGGTCGAGACACTGAAGCAGAGTCTTTGCAGTGAGATTTTGGATTTCGACGTTCATCTGCTGAGTACGTCCGAGGCCGACGGAAGTAAAGTGTGAAAAGTCCAGACGCCTGACAATAGTGCCTAGAGAGGGATACTGGCGAATATGGTTGAGGGCCTTGGAGAAGATGATGGAGTGAGGAATGGTGATGTGTCTGTAAAGCACCCCAAGTGTGGCCGAGTGCAGCGTTCGGCAAGTCAGCAGACAGGATATCAAGTCGACATTGCGAGGAGTATACCCGTTTGGTGGGATATCCAGAGCCAAATGTGATATGATCTCGTCCAGTATCTCGACTGGCAGCCTCTCCAGGCAGGCCCTCTTGGTCACTCTAGGGGTAGGACGGCACAGTTCTAGCGTTTCTCCTTCTTCCTCCTCCTCCTCATCCTCCTCTTCATGGTATTGCTGTTGTTGTGCCTTTAGTGGCGCTGGATCGGGGATTTCTTCTTCCCATGCCCATCCTCTGGCCTGGGTTCCTCCAAGTAAACGAAGGTCACTGTAGCTTCTGCTCAGCTTTCTCCCACCAAGACGAATCTGCTTCCATCCTCGGAAAGTTCCGCAGGGGCAGCAGAAATCGGGTATGGGAGCCTTGAGTTCCTTAGCCTTGCTAGCTGAACAGTCAGCGGCATGAGTCTTGTCACCGGAAGAGTTGCTTTCCTTGGTATCAACAAAGGACTGAGCGATTCCTGCACACGTATCACGATCGAATTAGCCCGGACTCCGTGGATATTTATATGACCAAATTATCAAGGAAATGAGACTGAAAGGATATGTACCGGTGTTATCTTCCTCGATGGAACCAAAGGAGGCGCCTCCAATGCTGCTGGATCGAGAGTGAGAACGAGCCTGAGAGCTGCTGAAGGAGTCCTGCCTCTTGTGAGCGGCTATCTTGAGATCTTCCACGTCATCGGCATCGGGGAGATCAATGTCATTACTCTGGTCAAAGGCAGAGGCGAGCAGCGGTGGAGGATGGGGGCTGGGCTGATGGGTGAGGTCAGAGGGAGTCATGCTATGGTACGGGAGAGTATACTGGATGGAATAGTTCTATGTGCCGGCCCGGTCTATTGTTCGAAATATGATGATTAGTACTGCTTCTTCTTGTTTTTCTTGTTTTTCTGTTTGATTTCTTTTCTTTGGTGGGCAGCTTGGGCTGTTGTGGCGGTTTGTTGGTGTTGTTTGTGGCTTTTTTGGCTTGTAGCGAATTTGGTCGCAGAGAAGAGCAGAACAAGAACAGAGAACAGATATGAAGAGCAGAACAGCTACTAGGTTTTGTTTCTTTCCTTTCTTTTCCTTTTGCTGTTCACTTTCTTCTTGATAGATTGATCTTTTTCTTTGCTTGCAGTATCAACCGGTCAAAAGAGAGAAAAGTAATAAGATAACAGGACAAGAAGAGGCAACAGGAAGGTACAGATATGAGCGCAGGAGTCCAGCAGCAGGCAACACAGCACACCCAGTGGGCAGAGACAGATATGGAGACGGAGGACAACTGGAGACTCTCCCAATATATCTGTGAGACCGATGCTCTCTTCTCTTTCTCTCTTTTTTGGATGATTTCTCTTGGACTGGGAGACCACGTCCTCTCAAGCTGTCTATCTATACACGACCTTCAAGTCGAGCCAGTGCAGTGCCCTTGTTGCTATCCCACAGATAAACAGGAGGTGTAGATGCAGAGGTATAGGGGGTTTAGAGGCAGGCAGGAAGAGGAACGGGAGGAAGCGGTAGAGGCGAGAGGATCTGCTCCTCCGACAAAGGGGGCGACTGACTTGGAAGTACGGAGTACCTAGTTGGTAAAGTAAGTAGAAGTATCGTATTAAAAGGTAAAGAAACCGTAGATAACGGCACAAGAGCAGTAGAATAGAAAGCGAGGTAAAAGATGAAGAGAAGAGAAGAGAAGAGAAGAAGAAGATGTTGAAGTTGAAGTCGAGGAAGAAGATGAAGTGTCAAGTAGAAGAAGAAAAACGGCCAAGGTCGCATAGTGGAGGGAGCTTTGGGCGTCACCTGACAGGCCTGAGGCCGTCCCCGTACGGTCACTTCCATAACGCCGAACTATCTCCATGACTATCTCCTGCACCAGTAGAGCACAGCCCCAGAAGAAGCCACATCGCTCTCGGCGATATCTACGCGAACTATTGCCCAACTACGCCATGCCTGTCCAGTTAGCTCTCCTGCTTGACCCTTTATCGGCGACACCTGCGGTAGTTAACTCTTAAAAGAGCCGCCGCGCTGTATGTAATAAATTACCGGCTGGTACGCGGGCGTATTTCTTGTGTAAAACTCTAATTAACCGCAGCGCCACGCTAGTCCTGATCGGTCGGCGGCCCACTCCGCCGGTTTGGATGACATAATACACAGCCAGTCGTCGTAGGACAAACAGGAAGTAGGAGTGGGAGAAGAAGGTAAAAAGCAAGTAGAAGTACAGCAGGAGGTAGACAAAGAGGCAGAGACAGGTACATTGTAGGCAGTACTAAAAGGTAGCCATGACGAAAGAAAGTGGCAGTCTCATTGGGGATTGGAAGATTTCTCCGTCTTTTCGTCTTTGTTTTTTTTGTTGTATGAGAAAATTGAGTTTTTTAGACGGCAGAAGAGACCAAGCTTTGTCACATGACCAGGTCTAGCCCTAGCTTTGTTCCCTTTTCGTCTTGTTCTTCTTTCAACGTCACGAAATAAACATCTCGAAACATCGTGAGATTGTTGGTGATGAATGAGATGTTGCTTGGTACCAGACTGAGTATGCAGTGTTACCAAGGTAAAGACGAATTTCAATGCCGACTAGACAAACCCTGCCTCTCTGCGCTTACTCTCCCTGCAGCTACGCCTTGGAAATCCCCAAGATCCCTTGACTAGGACCTTGGCTCTCTGCAGCCAAGATCAATAGAATCGAGCTGTGTTCTTACTACTATCCAGCTACTGACTGCCTCGCTATTCATTATCAACGGCTAGACGCATGCTACACCCCTGGAGCTGGCGGCTTAGCTCGAATGCACCAGGCCTTCTCCGTTTGTCATGCTCGAGATGTATAGCCGGGTACCTGGCGGCCCCTCGTGACAGCCTTCATATAGTTCACCATCATAGGATCGGCTCGTGCCTCCTGCGTCATAGCATGCAGACTGACGTGTCACCAAGTCAAAGTGGCCGTGGCAAGGCGCTGCTTCTCGAGAAAAAAAACAAAGCACATGGCTACCAGGGTTCAGTAATGGGCGTACAGGGTACAGGTCTGTGTTACCCTTGCTGTCAACGACACACCAGTCCGGAATACTTCGTTTGATAAAAGATAGACCAGACCTAGAAGAGTCGTCTCTTCCAAACAGGAATTTAGAAAATAGGAAAGATGAAAGGTATCTGAATTACTCCGTATTAATGTCGGTCTCAATGTCTGCAATTTGTCCTGGTATCAAAAAACTGATTAGAAACCCCCAAAACTCCTCCCCCTTGCCAGAGGGATCAATTAACTGTCTCCCAAAGAAAACACGCCAATACTTGATCGTAACACCAAATCCAGCCATGAATCTGAATGCCCTGATAGAGACCAAAATAAAGAAGCCAAGAAGGAATCATTCGGCATCCCACTGCCCTACTAAGCCCTCTTAACTCAATTTCACTCCCCCCCATCAAAATAAAATAGTTTTTTTCTTCTTTTTCTACTTTCAGCTCTCAGCGACTGCTTTGTATGCCGTACGACACATTGCTATGATCTCGTTTGCTTCCTGAGTAGCACGGTTGGGTAGCTAAGGCCTGATCCTAAGCCAGATCCAGACCCCGATCCGGACATCGCCAATGCTGAAGATGTTGACGTGGTTGATTTCGTCGGTTTTAGTGAAAGGGTTCGCGGAACCCCCTGAGCCAACGAGAATGTCTTCTTGTGTCGGAGCGGAGTCCCCGGGAACACTGCTGTGGCCGTCTTCACGGACAAATTGATGCGGGTGACTGGTGGGCTTTCTCCTTCGTTTGGATGAACGTCAAGGTGTTTTGCACCCACCAGCTTCCGCATCTTTCTCGGCACGGGAGTGGAGCGGTATGGGGTCGCTGGCCCGGGCATCTTTACCATGGGTGGGAGGAATGGAGCCGGAAGATCCTCCTCCTGTTTGCAATTTTCCGTCACTGCGAGTGGGTGCTCTTCATTCCTGCTCGTATTGTTCCGTCTGCTGGACGAACGCAGACTCCGCTCAATAATCGCGTGCGAGTTCTGGTAAACTTCCGAGTCAAACTCTGGGACTTTCTTCTCCCCGAGGTACTGGATCAAGGCGGCGTCGTTCCACCTCACCTGTTTCTTCGACAGGTCCCGGTGTCGGTGCTGGTCATCTTCTGGATCTGTCCCCAGTGCTGCGATCGCTTTATTGAGAATTGGCAGTAGCTTGTGAGGGGGTTTGCTACCCTTGTTCAGTCTTGTATTGGCCTTGGTTAGAAGAGCCGTCTGCTGGTCGTCCGTACGCTGCATAAAGACGAACTCAGTGCCCTTTCGGCGGCGTGTTGGGATCTGGTCGGGGACCTTGGGTGGATGCCGGGCATGCTCGATCGTCACTTCAACTATGGGGGAGCTGGGTACAACAGGCCCCTCCCATACGCCTTCAATGGGCTTTTGGTCCGCTGGCTTTGAGGAAACAACGCGAGGTGACCGTCTGTTAAAATAGAAGTCAGGAGGCTGGAGCTTTTCAGGAGACATATGCCGTCTGTGCGAACGAGGCGAGTTCCCGTCCACGGCCTCCAGCACGCGTCGTGCGCTAGGGGTAGGCGATTCGGGGATAATGTCGATATTGACATCTCCCTTTACCGGTGTATTGGCAGCTCTCTTAGCCCGTGCCTTCGATAGGAAGTCAGAAATAACCTCTGCATCGTCGCCGTCCAGGATAGTTATCTTCCGCACTGGCGAGACCTGGAAGGGTATGTCTCCTTGCTTTGGCACGATAGCCATAGGTTCCGCTACAGCATCAAAAAAGGTCTCTTCTTCTGCTTCCCCGCCTTCTTCTGCACTGCTTTCTGCGCGGGCTGTGCTGAGTTTCTCCTGGATAACTTCTCCTGGCATCTTTCTGTCCTTTGGTGAATTCCCCTCGAGTTGGGGAATGTCGCTCGGTTCCTTGCAAGGGCTGCTACAACCAGCCTGCTCTTCATCAGACATCTCCGCAGTCTTAGTTTCACCCTTCTCTCGAGGCAGGAAGTCGGCTGATACTGTTGTTTGCGCGCTATCCGCTGGCGCAACGTATTTCCCTACATGACAACAAATCAGTACCCTCCATCAGAAAAAACCCCCCAGCAAAGAGGACCACAGCAGGAGCAACAATATTGGGCCACTCACGTCTTCGGTCTTCGGCTTGCGCTTCCCATTTTGTCTCCAAAAACGACCGTCCACGCTCGCATTCTGGGGTATGCGCCAGTCGCAACCTTTTCACGCCACGTAGCGCGGCCAGAGTCGCGGCCAGGTTAATCTCTATAGAAAACGTATCCATGTCGTGCATGCTGCTCGCTCCTAATGACGTAGAATCGGCACACCTCTTCCAGATCTTCTGTGTCTTTGACCGTGGGAGGACGGGCGTGGTTGGTTTGCGGTCCCAGAGCCGGGTTGGCTTCTTCGATGTCGCCACGGGAGTGAACCTGAAGCGGTCATGATCGAACAAGCGACTCTTCCTACAGCGTGAATTTAGTTATTATTAGAATCTCACATACTGTCGACGTGTCGTTGCATAAGTGAGGGTGGCCATGGTGAATTCGAGTCTGCGCCTGAGGCAGGAGAAGTCAATGACTATGAAAGCTGGTGGGCTGCATACCGTCTTGGTGATCGCATTCTGTCCAGTATTCTCAACTATGTAAATAGATATAGCCCCGGGGATAGCGATTCGCTCGATGCTGATAGTTGTTCGCCGTCAATTGCGATTCTGTAAGTAAAGGGGCGGCTTGGTCTCGCTGCCTGTACTCCGTGGGCTGGCTGGCGTTAGGGCAAACGTGAAGAAGAAACAAGCAATAACCGGTGGTAGTCAATATCAAAAGATCAGGTCAAGCCAACGATGACAGCGATAGAAAGGCGAAGATAGGATGTTTGTTATTCTCCAGCCAACATTGCACTAATTCAGTCATCGGCCTGAATGATTTGGCGCGTTTTCTTTTTTTTTTTCGTTGCTGCTCCATGATGATGTTTTCACCCCTGCTAGTAGCTCGTTGCCGTGCCAACGAAGGCTCCCGCTACAAGTCACATTGCCTCATATCAAGTCGAACTATTCCATGCATGCATTTGCTGCTCTTTAACCATCTCTAACGCCTTGAATCATGTCGTAGAAAGTGAAAAGGGTCATCTATCTGTGGTCGTGATGCTACGTTATCATTTCGTCTTCCACTGGCTCATACTTCTATCGTCAAACGGGTCACCAAACTCTCCTGTGGCCGGGAAACCGTTAGTAAATCTAGGCATACAGAGTACCCAGTAGACCACGATGGGGCCAACTGAGTAGAAAGATGTCCAGATAAACGTACTCAGGTTGAATTCCTTGTCTACAACGAACTCGAGTGCCCTCTTCGCTTCTTCTTCCACCTTCTTGTTCATCCACGATGCGCCGGGTTCCTCTCGCAATATTGATGGCAGCGAGCTCGTAGAATCTTCAGCCTCCTCGCCCTTCTTATCGGAGAGGCTTGTTAACGGCGCGGGGTCCTTGAGGTTCTCGTTAAAGCCTGTCATGGCTACTTCTCGGGTCGCCGGTCCCTGGGACCCGGGTGGTGAAAGCTCTGGCATTGCTGACATGCTGTCCCGGGCCATCCCATTACCACCTGCGGGCGTCTGGGGGCTTCCTGGAGTAGGAGATGATGAAGTCGAAGAGAGCATCTCGGAGTCGAAGTCGTCTGGAGCATGTTATTAGCTTCTTCCTTATAAGTCGGGAAATGACCTGCTCCTACCAGCCATTTTGCGAGATCTGTTCTGTGAAAACAATGTTGTCCTTAGCCAGTAAAAAAAGTAATTCCACTGTCTTCCGGTCAATCACTTTGATGTTGACGCCGCCTTGCTTGTTCGATTTCAGCCTTTGCGTCGCCGTCGAATCCGTTATCGCCAGCCGATAGTTAAATCACGTGATTGGCCTTTTAATGACTTCGAAGAGATTTGAAGAGTTGACAAGTTGAAGACAGCAAGCAGACCGGGTATTTTGTGACTCTTCACTCATGCGCTTTGCAAGGTTGGCAGCTGTTTTCTCCATCAGAGCTCCAATTTTTTTTTCTTAAGGACAAACCTAGCAACGAAGAGCCTTTTTCGTTTCTTCGGCGGTTACGGCGGGCCCCCGCATACAAGAATCTTCAGCTGCGCTGTTGGTTCCAAATATACACTACGAAATAAACCTATAGGAAGGGAATCTGGTGGTGTACAACATCTTGATATTTTATATCTCCGCCAACTGTGCCATGAGTCGACCAAATCTAGTCCCGGATGCATGGGACGAAGACTGGGAGGGCGTTGCCGATGTACGATCTCTACCCCTCTGCTTGATTTTAGCTGTGGTACTATTATGCTATTGAATATTCAATATTGACCATTGCTCGCAAAAATAGAAACCGTCCCAACCTTCCGAACCGGTACCTGAGAAGAAGCTGTCCACCAGAGCCGCAAAGGCGCAGCGCCGAGCAGAACATGCTGAATTTAACCGACAGCTATGGGCCGATGCGTGAGATACCCACCAATTTTGAAGCATTGCTTTGATCTAGGTCTAATATAGTATTTTCATAGTGAAGCACCGCAGACGTTTCACTTCCTCGAGTCTCGGTCTACAGTTCCTTTAAAATCCGAGTTCAAAGCCCCTATGAAAGTGCTTGCGCGCAAGCCTCAGGGTAACCGATCTGGACTCGAGTCAGGGGTTCAAGGGCTATCAATGGGAGACCAAGACCAGGTAGATAACGATGACGATGAAGACTTTGACAGAAAGCCTGGGCAATTAACATATGAGGAGAGAGTCGCGAAAGCTCAGAAAGAGAGGGAAGAAAAGCAACGCAAGTACGAAGAGGTCCGTGAGAGATTGTTTGGCAGCTCAACGCCAGGTTCAGGCACATCGTCTCCCGGCAATAGCACCCCACCGCGTCAGGGACAACATCAGGGTGGTGAGGGGAAGAGAAGAGGACGAAACAACAGGTCCAATACTGGAGGCAATCGAGAAAGCAAAGAGCGAAGAGAAAGAGAAAATGCCAACGCGTCTCCCAAAACACCTGGTCGATTGTTTGACCCTAACTACTCTCCAAAAACAAACTCGAGCTATGTTCAGAGAAAGGAAAAGGAGCGTGCGACCGGAGAACCGAGTAGGGAACCACATAACTCTCTCTCACCGTCCCCATCACAGCCACAATTGAATTTGCAGTCTGCATCCCCTCAACCGCAAGTGCCCATCAGAAACCCTAGAGGGCCAGATCCGAGTGGCAGAGGCGGATTTGGTGGTTTTCCCTCGCGAGGTGGAAGAGGTTGATGAAATATGCAGATGATAACCACGATACCAAAGTCTTACCTGCGACGACCCGAGACTAGTCAACGAGTGGGCGTCGGGGATCACTAGAAGCCCGATCCGGTCTACGTATCTGGGAGAAATACTAATTATGCACCAATATCAGGTCAGGCATTCAAGGTGCTCTCCAGCCCAAACTGGACATATTAGCATATCGGGCATTTACTAAATTCGTGTCGCTAGAGGGCAAAGAAGCCCAACCGATGCTAGGATACCCTGTACGGGAGGTGCCCAAAAGCGCTACATAAACGGACAGCTCGCATTCTGTGATGAAGGATACCTACGCTGGGAAAATAGGCTCCAAGAATATGCATGGCCGGAATTTTGGATTGGGGATATTTGCGGAAGAAACCATAACGAACATCATATCATCCACGAATCCCAGGCATTAGAATTCGTGGCTAGAGGAACTTACATTTGAGTTTCGGTATAGAATGAGTGGTAACTCCATCCCTTCCTATATAGCCAAAGGAAGCGCCAACGCCGGCGTTGAATGTTGGTTTAGAAAAATGATATACATAGGACTGACAATTGGGAATACAAAATGAGGTTCTATCATATCATACCACTAAATTTCTCAAAGCTGGAGCTCCTCCTCTTTATTAGGGCAGATCGTGTCCGGCATTGATAGCATTAGCTAGTTGAGATGTGTTTGGACGGTTTTCTGTAAGACAACATCGCTTAGTTAACCTGTTGGCGAGCTTCAATGAAAGAAATAGTACTACTCACCCGCATATCTCTGGTAACTATCCAAGTATAAATCATCAGCACTCGTAGTAGCCATAACATGTTCATCCAGCTCCACCGCTTCCATCCAAGCTGCCCATCGACTGCCCCGTTCTGGATCGGGCCAGCCACGGTAGGGTTTCAGCACTCGGGTAAGCCGTAGCATCCATGGAGCAAAGTGGATGTCAACGAATGAAATGCTGCGGCCCAAGAAGAAAGGTCCATGGACGTGTGAGGCGTTGACAAGCTTGCTGATATGGTCTTTTAATTGTTCGGTATGAGGAATCTGCTTGGCTGGCTCTTGTTCTTGTAGCAGCCGGTAAAAGCAAGGGATAATATGCCGGTTTATCTAAAGTGTAGCAGAGTTAGCTGCAGAACCGGGAGACTAAGCATGGAATATGTCTGCATACATGATCTGACCATAGACGGCAGTGGGCGCGAAGCTGTGGGTCTCCTGGAGGTAAAAGGGGCTTTCCAACATCTAAATCTTCTAGCTGGAAGAAGGAATGTTGGTTAGTTAACGAAGATCTCAAGAAAAGAAGACTGGAGACATCGTACATATTCAAGAAGGACACTACTTTCATAGCATCCCCAGTTGCCATGTCGAATGGCTGGTACCAGGCCACGAGGATTGACTTCAAGCAGTGAGTCTGGCTGTTTATACGGATCTATTTCGATGTACTGATATGGTATTCCCTTAACCTCAAGGGCAATCCATACCCGCTGCACAAAAGGGCTAAGAAATAGCAGTTAAATCATCAGTCTTGCGATCAATGGGCGTAGCAATAAACATACCAGAAACAGCTCCCATAGAGTTTCAAGTCGCTCTCCTTTGCATGTTTCTTCACAGTGGCATATGCGTATCCGGATGCACGGCTATGATATGACTTTTGCTGAGTCTATAAATATTTGTTAACAGTCAAAAGGAGAACGCCAAACAAAATCTAAAGAATACTTTAACGCACAGTTGATTTCCTCTTGTCCTTCTCTTCCTTCAGTAGATTTCTCTGCACACTATTCTTCTTAATCCGGTCACTTTCTTCGAGTGTATGCCGATGCGGGCCTTCAACCGAGTCTGATCTACCATTCCCTCCATTGCCATTCACACGCTGAATTGTATAATATCGAGCTCCTGCTACACCAGGGTGACCCGGCGGTAAGCTTGCGCTGGGAGTTAACACGCCGAACGGCTGAGACCCGTCTAGATTTGAATGTGACGAGCCGGGTACAACAAGGAGATCAGACGGCGAAGAAGCTTGGGGGGCTTGTTCAAACCCCGAAGGAAAATCTTGAGAGGTATTGATGGCGCCAGGGAAGTATTCGGTGATTTTTATCTTGACATCGCACAGATTGCGTTCGCGAGCAGTCCTTTTTCGTTTCTTCTTATTGGGGTCATGAGTCTTTGGAGTGCCTGGTGGACGCCCTTTCAACCGACAGTCCCAGTAATGAGATATAAATGGCTTCCGCTTGTATCTTTGGGTAGAGCGATGGGAGTAGACATTGTCTACATGAGGGAAATATGTTTGGAACCTGACATATGTTAACTACCGGGCTCACACAGACCAGACAGTACGACTTACTCCTCTTCACTTAAAACAATTGTGTCCTCCACGTTAAACAGCTTCTCTCTCCATTTCTGCAGGTCCGGCGGATTGGGGATACATTTCATATTCTTGAAATGGCCTTCATTGGCGTGACTACTGCCCATCTGGGACATGTCTACCTGGCTTGGGGATTGGAAATGGGGTATTACGTTCTGTGGCAGATGTTGCTGCGTAAATGGCGAAAATTGCATGTCATGACTCGTTGGCGATACAAACTGGTGGCCAGCAGCTTCGTCCGAGTGCTGCGAGAGTCTGGCATCGTGCGGAGCGCTCAACACCATCCCGTCGCTGGAGAAGGTGATGTCAACCTGGTCCATCTGCTCGATCTGCTCCAGGCCATGGCCGGCTGACCGCACCGCAGGCGAAATGTGCCCCTCTGTCGCTGCATTGCTCAAATCCGCGTCAAATGCTCCTCGTGACGATATACCCGTTCGGGATGTTTGTTGTTGTTGTTGTTGTTGTTGCTGCTGTTGATGCTGCTGTAACGAATCGACGACCGGCGAGGCGAGGGACTGGACGGCATTGAGGTTATGAAGCTGCGACTCGAGCTCTGGATCAGTGGGCGGTGCTGTAGCATGTTGGTCGCGCAGGCCGTGGGGACCAGACAGTTGGTTAGGCCCGCTGTCTGCCATGATGACGATGGAGCTGGCGCTGGCTAAACTGGCGATGGATTCTGTGGTGTCTCAGAGGGTGGACAGCTGCTGGCTGCGGGCAAGCTGGGCGGGCGCAGTTGAAGCGGCGTGACTTTTTTCTTCCTCGTCTTCGCGCGGGTGGGACGCCAAGCCGGGCCGGATAACTATGCTTAAAATGTTTATTTTGTTTAGATGGACGACATGAAGGCGCCCGAGAGGGAGATACAGGGCGATATAGAAGTGTACGGATATCTAATTTGGTGTCTGGCAGTACGGAGTATATTAGTGATACATGGATGGTAATTATGTCATAGTGAATGTTGCGGAGGGAGGTTTGAGGGAAGGTATGCAGGCCATGGCGAGAGCAACCAGGACGAACAGCTTTGGTAGGTATGAGCACTCGAACAGATGACATAGTTCTAGCAACACATCAAATCAATCACCTCTTCTTCCTCTTGTCTGCTTCTATGTTCTTGAATGGAAACCCAGACGTCCTCTTGTCAGCTCCAGTCCTCTTACTGATTCTGCTTGACCCGGAAAACAACATGCACCAGAGCCCCATAGCAGCCAGAAAGCCAGATACTAGCATCCCCGCTGCGAATCCTGTCTGACCTGTGCCGGAATACCATGAATATGTGTAACCAGCTACCATGGCATGGAAGCCAGCGCTAATCAAGAGGACCGGGAATGCATATTCTTTCTTGGGGTCGGATTCCTCTGCAGTAATCGAGTACGAAGAAGCAAGCGGTAGTGCCCCGGTGAGGATTAGGAACATCAAAGCCAGCGATACCTGGCCTATCCCGCAGCTCCTAGCAAAGTATACTTCGAGTGCTAAACCGGTTCCATCCAACGTCAGTACATGTTGAATCTGAATGAGAGTTGGGCATGGGGCCAGCAATGGCAAGACCTTACATGTAGGCTGTCGGGTCTCATCTATCAGAGTAGTGATTATTAGTTTTGGAGTGACCAGAAGAGCAGTACCCTGGAGGACCAGCCATGCAAAGGTGCCGTATGAGTACGGGTAGAAGCCCTGTTGTCAATTGTTAGCGGGGGAGGGGTAGTGTATGGCATAGCTTTCAAGGTGTCACTCACGTCCATAGTCGGGTAAACCGGTATATATATTCCTCAATTGAAGAATTTTTGAGACGTTATGGTTGCGATGTGCTGTCGTGTATAGAGAATTTCCGTTGTTATTGTTGTTGCTGTTTGTCAGTCGGCTCTCTCGCCCTTTATATGCACAACGATGACATCATAGTTAATATTAAATAGTTACAGCAAGAGTTAAACTTAGTCAGCTCCTCTTTGTGCATCAAGCGGAAACTTCATCCGTGTAGTTATTTACAGCCATCAAGCAAATCAACTTGGCGACTTTGATCGCGACATCTTGCGCTTCTGCCTTGGCCGAATTAACAGTCATCTTTACCACCCTGTTTCTGTTCATATATGACAGTTCTAAGCCCGGCTGTCATTCGATAGAATGGGCCAACATACACGTATATGAGCTTCTTGGTTGTCAACGAAGTACTCCGTAAACGTATTAATATATGTTCAGGCAGTCTGTAGAAGAGAGGGAAAAAGAATAAACATGCAGTCATTACACTGGACGAGTCTACTCATACTAACAAAAGGCATATTTACCACCATACCTACCCCAGATTAGACGACTTTAGGTATCGTGCAAAGCTGCTGTCTTTGCTGGCTTGGCCGTCCCCAGACTCGGCCAGGGCATTGCTATACCGCTGCGAGAGTCCGGCGTCGTCTCGCTGGCTAGGTCGTTCATCATCGCCATCGTCATCGTCATCTTCTGCATCTGAGATGGTTTCGATTTGGTCTGCTTTATCCTTTGACGAGGCTGGAGCGCTTGAAACATTCATATCTTTCAACAGTTTGCCCAGCTCAATATCTCGTTTCTCAAGCTTCTCTTTTTCCCTCTGCTCCCTCTTCCTCTCAAGCTCTGGCTTGTAGTCACGGTCAAACTCTTTGCGCTTTTCCTCTACTGCGGCGAAAAACTCGTCTACTCCGTCTCCGGTCATGGAGCTGACTCCCACCACACTCAAATGGTGATAAAACTCCTCGAGCATCAGACTCATACTGTTCAGGAACGAGCCCATGTATCCACTGCCACCCCCAACACCGCCTGTGCCACCCTCACCTCCGCCAAAGGCACCGTGTTGTTCCTCTTCTGCAAGGGCGGCCTGGAACTTTTCGAAATCGGTCATCCATTCCTTTGCAAACTCGGCATCCTTGACGTCCGTCTTGTTGAAAACCAGGATCATAGGTAGCTTCGTCTTGTATAAAATACTGCAGGCATAGAGCATGTTGCTCATAAACGTGCTCGTCGAGCTTGTCCGTGGGGTATCAATAATATATGCAATCACTGTAGGAAACGACGATGCCAGCGATTCTAGCAGTATACTTCCTGATGCACTCCACACAAACACTTCTATCTGGCCAGGTGTATCCACAAGTATATGTTCCATCCGCTTGGGGGCTGCGGGCTGCTCCGGCGTGGCAGTCGGCAATGCGCGCTTCTCTAAAATTGCCATAATCTGATCAATTTTCGTGGCGAATAGGTTTAGAGAAGTCAGGATGCCGCCATTAGGTCCAAGATTGTACTGTTTCATGACCTCCTTGTAGTTTATTGAGTCTCTTATGTCGATATTGCTCTCGAAAGGAACCGAATGTACTGCTGGGTCGAGGTTCATGACATACGGAGGCTTCTTTTGGCTGTAAAGGTACGAGTTGATTCTCTGCATGAACGTCGTCTTCCCGGACCCTACATAGCACCTCAACTATTAGTTTCCCGTCTTGACTAACAATATCATTTTGTTTAACAGAGAGGGGGAGCTGGATTACCTGCCATCCCCACGCAGACAACTGCGACTGGCGGGGCTGCCATGGTTGTGATCTGGTCAATGAAGTGAAATCTAAGGAAACAAATAGGATTAAATGCGATAAAAATAGGCTCTGGTCTCCTCTACTGAAGGAATAGAAAGGCCACTTGCGCTATGGTGGTGATCGAGCGCAATGCAAGCTGTTGTTCTGTGGATGTCAAAAATTTGGTCAGAAAACAGCAAAGAACAAATTTTGGTTGATCCGCGACGTCATTTCAAAGCTCTAAAACTTCCGAACAACCAAAGCAATTTGCAAGCTTCAACATATCCCAGCACAACGAATTTCATTCAGAACACAATGACTTTAGAAGACTTTGAGCGGGAATTGGCGGAGAATAATAGAAAGGAGAAAGAAAAAGAAGAGAGAGAGCACGAAAGGTCGAGGCGAAGACATCGACACCGCAGTGACCGTGACCGCGACGAAGACTCCAAACATCGCTCCCATCGACACCACCACCGGCATCATTCTCCGCATGGTCGACATAGCCGCCGAGAAGAGGATGATGACGATGACGAAAGACGTAGACATAAACGATCCCGACACTCAACAAGCAATGGCGAGGAAAGAGAGCACCGGCACAAACGACGCCATCGCGACAGAGACAGGAGCAGGAGCAGAAGCGCTGACAGAGAAGACAACATGAAAGAAGAGGCAAAAGACCCTACTACAGAGTTGGAGACTGGAACCAAGCTTCAGAGAGACTCATGGATGGAAGGGCCTTCAGCTCAAGACGTTGATTATATACACCGGCCAAGGGAGAAGCCACAGGAAACACCAGCAGCTCGAATGCTAAAGGTCGATTTTGGGCAGAAATTGCATGAGAAGGAGCTGAATCGCCATTTACTTGACGTTGCAGAGGACGCTGATTCTATACGGCAAAGTGACCCGCTGGAGGTGGACTACACATTCGGCGACGAAGGGTCACAATGGCGCATGACGAAGCTCAAAGCAGTCTTCAGACAGGCTAAAGAGGCTGGCAAAACCGTTGAAGAAATTGCTATGGAACGTTATGGCGACCTGCGGTTCTTTGACAATGCCAGAGAAGAAGAAATTGAACTGGACCGAAGAGAGAGGTATGGGAAGGATTACGTTGGAAAAGAGCGGCCCTCTGGGGACCTTTTCAAAGAGAGAAAGTTGGATATGGAAACAACTACGAGAGATGATAACCAAAAACAAGCTATGCGTGATGAACCTCCCTTACAAGGGGAAAGGATGGAGACTGAAGCAGCTCCACGGGAGACCCAAGTGCTCGATGCTAGCTCTCTGAACAAACTAAAGGCCCAAATGATGAAGGCGAAATTAAGAGGTGCACCGGATGCTGCAGAGTTAGAAGCTCAATATAATGCAGCAGTTGCCGGGACCGCAAATAGAAAGGAATCCGATGTTGTCGTGCTAGGAGTGATGGACAATCGCATGCTGGCTGGCGGCAACCGTGCAGAAGTTCGTGCGGTAGAAACCAAACGGGGCAGAGAGCGAGGTCAGGTAGAGGAGAACGAGGATATGACCATTGAAGATATGGTTCGCGAAGAGCGCAGAAACCGTGGAGGCGCAGGGGAAGGGCAACGGTTTGCCGAAAGAATCGCCAAAGATGCCAAATTCGATGTGAGTTCTGTTCTCCCTCGAGCCATATTTCGCTTTATACATGCTAATTGAATGTAGAATGACCTCGATTATATGGATGAGAATGCTTCCAAGCTTGCGAAGCGAGTCCACAAATCAGAAATCAATCTTAAAAATGCATCAATAAGCGAATTCCAAAAGATGAATCGCATTCTAGACAACTGCCCGTTGTGCCATCATGAAGATACTGGGAAACCTCCCCTTGCGCCGGTTGTATCCCTCGCAACTCGTGTTTTTCTCACTCTCCCTACTGAGCCGGAGCTAAACGAAGGCAGTGCATGCATAGTACCCATCCAACACCGAACTAACCTTTTAGAATGCGATGATGATGAGTGGGAAGAGATCCGGAATTTTATGAAATGTCTAACAAGGTTGTATCATGACCAAGGACGAGGTGTTATATTCTACGAGAATGCAGCCAGACCTGGCCAGAAACGACACGCAGCTATGGAAGCCGTGCCGCTGCCTTACAGTCTCGGAGAGACCGCTCCAGCATTCTTCAAGGAAGCAATCCTCGCTGCAGATGAGGAATGGACTCAGCATAAGAAGGTCATTGATACGCTTGCCAAAGCCCGGCAAGGAGGCGGAAAGCTCGCGTTCCGTAACACATTAGCGAAGGAGATGCCATATTTCCATGTCTGGTTCGAGCTTGACGGCGGGTTAGGACACGTGGTTGAAGACACCAACCGGTGGCCAAAAGGTGATCTCTTTGCGCGAGAGATTATTGGAGGCATGCTCGACCTGGGTCCTGAGGTGATTAAGCGGCAAGGCAGGTGGCGTCAAGGCACCGATAGAAGGGTTGACGGGTTCAAAAAACGCTGGAAAAAGTTCGACTGGACAAGAGTATTAACTGAGGAGTGATATATGGAATCCCCTCTCTGGTGGCAACTTTCCTGCGGCCATTCATCTTATATGTCACGATACAGACAAGTTTTCAAGATTCAATCAACACAAGGTTACTGGGGAGCCTTAGTTATATTGCATGTTTATATCGTCAGGCTCCCTGCTGCCCGAAGGAATACTGGTGATGTTCAAACGATCTGGCGGGTCCATTTAACTAAACAACGATCTACAAGCCTAAAGTTGCACAGCATGAGCAGGAAGTATTCATGCCATGGAGAATAAACGGGCAACGTACATTAGCTGCACAGTGCAGTCTCAGATTGTCTAGGGGTTGTTAAACACCTCTCTCCATGTCAAATCCAAGCCGTTATAATATCACCAACTATCAACTGAGATGTACATCATGCGAGCCCCTGTCGGCCTCTTTCGGTACACCGAAGAAAGTCTCCAGGAATAGGCTTGACCGACCAGCAAAACTGCTGGGTTTCCTACAGGACAATTATATATTAAAAAAAAAAAAAAACTGACTCGGCCGAATTCTTAATTATAGCAGACAGTTGATACACATCTGAACAACGCAGAACCAGTCAGGAAATGTGATGCTGGATAAACAAACCTACCTGATTCGATTTGGCTACGATTATTTAAGTTGATCCACAAATCGTTTATGGAGCCACCCCACGACGGGCGGGAGATACTTATATATCAACTCTCGAAGTCCTGGTGCCGGTCTTCTGATCCTGATAACAACCAGGCTTGTTCCACTGGCGACGGATCTTAGAGCAAGCAGAAACACGCTTCTATTACCGTCACCGGCTGCTGTTGGGCCCAGGGTCTTCACAAGAGCAGCAAACCGGACAAAGGGACGAGGGACGTCGAAGCCACGATGGCATCAGCAGGGAAGCCGAAAATCCTCCTGTTGGGAGAAATTGACCAGTACGTTGCAGATTTAATTTCACAGTTACGATGCCCTGAATCTATTGTTGCCCTCAGCCGTATCTTCTTTTTATATGCACCAGAGAGCAGGGCCTATTCTCCGTCCCTGCATATGCGTACGTCGTATTGTATATGTACGGGCTACTTTATATGCAGCAACCGCTTCCCGCTTATCTACCCCCTGGTATTATATGTATGATGCGCGGATGAAATACATACATCACGGACACGTATCCGTCAGTTCCGATTTCTGTACCTATGCACTAACTTGGATGACTCCGGTCCTTCTCTCCAAGTGGGAGCGGGATGCATGGAGGATACGAATATAAAGCGCGCATGATGCATGGCAAAGCCTTTCCAACATCGGAGAGCTTGTAACGCCCAAAGCAACCAATCGAGCTGAGTTCCTTCAGGAATGTCGTGATGGTAAACTCGATGGTGTGCGGGTAGCGTATCGGACTTTTTCGTCTGTCTCGATCACTGGCCGGATTGACCAGGAACTCGTGGAAACTTTGCCAAAGTCCATGGAGTTCCTAGCCCACTGCGGTATGTGAAGGATGCATCTAGGCTGCATTCCCCCCCTGAGAAAAGCAACGGTTGTACTGACAATCTCGACTAGGCTCCGGGTATGATCAAGTAGATGTCGCAGCCTGCAGCGCTCGATCACCACCACTGCGTGTCTCCAACGTGCCTACAGCTGTAGATGAGTCCACGGCCGACGTGAGCATGTTTTTAATTATCGGAGCCCTTCGCAATTTCAATGCCGGTATGCAGAACCTGCGAGCCGGTAAATGGAAGGGTTCCCCCGAGCCAATTGCCCTTGGACACGATCCGCAGGGGAAAGTACTCGGTATTCTCGGCATGGGAGGCATTGGACGCAATCTCAAGAAAAAAGCGGAGGCTTTTGGAATGAACGTCATTTACCATAACCGCAACAAACTGAGCGAAGAGCTTGCCGGAGGAGCAAAATATGTGTCCTTCGATGAACTTCTCGCCCAGAGTGATGTTCTAAGCTTGAATTTGCCTCTGAACGTATGTTTCATTTCTATTTTTGCATCCTTCCTACCCCTGGTCTTACAATCTTACCGTCTCTCAATACCCTGCCTCGCAGTACATGGCCACAACGCTGGGAATTTGCACAGCTGACCTTTTCTCCTTGCAGCAAAACACAAAACATATCATCAGTCATGCTGAATTTGACAAGATGAAGAAGGGCATTATCATTGTGAACACTGCTCGCGGGCCAGTTCTCGATGAAGAAGCTCTTGTTATGGCACTCGATAGCGGAAAGGTGACCTCCGCGGGGCTCGATGTTTTTGAAAACGAGCCAGAAATCCACCCAGGCCTGCTGAGGAACCCAAATGTGATCCTTGTTCCGCATATGGGCACCTGGAGTGTTGAAGTAAGTTATTCCTTGATTGGATGCGAGTAGCCTTCGGGTGATGGCTGACGACGAGCTTATTAACAGACTCAAACTGGAATGGAGGAATGGGCGATTAACAATGTTCGACAGGCGGTAGAGACAGGCAAGCTACGATCCCCCGTACCTGAACAGGCACAGCTTTAGAGCCATGCGTTTGTTGTTGACGTGATGTGGCATCGATCAAGGGTACATTCGTTTATCTAGAGAAGTATAGATAGAGGCATTGTCTAGACGACTAGAGCGGGAGGTGTGCCGCAACAAGCACAAGATCACGTCCGTCAACTGAATAAGAATAAAGATTTATATCTTAGAAATTTAATCGGGCTGATTTTTTCTTTCGGGGCTCGTTGTTCACTAGTCTAGTTGCTAAGTGATGTCCCACGGTATAAAAAGAGACAAGAGGAAAACGGATAGAAGTCAAATATATCCTACAAAGCTCCAGCCTGGTTCCGTGTTCTCCTGGATATCCCCATAATGCCTTCTCTAAAACGCCATGGATGAGAAACGATAAAAAACATATAAAATGGAAACAGGCATGCTCGTTACGGCCGTGGCAGGCAAGAAATGGTAGGAGGGCGCACCAACGCTATAACAGACAGGTTGCAGTTGTATAATCAGACATTGTAGGGTTCGTCCCAATATCTGACGGTTAGCTGAGAGATACGCCGAGTGATCTGGTTAGTCGCTTTTCCACGAACTTCATCCTCTAGGAATCGACATGCTACATATAACTTTGCAGCTGGGTCCTTTTCGTCAGAGGCGGTGGGAAGTTTGAATTTTCGGGGTTGGAATTTGGAAATGTTTCTGACAACGGCAATAGAGTAAACGACATCACGGCATTCAATCATATCAAGGAACGCACGAGCCGCAAAGAGGGCTTTGTCCCGTTTGTTGCTTGCATCTGGGTCACTGTCCGGGATTGACAGGTAATCTCCCATTGACTCCCAGAAATTAAGCTGACGGTTTTTTATCTGTGCGTTCAACCCGGATGTGGTGGCAGCTGGATCATCTTCCGGGTAGTTGTGACGAGATACCGGATTGTTTTCAAGCACGGTTCCTGTGAGTAAGGCTTCGAGTAGAGATAGCCGTTTGACAGCATATGTGAGTTGAGGGTCCGTGGAGTTTGAGGTGTCGGTTCCATTAGTCGGCTCCAGAGCTCGGGCTGAACGGCACAGGCAAAGACTTTCCCAGATGACATTGCTTTCAAATGATTCCATTCGAGTAATCACCGACACATCGTGTATGTTTGGATCGGTGAAACCGTCAAGAAGAGAAGAGTAGAGTGATAGTAGGCGTGGGTTTCCAAGTAAGCGGGTTAGCCCATGCGTGTCGTACCAGTTACATTCAAGCAGGCGGTCCATTCCTTGAGCATAGATCTTGTATAACATCTTTACCTCTTCCAGCTTTGTAGGTGAGAGAGGATTGGTATCAACTTCCGGTAGCGCAAAACCACCAATTGATAGCAATTCAGACATTTTGGGTTGTCTCGCTATAACTCAAGTTAGCATGTATTAGTTGATATAATCTGTGTAGTGAGATGGGAGACCTTACGTTCCATCTTTTCTGAGTTAGGCAAGGTCGTTGAGGCAGCTATCAATGGGTGGCTTTCAGCCACTCTCGGAGTAACACTTCTCGACTGCGCGACTGAAGCGGTGATCGGTACTGTTGGTGCTGCTGGAGCTACCTGAGCTGTTGCTAGGGGAGTAGGCTCTGGTTCTGTGCCAAAGTCAAACTTCTCCTGGGGCGGCGAGGCCGATGAGCCCGTAGCTGTATTGACAGTTGGAGATACAGAATGCGCTGTGCCAGTTGCAAGATACGTCTGGTTGAGCCCTGCGGCCTGATGAGGGTTCTGAGGCGCAACTTGCAGCGAGGGATGTGCTATTGGCGCCGGCTGTAGCGACGAGGGTCCTGGCTGGCTTCTAAATACTGGATCGTATCCAAGACAGTCTCGCTTGCTCTTCTCGCAATTTCGACACACTGGATGCCGTTCGTCGCACTGTATTCAATCTCAGTTACGGATCTATCAAATTGGCGACTCGCAGTTGGGTATAGCTGATAACACGGGTAAAATTGACCACGACCAGAGAAGAGAATATGCAAAAAAGAAAAACGAAAAACAGGAGGTGCAAGCTCTTCAAAGACAGCAAACTGGTGCAAACGAGTGCTGGAACATGAATAAGGCTGGCTGGTGCTGCTGCTCGAGGATGTTGCTCTCGTGTCAAGATCGAGTTTTCTGGAAGTTTTGGTTTTGATGCTAAGCGAGCTGCAGACGCGGGGAGCAAAGGAGAAGGAAAAAAAAAAACCAGCATCTGAAGAAAAGGGAAGAAAACATCCCAACAAGCAGCAAACAGCAAGTGTAGCGAGAGACAAACAGGCTATGCTTGCTCGAAGGGGGTATTTTTATGCGACAATTGCTTTAACTAACAGGGAAAAGCAGGGAAAGGACCGTTTCTTACCTTTATTCGGCGCTTCCTGCAAGTAAGGCAGCCTGTTTTTGTCCTTCGCTTGACATCTCGCTTCATGCGATTTGCAGCGCTCTCATCCGTTACCAATTCGAAACCGTCAGAAAAGCCTCCAGCTGGGATCTCGCCGTAATACTGGGTGATATGGGTCACGGGAGTTTGGGCTGCGGGAGCTGGAGCTGTAGGAGGAGCAGTAGCCTGTGCAGCATGAGATGCTAAGCTAGCATTGGGGTTAAATGGGCCCTGATCATTATTGAACTGCTGTAGGGCCTGAAGCTGTACAACATGGTCAACAGCTCCGATTTGAGATGAATCCAGGGTAGAGCTTGCGGCCGCAAGCTGATATACGGGATCCGGGGCTTCTGTCGGTGGCACAGAAGGCTGTGACGGAGGATTCGAGGCAGCAGGAGGATGGACCAAGCTGTTATCGGTAGCTAGCGTGTGTTGTGATTCATACCCGGTGGCATTCGACTGATCGTTTCCGTTCGTCGTGGCCGGTTGCTCGCCTTGAGTCAGTGCTTGAGGCTCCGCTGAAGAATCTGCCGTCGCCGTTGGGGCCGATATTGCGCCAGATGGTGTCTCGCCGTCCTCCATGATTCTTCTTTATCCAAGTATAAGTTATGGCTGGCTCGAGGTTCGGGGATCAATGGCTTATCGAAATGCGCTCAATTATTTTGATTTTCCGCATCGTCCGTCTTGTTACAGAGTACTTCGGTAACGTTTCGAAGGGATTCGCAATGAGAACATCGGGATATGCTATTCGAATGCAGTGAATAATTCTGTAAAGCCTAGCGGTTAGCAGTTGCCTCTATATTGGTCTCTTGCTTCGTCTCCATCAAGTAAAAGGTAGCCAGGTAAGTTTTGCGTGTATAAAGCCACATTTCACCTAGTGGTTAGAGCATCACCAATATCCAGATAAGGAACCATCAGATATGTAGTCTTATCCATTGTTTAAGATATTGATAATACTCTTCATAGAAATCCAATAATACCCTTCAGATGAAAGTGGTTGAAAGCCACAGAGCAGACGAAGGTGGTTAAACCTGGTACTCTTCCGCCAATGCCAGAGTTGCAGATATCACATATGGGCATTTTTATATGGTATTCAATCTCATCGCACAATCTAGCACAGTCTTCTGGGCTAGGAAAAGACTTAGGCAAGGCAGGATTGGTGATGGGGAGGAAGAAATATGACTGCGACGTATCTTGAAGATGAAGAAAAAAAGAAAAACACCAGCACTTTGCGGGACACAGGTAGACATCTTCACTTACCAGCTTAATAAAGAAGGCTCTAGCAGCAATCTTAGCTAGATGCCTCTCGGCTCCCTCTGCTCTGGCTGTGTCTGCGCAAAAAGCTGTTCGCGACTCGAGATGTTTCCAAGCGGCTCAACTTTTTGATAACTAAGAAAAATGAGTGGCGATGCCAAGCTTGGTGATGACGGCTTCCGCACCTGAAGAATCACTGTTCGACCAGGTTAATATCGCCAATAAATAAATCACTGTGGTTTGGTAGGCTACTTGGATAGACGGGAGTATCATAATTTGGTATTTATACGTATAAGATAGATCAGTTGCTTCACGTCTGTCGCGTTTTTATACGCAGCCATCAATTCAACATCTAGATATCAATACCTGTAACAAGAATATGGTAGACTTATCTATCTTATCTATATACTCAGATAATATAGTTAAATATGTATTCCAAAGTCCAGAGATCAACTCTGATGTGATGAGAGGGAAAAAATGGTATAGATCAATAAGGTGCTACCGTTTTATATTTTTAGGTTTCCGCTTCTTAAACATAACGGCTGGAGGAGAATCCCCTGGCCCGTCTCCCGTAGCCGTATCTTCTTCCTGTTTGATATTGGGTGGTATATCCTCATCCTTGGCGGGCGCATCCGCACCGTCATTCTCGGCATCTTCTTTCTTCACAGCGGGTTCCTGCGTATCCCCAATATTGGGCTCATCTTTGGCCTCTACCTTCACCTTCTTCACATTTGTAGTCATGTTCAAAAGCGCGTCAAGATCAGCCGAGTCGTCCTCACTGGCTCGGTATTCGCGGATCGCGGAGCCCCATGACTTTCTCACAACTTCCTGCTGCATGTCTGCCTCTTCCTGTTCATCCTCTCTCAGCTTCCGCTTTCGAACGCCAACGTTTTTAATCGTCGCGTCAGCAGCTTGCTCCTCGATCGGTGTCTCAGAGACAACCTTCCAGTCTCCCGCTAATGCCATGCTCGGCCTAAACTCTTCGGGAACTGCAACTCCCATTTCTGCCAGTTGTGCTACCTGCTGCATCCGGTCTTGTGTTAAACCTGTGGTGTTTGCTCCTGTAGCTGTCGCCTTCTTCCATGGCGGATCATTTTGTGGCCGTTTGGATCCCGTTGACGAGCCAGGGTTGGATACTATTCCCCGCAGTCTCTCGACTTCGCTCTTTGCTTTTTGGCTTTCCTTTTCACCCCGTTCTTGGTCTCTGTGTATATCTCGTAGAAACCGTTTTAAGCTGCCTTGATGCTTTCCTGTAGCTTCGTGTTGGGTTCGCTCGTAAGGTGTGTCGCGAACGAAGATCTTGCAGTGTTTACACCAGTATTTGGGCTAAAGCAAGAGTTGTTAGCTACTAAAGACCATTTGCGTACAAAAAGTAAAAACTCACTGTTGACTTCCAGTATTCCGACATGTTCAAGCTGTTTGGTATGATCTTCAAGATAAAACTAGAAGTTTTGGTTCGAGTTGCAACTTTTTCGTAGCTCAGAAGGTTGAAGTTGTCGTGAAAGTTTATCTTATCTTATCTACTCCCCGAAGCTAACATTATTTACGTACGGCATGTACTTTATATAGATGCATGCAGGCCTTTAAGAAAGATTATGTTCAGACAGGATTGTATCTCATGGATAAAGGGTATTAAAAAGGCTCTATCCTTACGTTTGCTTCCATTATATCTCTTGGAAACCAGTGGCTTACCTCCCGCGTAGAATCCGTCAACTCTTCCTCTCGCCTAACAAACTCCTTCTCGTTGAACTGTCGTACTAACTTGTCGTGGGCAGGTTGGGCCTCTCCATCGTCTTCGTCGGCATCCTCACTGTCCCACTCATCTTCTTCCGCAGTTCCCTTTTCGACAGGATCCCATTCGTCGGATTCCCAGATTAGTTTAAACTGAAGCGCCGGTAAAGAAAAATGTCGCGCCACAATAGCTTTGATAAGGTAGATATCAGATGATTTGGGTATCTCTTTCTCAAAAACACGAGCACTGGGTTTCCCTTCTACCTTGCTGGAATCTGCCAGGTGAAACCTGAATTTTATTAGTTGGGCTGCCAAGGAGCGAGGATCTATATCTCTAGGCTCTTTGTCGTTGTCGGTACGTTGGATCTCCGGCGTCTCATATATCTTGCAGAGCTCCTTATATCGTGGGTGTGAGTTCAGTATATCCTGCTCCATGCTCGGGGGGTGCGCAAGGATTTCCTTTCGAATTAGTGAAAGGTAGTATAGTTCTCCATTAAGGCGATCAAGGGGTGTGATCTTGCCGTAATTCAAAATCTCCAGATTAGATAGCCGTGAGAGTGTCAGCATGAAGGCTTCGTCCACCGTCATCCGTGCCTCCGGCAACCCTGTCACTTTCGTTGGGGCTGGCGGAAGAGCGTATAAAGGGTTGTCGGAAATACGTAAGTTTGTCATGCCTGGAAATACTTCCTGTAAAGCATCCAAAAAGCTCCAGGATGGAATTTGGTTGCATGATATATCCACAAATTTGAGGGTCGGAGAAAAGACCAAGGCTGAGGGCGTCGACGCATATATCTTACTGATCTTATTTCTTCGAAGCGAAAGATGACGAAGATTTCGTAACGCCGTAAGATGACTTAGAGAGTCTAAAGATTCATACTCATTAAAATCTAGTAAAAGCTCCTGTATCATGGCTGACAGCGGAGCAGAGGTAGACGATAATTGGTTATTCTCCAACGATAAGGTAACCAAAGAAGGGAATTTGCAGGATATCAAGGCAATCTTGCAAACTTGTCAGCCGATAAAGCGCATAAAAATGGATTACGCAACATCATACCTCCTTCCAGTCCATTAAAGTAAAGTCTAGGAATAGAGTATTCACTGTGCGGGATATTATATCCGCAGAGCAGTTCTCAACATCTTCGAAAATGTTCCCACTATAAATTGGTCAGTTTGTAATCATAAAACATGAATATGCTGGATATACTTTACTTTAGCTTTAATATTTTTATTTCTGGCAGCTGAGCACAGATATCGACTATCTCGCACCATCTCCGCAAAAGATTGCGGCTCAGATTAAGCTCCATGACCTTTGGACAAGTTTTTTTGATCTTCACAAGCTCCTTTTCTCTATTACCAGATTCATCTGGCTCAGCCAACACTCCATTGATGCGCAGGCCGTCGAGAATGATAATCCGAAGCTCATGCAACGCAGCAAGCTGCTTGCGGATCTCATCAAATCCAACTTCTTCTACAATCTTTCCACTGATTTCAATAGGCTTGGATATAAAATCTTCCACAACACGATCTCCCTTGGAGGAGGAGTGGAATATTGGTAGTTCAGAAACATATTTCTCATGAGCCCCTTCCAGGAAGCTCAGGGGTTTGTCTGATGGTCTGCTTGGACGGACAAATGAGCCTGCAGTTGGGTGATTACTCTTGCCTGCGAAAGTGTTAACCAGTCAGAGACCGGACAGCCGTTACATATACATGTAGTGATCTGGTCTTTACATTGAAAGTATTGCACATCATTGTGAGCTCCCGAGTGTTTGCCCCTATCGGGCTCGTCCCATTCCACGCCGAGCCACTCGCCCTTGGTGCCATGAACAGGCCCGACATATCGGACCGTACAAAATGCACCATCAAACGACAGTCTTGACCCGATGGTATACCGGCAATTAGTATCCAGACCTGTATCAAACTTGCTTGACATGTTTTATGAGATATTGTGGGTTTCTTCCAGTAAATTCGATTAGGTTGTTGAGTTTGAGCGCTGGATAAATAACTCACTAGTTAACGATAAACTAGTCCTAATTCGGCAGTTACTATCGCTGCTTTAACCCTGCTATATAACGACGATATCAGCCTCCCAACCTCGTCTCAACGACAACAACAACATATCGCTGCGATGCCTCCATGTCATCTCTACGAGAGCATCTATGGATGCTAACAAATATCGTCCACTCGGTCGGTTTTTCTCGCCTTTGGAACCAGCTCGGCGTGCGCAAAGTTTTGAGTAGTTAACCATAGCGACTCTCACCTGGCAGCAACTGCTATGAAGCATCGGATGCTCGATTTTATGCCTGTTATTGATATGCTTGGTTCTCTGAGAGATCACGGCTTGAACGTCATCTACTTTGCGTCGATCATCCCATATGACGGCGTTAGGTGTACGAGCTTGGTTACTTTTTACTTGCACGTTGGTTTGTTCCTGAGACGATTCGTCGAAGATACGGCCATGCACATGAGATAGACTGGACAAAACCAGCGACAGCAACAGAGTCGGGAAAGGAATGGAGATACGGATACATACCTCGGCATTATGCTGCAGAATTGAATCAAAGGTATCAATCGGCGTGGTGTTAAGACGGCTCGCAACTCGTTATAGCTCACAACTCGGCCAGATACAAGTCTGAGTCTTGGTCCTGCAATGTAGTTACGGGAGGTTTTCGGCCCCGATACTATCCTTGAGCACGCCACGATGTCCTTCCAGACATTCTTAGCCGCGATAACAACGGAACAGACTGATCTTCAAGCCGTGTGGGGAGATAAAACAACTACTCAGATAGCGAGAAGACGGCGATTCATGTAGAATCCTTGCAAGGCTTGTCTGCCCAAAATTAAAAAAACAAGCAACAAGAAAAAGAAAAATAGTTAGCGCATCGCCACGGCGTCCCGTCGATTTGTAAGTTACAGAATTGAGCCCCTGTCATGTTTTGGATGGCCACGTAACTAACCATCCTCATAGACAGCACACCATAACACGGAATAGAGGCAGCCAGGGGCATTTTGCAGATATTTAATTAGCTACCTACATATATTTATATTGCCCCTTTTACCACAACATTCCATCCTACCACCACTCGTGAAATGCTAGCGTCGATAGTTTATGGGTTGAGGGAGGTACGTAGCCCTATCGCCACGGTCAGCATGATAGACATTATCACTATTCAAAAAGATTTTATACATCAGAGTACGGCTCCTTGGATGAACCTGGTTGACTTCGTTAGCTTCCCCCTATTAGGAAGGTTAAACCTCGCCACGCTTGCTGGCGCACTATCGGACTATCAGACTAGTTATCAGACTGCGCCTCTGCGGGATTCCTCATCTTTTTCAAGGCTCAAGCCGAAATCTGGTATAACTAAGTCAGTTATCTCAAACGGTGAACTTTGTGTGCCGCGGCCGAAAGACACCGAACGCAGGGACGCGCAGCACATCCAGACCCTCAGGCCCCGTTCCAATTGGTCTCTCTCTGCCGTGCACGTTTGGGGAACAATAATTACTCCTGGCTCTCTTGAAAACAAGGAGCTCCAAACTCGGATGAACGGGACTGAAGATCTGCGAGGCTTTCTCGCAGGCGGGAACGGATGATGCCCTTGTGGATAGTTCATGCGGCTTGTTGGCCTGAAAAATTTCCTTCCTCGTGTCTCCTTGACTCGTTCCATGCAAAATTCCATCCATATTCACCGATCACTTCATACTCTGCTGCGATACCATGGCCCGATGACATAGAAAGATCTCGTTAGCTTTCTAGCAATTTGAGACCCCGTGCTTGATTTACCGTCGATGCCGGGTTTGGGTAGCAGCGGAGGTTTCGAAAATGCAAGCCTCCGAGAAGAGAGATAACTGGGGCACCCAACGAAAAGTATACCCTTAAGAAACACGAAGCAAGCGTTTCGTCGATAGAGAACTGCCATGTTTACCTTCCATGACCCAGGTCTGCATGGGCAACGTCATCCCAAAGATGGCTCATCCCTAGTCAGAGGATAGAGGATCGGGGATCTAGTGGCTAGTGGTTTATAAACTATGTTCCTGCCCATAGTGAATGGATCATTAAGAGTGTGTTTGCGTGTACAGCTCTAAGAATTGACACTAAGAAAGATGGTCTTCGAGCGCCGGGCAGAGGACGGCAACCTGTCTTCCATCACTCTCTCCCATGCCAGCAGTGATACTACACCACTACCATCGCCGACTGCTCGGAACCCCTTAGAAAACGGTCCTCACGCATCGTCTTCCTTGACCCTCACGAATATTAACGGTGAAGAGGATGTCGAACTTGCAACTAAGAATACCTCTACCAAGACATCTACCGAGCCACCATATCACATCTTTTCTCACCGTCAGAAATGGCAGCTCGTTCTCATAGTCTCGATAGCAGGGGCATTCTCTCCCCTTTCCTCGAACATATATTTCCCGGCGATAGACACCATATCGTCCCAGCTACGAGTCAGTGCCTCATTGGTAGCTCTGACCATCACCGTGTACCTGATAGTTCAGGGTATCAGCCCGTCCATATGGGGCCCGATGTCAGATACTTCCGGTCGCAGGATTACTTTTGTTATCACCCTCACCATATATGCCGCCGCTAATCTCGCTCTGGCTTTCACGGCCAACTTCCCAATGCTACTTGTACTTCGTGGCGTGCAGGCTTTAGGTTCTGCGGCAACTATCAGTATCAGTGTCGGTGTGATTGGAGATATGGCTTGCCCTGAAGAGAGGGGAGGCTTTGTAGGAGCCAACGCTGGAATTCGGTAAGCTGGAACACAATAACTCTCCTGGGAATTAATGCCTTGCTAAGCTGACTACTGGTAGGATGATTGGACAGGCCGTTGGCCCCGTGTTTGGTGGCCTGCTTAATAGCAAATGGGGATTTAGAAGCATTTTCTGGCTCCTCTTTGTCCAGAGCGTTATTGTCCTACTGCTATTACTGGTGTTCTTACCAGAAACTCAGCGCCAGTTAGCGGGAAACGGCAGTATTCCTCTCCATGGATTCCATAAGCCATGGCTGTACTACCTGCGGCCACCTAAATCATGGACCTCGACCAAAAACAGAGAAACCCCACCATCCAAGACTTTACGCATATCATTCAAAAGCACACTTGTCCCGTTAACATATGTCTTCCAAAAAGATATCTTTGTTCTCCTTGCCTGGGGTTCTCTCATATACACTCTCTGGAGTATGGTAACCTCTTCAACCACTACTGTTCTATTGCACTCATTCCCTAGTCTAACGCAATGGCAAATTGGTCTCTGCTTCCTTCCCAACGGAGCCGGATGTGTACTTGGCTCTATATTTACCGGATGGCTGTTAGACCGAACATTCAAGCGAGCCCAATCTGAATATAAGATACGCCATGGCTTCCCGGAAACAGTGAATATCAAAAACCTACCAGACTTCCCTATTGAACGCACCCGGCTTCGCTTTATGCCCTATTTTAGTTTATCTTTCATCATATGTGTCGCCTTCTACGGACCCAGCTTCGAGCTGAATGACTTGAGGAGGTATTTCGCTGCTAACCTGGTGGCCTCATTGGGATTGCAATTCATGATTGCTTTTACGGCAACCGCCATTTTTAACATCAACTCCACCATGCTAGTGGACTGCTTCCCTAACGGCTCAGCCAGCGCAACAGCAACCAACAACCTTGTTCGATGCCTTGTGGGTGCTGCTGGAGTGAGTGTGATCCAACCCTTGATAGCGGCTGTTAGAGTAAGGAACTCCTTTCTGATATTGACTGGTGTTGTCATATTGTTTTCACCACTTGTATGGGTACAATGGCAATACTGCGGAAAATGGAGGCAGGAAAGGGAGCGAAGAGAAAGTGATAAATCTAGAACAGTTTAAAAAATGAGGAACAATCAGATTTTATGCTAGTATATTCTTCAAATGGCTACTTTTTTTATTATTGGTGGAGTCATATAACCGTCTGCGCGTCACTAACTATATAGGGGAGGTCCTCCTTAGCCTATGAAATTACCTGTCCAGCCTTATATTAGGATTTTTGAGAACACATTCTTTTAGGCGAGTTCACATTCAATAAGACTTTCAATACCCCTATGAGCTGTCCAAATTTTGACAATTTTCAGCCCAGCTGATTCCAGAAGGATATACCAATCAGCAGCTGTGCGCTCAATCCCCCCAAGGTTGGCCATCATGACGAGGTCCAGGCTGGTGCTCTCCCAACAGGCCTTTGATTCAGGGATGACATGGTCGTGGATTAGAAGCTTGCTATATCTGGGCTTCATTGCGAGTGTGAGGTTCCTAAGGATCCTTTGGGAATCATTGTCACTCCAATCGTGGAAGATGAAGTGCATAAAGCATGCTCGAGCACCTTATGGGAAAACAGTTAGCACCTATTTAAATCACCTAAATCTAGGGTGTCATTTTTACCCTTTATCGGTTGTTTAGTGAAGAAGTCATGCTCCATAGTCTCAATTGAAGGGTGTAACAGCGCCTTGGTTTTGGCTTGGGCGATTACTCCTGGCAGATCTTGGAGTATCAGACGACCCGGTATATCTGGCCAATCGCGACGAAATCTAGAGATATCGTGCCCTTGGCCACCGCCAATATCAATCAATATTACATCGTTTTCTCCGATGCTAACGTCATCTGTAAGCCTTGACACAGGGTAGAAGTCTGGGTGTGACCAGCTAAGCTTTCCCTGGCTATAAGTGCTCATATTCTCATGGAATGGGCCGCCAATCTCTTGGTGAACCTTCATAAAGTCGAAGAAGTGGGATTTGGTATTGTATCCAAGCTGGAAGGCACAGTCATTACCATTGGTTGGACTGTGATACCTGTTCTTCTTGAGATGTGCTGGAAGTGCATGCACTCCTACGGTGATGCGAGATGATCTGTTGTATCCGTTAAAACGAATACCATAGTGTATGATGGCATATGCTACTTACGCACAACGATAAAAATTGACATACTGCTACGAGCATAGCGAAGTAGAAAGCCCAGTACGTTGGTATTCATCAGGTCCGGTTTCGAGGATCAACCCCATAGCAGATAAGTGTCTCAAGATGCGTGCTATCAAAACAGTCAATATCAAGTATCTCAAGTGGTGATGTTTGCTGCCAGTTTATACCCAAAAGTTTTTGTTCTCCCCCAGTTGCCTTGGCTAGTTCGTTGACTGTCCTAGGTTTGTGGGCCTTGCAAAGATTGATAAATATGCCTAGATCCACAGCGATTTCGATAGCAGCACGAGTAGTAGGCTATTAAATATCAATGAGTATCATTCATCCATTCGCTGATACACGCATGGTATACTCACTTCTGACCAGCAAAATCTGAGCATGGCTTCCCTTGGTGTCTCGAGAGCATAGACGAGTGACCGAGCAGTATCGAGCAAGTCGAATCGCTCCATGGAATTCTCAGGGTTAAACCGCTCCCTGAACGAGGATATCTTCTCGATCAGACTGGGTACCATGTCTGGTATGCTAGGGGAATTTGCCATTTTGTCGCTGACGATTTCTCCTACAGAGTCTTCGTTGGTTGTGGTATTATGACTTTTTCCTTTAAGGAACGCCATGATGGGTATTTTTGAAGGAGACAGTAAACACTTGGAAGCAATGAGCAATAATGAGGATGATTCGACTCAAATCAGAATCTAGAGATAGCCGGATGCGAACTTATGTGTGCTGCTTGCTTCGTGGCTATTACGGCATTTACAGTATAACATACCTTAAGTTAAGCAGTGTTTCTTTACTCTATCTTACCACATGCACTGGCACTGTTTTTCTTTGTCAACTGGAGATCACCTTAAGCGGGGTATTATTATAGTGTGGCACAAAGGACACAAATGCAGAATGCTGTATCAGCTTATGTGTCTCAATGGTGATGCTAATAACCCTTTGTGTAATGCTCTTTGACATCTTAATCATACGGCCCAGCTATACAAAATGTGCAAGTCAGTGGATCGCCATACTGGCATAGAAAACCGATATACCCTTAACTATACCAATATCTCTTCGTCTCATCGAGGTATTTTCCCATAAATGCAAAAATGGAAACTATGTAGAAATCAATTAACCTATGCAATCTCATTCAACGCTTCTCCATCATTATGGCAAACACTTGGTAGTTGTAAGGGGTAACAAGGAAAGACACAACAGAGAATGAACTAACCAGGTACGATGACTTGTGATAATGTTTACTGTTAGGAAATAGATTACAGCACTGTGCATGTCATTCCAGTACACGGAGTAAGTACTCGTCAAACTTCCGTGCTCAAGTCTGGGCTGGGTGGCACCACGCATGCAAGTGCCTCCTAGGAAAGTATGCTGCAATGCACTCCCGCCACTCCATATCTTCTGCTGTTGTGCCATCAATGGCAAGATCAAACCGCCGAATCATAGTTGCAAAGCCAATGTACAGCTCTGCCCAGGCTAGGTTCATGCCGAAGCACATGCGTGGCCCTCGACTAAACGGCACGAGCCAGTGGTCTAGGTCTTTCGGCTGGCTTGAGCTCTGGTCCCCTGAATCTGCTTTCTCTCTACCCTCTAGCCACCGTTCCGGCCGGAATTCAAGAGCATCGTCCCCCCAGATCTCGGTGGACCGGTGTACATGCAAGATTGCCATGCCAACTACCGTACCAGCGGGTATCTGTTGACCCGATATAATTGCGCCTTCGGGGGGAACTATGCGGGTCAGCGACACGCCTGAAGGGACAAAGCGTAGAGATTCCTTGATGGTTGCGGTAAGTAGCGGAAGGGCTTCAAGGTCGTTCAAGGCCGGCTGCGTATTGAGTTCTGGCCAGACTGTAACAAGTTCGTGCCTCAGTTTTGTGAGCAGGCTGGGATTTTGCATCGTGTGCCAGTGGCCCATGAGCAGTGTGTCAGCTACTGTATTGGCGCCTGCAAATATAAGCGTGATGCCTTCCTCTTGAAGGGCCATCATACTCGGCACCGTCTTTCTCCGGTATACTTGAGGGTCCAGCAGGCGATGAAAGATGGTCTGGTGGGACACGGTATCCAGCTTTGTAGGGCACTGTAACACAGCTTGCAGCTGCCGCTGAATTAGATTGCGAACCTGATACAGCCGTGGTGCCAACCGCTTAGCGTCCGGTAGGACACCCATAACCAGATCCGCAGGAACGACATAAAGCAGGTTACGAATCAGGGAGAAATGTTTTAACATAGGCAACATGCGCAGGCTAGCGTCCATAGCCAGAATTAGGGGGTCTCGAAACGCTGGTGCATCCAACGCGTTAACGCAGTTACCGAATGTGAAGCACATAATAATGTCAAGGGTGTAGGAGCGGAATGCATATAGGAGGTCGATGGAGTGTTGCATCGCATGAGCCTTGGTAATAGACGATGCAAGGCGAGTGGCCTGTAATACATTATAGGTAAGTACTTGGGCTATGGTTAAATGAAGGCGTTCCATAATATTGCCAGCGACGGGTCATCAACATAAAATGTGCTGGAGGCCACTAACATTTCGCCAGACAAGGTGCTCGAGGCTCTGGATAGCCTTCTTGGAGAAAATTGGCAAAAGCGCCTCTCTTCGTTCTCTCGCATGATCGTACTTCAAAAACACGAACGATCCGCTCTTGACTCCAAGCGTTCGATAGAGGCCTGGGTCTTTATCCCACCGTTTACTTCTGTGGTATATTTCGTGAAATGCATGTGGGTTTCCAAAATGAAGCTATGTAGAGACAACCATATGTATCAATTAAATATATCGGCTCTTGGACAAGGGGGAATATCAATTTGGACTTGAGCTCACCTCGTTTGGAGCAATGCGAACTATGTCACCTAAAATAGAGTTAGTAATGGTCGCTCTTAAGGTTAATTTTAAGGTTCAGCCTTATTTGGAGCGAGTTACCATATCGTCGGTGGAGACCAAAGAGCTCCTTGGCCAACGTCTCCTGCTTGATAACCTCCTTATACGCTCTCCAGCCCGATGTGGCGCCAGCCAGCATTGGTCCGGGGAATTTTGCCAGCGGGTGGAAGAAGATATTGTATAGGACCCGGTACAGGCACAGAAGGACCGCAAGGACTAAGACTAGCGCCACCATCCAGGTTGTTATTGTCGCCATTGTGCCTCGTGAGATTCTTTTGTGATTGCAAAGCCAATAATTATATGAAAGCAGAAGTATAACCATTAGAATACCCGAGGAAATATAAGAAGTTTGGACCTTGAAGCGAGGGAGCCTTTATTTATATATTGCCCCTGCTAAACAGAAGTCAAGCTGCGAGTAACTATATCGAGGGCATGGCTCTAGGCTGGGCTCAGCATGGGACATTCCCTAGCCCGCGTTGAGCTTTTAAACCAGCAGAATATTTGCTGATGTACGGAGTAAGAGGGGTAAGATAACTATTTTCGGACCACTAAATCCTCTCCCAGCCTCGTCTCCTGTCACCAATTGTAGAAAGCCGTATATCGTGATAGAAACGTTGGCCAAGCAGGTGTACATGTCGTTCGTGCATGACAATAAGTTGGATCGCGCGTCTCGTCAATAATCCTACTACCTATGCCATGTCTGCTAGATATATAGTTACGAAGCCTGCTTAAATGTTGGAATACTTCGTATTCTGGAAGGATCTCGCCCATGCAAAAAGGGCGTTCCGATGAAAAGCCTACGTCACCTGGCCGACCCTATACTAGATATGTAGTGGGTAAACCCTGTAATGGGGCTATTGGGCTAATAAAGTCCCTTGTAAGCTGGTGAGACTGCCATCCGTTTAAGTAGAGAAAGGAGCGCTAGGGTAACTATATGCCTGCTTCAATAGCCTGATGCCACGCCTAGGATCCTAAATCTCCCAGAGGAGCACTCGTTGGCCTAGCTTATAAAGAGTGCATTCAATGCTAGGGAGTACATCCAGGGAGTCAACATAGAATTCCCATACAGTTTACAGAGGAACAATCGACTTACTTAGACTATTAAATATCCAGCTCCTACTCATGCGGCTCTAACAAAACCGTGTATATAAACAAAGCTCCGGAAGTTATCTCCACGAAGCCGCTGACCCACTTAGTCAATTGCCAAGTAAACTCTGTTTCAGCCCCTGTCCGCACCTCCTGAGTGAGAGAGGCCTTTTAGCCGAGAGTAGGTACGTATATAGATATATACAGTATGAGGAAGATCACCCGTCGGCCGTTATGATAATACGGGTTACTCGTTATCGTATAGTTATATACCTACGATGCACTATGTATGTACCTGGCGCTACAGTGCCCAGGCTACGCTAATCCGATAGTTAGGAGGGTACGGAGCATCCGTTGCACCTATTCGGTTGTAAGGGCATAATGACTGGTTACCGCTCCTTTGGAGTGCCTGTCAATGCGCAGAACGAATCTGATGCTGTGACCAACTGTGGCCCCAACCCAACATCATCCTTCATCCTCCGTCACATTTTACCCTTGCTGCATTGCAAATCCGTTCAATCATTGTGATTGCTGCACTCTTAGTTACTGCTTGGCGTTTGCTAGGATGGTGGAATTGAGTTTATGTTTCGGAGATTACGCCACATACTCTGTACGCCGCACCTCCATATAACTATATAATCGCCGCTGAACCTGCCGGAGACCACACTTTTCATCTCTAACCTTCGCCTATTCAGTCCACTCCGCTGCATTACCCCACCTCCGGCCCCCGGCAGTCAGTCATGCGAGTCAACCGCAGAAATCCTCCTCATCCTGCTACCGATACGATGCGAGCCAAGAGGGATAACGAAAAAGCAGCGGCTAACACAGAGGGCTTCACCGATGGCGCATCAAACGAATTCGAGTTTGGTGGTTCAATTGGTACCGCTTTGTTGATGACGGGTTTCCCTTTACTCATGTGGTATATGTGGATAGGCGCAACATACTATGATGGCTCCCTGCCGATGCCCGAGGCTAATCAGTCCTGGGTAGAATTCAGCCGTCACCTTGTTCGGTTGGTCTACGAGGGAGCCTATCCGACCTTCAAAGCCTGGGCTATCTACTGGACATTCTTTATTATGGAAGCACTCATGTACTGCTACATGCCCGGTGTCTCCAACTATGGCCGGCCATTGAAACATGAGGGTGGCAAGAAGCTTCTCTATTATTGTTCTGCATACTCTAGCTTCTATGCAACGCTTGCTCTTGCTGCAGTGTTACATTTTACCAATTTGTTTCCCCTAGACACACTGGTTGATGAGTTTGGGCCTATTATGACAGTCGCTATCCTATCTGGCATTCTAAATAGCTTCATTGTTTATGGTCAAGCTGTTGTGCGCGGACGGACACATAGACTTACAGGGTACCCTATTTACGACTTTTTTATGGGCGCTGAGCTAAATCCTCGTATTGGTATCTTGGATTTTAAAATGTTCTATGAAGTAAGAATCCCATGGTTTATCCTATTTCTTATTACCTGTGCCGTGGCTGCTCGCCAGTTCAAAACATATGGATATGTCTCGGCGGAAGTACTCTTCTTAGTTGCTGCACACTTTTTATATACCAATGCCTGCGCCAAAGCAGAGGAGATGATCATTACAAGCTGGTAAGTCAACAAAGCATTATCATATTAGTTCTTTCTAAGCTAACATTGACCTAGGGATATGAATTTTGAAAAATTGGGGTATCTGCTTACCTTCTGGAATATGGCCGGCGTGCCCTTTTCTTATTGCCACTGTGCCCTATACTTCGCTAACCATGACCCGTCTGAATACCGCTGGAACCCTTTCGCCCTAACAGCACTTTCTGTTGCTTATCTTTTTATGTATTGGATGTGGGATAGTGCCAACGGCCAGAAGAATTCATTCCGGCATAAGGAAAAAGGTCAACTCATTAAACGAAACACCTTTCCCCAAGTGCCATGGCAGACTCTTGAGAATCCTAAGACTATTTCAACGGATACTGGAGATCAAATACTCGTCGACGGCTGGTTTGCAATTATCCGAAAACCAAATTATGTCCCTGACATGTTCTTCTCCATGTCCTGGGGTTTAATCACTGGCTTCAGGTAAGTGTTTATGCGTGAACAAACCGTAACAGTCGGGTACGATACCAACTAATCATCAATTAGGAGCCCCTTTCCTTGGTTTTACTTTGTGTTCTTCATGGTTATGATTCTTCATCGCACAAGAAGGGATATAATTAGATGCCGGAGAAAGTATGGTGAGGCATGGAAACGCTATGAGAGAGAAGTTCCATATATATTCATCCCAGTAAGTCCACGATAGCCATCAAAATAGTTGATAAATGCTGACAGGTTACAAGTATGTGATCTAATTGATGTGCAAGAGCTCTCCAAACACGTGCAAATGGCTCAGGTCAGGCTGTATTTCGGCGTGGGGGCCTCAAGTGTCCAAGGAAGCATCAGATCTCAGGACGAGGTGCGGGATTTATACCATATTTCAGTCTGGTGCTTTCATATCAAATACTGCAAGCCTCACTTTGTATAGAGTTAAGTTATAGAATATTCCGTAATACTCCGTAGAATACAAAGGAAATCTGAGGGGTTGACAAAACCTGTAGCGGTATTCGCCTTCCTGAAAATTCTGCACTAGGTTTTGAAGCGGCCAATCGCCGGCTAGTTGGCCTAGGTGGTAGCTTGTTGGCTATGGACTGTCGAGGTTAAGATTTTTTATCACTTTAGCTGCAGATATCCCGGATATAACGGGCGGCCGTACGACTGCGTATATAGCTAAGGTATTGTTACACTACATCAAGTATGGCATCAACCATCAAGACTTAATGGCAATGCGGCGACCAGCTGTATGATCTTTTGATCGAATAGTGCGTGCGGCCCTACCACCATATACACCATTGCACGAATAAAGAGGTGTCACTGAAATGAGAACATTAATAGGAACTTGTATTTATTCCATAATATCTGTCCGTATGTTTTTTTCACATACTTTTAATCTCGATGGCTACATCAAGTATCGGCCTCCGTATCCCGACAAGCTTTATACCGAGGTCTATCAATACCACCAATGCGAAGGGGGCCAGGGGAACCTGGCTCACGAGGCTGGGATGGGGTAGGAGTGTTGCCTAAGAGATTTCGACGAAATTCGCCACCGTTGCAGCCAGCGACCCAAGCGTCTTTGATTTGGAGCAAACCAAGCGACATTTATTCGCCAAAGGCAAATTTCTCCTTGGCTGTTATCCAGGAGAAGATATGTCGTGGCTGCCCAGTGCTGAGGCTGATATGATTACCATGTTCGAAGCTATACAAGGCATTATAGTAGTGTAATGGATACCTTGTAAAGGCTATATCAAGGGCCATAGGCACGAGTACCTTGGATAGGATGGCGAGTTTTCATGGCAAGGATGACCTATAGAACGCCCTGGTACTTTTGTAGGCGTTGAATACTTGGTTGACCGTCTCTTGATATGATATCAAGTTGTCAATCTTGATCTGTAAGTGATCAAATACTGATTGGTATAACGGCATGCGATAGCATTGACACGAAATCGTACTCAGTGGCCAAATATTCATGGTCAAGCCAAACCAGGTTCCTTCAAAGTAATAATCTGTAGAAAAAGGGAAATACCATCTAACTACGTTGTTCATTCGTAAGATGGGCGTTTCCAAAGGCAAATAAGGGTATATCAGGCTGGCCTTTTCGTGCAAACTATTGCTCCAAGATCAATGAGTGGGTGTAGTACGCGAAAAGAGTCTTCTATCAAAGACGACAAACGTTGAATTTCTTCTGTTCAAATGTTGAAGTTGAAGTTGAAATCGATTTTATTCCTTCTGATGCAGTTAATTGTTCTGGGCATAACTAGTTATCCACCAATCACAAGCCATGAAAAAGCTCCATCAAAAAATGTTTCTATCAAAACTCCAAAAGCTGCAAAGAAACTAGAGATAGCAGCCTCCAACCCACGCAGCAGCAATGGACTACCAGGTAAGCTATGCTACCACATCTAACAGCGCATTTGGAACTAAACAATAACCGCTCAATCTCTACAGAACCGAGCAGGCTCCAAGTTCGGCGGCGGCGGCGTCGCGTCGCACTCCGCCACGAACGCAGACAGACGAGAACGACTCCGCAAGCTCGCGCTCGAACACATCGACCTCGCAAAGGACCCGTACTTCTTCAAAAACCATGTTGGAAGCTTTGAGTGTCGTCTCTGTCTTACCGTTCATCAAAACGACGGCTCCTACCTCGCCCACACCCAGGGTCGCAAACATCAGACCAACCTAGCCCGGCGTGCAGCACGCGAGCAAAGAGAAGGCCGAGCCCAAGATGGCTCTGGCGGTGCTTTGCCGGCTGGCAACATGGGCGTACAAGTGAAGCGCAACACGGTCAAGATCGGGCGGCCGGGTTATAAGATCACCAAGATCCGAGACCCGCTTACGAGGCAGCATGGGTTGCTCTTCCAGCTTCAGTATCAGGAGATTACTCCCGGTGTTAAGCCCAGGATTCGGTTTATGTCTGCCTTTGAACAGAAAGTGGATGATCCGCCGGATAAGGATTATCAGTATTTGCTCGTTGCTGCGGAACCGTATCAGACGTGTGGGTTCAAGCTGCAGGCGAGAGAAGTTGATAGGAGAGAAGGGAAGCTGTGGACTTGGTTTGATGAGGATAGCAAGGAGTTCTGGATCCAGCTGCTCTTCAAGACGGAACGTGAGGAGAGATACAGCGGTGTTCCTGGTTTGGCACCGGCTGGCCTTCGGCGATGAGATGTGATCTGGCTATTATTTGTTATACTTGACTGGGACGGCCCTGGGAATTTGTTATGGCGTTTAATGGGCATGTGTAGTATTATATAGCGGTGTTACTTCAAGAATGGAACATTTTTATATAGCATCTCAAACCGGTATAAAGCTGATTAAAGACTGGTAGCTTCATGTTGTCATATTGGTAGAATTGTTAACCTAGCTGAATCTCTATCCCACTATAGGGTCTCAAACCCGTAGTAAAGTAACGGGTATCCAGGTACTCAGACAGGTAATACCAAGAATTAGTTGAGAAATCCATCAACATGATCAAAATCCCCAAAGGCTAGGTAAGTCATCACACATATTTTTTTTCAACAGTTTGACATTTTACTGGAGAAAAGAAAAAGGCAAAATTAGCGAAGAAGAATGAGGACGGCACAACTTGGAAGAAGTAGTAGAAAACGCCCAAAGCACGCATGTTTTTCCCCGCTTGCAAGAGATCGTAAATGTGAATTACTGCCTTTCCCCCCTTTTCTTTCATGCTCGGTTAAGAGTTGGATAATGCGTTTAGTTGAGCGGCGTCTAGCTGCTCTGGAATGCGTTGAAGGCCTTATAAGTATAGCCGATGAAGGGAAGGGACATCTCGGCCTCTTGTTCCTCGGGCATGGCGCGGGCTTGGGCGCGGAGGAGGGCGCTGTTGTCTTCCTGGGGAATCTCATCGATGGGGAAGTAGGAAACATCAATGTTGGAAGTGAGTCTGGGCTCGAAGGGGGCGCGGATTCGGCGCAGTTGCTCCCACACGACGCCACGGAAGAAGGGGTGGTTTTTAATCTGGGTGGCACCACCGTGTTGGCCTCCTTCCTGACCAATACGGTTTTCGGGGTCACAGAGGAAGCTGTTTCAAGTTAGCATAGGTTGAAGAATTAAAGAAATAAAAGAATAATACCTTCTGATAAGATGCTCAGAGTCTCTGGAAAGAACTAGTTCTTCTGGGAAAGCAAGATGTTCACGCCAGTAGACGATCTTCCGGTAGGTATCAGTTGGCTGTTCCGCGCAGAACGGAGGCCATCCGACAAGACATTCAAACATGATAGCTCCAACGGACCACCAATCACAGAGATAAGTGTATCCCTGCCCGTTGAATATCTCAGGGGCAATGTAATCTGGGGTACCAACGGTGGAGTATGCCATAGCACGACGTGACCGACGCCAAGTATTGATCTGGCCACGGTTGGAGACCGTCAAGTTGATGGCATCTGAGAAGAAGCCAGAGTTTCTGTTCTTATCTTTGGATGTGGAGGTATTCTTTAACAAGGCCTGATAATAGGAGTTGTCATGCTGTTTCTTGCCGCCAGTCGACAAGCCAAAGTCGGTTAATTTGATATGACCACCGCGGTCCAACAAAATGTTGTCAGGTTTGATATCACTAACCCCTTAGTTAGCTTACTATATTAGTAGACCGAGCGGGGGAGTAAACACGCATACCGATGTAAGAAACCGAGTTTATGGACGGCTTCGATGGCCATGACCAGCTCAGCCATGTAAAATCTGGTGATATCCTCCGAGAAGATTTCATATTTAATAAGCATGGTCATCAAGTCACCACCAGGCAAGAACTCCATGAGCAGGTAAAGGTATGCCTTATCCTGGAACGAGGCGTGGAGCTTGACCAGCCATGGGTTGTCCTTGGAGTCAGCAAGAATATCACGCTCAGCACGAACGTGTGCAAGCTGGTCCTTCTTGAACATCTCTGTCTTGATAAGTGACTTGAGGGCATAAATCTTGCCGTCAGTCTTGCGCTGCACAAGCTTGACTTCTCCGAAAGCTCCCTTGCCGATGATCTTGATGGTCTGGAAGTTCGAGGGGGTCTCTCTGGTTCTGATAAAGCGGAGGAAGTTGGCTTCCTTCTTTGCCATGGCCTCCGACTCATGCTTCCGCTTTGCATCAGAGATGGTTGCATTCTGGCAGATCTTGTCCAGGTTGGCAGCACTAAGAAAAAAAAATACAGTCAGTAACATTTTTCATCACACAGGACAGTAGAAGATAGCTCCCAGTCTAAGCATGCATACCGCATATTTCTATCACGGGCCCTCTCGATGTTCTCACGGAAGAAGACGTTGACGAGCTCCTTGGCCGCCTTTCCACGCTTATGAGCGTTCTCTGAGTATCTCTCTGGGCATCTGACGAGCTCCTCGTCCTCTGGGTTGGCACCACGGGCTGGCATCGGAGGAGTCAAGTGAGCTCCCGCCTGCTGCTGGTGTCCTGCAGGAGAGCCGGCGGTACGAGGACGCTGTTGACCCCCTTGCGGGGCGGCGCGAGCAGGACGCGGGGAAGCAGAGAGGTCCTGGTTCGAGAACTGCTGTATCAAGCCTGAGGTCTCGTCGTGTCCGCCTCTCTGCTGCTGCTGCTGCTGGTAGCCGGCCTGGGGAGCACTGCCGTGTGGTGGTGCGGGAGCATACTGCTGTTGCTGCTGCTGCTGCAGCGTCTGGCCCGCGGGAGCCATATAGGGATTGTTCACAAAGTATCCCTGGTTGTAGGCGTTCTGCTGGGCGTCAGCGAACTCCTGGTTGCCCTGGCCGGCGTACATAGGCTGGGGGAAGGTCGACGGCGTGGTGGGATAGGCCCTGTTGCTCGCTGGGTTGTTGCTGTACGGCTGCTGCTGGTCGTAGCCAAAGTTAAGGTGAAGCCGGCCGTTGGCACCACCATTGGGAGGGCCGCCGTTGGGGTTGCTTCTGCCGCCGTCCATGCTGGCAGGGGAGTCTCTTCTTAGCAGAGGACGCTATAACGTCTGCTCACTCGTCGTCGAGGCCGCTGCTGCTGCTGCTGCTGCTGCTGTCAGGCGTCGGGTGTCGGGAGGAGAGGGAAAAGGGGGCAGGTTTGGCGTTGGTCGGAGTTGTTGCAAGGTCGAGGACGCAGAAGAGCCGCGAAGTTGATTGGGATCTGAAACGAGTCTCGAGCAGGCATGCGACATCCAAAACACTCGCCCTCCTTATATATAAACAAATAAGTAAATATATATTACTTCTCTCTTGATATACGGTGTCTAGGAGGTCTACAGGCTAAAGACAAGATGAGAGGAGGAGTAGTTCTTATATTCTGCACTTTGGGCGTTTGCGCCGATTCTACAGCAACACCGGGAATAACACATTTTTTCTCTGCCTCACGCGCAGAAAAGGCCATGATGGATATCAGAGACATACTATAGACACCAAATATCAACTCCATCCCTGTTTATATGTAACTATGAGACCATGGCTGGAGCTTGCTGCTGTCCTTCCATCGTCTTTATCTTTCACCTAAAGGAAGAAGAAAAAAAAAAAAAGCAAAGGCCGGAGAAAAGGAGAAACGAAAGTCCGCTAGATTTTTCTGCATCCATGCTGCAAAGAAGAGCTTCACCAAAGTTGTATAGAGAAGAGTGAAGAGAAACGACAAAGGAAGACAGTTGACAGTCTGTTATTAATTGACCAAAGGCTGTAGATTGGTTGGCTTTCGGTCTCAGTGACAGCCATGGAGACGCCGGCTTCAGGTCCAGCTTCAGAGGCTGCGGCTGCTGCTCCAAAGCCAGCTCCAAAGCCACAGAACCCGGCCCTGCGCATGCTAGGTACGAGAATACAGACAGTCTGAGACATAGACAAAGATGCTAACAGGACGATAGGGCTTCCAAATATTAAGCTGAGGCTCCCATCGAGGAATTGGATGATATTCCTGACTGTGACCGGTTCGTTCATAGGCGCCTTGGTATACGATCGCCGTGAAAAGAAGAAGATACAAGAGAAATGGGCAAATATGGTAGCTCACCTTGCCGATGAACCACTACGGACCACCGAAGCGCGAAGGAAGATCACTGTATTTTTGTCTGCCCCTCCGGGGGACAGCATGCGCAACGCAAGGGACCATTTTCGCGACTACGTGAAACCGATACTCGTCTCTGGAGCGTTGGACTATGAAGTCATTGAGGGACGACGAGAAGGAGACCTCAGAGCTGCGATCGCAAGCAGAATTCGCCGGAAAAGAGAGCTGGCTGGCGAGGCAGGCCCGCTACCTGAACCTGATCTCCAAACTGCAGACTTCGAGACCAGACTCCGACATATAAGAGAGGCTACCGGTGTCCACGACGAGCCAGAGACGAAAGGAGATCTCGTGCTTGGTAGACATGCATGGAAAGAGTATATCCGCGGCATCCATGAAGGCTGGCTGGGGCCTTTGATAGACCCTGCCTCCCTCAAACCTGAAGCGGCAGAAGACAGCACCCCGCAAGAGCCACTACTACCAGATACACCAGATCAGACATCAACGGAAGAGCCAGCAAAGGATGAGAAAAAAGAAGCCGAGAAACCAGCTGAAAAGCCAAAACCCAGTGGCCCCCCAGCCTCGTACCTCCTCCCATCCGCATATAGCACTCACCAAATCTCCTCCGTTGCCCCCGCTGAATTCGACGGCTCAGCTCCCATCGCATTCCCCCATATACTAGGTTTCCTCAACACTCCCATCCGAATGTATCGATTCCTCAACCGTCGCCGTATGGCTGATACAGTCGGAGAGCAAGTTACTGCCGCTGTATTGGCTTCCTCTATAAGACCTTACACCGACAGCACACATAGCCCTGAGTCCGATTACTCCTCCGTTACCCAGAGCCAGCCTCAGGAACCCGCATCTGAAACTTCAATCTCCCCACCAGACGCAGACGCAAGCGCAAGCGAGCAGCAATCTGTTCTTCAGGTGGAGGAAAAAGACTGGCACAAGTCGGCTTACAAACAGCCCACTGACCCAGCTGAGATCAGGGAGGAGCGTGAATGGACAGATCCCATGACTCTTGATCCACGGGTTTCATCGAGGATGCGCAAATTCGTCCTCTCCCCTGACGAGCTTGCTCGATCCCAGCGTATTGCCGAGGGTAAGGAGTGGGTTATTGGCAAAGAGAAGCCGGCCCATGTTCCGCTCTGGAAATCTCTGTGGACCAACTATGGCTGGGGAGAGGAAGAGAATCCAAGGACTAAAGTCATTATTGGAAACTTAGACGGTGAAGATGGCGAGTAAGTTTACTTATTTATTACTCTTGCTGGCTGTGTCGGGCAAACTCGTCTCATGTATGAATGAACCTACCTTATCTTGGTGGCATTTTTGATCCGCCCTATGTATTTTTATATAATTACTTGCCTGCTCGATTCCTATGTATGATATCTCATGTGTATAGAGAGGAACATGGAGCATAGACGGTGTATTCAATTGATATAAGTAATACTCATTGACCTAAGTCAAATGAATGTATGTGGGCGTGATTAATACCATTTCTCATTTTTTCTGCTCTAAGATTTTTCTTATATAAAACTCGAGATAAGGCAGCAGAGATTCTCAAGACAGAATACCTAGTTACACAAAACACAATTCCTGATCTTGATCACGTTAGAACTTTCCTATTACTGGGGGAACACGGATGCCTCGGCCCATCTGCGACGTGCGCTGGTAGAGTACGAAGCCTTTGTCTCCACTGTGCTGCCCCATTCATCAAGTAAACTGAGACCAGCCAGTGCCTGCTCCAACGAGGTATTGTCGAGATCAATGGAGGAAATGAGGTCCTTTTCCGCTTGCTCTTTTGATTCCGGCTTGAGCATTTGGCGGACTGTGAGTGCTGCCTGAACATGAGGGGCACTCTTTGCATGGGTAGACAGGAACTCTTCGTTCCACTGGGTTAGATCGGTAGATTTGGGCAGTAGGAGGTCGAATTCTGCGTTGATAAGCTCGACGATATCTGGAGGAGTGAGCTCTCCGGCAGCACCAGCGTCAAACTGTTGGCGGAATTTGACAAGTTGTACGTGCAGGGTTGGGTTGCTTGGATCGATGGCATGAGCTGCCATAAGACATTTGATTGCCAGGAGGTATTTCTCTATTAATACCGTGTTAGTAAGATTGCTATCTCATGGCGGTCAAAGGAAATGCTTACTTCTCCGAATATACACTTCAAATCCAATGGTCTGGGCATCAATGTTATCCGGGCAAGCCTCAAGCAAGGGGCCCAAGAACTTCATGGCTTCCTTGAGCGGATCAGAGGTATGAACCAGGTTCAGGCCCAGGGGATCAGTGTCTTCCTTTTTCGAGTCGCCGGCAGCGCCTGTTCCGGAAGCCTTCTTGAGTCTCTGCTTTTCAGCTTCTGCCTCCTTTAGCCGTTGCTGCTCCTTCTTAGCTTTCTTGAGAGCCTTCTTGCGCTCCGCGCTGTCCGGGCCACCGTCAGTCCCGTTAACTGGGATCGGTCCATGGGCGAGATCAGGCTCATCGTGTAGTAGTAGGTATGACTTTATTCCCCCAATGGCAGCCCTGCTATAGTATGGATGGTCTCGCAGGTGGTTCTCCCACCGAATCATATCGATATATGCCCGAATCATACCCTTGCGTAATGAGAAGTTGTGGAAGTCAAACTGATCTTCTTGCCAGAGATCAAAGATGTTGCTGATGGCGTGGAAGCGTTTAAGAGCAAGACCAAGCTTTCGCTGTCGCAGGTAGGATTCGCCATCCTCAGTCAAGAACCAGACGCATTGCATCTCGTGTAAATCTCCAAGTGCGCCTCCAACAGTCTCGTTTCTGGTAAATTTACTCATGTTGTCAAGACCCTTGTCGTTTTCATCATGACGAAGCTGGTACTTGACCGCCTTTGAATTGATATACCGATCCTTGTCATCCAGTAATCGCGCAGCTTCCATGGTTTCTGCGGCTTTGGTGAGGTTTCCGTAGTGTTTCCATATTCTAGCCTTGGTCATCCAGCATTCCACAGATTTGGGTGAGAGTTCAATCGCTTTTTCTACGTAGGACATCGCCTTTTCAAGATCACGGCTAAGATGGTAATTGTAATGCTGAGCAAGGAAGTAGAGGACTGATTCCTTGAAACGAGAGTCATCACCATTGGCTTCAGATCCGTTAGATTGGCCATTGACATTGCCGGCTGCGTAGCCTTCCACGAGTTCCTGCACAATGGCTAGTTTGGCAGGATTGGTGTAAAGTGTCTTGATGTTGGCAAACGTAGATGGTATACCCTTGCGAAGCATTCGCTGAAGATATGAATCGACAGCTTCTTTAAAATCATCTCCTTCAAGGAACTCTAGAGGAATGCGCCTAGGGGCATCTCCCCGGGGGTTTTTCTCAACCCAATAATCATAAACAGCTTTCAATGCTTTGTGATCATCCTTGGGTATGCCCTTGGCCTCAATCAGCCGGTCATAGTACTGCGAATTTTCCGGGTTTCTCTCCAGCAAAGTTTCATAGGCAGTGGCAGCTTCCTCGGTTCGGCCGAGCCGTTGGAGGTAGTCTGCGCGCATTTCCATGACGGCAAGGATATCGAAACATTGCTTGCCCACGGCCTCAAGATGCTCAAGAGCCTTTTCTAAGTCTCCTGATTCTGCAATAATCATATTCTTATATAAAATCGCTTCGGAGTGCTCCATATCAGTTCGTGGAGGGGGCGTCTTTAGCGTCTCCTCAAAAGTTGTGAGAACATTCTGTGCCTCCGAGAGGTTGCCAGCAAGATGGTAGGCAATCGCAAGCGCAGTCCAGTTCTGGCGGACTCCTGGTCGCTGCTGAAGCATCGTGGCCCTGCTCTGGATATATCCTTGGAAATCGCGGATCTGAGCTTGTAGGTAGGCGAGGTCTCGTTGTATGGGCTGGGACTCTGGCTCGAGCTTCAAGGCAAATCTGTAAGCCTTGATAGCTTCGTCGTAGTTCTTCTCAGCACGGTAGAGCAGACCGTAGACGTGCCAGCAGATATGCGACTTCATATCGTTCTTGAGAGCCATCTTAGCCAGTGCAAATGCTTCCTCCGCTTGACCTTGGTAGCTCAGCATGAGGCCCTTCATTGCCTGTGTATCGCCATGGTTGGGGTTCTTTTTAAGGATCTGCTCCGCAGCCTTGAGTCCTAGACATCCAAACAAGACTTGTGTTAGAGCCACGGACAAACAGAACAATGCGGGGGGTTCAATAGCTCTTTCTATCCTCAATAGCAGGCCAGATCGCACCTTTTTTATATTGTTTATTCTCGCAATTCCGGACTACTTGACGGAACAATGAGCTGTCTTTCGAGCTCAATGGCTGAGGCATGATGGACGCCCTATTCCTCAATTCGGGGCGCCCCGCCTAGTCTATCGCAGAAGAGAATAAGGGTCTCAATCAATAGAGGGCGAACCGGGTGTTCGTGAATTGGTGGTGGTGGTGGGCTGGCTGGCGGGACAGACAATAGGCAAGGGACCTTTCTACCCGACTCTAGTATGCGCTTAGAGACAACAATAGATGAAAAACCTTTTGGTCGTTGCAAAGAAACCCCTCGTATCTTCGTAGACAGTCATCCGTAACTCGTCGCCAATTCGCTGTCCTTTTGGCTCAATCCCCGTAACTTATTATATATTTCTTCTATCTTCAACTTGTTTGTGCAAGTCAAAAAAAGAAATTAAAAAAGAAAAAATGCTTAGTTATCCAGATATGGTCATGTGATCCGGCTTTTGCCCAGCTGCGGTTTCATTCACAATTGTTAATAGTCAATGTGAATGAATAGACTACTTCATTCCAGCTGCTCCGTATGAATAGCTTACCTCTCTATTATACTGACAACCTGAAAGCCTATTGAGTGGGCTTCCTGCGGGAACACCGCAGATCAAATATACCAATATGGAGAAAGTCAGGCTCCTGGTAGAGGACCACGTATCTCCGCGAATATACCACAAGGAATTCTAATACTGAAAATAATGCTGAAGCAGACTTACGAGGCCGTCGCCATATCATCCTACATTTGATGATAGGAATATCTAATATGGGTCTACAGGAGGAGATAGATGACGCCGGAAATGCTCGGGTTACCAATCGGATAGGAACTTTTGTTAAGGAAACAGACACCTGCATCTGTCTCGGCTAAAAATGGCCTACTCTTATTATTGAGACTGGCTTGTCAGAAAATGAAAGCAAACTTATCATCGACGCAAGAGGATGGTTAGAATCAGAAGGGTCCGAGACCAATACGTAATTATAGCTAACTACCTGACGTTCAACGATATATTAACCTCAACCCTACGGCGTCAACGTCGGTCTCTCCTTACGAGGTCCTGTACGGTGTGCCACCTCATCTACTGCCGACCTCCCCGCCAGTTTCCACGTTCCTACTACTAGATAAAAAAGACCTGCGCGACTCTCTGCGGGATACGTTGGCCCTCGTTTCGACATGGATGGCGCTTGCCGCCTCAAACACAAGGTGATATTGTGATCACCAAGGCCGATTTTGCTGGAATATGCAAGCATGCCTGGATATAGCAAGAGTTCATGTGACGTATAACGAAGAGGATCGGAATTCCTGATACAGGGGAAATACAATAAAGGGTACGTACTAGCCACGAATCTGTAGGGCATCCAATAATTGATGGCTAATTAATGTTGAGAAGGTGCTGGCATGGTGCTTTCACAATTATAAGGCCTGTCCTGGCGGTTAATACGTTAAGGGAAGGGAAGCCATCCATTGTTTACTGCTGGCAAGGCTTTAGAGGCCCAGAGAGAGGCTCAGGGGGAGAGAAAGTAAGTATCCTTAAGGGAAGAGGTACTTAGATAAATAAAATACAAAGTAGCTTAGTAAGTAGATACCTTGTCATTAACTAAATCATAGCAACGAAATCAACAAAGAAGAAGAACAATAAGAAGTGCCCGTTGAAGAATAGGAACCTAGTGTAGAGGCCGGTAGGAAAGTCTATGATTTGACCAGAGATTCGTATTCAGTTTTGAATGGGGTATTTGAGAGTATATATACATGAGTCGCTTCAATATCGTACAAGGGACGCCCTTTATGCAAATGACAATAGTTAACCAGGCAAATTTTAGTTATCTCCAGCATCCCGTACTTAGACCAGATAGAGTCTCCCGCCGTACGCCGTGAAGAAGGTGATATAGTTATTATTATGGTTTTGCTCCGCTCAATGCGTAATCCGGGCCATCGTTCGTTCGTTCTAAGGTAAGTTATGCAAGTGACGGGGAAGTCTAGAGTCCACGAGATTGCTCACGCGTTGCCCGCCAGCGATTAAGAGCATCCTCCCAGCTCTCAAAGGTGTTCCCGCAACGTTCTCCGACTATATCCCAGGAACGAGACCTCACGATCCTCTCCACACCACGCTCGTTCCGTATTAGCAGGGCGAGCGACTCTGTCCGCGGCTCTCTGGGGAAGAATCTGGCTGAGTAAGGATCCAACCTCTCATCGACCACTCTCTCCCGATCTCTCGCTGACTCTTCCTGTCGAAGCAGCAGGTCTGGATCGTCAGGGTCAGGACTCGTGGCAACGCCGGCGCAGTACGTCAGGACATCCGACCTAGCTTGCCAGGAGGGGAACAGGACCTCGTCCTTGAAAGTCTGACATCGAGCTCCTTCGACTTGGCCGTGACGAGGTAGTTCTGTCTGTCTGGCGGTGGTTGACGACGGATCAAAGCCTGACCTGGCCGGAGTGACCAGAGCGTTCAAGCTCTGAGATATCGAGTCATCTACTGTCGACCGAGATATTCGTAGGAAGTCTGTCCGTACATCATCAGCATAACTTATCCCAACCTCAAAATGGATAACATGTAGCTCACCTCTCAATGCCCGTTCATTGAAACAAAACTGCGGTGACAGCTTCGGCTGTATCGAGGTCTTTGGCATCTTGCTTCCGCCCGGTCCTGAGTCAACCGACGTCCCGGCTGACCGTCCAGCCCAGAGAAAATCCAGCCTGCCTGACTGTAAGTAAGTAAGATAAGTAAGTCGGAAGTAGATATACAAGCTCTATAACTATATGGCTTGCTGTTCTTCCAGCTCCCAGTTAGCAGCTGGTTCTCTTGCTTGCTCGTTAATTGACTGAAAGATGCCAAAACTGCATCACATGACACGCGGCTCTTTTCAGCCCTTTTTCAGCTTTTCAACGTCGGATATGAAAATGGATAAAAAGCGAGTGAGGAATATTGATTGATGCAGCCTTTGGTCCACCTGACGCCCTTTTTAACCGTCATGGTGAGCCCCTCGGCTCTTCCAGAGCCTTTCCTGGCCAGGCTGGGGACACACGCCAAGGTGGCAGGGAATCGAAGCTCGCTGGTTGGTGATATCCACGCGAAGGAAACACGAAGCTAGCTAGCTGCGAGGGCGTTCAAAGACCGTTTCCTTCTCCATTTGTATCTAATACTTTTTGACATTCTACGAAGTACAAATTGGAAATCTCATCTAAAGAAGTCTAAGATTGCTCATCTGTTGGTATATTCATTTATTTTCTTGGTATTCGTTAAATACTCTGCCACTGTATTAATTTCCGGCGACAACCCTTGACCTGCACCGCTCATCTTTCACCAGGAACACCGGTCGGGTTCCAAATCGCATCGAAATTATATCTTCAGCTGCTCCTTTTGCGATATATCGACCCTTTGGAGTAGCAACCATTGACTCGAAGACCGCAGTTTGAGGCAAATCATTTCACATTTATTTCTGCAGCTTCCAATAATATCTGCTACAACTTTTCTGCACCGTCTTCAAAAGCTCAACTCCTCTACCAGCAGCAATGCCTGAGCTCGCAGAAGTTGCACGGATAGTGAACTATATCAAAAAGCACCTGGTAGGACACACTATCTCCAAAGTCGTAGCCAACCATGACGACCTCCTGTTCGGCAAAGTTGGCACCAGCGCCGACGAGTTCAAAAAACATATGCATGGCAAAACAGTCATAGGAGCTGGGCAGCAGGGCAAATATTTCTGGATGATCATGTCTTCACCTCCGCACCCGGTCATGCATTTCGGAATGACGGGTTGGTTGAAGATACGGAGTGAAAACACTTACTACCGAAGCAATGGCAAAGATGAGAACGTTGAAGCAGACGTTTGGCCTCCAAAGTTTTGGAAGTTTCTGCTCGAGACGGATAACGAGCCTAAGACCGAGGCTGCGTTTGTGGATGCAAGAAGGCTGGGCCGTGTCAGGCTTGTGGACTGTCCTGGAGATGATATACGAAAATATACGCCTCTCAAGGAAAATGGGCCTGATCCGGTCATTGACAAGGCCATAGTGACAGAGGACTGGCTGAAGGCCCTTGTGCGGCGGAAGAAGGTCCCCATAAAAGCCCTGCTATTAGATCAGGCTAATATCAGTGGACTGGGGAACTGGATGGGGTATGTTTTACATCCTTTCATACATACGTTGACGAAGAAAGATACTAATGCTGGAAGTAGAGATGAGATTCTATATCATGCACGGATTCATCCTGAGCAATACAGTGATACGCTCCGGGACAATCAGATCAAAGAGCTACACTCCTCCATCAATTATGTGTGCTCCGTATCTGTTGATTTGAAAGGAGAGTCTTCTGATTTCCCCACCGACTGGCTTTTCCACCACCGATGGAATAAGGGCAAGAAGGGAGCAGCGGGCAAACTACCCAGCGGAGAACCCATTGTATTCGTCACTGTTGGTGGCCGAACTAGTGCCGTTGTCCCATCTGTGCAGAAGAAAGGCGGCGAAGATGACGAAGAAAAACCGGAAAAACTAGATGCCAAACATCAGAAGGCTGCAGTCAAGCCATTGGCGGTACCAAAGGTGAAAGCAGATAACGGTGAAGCAGATGTATCGGCACCAGCGACTCCGAATAAGAAGCGTAAGCAGCCTACCACAAAGGCTGTCAAGGAAGAGGATGGTGCGGCAGCTACGCCGGCCCCGAAGAAGTCCAGAGCTACCAAAGCCAAAGCCGAAGCGGAGGAGCCAAAGGTGCCGTTGAGAAGGGGTCGATCTGCCGCGAAGAACTGAACTCCACATCTCTTTCCAGTTATTTTTGGCTATGGAGTACGTTATTTACTGTTGTTTGTTGCGTTTTATCGGCGACGTAGGAGTTTGTGGACGGTAGTATAGGCTAATTCCTAGTTCTCGACCGACTATGGAACGGCCTTGAGATTCCAATTTCTTTCTGTCTTCATATCTTCTTCTCTTTCTCTTAGCTTGTAAACCAGTCTTATGTTAGATTTGTATCACCGCTAGATAACCAGACAAAGAATGTGCAAATATGCGCATATATATGGACATTATGCTCGCTTGTTCAATCATACCATCATACCATGAAGCTTTCTATAAAAGACACCGTAGTTCCCATCCCCATCTTCCCCCTCATCCAGATCATCCATAACAGCAAATATAACGCTCTCCCACCACCCACCAATGAATTCAACTTCACTAAATACCTCAGCAAAACAATCTGCAACGTCCTCACGCGGATTTAAAAATGCCCCGCAGCCCAACGCACCCAACACTAGTCTTCGATGACCGTTATATGCAGCTGTGCGTAGGGCCATACGTATCTTTTCTTTGGTCAGGTCTCTATCGGCAACATTTTTAAAGACCTCCTTGATGTGCATATCCGATGAGTTGGGAATCGGTATCTTCTTAGTTGCTAACTCGGGCTCACATATCGCCGCTATGCTAACGACGCTCACAACGGGCAGCTTCTCGGGTTTATTCAGTGATAAAAGGCCATGTCCATCATCTATACTCCTGCGTATAACGAGCACTGTAGGCGAGTATATTGCCTGTAGGTCCTTAAGAGGATAATATCGTAGCTTAAGCGTGAAGCTGAGACTGGTTCGGTAGCAGAGTGTTTCTTCCTGCGCCAAGGCACCGTTCTTCCACCCTCCTCCAGCATGGAATGCATTCGCCATGTTCAAAACACAAACTGGCTTTTTATCTCTCACAGTAACAAACTTTGCACAGTTCGCTAGAGCAATGGCAGTGTCGAGTGAGTCTGCGTTGTGCACACGGATGGACGTGTTGTGGAAGCGTGGACAGTACATTGGATTCAGCTGTGAAATTTTACTAGGAGAGTATAGGTATCCATTTGGCGGTGCCCAGGGTGCCATCTCTAGTATTCCAGGCAAGAATGTACTTGTCTCACCAGCGATACAGCGAAGGATCTTTCGTCTTTGCATGGCGTCCTGAGCTGGTGATGGTTTTCCTAGTGTTACTTCTGATCCCACCTGGGAGGCCGGCCAGTCGGTTGATGCAATGCTGGTCTGGCTGTCGAGCTTGCTGCTGCTCTCGTCCTCCATCTCGTAGTCCATCCCACTGTCAGGGAGTAGGGTATCACCAGGGCTGGTGGTGCTCTGAGGGTCCTTTTTGATGATCTGGGGGGTATCCTTGTCCTGGGTGCGGGAGGAGCCGAAGTTGAGCACTGTCTGAACCATCTTTGACTTAGGCGAGGTCGTCATGTCGTCTAGTCCACTTCTCTGCTTCTTCTTGTTGCTCTTTCTACCAGCGCCCTTCCATGGTTATTACTGTGTTGCGCCGTTTGCCGTTGGCTCTAGATGTTCTCAGTTGCATCCTGCAGGCAGAAGCCTTATCCCTAGTCTATTTGTCACTCATGGGTAGTGATCTCAGATCGACAATCACACAAGAAAGGCCGAATGGTGTAGTTGGTTATCACGTGTCGTTAACACCGACAAGGTCCTGAGATCGAGCCTCAGTTTGGTCACTTTCAATTTCTTTTTTATTTTTTTCTCTCTTCACTAAATAGAGTTCTCTTGATGATATAATCCGGATTAAGTTTAACCGCATTCTGATTGGCCAAATCTTATTTAACGTTTCCTCTTTTTTCCTCCGATAACGCCATCTGATAAGAGATGCTTGCATATTACAAAGCTCCTCCATGGCCTGATTTCACCCTCATCTTGACATCGCAACCCTACACGGTTTCTCCTTTCCTTTTCTTTTACAAAAAAGCACAACTAGATTATACGTCTTTACTAGAATATTAATAAAAACCCGAGATTGACAGGCTGAATAATTATTAGCGGCGGTGGTTCGACTACCGCAAATGAGTCAATATGAGTGCGATTCTATCTGCGGACGATTTGAACGACTTCATATCACCAGGAGTTGCTTGTATCAAGCCAGTTGAGGCGCTACCGAAGAAGCAGGAAGAAGTAAGGTATCCTTTCGTTCAATTAGCAGAAACCTCAACTAACCAATATATTCACTATAGAACCTATATGAAGTAACGACGGAAGATAAGTTGGAGGAACAGAACCCCCCACCGGCTCAGATATCTCTTACGGACTGTTTGGCATGTTCGGGCTGCGTTACATCAGCTGAGGCGGTGCTGGTCTCGCTACAGTCGCATGCGGAAGTGTTAAACACTCTTGATGCAAACCCTGAGATACGAATCGATGGCCGGGATGGCATTGAAGTTGGAGATGGGAAGATATTCGTTGCTAGTGTGAGCCCGCAGGTCCGCGCCAGCTTGGCTGCTACATATGGCATATCAGAGAAGAATGCAGGATACATTATTGAGCAGTTTCTGCGTGGACCATGTGGCCTGCGGGCGGGCGGACAACACGGCAGTGGCTTTTCATGGGTCGCTGACACCAATATCATGCGCCAGGCTGTGTTGGAGCTCAGTACAGCCGAGGTCACTGAATCGCTAGCCTCTTCCACATCAACAACGTCCCATGATGAATCCGGCAAATTCTCCATCCCTAGCAGGCCGGTCCTCGCCTCTTCTTGTCCAGGTTGGATTTGTTATGCGGAGAAAACCCATCCGCACGTTTTACCCTACCTTTCACGCCTAAAGTCGCCCCAAGCCTTGACCGGTACATTCCTCAAAACCATTATAAGCAAGAAGCTCAATATATCACCTTCATGTATATGGCATCTTGCGATAATGCCTTGCTTCGACAAGAAGCTCGAAGCAAGTCGACAGGAATTAACAGATGTCTCTTGGAGAGGAAATGCATCAGATGAGGGCAGTTCGCCCGTAAGGGACGTTGATTGCGTTATCACCTCTAAGGAGTTACTCATGCTCGCCTCTTCCCGAAACATCTCTCTTCCATCTCTACCACTCGAACCACTACCGACAAACCTCTCGACCCCTTTTCCTGACCAGACCATCGCTCAGTTCCTTTCCACTAATAATACCCTACACTCCGCACAACCTGCAGCTGCAGGGCCATCAGGCGGATACCTTCACCATCTCCTTACAACATACCAGTCCAAACATGCAGATAGCATCATCCAATCCCAAAGAGGCCGCAACGCGGATGTGGTTGAATATACCCTCGTCTCGGCAACCGGTGAACCAATCATCAAAGCAGCGCGGTACTACGGGTTCAGAAATATTCAGAATTTAGTTCGCAAGTTGAAGCCTGCTAGAGCCTCAAGACTTCCTGGCTCAAGGGCCATGCAACCTAACCCTAACGGCCCGGGTGCAAGAGCACGGCCCGCTCCAATAGCTAACGGGAAACCCGGAGCGCCGGCAGCACCATCCGAATTTGCTTATGTTGAAGTCATGGCTTGTCCAGGTGGATGTACGAATGGTGGAGGCCAGATCCGACTTGAAGATGCCAGACAGGCCAACCCTACGTTAGCCCTACCTGACGGCGCTGTTTTAGAGCAAGGTTCAAAGCCAACATCCCAAGACCAACGGGCATGGCTTTCTCGAGTTGACGAGGCGTATTATTCAGATTCCTCAGATGACAGTTGTCAGCCGGATAAACCACATCATAGGTCTTCTCCCGAAGAGATACATTCCATACTGAAGTACTGGTCTGATATGATGGGTGTGCCTCTTGAGGACCTGGTATATACCACTTACCGTAAAGTGGAGAGTGACGTAGGGAAGAAGAAAGGCCCAGCTGGAAGCATGGATACAGCTCGTGTTGCGGAGCTGGCTGGCAAGGCTGGCGGTGGGTGGTAAATTGGTGTATATTGTATGAGAACAATCTAGCATGTTGATCATGTCACTTAAGCGCTGCATCCGATGGATACCACATTTAGGCATGGGCAGAGTCTCGGCATGATCTCTTTTAAAGTTAGGGGGCTGGCCTTGGTCTTGGAGTTTTTGGGGTTCTAACTAGACTTCAGACGGCATTGGATATATTGTGAGAAGGGGGGAAGAATAGCAGCATTGCCTTGGTTACTGATCTATCTCTATTGTTATTGAACTAGAATTTTGAAAGAAGGACCGCAAAGCCAAACAGTATAACGAGTAGTGAGATAAGAATAGTAGAAACATGATGATAGACTTGAAATGAAAGACAAGGGACACCTTTAATTTTCTTTCTGGACAAGTTACTCCATAAAACCTGCTCGGACACCGGATACTGGGCGAATAATCACGGAGATCGTGGGCTGCTACCCCAAGACTCGCAAGAACGGTCACGGGCAGGATTCTGATAGGGCAATACAAATTCTGAGGGTACACATCGGTTGACGACCTGTGATCTGAGCAAGGAAGGAGATTCAGGGCTCGAAATTTCTGATGAGGACCTAGATGAGTGCCTATCAGGCGGGTTTGGCAAAGTCCGTACGTGTCTCTCGCTGTCGGTAGACGAGCTATGCGGGCTCCCCGGAGCTGGAGATTTCAGGACCTAGACAACAGTAAGTATCAAATTAGACAAACAATGGCCTGAGAAGTATTGATTACTTACTAGATCAAATTCAACTTGCTTTCCAGATGGACTACCACCTGGTGAAGGGGCGCGGCCGCAAAGATTTAGGCTTTTTTGGCGCCATAATGTACGACGGTTATCAGCTTCCGTAGAAACGATGTGCTCTCTCCTGGGAGGTCGTTCAAAGCGGTTTAACCGCTCATCAAAATCCCTGGATAAGACGGGATCCTGGAAGCTAGAAAGGTGATGGTGCGTATTGATGGTATTACTGGGAGATTTTTCTTGCGGATCTTTGGGAGAACCCTCATTATCTATGGTAAAAGGGTTAACGAAGAGTTTACCGGACAAGGACTTATTACTCCCGACATACCGAAAGATACTGCCTCAACTGAGGTTGCCTTGGTAGAGCTTCTTTCCTCCTCTGAGTTAGATCTTGAGTCTGAGGCTGACTCGACACCGACACAGTCTATCATGTGCCCCCTGAAAATGCCCTTACTACCATGTGGAGGGTCAGGACTTTCACCACCTCCATTTGCAACATGAGGGCCAGGGCTTAGCATGCGATCGTTCTCATCGGTGGACTGCCGCGCCGTGTCAGAGCCAGAAATGCTAACTTGGTGGCTGTTCGTCCCCCCTTCTTTCTGGTGCAAGTATGCAAGCAGGAGGTTTTTTAACTCGGCTGACTGCTTTGTATTCTGTTGTATCAGATGGACGAGAGTGGATAGTCCAGGCTCCCCTGGGCCCAGGGTATCGGTTTTATAGCTCAGCTCAGCCAAAGCAGGTTCAGTACGGTTGCTTCGATCAGAAGAGGAAGAGTTGGCCTTCTTATATGTCTCCGCTGGAGGTGTGATCTGAGAAGAGGCCGCCCGCTTCCTTTGCTGTTGGTTCTGGGTTCCAAAGGGATTTGATTGCTGCAATAACCAGTCTGAAGGGGGCTTGATATCGATATTCGCCAACTTTTGCCCCAGAGACGTGGGGGATTTCTCCAAGTCAAACGCCCCATTCATGATCTCACTAAAGACGTTCTCCTGTGAAACACCTGGAACCACCCGTGGAATCCCTCTCGGAGAGGCTGGAACGCTGTACCTATCGGGGGAGTGGTAGTGGAGCGATGCAGGCAATAATTTTGGCGTAGGGGGCGGCTGTAGGTGCGGATTCTGGCGCCAGTCCGTCCACGTCCCGCCCTGCCGACGATTGCGATGCACAGGAGAGGCCGTAGGGTAAGATAGAATAGGCCGCGTGAATACCTGTGGACTACTATACCGACGATAGCGAGGAACCTGGCGGTTCCAACCTGTCCGTGGCGTGCCATTCCAGCTTCTTGGGTACAAGGGAGGTTGAGCGTAACCTGGGTTATAATAAGGACCAGCCTGGCTCCTTGGGGATGCAGTATAAGGCGTGTCAGCCCGTCTGTAAGTCATTGTGTTTATACTCGGTGGTGTATGCCAAAAGGAATGATGACAGTAAGAGATATAGAGAAAGAGACAGTGTGACGGTGGCCTAACAGATAGATAATACGTCCCGTCTCGCCTTAGTATCCAGCGGCAGAGAGAGAAAACAGAGACAAGCCTGGGATGCTGTAGTTATATAAAGTCGACGCTCTGCAGGCGAAGGGCAAACCGAGCCCGTGGCCACAGTCCAGCATGGCGAGAGGAAGGGGCAGCCCTGGGGTATCTCAAATCTGGCGCAGGTCCGATCCACGATTGACGTGCCGCAGACGAAGAAGCATTTTGGCTGCTGACTGGGCTATCATGGCAGAGGCAGACAGAGCATGATCTTGAAGCCATGGATGTTAAGTATTTAAAAAGCAGGAGTAGAGGTTTCGTATTTCTAAAAATTAGATCTGGAGGTGGAAAGAAAAACAAAAGAGACTTGACGGGCCAGAATTTAAGCGACCACCACTCAAGAGGATGAGAGGCTAACAGAAACGATAAAAACCACGTCCGAAGAGAGAGAAAATCGAAGTCAGCCGATTTCAAGTTTATAACCAAACGCCATAGCAGTTTCCATAACCCAGCTCTTCAATACATGTGTCCCATAGCTTTGCTAGAAAAGGTTTCACTATCTCGTACTGCTGTATCCTAGCTCTGTCTTCGCAAAAACCCCTGAACTCAGCCGCGTATGATATCATTGTTTCCTTGTCACCAGGCACTGAAAAATCTACGACGCTTTCAAAGAACTGTTGGCGCTTTGTTGACGGATTGAACCTAACCTGGCTCCATGTTATTTTGCGTTCCTGAGATTTGTAGGTGATGCGACCGTTGAATCCCAATTGGTTATATTCTTCCATTCTATAAATAGTTAGAATAAATAATTGGTTATTTCTAGTTCGAGGGTTTGTCCCAGCTTAGCTTACCGAAACATGCATATGAAAGTAGATTGGCTTGCCAATTGGAGGAGGCACGCTTTCATGCCCTCGCAACGGTCTTTCAAGGGACAAAATGGGGAAAAGGTGTTGCTTTTGCTTGGCTTGTGAAAATTAGATACAAAAATACAAAGTGAGGGAAGGTGGAGTGAATATACATACTTTAAAAAGTAATACAGGTGCTGATTCTTCTGGTCTCTCCATCTTCCAAGTCCCCTTATACGCCTTGACTGGCTGTTTCTGAAGAGTGAGAGCTTGGCGGGCAGAGGAATCAATCACGACGCCACGCTGATTGAAAGAGGCTCGATGCCCCCGGAGTTCTGCAACGGTGAAGGTGGAAGGATAGTTCTGACTTTCAATTCTCGCGGCGACACAGAGGGAAAATGAGGTGCATAAACCGGAGCCGGATTCCCACAGTGGTATTAGCTCTTCACATGGCACATCGCAGAGAGCTTCTCGCAGAGACGTCTTGCTAATGGTTGAACGACCTGAGATAAAGTCTTCGAATGAAATCTCAAGCTTTCTCAGGATGGAACCTAGCATCAAGAATGAGGTATATGAGGAAGAATTCCATGTGTTTTTGTAGATCACTTGCTCCATGGCTGGTTTGAACAACAGATGACTCAACAACCAAGAAGGGTAGACTTGATAAACCCGCCACTACTAGGGACATTTGCAGTGTCTGTCGAAAGCGATGTAAGGTAAAGAGGCAGGGGTAAGAAAGAAAACGGGAAAAAGAGAAAGGCGGTCGTGGCTTTATAGGAAGTAGGACAACACAGAAAGCTGAAGGAGACACAGTAGAGGGAGCAGGACAACACAAAAAAATGAAGGAGACACGTGTTGTCCTGCTCCCTCTACACAGAAGAAGTGACGGTAAAAAGCGGGCGTATGGCGACACCGGAGCAGGACTTAGAAAGAATGGCGCCTTAGTCTTTCATACAGCTCTGCTCATACTCGATGTCCTCCTCGAAATCGTATGACGGTCCTCTGCCAACCACTATTATTGCTTAGCGACAATGAAATTGAACATGAGAGTTAGAAAGTAGACTTACTGCGGCCATCCTTCCTAAGCATTTCTCTCAGTTCCTTACGGGACATCTTGTCGAATTCCGCCATCGTCTTCGTGAACCATTGCTTTCGTTCTTCCTTCGTCGACTTTGGGGGATCTGAGGGTGCAGAGCACCCAGAGGAGACAGAAGCGGCAGAGGAAGCTTGAGTCGCCTTTGTAACAGTAGACATATTGCTAGAGGTATCCGTGGCGGGAGTTGAGGTACGGGAGGTTGCTTTTGAAGGGGGGACACAAGGCTTCTTGAAGACTGAGTCGGACATTTGAGCTTCGTATACGAGTAGACGAGTTGACTAATTGATAGCTGGAGATTTCTAACGGTTTTTCAAGCGCGAAGATGCGTGTAGTTGTTTGTGGAGAGAAACTTGTGTTTCAAAAAGTTCACAAACGAATATCTATACATCGGCGATAGTCACTGAGCCACTCACTGAGCCTAGTCAATGTCGTCATCAGGTGGCTACCTAGTATGGATTAGCTGGGCATCCGAGTGGGTCAGTAATCACGTGATAACACAAATCTGAAGCTGAAGTGATTTAGGTGCCTAGTCAAGTTATAGGTAGCGAGTTGCCGAGGGAACTGGCATACGCCTCACTCCTCACTCCTCGCCCCTCCTCACCTTTCACCTTTCACTTTTCACTTTTCATTTCTCACTTCACACTTCACACTCCTCAACTCGAAAAGGGTACTCCGTACATTGCGAGGACGTCAGCATAAAAAGTCTAAATAATGCGACCTTGTGGGTCCATGCCCCACAATGCAATCGCTACAAATTTTATAAACGCGGACTGAAAGGACAACCACTTACTTTCACAATTCTCCTTTTGTCTAGAAATGCGTCGGATAACTGGTTAGGTAGCTTGCGCCGTGATAAACAGAAGTGCTTGAAAATAATATACCCCCACCTATATGTTCGACGCTATATCCCGGAAGCCCATCCCGCGCAACGAAGATGTCGAGGACTTCTCGGTATCAGGGAACAACGACTTAAAATTGATGGTCGTAGGTGACTCTATGACTCAGGGCCATGAAGGGGACTGGACATGGCGATATCGAATTTGGCAGTGGTTCCAGGAGCAGAGAATCACCACTAATTTTGTCGGTCCTTACACCGGCACCGTCCAGCCAGACAGCCCGAAGCCACCATCACCTCCACCTCTTTATGGCTCCCCCAAGCCTAGAAAAGGCGTCAAAGTAGATGGCGGCTATGCGCGTGGCGCTTTAGACGACTTTGATAGTCACCATTTTGCTGTTTGGGGTCGGACCGCTGCCACGGATAAGAATCTGATACAGGAGGTTCTGAGGGCTTATCCGGCAGATCTAATGCTATTGATGTTGGGGTTCAATGATCTGGGATGGCTTCAAAGTGATGCCCCTGGAACCCTTGATAGCATTAAAACGTTGGTTGATAACGCTCGTAAGGTTAACCCCTACCTTAAGTTTGCTATTGCCAATATTCCTCAACGGGCGATGATGAATGGGCGTGAGGATTTGCCTCGTTCCACACGTGAATATAACGATCTATTGCGCAATGTGATCCCTCAGTGGAGTACGGCCGCCTCTCCTATTCATTTAGTCGAAGTCTGTGAGGAATATGGCTGTGGGCCTGATGGATGCCCTGCAGGTTATGATGGCCTTCATCCGAATGCTACTGGAGAATATGAAATTGCACGCGCATTCTCACTCACTCTGGTGAGAGATTTTAAAATTGGCTCCACCCCGCTGGTAATACCCAAAAACATACCGAAGCGGTCCTTACCTCGCCCGAAAAATTTCAAGGTAGTCTCCAGCCCCGGGGGCGTTACCGTCTCTTGGGATGCAAGTATGTATCAGCCTCCTGTCTCCATATCAGCTCCTAGATGGGGACTCTAACCGGTTTTTAGTATATGGTGCGATGAGTTACGATGTTAGATCTAGGATATCTGGAGTTACGGACTTCCACACCGGCAGTGTCTCTTCAAATCGATGGGACGCTCAATGGACCCAGGAAGGCTGGACCTACGAGGTCCAAGTTCGTGCAAGTGCAGGCAATACACTTAAAGGCCCATGGACTGTTATTAAATCAGCGAAATCAACTCCTAAAACAGCACCTGGCCCCGATAATGTGCTGATCAATGCCACCGCTACCGGGTTCGATGTCTCATGGGACTCTTGTTCTAATGATTTCAAAGTTACGGAATATGAAGTTTTGTACTGGGATAAAGATGAAGAATATACATTCATCTCTAGTGCAGGCTTTGAAGAGTCCCCAGCACATGTTGGCGATCTTATTCCGGGACACCATTATCAACCTGCTATTGTTTCATGGAACGATGCCGGTGGAGGATTCCCCAAGATGATACGCAGTGTCACTGTCGGCCGAGGCACTCCTCCAGTGCCTACTGACTTGGAAGTTATTGCCAAAGATGCAACATCTGCTCATATTACGTGGACTGGTTCTCCTATTGCGGCTGGTTATCAACTCTGGTTCCGTAATGTAAATGAGCCAGACAGCGTGCTTTGCAAGATCAATGGAACTGAGAGCAAGCCTTCCAGTGACCAATATTTTCTGGTACCTGGTGTTTGGAACTTTGAGTGGTGTGTTAGTGCCTTTAACGGGAGTGCCGAGTCAGACAGGTGCAAATGTGTGCTTGCTCCGCGTCCATCTAATTCCGATTCAACTATGTCATCTAGTGGCTGCTCTGAACAAGATATCAACTCGGTTCATGATTCAGACAAGGTTGAAGAGGCTGATGGGAGGCCAACAAGTGGGCACAAACAAACACCTTGTAGCACTGGCTCTCACTGCGGGACCCCTAGAGCCGAAAGGGAAAACTCCTGGGGGGTCCTATGTGGTACATGCGGCTATATCGAGGAAAATGATGCTGGCTACATCAGCTCTGGCGTTAATCATCAATCCCATGAGGACAGATGCTCTAAAGATGAATGTAAGGATCATGACTGTGCTGATGCAGACTGCTGGATACACGTCTGTAGTCATGCTGGCTGTAAAAAGGTGAAGGAGAGCTCTTTTACACACTGAAATGGATATATATTCCTTATAATGATATATTAACTGAATAGCGACATAATAACAGGATTCATGAATATTTTCTTCCATGAAGTCTTCGATGTGCGTAGAATAGATACTCTGTCCTAATCGGGATAGGCAGTGATATAATATCACGTGATATATTCATTCCTTATATAATCACCCCCAGTTCTTTTTCTTCATATAATAAAAAACATCTAAAAAATCCAACGAGCAAGCAGACAAGCGACATACAGAACCGGCACCTTTCACCAGATAAACACACAGACGAACGATCTATAGCATCTTAATACCCTGAAAAATGTCCAGAGAAGCCTACCAAGTCCCTTCGCTCTCCCAGCAGGGCCCAACATCCGGGAGCACAGCTGGCGCAACCACCGGCAACGAGGTGCTATCGGTCGTCTATATCTGCGGAGACTGCAGCTCGCGCGTCTCGATGAAGCGAAATGACCAGATCCGATGCAAAGAATGTGGCCATCGAGTACTCTACAAGGAGAGAACGAAGAGGTGAGTCACTATAGTCGCAGTTATCCCCAGACGAGCTGATAACTAACGCCGTACCTCTTTGGTAGAATGGTACAATTCCAAGCTCGGTAGATTGTGTTTAACGCCGATTACTACGATTACTTTCCTTTATTACAAACGGGCGCGCGGGGATATAGGTGTCTTGGTCGGCATTAGCTATGTGTTTTATTCTCTCTCTTTTTCAAAGAAACAACAATTACTTGGGAAAAGTCAATGAAATCTTCCTTGGAGGTTGAAAGCAGAGCCTTTTCCCGCTGAAATGCAAGAATATTATTCTCGAAGACTTTGGACTTTTCATTTCCTCTTTTTCAATCATTCCATTCTGTGACTGACATTGTAGGTGAATCGGCTGCCAGGGAAGTAGGAAATTGCTCTATTCCATTTTGATATTTCGGTCGAGGTACTGGGAGATATTTCTAAGGTAGAAAGAATACTAAGAATGAAGGAGATATCCGAAAACATTAGGTGCAAGATTTAAATCCTAAAAAGGTGAAAAAAGAGCAACAACGGAAACACTGGCTTTGTCTATGACAATATTACCCTTTCCCCTCAAAATGTGTTGGACACCTTGATAAACTGCTCAAAAGATTTATACGCTTCGCCGCTCTCAATGGCCCAGCGAGCACGTCTCAGACCCTCTTTCCATCTGAGTCCACCAGGTCCTCGTTCGGTGATGACCTTACCATCGTCTCCAGGGCCCATATTGCTAGTGTCAGCTTCACAGACACCCGAGATGGCCAGCAGCCCAGCAACGTTCATCAATACAAAGTGCAAGACGGGGTCGTCGCGGGGTAACTCGTTGCGCAGAATGCTGATCAACTTGACTGCATTCTCCTGGGGCCCTTTACCACCACCGACCTCGGACAGAGGGTGAGCGGGTAAGCCAAAGTCCGCGGCCTCGATGGAGAATTTCTCAATCTTGGTTGGCTTCAACACCTTCTCGTTGCCTTCTGCGTCGTATGACTGGGTTGGAGTGACGGGGGTAGCTTCTGAGGGGTCACATTCAGCGATTTTCCAGACATTGGTCTTGCCGGCACAACTTATTTCGTCCAAGTCTTCCTCTCCACATACAACCATCGCCTTTGTCACGCCACTTAGGCGCAGAGCATCCGCGAACACGGGCCCGAGAGCCTGGTACGCTACGCCAACGACTCGAGCTTCAATGGCCCAGTCTACAGGGTTGGCCAGCGGTCCCATTAGGTTGAAAATGGTTCTCAGACCCAGGCCTCTTCGGACGGGATTGGCGTACATCATGCCTGGGTGGAAGATAGGAGCGAACAGGAAGGCATAGTTGGTTTGTTCGAGGACCTTGGCTAGGTTCTCTGCGTTGACGGCTTCAATCTTTGGTGCAGTAGGGGTAACGTGCATGAGGACATCTGCTGATCCAGAGGAGGACGTCTGAGCCCTGTTACCGTGTTTGGCGGTCATAAGGAAAGGCGATGCAATAATCGACGAGGTCGTGGAGATGTTGAACGTGGAATGGTGGTCGCCGCCAGTTCCAACGATATCACACTATTGACAGATAAAGCTGTTAGCAACCCACCAAACCGCCGTTAACCACTAGATGGCAACAACGCACCAATCCGCCATTGTAGGATCCCTCCTTTCGGCCTCGCTTCTCGAGCACCTCTAGCAACGGGCCCTTCTCCGTCGGCGTGGCAGCTTCTCTCATGCGATGGGAGCATTGTGCAATGACATCAGGATCCTTATCCAGCCCCGTCGAGTGCAGCAGGGTGAGCAATGCCGCAGTCTGGATCGCAGACAGCCTGTCCTCGAAGATGAGAGCAAAGGCAGCAGCTATCTCCCCAGCAGGCGCCTTGATGTGTTTGGCATCAGGATACGCCAGGCTCTTGAGCAGCGGCGAGATCGAGACCTTCTCAGCCTCTGTCCCCTGTGTCTGTGGTGTAGCCATAGCTAAAACGGTCTTGTCTCTCTGTCTGTTTGTCTGGCTCAGTGTCAATGATGCCTGGGGTGTTGTTAGTAGAAGAGGAAGCAGATGCAGGGCCAGCGACGCATCTTTCAGCTCAGCTGTCCTTTTCTCTATAAATAACTAAGCCCGCCAGCCATGCAAAGCTCCTCATTCCTCAGCTTCTTCCTCGTCTCTCGCTCGCTTTTTTACTCATTATTTAGTCCGCTCCCGCCGTGCAGGGATCGCCAGAGCCCCTCCGGATGACTCAGAGATGACTAAGTTAGTGACTAAGATATTATTAATTCGCTTCAGGCTATGAATAGACTCGACTCTAACGTGCAGCGGCTCGGCGGGAGTGACTAAGTCAGTGACTTCACCCCAGTGACGTAGTCAAGTCACTGTCTGGACCTGACGCAACAGTATATAAGAATGTTGATAGGGATTCTGTTGGAATATTCCACTTCAGCTACGGCACACTACCCAAGGCATCCCTGGGGCATTAGGCCTTTTTGGCCCTTGAGGTCCAACAGGTACACTACCACTCTGGTAATCCGGAACTGGCTTGTGTACATCTTTTGCCATTTGCGTTTCTTCTCGGATCGATCAACGCGAACACCCCGTATCGTTCAAGTTTGCATAGCTGAGACCGGTGAGGTTACATTGATGTTTAAGGTATGCGTATCTCCTGAAGCTTTCTAAATACTTTTCTTATTCTAATGTCTACAAGTCGTCTACTAGTACAACTTTTAGCACTTTCCAAAATTTTCCGAACTACACCGAAGCAATGGGAAGATGTCTGCTGAGACTCAAAGGCACATACATCTACATGTTCCGGTACGTAAACATTCGTCCCTACTGTACTTGTATAGTTAATAATGAATAATTCTAGAACAAAACGAGATGGCAAATTGTTGGAATATTCCACTTGAGCTACGACTCGCATACATTACCCAAGGTATCCTTGGGACATTAGGCCTTTTTGTCCCTTATGGTCTAACACAAACTAGGCTTTAATGGTAGAATTACTTGGAAACCTGGTCATCGTCTCCTGACTTGGAGTCAGTATTCGTTCAACGAATCTGCTCGTACAACGCAGCTTCGACAGCATAACTTTGATTTCGCTGGTGCTGGAAGTAGAGAAACTATCTTTGATCATTAGAAGCATTTTACTTCATTTTTCGAGAGCGAGGCAGGCTTGAACCAGCAAATAGAGCCTTTCCTTACAAAGATTTGGGAAACGAGCATTGACACGTTCGGCTACGGCATTTGCGCTCAGGCGTGGTTGCAACAACTTGACCAGCATTTGATATCTTGCGTACTAGCGTATGCCAGTGATGCTACCTTCAACTATTGAAATGCAATGCTCGAAAGGTTAGAGGGGATTGTAGTCCACTGTTTGTCAAGCAGGAGACAACCCTGGTGAAAGGCCGCACGGGAGCTCGAGATGGATTCTACTAAAATCTCCCCTGCTACTTCACAGACCCCGTCGCAAGCGCCGGTTGATAGAGTATGTTCCGGAAGTTTATCAAGAGATGAAATCACATACGGGATTAATTCCCCGAATTAAGTTCCATATTCGTCTTCTATTTTTTTAATCCCGGAGGACTGACTGCTAGCTTTGTAAGTTGATACAACTTAAGCCAGTCCCTAGCCTCTTTGCAATTCCGTTTCTCGAACATAAAATCACGGTCTCTGCCAGGTTCAAACCTTGAAGCCCAAAATATTTGGCTGGAGAGAATTGGGCGGAATGTTTTGATACACAAAGGTCAATATATCCAGAACTAACAGGTTTGCGTTTATTGCTTGATAATTTCCCAGGGAAATATCGCAAAACAGTCGCCTTTCATTCCCTTCATCGACTGAGATTGTGAAATCCCGAACGAAGCGGACGAATTACACGACAGGGTGAGCAGCTCAGGTATCTCTGCAATATCGTACGGGTCCTCCTAAGCGTGTGTTAGGCAGCTATTATACTCACCTGCTGCCCTATCTTCCCATGGATAATGATCTTTGGTATCCAAGGTTATAAGTACTCCATAGTCATTGCCCCAGAAAACACCGCCTTCCCGTATGGGGAAGGGGAGAGACCCGCAGACATCGAGAAGCCGCTCAACCAGAACGTTATTTGGCTCATAAAAATTTCCGTAAAAGTTGCCAGCACAAACCATGCAAGACATAGCAATGCAGTCCACCTTTCTCACGTTCCCGCATTACTGGAATTCTATCGGAGAGCGAGGGTGAATGATCCGGATCATCCCAGCGAACTGTACTATCAGACGATGCTATCCAACCATTGCCATCAGAGTCGGAATAGTGACCAACGGCAAGCACCCTTGCTATTGATGTGTTGCCGTAAACGATCAATGAAATGCCTAATTATTCGCGGTAAACGACAGTAAATTAATCGGAGCAACAAGTTTAGCGGATTGAAAGGATGCGACCCTGTCGGATGCAGGTAATGCAGGCTCATCCCTGAGGGCTGACATGCGTGGTCGAGGTCGAGCTGCATATGTTTGGCTTAGGCCGGTGTTAGTTAAGCTGCCGGTCCGAAGTTATGTTAACTCCGGCTTAAACCCAACAAAGGCAAGGATGAACCAACTCAGTACATCAGATTACCCTGCATTAACTCCGTAGTTAACTGTTGGAAGCGTCTTATAAAGATAGCGTGAAAGCCGTGGACCACCGACAACATCATTCCTTAGGGTAAAAGAGACATCAAGATCAGAGCCTTTTCATCCTCAGCAACAACCATGTCTTCACAGCCACGAACTTGGCTCATCACGGGCACTTCCTCGGGGTTCGGCCTCGAGCTAGCCCGTATCGCCATCCGTCGTGGGGATAGAGTTATTGCGACATCCCGTAACCCGGAGAGGATCCCAAAGATCGACTCGGATCGGTTTCATACCGCCCAGCTGGACCAGAATCAGCCACTAAAGGAAGTCCAAGCCCGCATGGACAATATCCTGGCTACGTTTGGCGGCCAAATAGACATCGTTGTCAATAATGCTGCCTACGTCCAGAAGGGCACCATTGAAGAATCCACACCGGAGGAAACTCTTCGACAATTCCAGGCCAATACCCTCGGGCCCATGAATGTTTACCGAGCTATCCTTCCTCAGATGCGTGAGAAACAATCTGGGACGCTAGTTACCATCGGCTCTATGGCAGCCTGGTATGCTATGCCAAGCTGTAACCTCTATAATGCTTCGAAGGCTGCCACGAGGTGGCTTGCTCTCGGTTTGGCCGGCGAGATTGAGCAATTCGGAATCCGTCATTGCCTTGTTGAGCCAGGATTTTTCCGTACTGGACTTCTTGAGCCTTCCGCCAATGTCACAGACTCGACCTCCCGTATACCTGGGTATAAGGAAATGAACACCACTGCGGATCGCAACTTTGTTGCTTTTAATGGTACTCAGCTCGGTAACCCGGTAAAAGGGGCAGAGGTTATCTATGATGTGGTAACTTCTACAGGATGTGCTCAAGGACGGGAGCTCCCTAGCTGGTTGCCTTTGGGCAGTGATGCATCTGTAGAGATTGCTAAGAGCGCCAACCAGATACTCGCAGACATTGAGACTTGGAGGGAAATCAGTGCCCTGAGTGATTTTCCTGCAGGGGAGTAGTTGCCCGGTGAACAGGGTAGCCTTGGGAGACGAAAGCACGACCGGGAATACCTGAGCCTGTTAACTACTCAAAGAGTTACATTAGTTAATTTCTTAGATGCTTCTCAATATTTACAACATGCATTTATAAATGTGCTAATCATATTCATACGCTCCAGCTCTGAAGGATATTATCTTTTACGTACCTGGCATTAAGCTAGAAATTTATGGTTCGTGAGGGGGCCATCTTTGCATATTTCTTGTTTACACTAGCAGCTTCTGGGTCCACGGGGGCTGCTGTTAATGAGACAGCAATATGAGGCAACTTCACATCAGTAGAAACCCTCTTAACAGTGGCATTGGAAAAGGGTTTTTTGGAGTTCTGACCCCCCAAAACCAGATAAGCCTATTTTGGATGTTGAAGAAAAGAAGTAGCTCGATAAAGTAGCTTCAACACCGGTACGTGCGTAGGATAAAATGTAAATGTTCTGTAAAACATCTTCCAGAGGCGACGGCTTGTCCAATTAATCAAGCTTCAATGTAAGTGTTATCATCTCGGCCCGCCATTCGGACAGCAGAGGTCACGGGCATTTGTGATAAAGCCTGGACGTACTTCATCAGGGTATGTATGCTGATCCCCAGGTGGATCCATTTGCCATAAGGTATGACCTATTACCTCTTCTTCATGGGACCAGGGTTATGCAAGCGCTGGGAACATACCTGACTCGGGGTATGCCTGGACCGTAAATTAAGATGTAGTCCACCGATATTCGTATATATAGATGGGAGATCCAAAATACCATAATAAGGATTAGCTAGTTAAGCCACACGTCCTCGTGTAACTAGTCAGGTACGCGGGTATAATATCAACTCTTCACCAACGTGCCAACGAATATCGATAGACCGGAGCGGAAAACATGGGAGACAGTATTGCATCAGGGGATTCGAATCTCTCCCACTCTTTCAGGAGAGCCAAATTTTCTGCCCGCAAGAGAGACGAGCCGCAGTTCTCTCCAGACGAGATTGATAGCCTGCCAGCGCTTGTGGACTTCAACGCAAAACACAACCCATCTCACACATTTTGCGTACAATGCCACACGAGCGGACCGCCCACTTGCGTCAGCTTCTCCAGTTTCAAGTTGGCAACTGATCGCTGTCGCGAATGGCTCCTCGATCAGCCGTGTCTGACGAAGCGGGAGGCCAACGATCGCAGCCCGGTTGCCATTTTCTTGGAGAGCGACATCCGCATCTTCATCTACCTCGTTGGCTTTCTGCGGGCAGGTATTCCTGTAAGTTACTCGAATTTCTCCCCTTCGCTGGTGCCTTTCATGTTGCACGATCATTCGACTCAGAAGTGTTTGTTATGTTTTGGAGTGTCTGTTGCTCTCCGAAAGACTTAGCGACGTTGCGGCGAAACATCTGATCGCGGCCGCGGCCGCCTCGGCGGTTGTTGTATCCACCAGGACGCGCGCGGCCCTGGACCTCCTGGACCGCGATGACAATGTCGACGTCGACGTCGACCAAAGCGAGATTGAATTCCTGCTCGCTCCTCCGTTGGACTATTTTCTGAGCTCTGCTGACAAGAAGTCGGTGGCTGCGGGCACGACGACGTATGAACTGTCTGATGATTCAAGTGGTGACTTGGTCTTCCACAGCTCAGGAACCACCGGTTAGCCCTCAAATCACTCCGTTTGATAGTTAGCTACGGGTTACTGGACCCTAGCCCCTAACTAAATACTATACGTAATCGCTGCTAACTATTAGTTATCTAGGCCTGCCAAAGCCGATTTACCTTGGTCATCGGCACCTGCTTGGCTACGCTGCTTGCCATGAGTTTTCTCCAGATGTCGACGAGTCCACAACCGGGAAAACGCTGACAACGCTGCCTCTCTATCATGTACGGAGTAAACTATGCTCTGTTTCCGAGACACACTCGTTCTCAGGGTGCTAACCGTCTTCTAGGGCTTTGGATTGCTCGCTCCATGTTTGGCCCTGTCGGTTGGGAAACCCGTCGTGCTAACTCCGTCGGCGAGCATCCCCAATGCCAACCTCCTCTGTTCAATTCTCCAGCAGCATGGAATTACTTCGATGATGACTGTTCCCTCAGTATTAGAGGAATGTATCAGTGTTGAAAATGATGCATTCAAACCTATCCGCGACTTGGAGTTCATCGCCGTCGGAGGTGGTCCTATGAAACCGAATGTTGCCAAAGTCCTCCTGGAGAGAGGCGCCAAACTTTTAAACCATTTCGGAGCGACAGAGCTCGGTGCCATTGCACCCATTTTTAGGCTAACGGCGAAGTACACTTATCCATGGCTTGTCCTCCGAAAGGATGTACCGTTTGATATCCACGAACTTGGTGTTGATGAAGAGGGCCGCAGACTGTGCAAGCTTATTGCACACCCTTTCGGTTGGAATAAGCCTCTTGAGCTTCAGGATTCACTGCAACTCGGATCTTCTCCTGATGGCACCCTCCAGGTGAAGATTCTGGGGCGGAAGGACGATCTTATTGTCCTCAAAACCGGGGAGAAGGTCTCCCCTACTCTGTGGGAGTCCTCTCTAATGACGGACCCACTCATAAAATCCGCGATTGTCTTTGGAGAATCCCGATTCCAACTGGGAGTTATTCTGGAACTGAGCATACAAGCAGCCAACCTGGATAATAATCAAATTCTTGATGAGATTTGGCCTTTGGTTGAGGCCACGAATTCACAAGCCGATAGACATGCAAGAATCGAGTCGAGGGCATGCTTTATTCTAACACCACGAGATATCACGCTACCCCGTACAGCGAAAGGTAGTATTCAACGGCGGGAGGTCTATAACATCCTTGCTAGACAGATCGATGAGGCGTATGAAGCGCTGGATCAGGAATTCTCGTCTTCGCTGATCGGCTCTTTGAACGCGAGCAATCTTGATGAAAACTTACGAAAGGTCGTCTCCCTGTTTTTGCCCTCGTATATTCAAGATTCGGATTGGAATCAAGACACCAATCTTTTTGAACTAGGGATGGACTCCTTGCAAGCTACACGGCTGCACCGGGTCCTTCGATCGTATATTGAGGCTCAACCTCATCAAAAGAATTTAGCGAACCACACCTGCAATTTGACATATGCGTACCCTACTTTAAGATTGATGTCAGCATTTCTTACTACGGGAGCAGGTCGCGAACTGGAGAGTCGGCAAAGCCGCATGTATGATATCCTTCAAGAGTTCCAAATACGTACATCAGAGGTCGATGTATTGCCAAGGGATGGAAAGGTTGTGGTTATCACTGGGGCCACTGGATGTCTTGGAGCAAATTTGGTAGAAATATTGACAAGTCGTGGAGATATTCTCGAAGTGATATGTCTAGTGCGAGAGCACCAAGCTCAAGACGAGATGACACACTTTAATCACTCGCTTGATGAAAAAGGGATAGCCCTCACGGACACTCAAATGGCCAAGGTAAGGCTCATACGCTGGCATCCAGGTGACGACCACCTAGGAATGGCTCCTGGAGAATACAATCTAATTGCTCGGACCGCAACACATATATTTCATGGCGCATGGCCGATGAATTTCAATCTCTCGCTGCTTTCCCTGAAAAGCCAGATTCGCGCTACGGCCAGCTTAATTGAACTTGGCCTTGAATGCCAAAAGACACGACCAAACATCACGCCGCGACTTATCTTAGCCTCTTCTATTGCAGTGGTGGGAGGATATGTCAAGCTTTTTGGAGGCTCAATGATCCCCGAAATTGTACCTGACGATCCTCTAACCACAGTCCCAATGGGCTATGCCGAAGCAAAATGGGTCTGCGAGCGCCTTGTAGAAGATGCTCGACGCTTGATGCCGTCAAAAATCAACTGCGCAGTAATACGAATCGGCCAGGTCGCTGGATCTACAAAAACCGGGTTCTGGAACCCTGGAGAACACATTCCAAGGATGTTACAGGCGTCCCAGAAGGTGAATGCTTTACCAAAATTAGCTGGGGTAAGGTCTATGTTTTACTGGCAATATATAAATTTGGCCCTTCACGGTAACTAATCTACATGTATAGGACGTTTCGTGGCTGCCAGCTGATATAGCCGCAAATGCTATTGCGGAAATATTGCTAGACGATCGTACAGGGCATCTGCTTTATCATGTTGAGAACCCAGTAAGGCAAAGCTGGAAAGATATTCTCTCCATAATACAGGAGGATTACTCTTTCAAGAATGTACCACTTATTGAGTTTGATCGCTGGATTGAGCTAGCTACTGCCGAAGGCAAGCCTCTTGAGGACCTACGGTGGTTTTTCAAGGAATATTTTCTTCCAATGGCCACGGGCGAAGTGAAACTTGAAACCATTCATTCCACATGGTCATCACCCACACTCAGAGCATCAAGCGTGGTGAACAAGTCCACACTGCAACTATATCTAAGTGTCTGGAAGAAGTTAGGCGCTCTTTGAGCCTGAAGATGTTTGTATGAGATGAATCTACTTAAAATTTATAGCTATCAATTCAGTTTTATCTTCTTCGAACTAAGGGTTTCGGTGAAATTCGTAGGATTTTGTGTGGAAGCTACTATATAGCCAGGGTCAGATACTAAGAATATATTGGAATGATCCAGTTTTCCCATGATCTTCTCTTCTGGAACTTTGTAAAGAACTGTTTGAAAGATGAGGCTGCATGGAGAGCGCGTTACTGAACGGCCTCGTTTGCGGCGACAGGCAGAATTTTGCTTACTAATAACGGAAAATAGTAATTCCTCTACATAAAGTTTTGCGCTCGATTGGGCAAGTCCAACATCAAATTTCAGCGAGCTGCAAGAATTATATCAAACCCATCAAGCTGCGCCAGCGACTCCGGACGAGCAATATCAAGTACCGGAGAGCTACAATATACAATTTAGTATAAAATACAATAATTCACTGCCCGACGCACACCTTCTACCCGCCACAATGCCTCCACGAATACATCTCCAATCTCTAGCCCGGAGAAGCAGAACACCACATACCCTGCTCCAGCATGAGCTACAGTCCATCACAGCATCTCTATCGGCCATTACCAGGTCAAGATCAATGGCATCAGTTGCGCCAGCCGCCACCGCAACCTCAATGTCATCCGAAGCCCTCCAACCTCTCTCTCACCGAAGACCAGAATATCGCAAATCCCAACTGCACCGACAATACGCCTCGATCCTCCGCACTATGCCATTGATCATCTACTTCCAGCATAACAACCTCCAATCCACCGAATGGGCCAACATCCGTCGCGAGCTGATCAAAGCGTTGCGTAAAGTTGACGAAAAGAATGCTGCAATAGGCAGCTCTGAACCAGCTATTGCGGACTCCATTAAGCTACAGATTATCCAGACTTCGATATACGAGGCAGCTATGAGGGTGGTGGACTTTTACCGACCCGATGCTGCGGCTGTTGGTGGACAAGGACCGATACTGGATAAGGAAGATCCTCGATTAACGCATGACTTGTCGTATTCGGCTTATCGAGCTGTGCTGCCTAAGCGTGGACAGCATGACTTTTCTACCCTGCTTGTGGGACCGATTGCTACTCTTTCGTTCCCGTCTGTGTCTCCGGACCATTTGCGAGCTGCGTTCTCTATTTTGGCCCCCACAGGGAAGAACGGCTTGTTCCCTCCGCCGGCACGTAAGGCGAACCCAGGACTATACGATCTTACTACGCAATCTGGATTGCAGAAGTTGATGTTGTTGGGCGCCAGAGTGGAAGGAAAAGTGTTTGATGCTGATGAGACGAAGTGGGTTGGTAGCATTGAGGGTGGACTGGGTGGATTGAGAGCTCAATTGGTTGGCATGCTGCAGGGTGTCAGCTCTGGATTGGCGAGGACATTGGAGAGTGCAGGAAATAACCTTTATCTCACCCTTGAGAGCAGAAGGAGTGTTTTGGAGGAGGAGCAGAATGGCGGCAAGAAGGAAGAGCAGGCAGAGCAGAAGTAAAGATGATAGATGGAAGCCTGTGTTTCTGTGGCTAGACTTGTATAATATATGTGACAGTATATGTAACAGATGTTTGAATACCTATTTACGTCCTCCTTGGTTGATTCTTCCCCATAACCATCCCATCTATTCATTGGTATCGTTCCGTCCGTCCGTTCCAGCCACCGAGTTAGTTATTCCAGCCATAAACAAAAACAAAGGAGAGGAAAGGAACATCAAACAGCAAAAAAAAAAAAATTCGTACACCCGTTAGATAAAAGAGATGCCAGTCTACTTTTCCAACTTGGTGTTCATACCAACAATGCACCTGACCAGATCCCAGTCACCGTCTTTGCCTACCCAGTCACAGACGATGATACCAGTAGACCAGTCACCTTTCTCTGACTTGTGGCTTCGACAGATATAATCGACCGTAGCAGGGTTAATCTTGGCAGCAATCCTTTCAGGCCAAGTCTTAACTTTCCAAAAGTTACTCGCACTCAGGAAGTTGACATAATACGGACACCGATCTCCATCTGGCTGGACGTTACCCATTGGGTAGCAACATTCAGCCGATCGGCAGAGCTGGGCGTTAACAAACCCAATCTTCTTTTCGATGTTTTCTGTCTCGAGGACCTCGTAAAAGTCCTGGATGCAGAGTGTTCCGCTGGAAGAGACGGCATGGTCTGTATTATCAGCCCAGTCGGTGGCATCAATACCCCAGCCGCGGCCATCGTGTTCCTTCTTGAGATGATCTGGGATATCAAAGCGGCGGACAAGCACAATCTTACCCCTTACCTGACCCAGGGTGGGAATTTTGGTGTCAGTGTACCAACGTGATGGCTTTGCGTTGGTATAGTGCGTTTTGATGATGTTGGCCAGCTGGTGGTCGTTATGGTCTCCGGGGCCTTCACGCTTGAGAGACATGATCAGAGTCTCGGACGGGTTACGGTCAAGGAACTCCTCGATTTGGCCAAGCATTTCCCTGAACGTCTTTTGGCCAGAGAGGGAGACGGGAAAGACACTGTGAGCAAGCAGGAGGCCGTCCTTGGCTGCATCATTCGGCCACTGGGGGTGAGCACGGATATCGAAGAAACGGACACCGTTATCGAGCTGTTCGCGTGGACTGACTGCCTGGCAGCGCACAGAAGGAGGAGCAATGTGGCATGTGGGAGAGTTGTGAGTACCCGGTATAGAGAGGGCTGAGGTCAGGATATCATCTTTGAGCTCGCGCATCCAGCAGTTGAGATTGGCAGACGAAAAGAGGGCAAGATGGGCGTGCTCCGCGTTGAAGACACCCGTGAAATGGAAGCGGGGATTTGGAGAGAGGCACTTCATGACAATGGTCTCCTTGGTAGGTACTGGGACCTGGATCTGGTAGTGGTCTCCTTCGACCTCAAAGGTGAGACGCATGCGCTCCTTGTCCGACTTGTCAAAGGACCTGACATCACTAGCTACATGTGAGAAAGGCTCAACACGGATGTCGACGTCCTGCCGGGCGAAGGACTGAGCCCCGTCCTGGATGGCAGTGACCTCAGCTGGGGTGCCTGTGATGTTGTTCATCATTGTGGTGAAGGTGCTGGCCAGCGTCTTGGGCGCATCTGGAGGGCTGAAGCGCTCGACCAGCTTGAGGACGACCGGCGTCCGGGTAAGATTGCGCACGGTGAGGTGTTCTGCGACCATGACTCTATATCTATCTCTATCGTCTCAATTACTATGCTGCTTGATGATGATGACGGCGACGACTGTGGTGCTGATGGTGATGGTGATGTTGATGATGAAGTCGCAGCCGCCAGACGCAGGGAGGACGAGGGGCTGGAGGATCAGCTTGGGCGTTTGCATCATCGCTGCCGGATCGGGCTAGCCCCGCCGCCGCTACACGAAAGATCTGATAAAGAGCTGAGATTAAAGCGTTTCATCTCGTTGATCAGTCGCAGACGTCGCTCTTAGCCATATTCTCTCTTCCTCCCAGCACTCCATGTTCCGTAGCAGCGACCATCCTAGTCGACCATAAGCATGTCTATAGTAGATATATCAGCCACCCTGCGGATGCTTTGGGCGGGCCCTGGACACGCTTAAAATAAGCCTAATCTCACCCATGAATCGCCCATGCAGGAACCAAAAGGAACCAAAAAGGTGAAGCGCGGGAAGGTTCTGATGACATAAGCAGGAGAGCCCTAAGCCCTAAGACGGCGTCTCCTTTCGGTCCTCGGCCGTCGGCTGCCGCCTCCCGATCGGGACAGACGTGGGGCTTAGGGCTTTTCCACGGCCCCGTGACCGCCCTCCCTTTCCTGCCCTGCTTTAGGCTTCGGCGGCTACCCTCGGCTTTACCTGCCCTTCCTCGCCCTCCTCGTCGCTTTCGTCCACCTTCCTGGCTTCTCGTCTTTCCTCCTCCTGCTTGCTCGACCAGACCAACCCATCTCGATATCCCAGCCGCGACGTCCAGCCGTGCCTACAGCTATAGAGAGAGTGAGATATACCTGCAATTGAGATGTCTGCCGTGAGATCGCTGGTTCACAGGGCGTCCCTGTCGCGAGGACTGCTCGCCTCCACGCCCGTTTGCTTGCCTGCCACATACACCTCCCACTTCCGACGGCGGTTCCATAGCTCCCCCGTCCCCTGGGGCATCAGGTCGCAGATTCTCAAGGATGTCGGCGAGGGTACTTTGTTTCTCCTGTCCCCTTGTTGTGGCATGCAATTGTGAAGCTAACGCCCCTCTGCAGGTATCACCGAGGTCCAGGTTATACAGTGGTACGTCGAGGAGGGAGCCCGGATCGAGGAGTGGAAGCCTCTATGCCAGTACCAGTCAGACAAGGCCATTGACGATGTACGTATTAGCTTGGAAAGAGAGAGAACAAGCGGGAGGAGGAGAGCCCCGCCTGGGCAGGAGAAAATGCTGACGGTTGCAGATAACGTCGCGGTACGAGGGTGTCATCAAGAAACTGCACTTCCAGCCAGACGACACGGTACCCACAGGTGCTGCGCTATGTGAGATTGAGGTCGACGACGCCAAGTATCCCGATTCCGCCGCGCCAGCTCCAGCTCCGGAAGCGGCAGCTCCAGAGACCACCGCTGAAGAAGTCGCGGCAGAGTCCTCAGCGGCAGACGTTACGCAGGCAGCAGAGACGGTAGAAGCTCCACCAAAGGGCAAATACGCTACTTTCGCTACTCCCGCAGTCCGAGGAATGCTCAAGCAGCACAACATTGATATCTCGCTCATCAATGGCACCGGCGCCCATGGCCGCGTTCTCAAGGAAGACGTCCAGAGGTACCTGGAGGGAGGCCAGACCCCCACCCCTGCCGCAGCTTCGTCAGCCACTGGTACAACCACAGCTACAGCTCCAGGCCTCAACGCCCCACAGGTTGAGACCAACCAGGCCTTAACCCCCATCCAGTCCCAGATGTTCAAGACCATGACCAAGTCCCTCACCATCCCCCACTTCCTCTACTCAGACGAACTCAACATTGCTGCTCTATCCCGCATCCGCTCCCAGCTCAACGCAGCCGCCCCCAAAGATGGCTCCCAGCCTAAACTCTCTTACCTCCCCTTCGTCATCAAGGCTGTCTCCCTGGCACTTAACCACTTCCCAATCCTCAATGCACGAGTAGACACCACTTCAAACCCTGCCAAGCCATCCCTCGTCATGCGTGCAGGCCATAACATTGGTGTAGCAATGGATACCCCCACGGGCCTACTAGTGCCCAACATCAAGAACGTCCAGGCCCGCTCTATCCTCGACATCGCAGCTGAGCTTATCCGCCTCAGCGAGGTTGCCAGAGCAGGCAAACTTACACCCGCAGACCTGTCTGGCGGTACCATCACGGTCTCCAACATCGGCACCATTGGTGGAACTGTCGTTGCTCCCGTCCTTGTACCTTCCGAGGTTGCAATTCTCGGAATCGGCAAGATTAGAAGGGTGCCTGTCTTCGACGCCGAAGGCAACGTTGCTGCTGGCCAGATGATGAACTTCAGCTGGAGTGCAGACCACAGAGTTATCGATGGCGCTACCATGGCTAGAATGGCCGCATTGGTCGGTCGTATGGTCGAGAACCCAGATGCGATGATGCTTAACATGCGATAATCATCCTCGATACCGACTGTATAGGAAGGTTGTTATTTTTTTTTGGTTGTTCTTGTTATTTGGCGAAAGAAATTGTACATAGATTTATATTATACCGATCTACAGATACAGACCGGACAGCGCAAGGGATAAAGAATAAGAATAGCAATAAACAATATAGCCGAACCAGTTCAGTCTGCAATATATATAGAGAGAGGAGAAACAGAGAGAAACAAACAAAAAGGACGAAAAGGACGAAAGATATAGAATCACCTTAACGCAACGCAATTAATAACGCCAGCTATTTCATGTCGTGTCGTAAATATCATAAATACGTCCCATATCGTCATTCACAAACGGTCCGTGCATCCATCTGATCTTATCTTATCTTTCTATCCCACATTACATCACGAAAAGTAAGTTTGTATCTGTTGGCCATGTCAGCGCACAATTATATCTCAACCAGGGTTCAGCACAACCGGAACTTACCTAGCGGGTGACTGCAGCTCAACTGCGGTTTCTGTGAATATTTCCCACTCAGCTCGGATCGGATGCTGTTTAGAAGCTGAATATAGCTTTGCTTCGGATTCTTGTTCAACGCCTCTTGGAACGCCCAGCTCATTGCACCCTGCGCAGAGCCGCCTTCAACGGTGTCCGCACTGATAAAAAGATATGTTAGGCGAAATGTAACACAAAAGTGGTAGGAAAGTGGAAATACACTTACGATGTCTGCGTGTCCTTGGAGCCAGACAACATGACTACATCTGCAGGCGAGGTCTTGGTTCTAAGCGTTTTCTTACGAGCAGAGTCACCAATGGTAAGTTTCTTGAATAAGCCGATGGTGGTGTTGGCAACGCCACGGATGTCGCCGCTCTCGTAGCTTTTGAAGGCGCTTAAGAGGTCCAAGGCTGTTTCCTTAGCGAGGTTTGGTTCTTTTAGTACGCCCTGCAGGAAAGTTAGTACGGCATCTGGCGTAAAGCTTATGAAGACATACCTGAGTAGAGTACTGGAATGGAAGGTCTAGAGCAGTGCCGGAGTGGCAAGAGTCGAAGATGGCGGTAAGTCGGACGCCAGGTTGTAGCGGACGAACCCTGAGAAGAAGGCTGTCAGTTGAAAGTACAAGAATAGACTGAGAGTACACTGACATGATAGCATGCATTTCATCGTCAACTATGTGGCCGGCGGTTTGGTAGTCGACGGGATAAATGACTTCATCAAACCCTAGGAGCTTTGTTAAACCCTATTCATCTTGAATCACAGTCTCAGGTGTACAAACTCACCATCATCTTCGTCCCCGTCTAGATCGCGAGTACGGCCACCATGACCTAAAGTTCACCAATCAGCATGAATACATCCAACCAGGGATAAGGACCAGGAACTGGGAAATGATTGATCGGTACCTGAAAAATGGAAAAACAGCGAATCATTTGGCTTTGCGCCCGATACCAACCAATGCATGGCACGGATCATATTTGCTTTAGTAGGATGGCTCATAGGATTCGCCTGATCGTCTGTAAGGATCACCATATCCTCGCGTCGATAGCCGTAACGCCGATTCAAAAATGTAGACATGCGGGCTACATCGTTAATGCAACCCTTTAGCGGCCTGCCTTGGCCAAAGTAGTTTATACCAACGAGAAGAGCACGCCGTCGACCAGAGCAGTTCGAGTATTTGAAGCGGTAGGTAGATGGGGCGCCATGACCGAAGCTTTGACTGCTTTGCGGTGGTGGTGGAGGGGTGTGACTGTTCCCGTTGCTTCCGTTGTTGGCGGGGTAAGGTGACGGGGGTGCCCGCGGCGGCTCCTGAGCATAGTATGGCTGCTGTTGCTGGGATGGAGGGCGCGGCGATGGAGGGGGCTGTGTGTTGTAGCTAGGTGTAGGAGAAGGCGCTCTGGGAGAAACGGTCACTCACGGTCAGTTTGGTGGGTTGGTTAACTAGGGGCAGCCAGGGTTGTGCGATAGAATAACTTACGGATATGAGTACTGGGGCTGGGGTGTGAGGTTCTGGGGGTACGGCGGCTGTTGGTATGGGGGTTGCTGATATGGTGGTTGCTGATACGGCTCCTGATATGGTGGTTGTTGGTAAGGCTGTTGTTGGTATTGCGGCTGAGGGGGCGGTTGCTGGTAATAGCCACCAGCTCCCTCGTTGAAGGGTGTACTGTTTTGCCAGTAAGACATGAATAAGGGGGCGGTCACTCGGTCAACTGCCTTTTTTGTTCTTTCAGCGAGCTGTTCAGTCGTAAGATGTTATTGGCGACCGTGTTGGGACGAGTTGCACTCAAGGAGCTGAAAGACACTGTTTATACGAAAAAGGCGCGGCGTTGGTCCCGTGACACGGCCGTAGGGCTGGCCGAAGAGCCGCTCTTTTCAGCCCCGATATCCCCGTCAGTTCTCCACTCACGGATACGCGAACGCAGTTGACTCATGCACTTTCTGCTAATCCGTATAGTCGCGTCAAAAACTTTGTTTCTGTCATTTAATTCTCACACTGTTTTCCCGCTACTCTCCGCTATCTTTCATTCTATTGCCAACTCCTTGCCTTTCGTTCTTCCCGCGCCTGTCCATCATGAGGTTGCGTCCCGTGACTGAAGCCAAGTCATATGCCAAGAATACCAAGCATGCCAAGCATCCCGTGCCGTCGGTAGCTAAATCGGAGAAACGGGAAAACGTCACCTTAGTCAGCAACAGTTCGTGCCTGGGCCGTTTCCCTTTGTGGACGAAGCGCTAAAGATAGAAACCGGAACTTCTGGGCCGCGGAAGCAACTCCTTCCTTCCTTTGATTTTGACAACCTCGGCTCTAGATATCGTCATAACCGTCGAACAGGTACTTGCCGAAGATACAGATATTGTCTTCTTCTCTCCATCTTCCGCCAACGAAAACAGCCTTGCCTTTCCATTCGTACATCCCCCGCTTCACCATTCCCGTCTTCTCCATCACTCGCATGCTCGGCATATTCTCGGGGTTTACAATCCCCCTGACGTAGAGCTTTGTGAACGGCACCCAGAAGGATCGGGCCCGTCTGCAGCCTTCGAACACCGCGTTGACCGCCTCGGTTGCGTATCCTTTACCCCATCCAGCCGGAAGATACGAGTAAGCAATTTCAATAGTTAGAGTCGTGGCCGCTTCTGTTGCTGGGAGAGTAAGACTCTCCGGCAGTGGCAGGCTATTGGAATCGAGTGAGCCCAGCGTGACGATGCCAATGAAATCGGAAGGCTCTTCGATTGGATGAACAGTATAGACCGCTCGATAACCCCCCTGTTCGCTGCTTGTAGGAATGTAACGGCTGATGAGTTTCTCGCTCTTTTCTATCGAGTCAGATGGGCCACCGAGCCTAGATGGAATCAGTCACCATTAATACACAGATAGCAACGCAAGCGGCCCTCACATCCAGAACATCGACTGCTCATTACTGTGGAGTTGATGAAGCCATCCAAATTCTAGGCTCTCTTTCTCGGCTTTCGTCAGCAGGACCAGCTTCAACCGTGGTGTGATTATGATGGAATCCATCTTTGCAGGCTCTCACGATGTCTTTGCACGAAGATAATGAGGTTTCAGGGTGTATCAGGCCACCGCTTTTAAACTAATCCTCTTAATAATTGGCTAGTTACACCTAACCCTGCGCTTAACGGGCCCACAACTGATTCGCTTGGGAGTAGTGACAATTCTGAAGGGGCTGATAAACACTATTCAAACAAGATTGGTATTTTCATGTCGCCTCTCTAAAAAGAGGTACGAAAGATTCATTAAACTCGAAGAACTGTGCTAGTTCTTATATAACATCTTTATCGTCATCGATAATGCTCCGGGGTCCATCGGAGGTATAGGTGATCCTACTCACAGAGTATGTGTCAGAGTATGTGTCATGGCTCAAGGCGACCTACGAATCCATAAACCCAACACAGAGTAATTTCTCTCATATCACAGTTTATTTTCTTCATTCAGTCTCATCGGATAATCCGATAGCAAGCTTGGCCGAGCACGAATGCAAACTGCCAGGGTTCACCCACAGATGGTCCGTAGTTTCCAGGAGGCCCAGGGATCGTTGTCTCAAACCGGAGGTATGAAAACTTCACGGCATGTCGCCCAGTGATCTGGCTTATCAACCTCATTCGTCATCCCTAACTACCGGGCTACGAAGTACTTTCAGCGTCTCGAACATCACATCTACAGAATTGGGCATTTGGGTAGGAGATTCTTGTGCTTTATACGGAGTACTGTCTTATCTTGAATCTTTGTGGGGCATTTAGCACCCAGTAACAGGAATGAAGCTTTGCTTGAGACTATATACTGAATTCCTTTTACTGTGGTCCATCTATGAAACATATCTCGCAAACACTAGGGCAAGAAATTGAGGGCTGCTTGATACTCAGTTGTCGTGATAGGCTTTAGTAGGCTCAGGAAAAGGTGATTTATCATCTACATCCAACAATGACGTTCTTTCCAACCAAAGTGCTCGCGCTCCTATTACCTAAATCCAGCCGTTTGTCTATAAAGTATAATATGATTGACTCTCCCGCTTTCTTATATTTTTGTTTTGTTATTTTTGTTTTGCTTCTTTTATTCGGTAATGCCCGTGCTCATAACTATAACTATGAACCCGCATTGCCTTCGCATTACTTCACACGGACCGCATTCACTTCTTTCAGGATGGGGTGTTTCCTAGGGGAAATACGGAGTAACTGATATATCAAATAGAGGTATGCCGTTCAAAGTGATATGTCCCAGTCTCGAGGAGATCAAAGAAAATAACTTTTGTCGATGACGATGACGATGACATGGCTGGCCAGAAGAGGCGGAATCTCCAGAATCCGGGAAACTTATCAAATGCCTGCGAAGAAATTCTGTATAATGTAGCTGCAAAAACATGTGCGTAAGCAAGGAAAGCTCACAAAACACGGCCGAGGTCTCCAAGAGATAGATACTGTATGCATGGCCTTTGGTCTAGACCAACCAATGCGTTTTAGCCAGGCTGGGCGACGATGTTTTGCCAGGAATTGATCCTGGAATAGAGGGGACGGGACGGAAACAGCAACAGGGACAACATCGGCGGCATACATATGTTTGATTTGATATTTTCAAGAAAACGAGTTGCTGTCCGGGTGACAAGAGTCAATAAGTCCTATGGCCTGCAGCCAGTGGTTAGCTTGTCCTCTAACCAACTGAGTGCAAATGGGCAGACGGGTGGATGTTGGTATCCATTGGCAGACCAGTCATAAGGGGAAATATTCAGCTTAACATTAGAAAAAGGCTGTAACTACGTCGAGCAGCTGGGGTAACTTGCATATGCGAAGACGGCTGATGAATTTAGTAATTCATACGACCAAAGCCTTGTGGGAAATGATTGTGTCCCTTGAATGGTTCAAAAATTTTCATAAATACATATTCCCGTAGGAATATATAGTATGAAAAGGTGACTGGGCCTTTCAAATGGTGCATATTCGACGATTTGGGCCCCACAGTTGCTACGGAGTACTCCGTCGTGAGCAAGGGCTGGAGACGGTCAGATCCATTGATGACAAAAAGAAAAGGATGGGGGAAGGAGTAGTATATAAGAAAAGCAATAGAAATGAAGAAGAGATCGGGAGGGAGATAGATCAAAGGGTCTAGAACAAAAGGAGGACTGAGCAATGTAAAAGCGCTGAAAGATTCTGCTGTGGGCACTACACCTAAGATAGAATAGGTTAGCGCTGTATACCCCTTACGCATAGTCTTACAAGAGGGAAAGGAGGTGCTTCCTTTATACTCCGTAGAGGATTTACCTTCTTGTTCCTCTCTCTTCTACCTTCCCTCCTCTTCTCCTTCTACCTACTCTACCTGCTTCTAGGAGGACTTAAGGGAGGTTAAGAAGGGTCAGGTGGTTAGAGAGATAGGTATAAAAAAGGGACAAGACTTTAGTTACTCTCTCTAGTATTCTACTTCAGGGAGTATACCTCCTAGCCTCCCTAAGCTAGTCTTGACCCTACCTTGAATCCCACAAGGGAGTAAGAGAAGGGGGTAAGGAAGAGAGAGAAGTGGTGCAGTAAGATGGTAATTAACAGAAGTGTCTTTTTTGCCTCTAGTAAAATAATGTGTAAGGGGTATATAACGCTAGCCTATTCTATCCTAGGTTGTGTCCGCAGTAAGCCCGAAGCTGGAGGATATCTCAGGGCCATGCGCGGTAAAACAAATAAGAGTTAAGATATGAAAAAAGATGGCAACTCATGATTGAAGCGGGAGATAATTGGATAACTCTCACTAGTTCAAGTCTCTGCCTCCCAGCCGATACGCCGATCGCTTAAAATCTGATGTGTGAATAAGAAATATCATGAAAAAGGAAAGATAGGATGGGAAACCGGGAAAAGGCGGGAGAATTAAAATCGATAGGTCCGATGAGATCGCTTGCATCAAAAAGATGGAAAAAAGAAAAGAAAACCGGGGAGAAAATGAAGAAATAACGGTTCTGGCTGCATGGCGCCGTGTGGCGTGACGTCTAGAGGTGTTTATTGTTCTGGATAGTTCTGTTCGGGGCTCCTTCGCAAAGTGTTGTTTGGTTATTCTGCGTACTCACCCAATTTTTGTAGGACAATTGAGTTGACTCGTCTCTGTACCTCAGCAGGCGAGGCGGCACAATCCACTGAAAGTGTATCCCATTCAGAGTCAGGCTCCTCCAGCATTTCGAATTGGGAATGGACCATGGTAGATTTCATGTAGTGACCTTTGCGTTGCCTGACTCGCTGGAGTAACACTTCCTCCGGCGCACGAAGGTAAATGAAATGAATTTTTATGGTGGGATGGCCATAAGCGGCGACACGGATGACGTCGCGGTATTTATGCTTAAGCGCAGAACAGGTTGCAACAACGCCAGGCGGACAAGTCCGGGGATATGCACCCGAAGAAGGGGATGGAGTAGTCAAGGCGCTAATGGCAGCTTCACGAAGTTGAATTAACCAGTCCCATCTGTCTGCGTCATCGAGAGGAATGCTATTGGTCATCTTCTCCTTATTGGACTTGGAGTGGTACTACAGAAACCGTTAGAACGCTGGCCTTAAGTAAATTCCCTGTATTAAGTAAGTGTTTAGGAATCAGTAAATGAGCACATACATCATCGCCTTCGATATATGGGATATGAAGCTCCTTCGCCAGGCCTTGAGCTACGGTAGTCTTCCCGCAACCTGCCGGTCCCGTGACTATCCAGATATGCTGTGGCCTCATGGCATGAGGATTTTGTTGAGCTCTTGCTGTATATGAAGAAGCAATTGAAGATAGAGATGGGGATGGGGTTGTGGCCGAAGAATACCGGGGGGAAAAGCTGCGACTGTTGTTCTGTAGTGGCAATGGTGACCTGGTTGCCGGCATATAAGGGCCAGTGGAAGGCTGTTCCGTGGATAGCATGATGCTTAAATTTTTGAGTCACGAAACCAGCTTGTTTTCCTTGTTTGCTTTCAGGTAGCAGTAAAGCCGTGATGGGCCTGGAAACGGCTTGATGATGTTTGTACCGGACAAACAAGATATAGAAGTATAGTTATTGTAGCACACCGTACGGATACTCTGTCAATGAATGTGGCAAAGGCACTGAACTCCGATCAATATAGTATCTGGGTCACAACAAAGAGAGTAGCTATAGCTGGTAGTTAACATGAAAGAAAGATAGGGAGTTTTTGAGAAGACGAGGGAAGCACGAAAAGCAGGCTGCGGGCGAACGGTTGGTTTTAAGCTCTCAAATCTCTGGAGCCATCCCACGTCGGACGAGACCCAGCTCAACAAAGCCATGAGACAATCCGTCCAGAACTTCTGGTTGCTGTCTTATTGCAAATCTTAATTCGTGCGCAGTCCAATCATGAGGCATCGGCAATGAGTGGACAGAGGCCGTAGTGGATGCCAGTGGGGGGAACGTAAAAGCCGGGGGATAAAGGGAGGACAAAAGAACGGGATGACAAAACAAGCAGACAGGGCTAACCCACAGTCACGGTTCTGGGCCGGAGCTGGGCCGATCTCCAAGGGTGCAAAGCTGGTGCATGAATGCATTAGAGGATGGCGCCTGTAGGTAAGATGGGGGCTGCTGCGCTGGTTGGTGTTGGGTTTCTGTTATTGGTAATAGGCGGAATGGGGAATCAGGACCGGGTACTCCGTACCTGATCCAAGGCTTGGAGGATGCCACGCAAAAAGACCCGCGGGATGGAGTTGGCGCCGCGGCCACGACCACTAGCCATGGCGATAGGTGTACCTTCTTTCCCGGCTACGGGGGTGATGGGGATGAGATATGGTGTGTGGGAAGTCAACCAGTGGCCATCCTGCCGGGATGCCCCTGCTATAACTGGCCCCTTTCTTCGGATGATGAGCAGAGCCAGCCTCGAAGTTTCGCCTACAAAAAAAACAGTTCAGCTTGATGCATCGATAACTAGTGAGTTGGCGCAGCGCGAAGTGACGGTGAGCGACCTGCACTATTGTCATTCACCAGGCCAAAAAGGAGTAAAATCGCAACGGCGGCCTGCGTGGAGACGGGGGTCAGAACACCAGTCGTTGGTTCCATGCACTATGAGGTCAGTGTTGCGGCTGTGTACTCCATAGGTGATGGTTAGATGTAAAGTACAGAGTACGGAGCATTATTGGTAACTCTGTCAATCCTGTATGGTCTCGCGTTTGTCCAATGCAGTCGCAGCAGCTTCACCTTGCCTTCCAACAGCGTCTTGGAAGGTGGCCACTTAAACGAATCGTACGAAGTCATCGCATAGTTAGTTAACTGACTAGGCGATCGTATTCCACACGTTTCTTTGCATTTGTACGGAGTACTCCGGACTCACATCCATATTCGGAAGAGCTGGTCACTTCGCGAGATGCTAGTTCACACGAAGAACCCTAGTCGGGATCATAATCTCTCAGCCGCCTTAGGGCATTGAATTGAACGGCGACCAGGTCCAATCTGGTAATTTGATCCTGTCTGCCACGTTGCTGCACGATTGCCACTAAGACAGAGCCACAATCCTTACGACCTTTTCTTCCTCTCACCCACTCTCTCAAAATACTCTTGCTTGGGGCGGGGGAGGATCGCCCTGTATCCTCTCGTTTCCCCCCTGCCTTCATCTTGCGGTTTTGATCACGAAACGATCCCATTGATGGAAACTTGTCGGAGATTTGCTTTTTCATGTCGACTTACATATTAAGCATGGGTAAGTACAGGGGTTTGGCCCTCTCCCTTGCTGTTGACGTTGCCAGGCAGCAAGTTGTATTCATACCTACGGCAACGAGGGTTGCATACCGGGCTAGTTTGATGCTTGCTCTATATATCCTATATAGGCCTTGTGCGTTTCGCGCAGGATGGGTAATGACTCTAAAATTAGTTATTCGCTCACTCGAGCGGATGACTGCCCGGCCTCCGAAAGGATATTTAGTTGTTGATTTCCTTACAAAAAGACGTTAGCATGGATACCCTCATTCATTCCCGAGGCCAGGATTGGGGAGTAATACGGTTCAGGCACATCGAATGGATGGGAGTTTCCTCGCTTACTGAGATTACACCCTATCTAGTGCCTCGTATCTTCTGTCAGAGCTCCTCTTACGTATCCTCCGTATAAGAAACACCGCTTCAAAGCCCGGTTTCAAGTTCCCGGCTCACCCGTTTTCGCACGGATGTCAAACATTGCTTCCGCTGCCGTCTTTTGGCGCTTATTTTGTCTAACCGTGAAGCCTGAAGAAGTATATATGTGTACCGGGTACTCCGTACTCAGTACTCCTGTGTGAAGTTGAAATGAGGGGGCCCATGGAAGCACGAACGGTGGCCAATTCCTGGCCATCCCAAGATTCTCAAGTTTAGTGGACGCGGATACGGAAGCGGATAAGGGGTAGCAGCATGAACTATCGCCTTTGATCACCTCATCCTGCATCCTGTTGGTGCCAATCGAGTCTTTAGCGTTGGTGATGAGCAGTGCTGGGCTAACTAGTACTCATTCCAATAGAACGCCGGTGGTTCCTCGCATGGTGATGGGTAAAAAGAAAGCAGTATTCGCAGCCTGGCCATCACGACACAATGTATATCTCGTAATGTCTTCTCTCTACGGAGTACCTTACTGACGGAAAGAATAATATGTGAGTCGTGTTTGTTGACGTTGAAGTAGAAATTAAAAGTTGAAGGGCGAATAAGCCAAAAGGGATGGTAATGCTTACATAATCATGGGCCTGACATCAACCGCCTGAACGCCAAAAGAAAGGCTCAAGGCAAACACAATGAGTGCAGCTCCGAGACGACAACAGTACAGCTTGGAATAACGCAACAAGTGCTCGTGTTGGCCGATTAACTCTTTTGATTAACGTGTCTCTGGTGTTTTGCGACCAGGATGTCGTCCTTCTTTTTCTCCACACCTGTCGATATCGACATCTTGCTGGAAGACGGCGATGAGCGGGAAACGGTTGACATCAAGCTTGAGAAGAACCGGCGCGAGAAGGCTCCCCTGTACCTTGACGGGGAGTCAGTCAAGGGCGCTGTCACAGTCCGGCCAAAAGATGGCAAACGGCTGGAACATACGGGCATCAAGGTGCAGTTCATTGGCATGATTGGTACGTCTATACAGTTCCGGCCCATCCACCTCCCCTCATCTTCTCTATGCCTGGCGGGAGAAGAGGAATCAAAATAAACGCGCCCATGCTGACCATTTCCTTTCACATGCGCAGAAATGTTCTATGATCGTGGCAACCACTATGAATTTCTTTCCCTCGGCCAAGAACTGGCTGCTCCCGGTGAACTTCAGCACCCGCAGACGTTCCCATTCAATTTCAAAAATGTCGAGAAACAGTACGAATCATACAATGGAATCAATGTCAAGTTACGGTACTTCGTCAGAGTAACGGTTTCCCGTCGAATTGCGGATGTTGTGCGCGAGAAGGATATCTGGGTATATTCCTACCGACTGCCGCCAGAGTCCAACAATCCAATTAAGATGGACGTCGGAATCGAGGACTGCCTGCATATTGAATTCGAGTATTCAAAGTCAAAGTACCACTTGAGGGACGTTATAGTGGGAAGAATATACTTTTTGCTCGTTCGATTGAAAATTAAGCACATGGAGCTGTCTATTATCAGGAGAGAGACTACGGGATCCCCGCCAAATCAATATAACGAAAGCGAGACGCTGGTGAGATTCGAGGTAGGTGATTTTTCTCATGATTGTTCCCCCGCCCTATATAGGAGCGTTATTGACCACTGCTTGACTTAGATTATGGATGGGTCCCCATCAAGAGGTACGTTTAAACAGCGTACTTTAACCTTATCTCCTTGTCAGCTTACTGATACTGCATTAGGCGAAACCATACCCATTAGATTATTTCTAGGTGGTTTTGATTTGACGCCCACCTTCCGAGACGTGAACAAGAAGTACTCTACAAGGTATTACCTCAGCCTTGTATTAATTGACGAAGGTAGGAATCTCGCTTTCCGCGTTATGGTCCTGTGTTACTGCATTAGCTACCGGGCTGTTCCCCCCATGTACTATTATTCTGACTATGTTTAGATGCCCGTCGATACTTTAAACAATCGGAGATTGTTTTGTTCCGTCAATCTCCAGAAATGGCGGCTGCTGCACAACTTGAAAACCAACCCCATGATGGACAACATGCAGTGCCCCCACCGGAACGCAAACAAGCTGTACGTCATAACGATGATGGGGAAGACGGTCTGCAGAGCTCACACCATGCACCCCCTCCATCCCAACTTACACCTGAACCTGAACCCGAACCTGCATCTGCACCTGTATCCACTATACCAGCATAGCTCAAAAACGACGCCCCCGGACCTGATCCTATTTCTTTCTTCCCTTTTCTCCTTTTCTTGCCTCTGTGCAAACATATAAAAGGAAGTGATGGCGTCCGGAGTCTTAACGAACTTATTTACCTATCATGTTTTTTTTGCCTATCAGGAGAATATGTAATATTTCACGTTAATGTTTGCCATATTGGAGCTGGTCATTTTCCAGTATGAAGTTCAACTTAACCCCCACACTACGTACTTGTGATATTGACTGCCCAGTTTCAGCCAAACAACAAACATACTCCGTAAATTAGTGTCATAATGCCGATCAAGGGTGATCCAAACAAAGAATGATTATCTACTATGTTACGGAGTACGGAGTATGCATCAAACAAAAAACTATGATATAAGAGGAAAATGGAGACACCGCTCTTCTAATTTCCCAGAGACCAGGTCACTACCCCTGTATGCCTTCTAAGACTCTCGTGAGTACATCCAGAACTTGGCGATCTTTGGATTCCTTGCCAGCAACTGTTATTGCACGAATAACAAGCGGATACATCCACCCAAGATGTTTCTTGAACCTTGCTCCCGTGGAGCTTCCACTTTCCTCCCCCTCCTCCTCATCGTCATCGTCGTCGCCGTCGCTGTCCTCATTGCCTAGGGTGTCGCTTGGCCCCCCTATAGGGACGTGAGGACCTGCTGCTGGGATGGCGGTTGGCTCACTCTTCAAATCGACCAATCGGGTTAGGAGATACATGAGTTCCTTCCTTGAAATTATGGGTTGTGGCATCAGGCCTAGAAGTGGTTGGTCGGCGATATATGATTTCAAGGGTAATGCGCAGCGTAAGATAAGGTACGGTGACACAGACTTTGCAAGGGATATATACGGTGTCACAAAATTTGGCGATGAAGCTTGGCTTTCTCCTGCGGCCAGTTTGCGAACGGATGCAAGGTCAAATAGCGTATCAACTAACACATATGAAAGTTTGCTCCGCATAGTTGGCTGCGGGCCATGAGTGCGGCCGCGCCGGACCTTATATAGATCGCGTAGTGGCTCCTTCTGGGCCGAATTATCGGGCAGGTCCAGTCGCTGGGGTGGATAGACATGTGAAGAATTGAACAGCGCAAAGGCAAAGTCCCTCCAGATCTTCGGAGACACGAAAGAAGAGCCAAGAGCTGGGATTATCATGCCACGGAGTCGTTTAAAGGCAGAAATGTCGAATTGCTCGTCGGTTAGCACAGCGCTTGACGTTAGGTCTAAATTTGTATACTCTCCGCAAGAGACAACCGCCTTTACAACCTCAACTACGGATGCCCAAAAGCGATCTGTGATCGCACGGTCACAGGTCTGATATTGCGCCTCAACGTACCCAACAGCAACTTCTATGAGATCCAGAGAAGCCGTCGTTGCCGTCTGCCATAGCGTTGGACTGCTATCCTTCCCGAGCCATTTATATTTGCCAAGTATTGGGCCAGTCAGTCGGTCAAGCGTGTTGCTCAGGACTCCATCAGGCAAGACGTTTGGTTTCAATCCATGCTCGTTGATATACCAGCTTAAAATCTTCATCGAAGATTTTGATAACGCAACGAAGGTCGGCTTAGCCCTGTCAGCCTGTGGTGTCCAATTGACCATAGGCAGTTGGAAAAATTGGGAAAGGCAATTCATAATTGCCGACTGTGAGTTGGGTTTATCGGCACAGAGAATTCTGAAACACTCCAGGATCTGAGTCTGTAGCTCTGAGGGTGTCTCAACATCTGGGGAGTATTTTGAATGGATCGATTTCTCGATAGCTAATTGGGCGTTCTGCAGGGCTTCAAGAATATGGCGTTCACTTAAGTGGTTATTAAGAAGCCTGTAGAGCTGCTTGTACGTTGAGAAATAAGCCAGTAAGCCATTCTGGTTTGAATGCTCATAGTCTGGCTTCAAATCATCGCCAGAAACCACATTTCCATTCACCCAAACATCCCAGGCCTGTTGAACCAAATTGGCACCAATGACCTCAGGGGTTTGTATGCAGGATAATATTTGAGATAAACTCGAAAAAATGGCTTCTTTAAGATCTAGTGAATTCAACTTGATGAGTGGCTCATTGAACCGGAGTAATCGCGTCCAAGATTCATGAAAATTTTCACTCTTGATAATGATAGTAAAATGGGTGGCAATGAGGTTTGATAGGCCTTTGGTCAATAACACCGAAGTATCCACCCAGGGCTTCTGGTCTTCAGAATTTTCTGACGAAGATTCCATTAATTGAACAGTTTTGGATTGGACAGCCTCTGCCATAACAAAAAGTATCTTGTTCAAGCACAGGTGCCATATTGCGGGGGGTAGCTGCTCGCTTGAATGATCCAAAATTCGAAGCATTGTTTGAATCGCGCTATTTCGAACCTCAGTGCGGCTATCAACTGTGAGATCAACCATCTTTAAAAGCAACAGTAACCACAGCGCACTGGTTGACGAGGAGTTATCTGGATTTTTGGCAACCTCCATGATCTGTACTTCGCTAGTCGAAACAGTAATCTCATTTTCACAGGAGAATTGATCGATCTGAATTCGAAGAAAATCTGATATATTCCAAAACGACGTCGTGGCCGTTAGTGAAATATTGAAGTCTTCCTTTTGGGATGCAAAGTTATAGAAGCATCCTACCAACTCAAGCAGGCATGGAGCCGGAAGCAGTGATAAGAAGTCTGATGCTATGAGTTGCAAAGAGTCGAACGCAGTCCTTAATAGCTTTTGAGACTTCACCTTTGCTAATTTCGAGTAGTCAGCGGTTAGCTGAAGTGATTTTTGGCCCTTATCTCTTTCCGTAAGAGATGGCATCTCGTTGTCAAAGATACTCGATATTAGCTCGAATACCAAGTTCCATCCCGCAACTACGGATTGGCCAGAACCCTCAAGGATAGACTTCAAGGTTTCGAGAGCGAATTCGTGGACTTCTAGATCTGCTGCGCGAGATGAAGAACCTGGTCGTCGTCCATGTACTGGCATAGATAATTGCAATTTCAAGGCAAGCAATCCGCGAAGCTGAACCTTATTCCTTGACTCTTCCTCGGTGGATTCTGTCAGTTTGATAGTTTGTAAAATCACCGTATTGATCACGTCACTGGCTTTAAGGCGTAATGCGGGGCTCATCTGATTATTCTGGATCGTTTTAACAAGATTATTAACCAGGAGCTCCCATATACCTTCATCCTTTGAGTGAGAAAACCGTTCGATATTTGATTTGGCAACAGCATGGGCCTTCTGTAGCACAAATTTCAATTCATCCTCGCGCACCCTATTGCGGCCTAGGGCAACAGACAAGCTTCGTTTACTTTGGTGAACTCGTCCCCCATTCTGTCCTTGGTTGAGAAGAGGTGAAGATGGTTTCTGGCCAGCAACGGGCCCTGAATCCTTCATAAAGCTCTCAGGCAAGCTTAACAAAGCCATGAGAAATATTTTAAAGGCAGAGTTTGTATAATCGCTAGTGCTTTCGCAAAGCTTATTGGTAACTGCCTGTACCGCCATGATTTCGGGGCCAAGGCTGGATTTGGGTGTGTCAGAATTGACATTTTTGGCCTCTATCGCCTGATCCGTTGGCATGGATATGAAGGTTGAGCTCGTTGCATTGATTACCAATTCTGCATTCTGAAGAGTTTCAAGAATGATTGACCAAGAATCGTGATCTAAGGTTGGTCCAAGAGCAATACCCAAGTTTAACAGTGCTCGTAGACAAAGTAAATTCCTGGTGTTGAGCATATGGATAGGGGTATCTACAGGTGAGTTGGCGGCCTCAGAAACGCTTGATCGTTGGTTGGTAGTATCGATAATCGGCGAATTAAGTGTGCTTCCATCCGGGCTGGGCCCGGGGAAATCTGCAGGTATTGCCGCCTTCCCAAGGGTTGTTAGGAATGCATCCCGGGGAGTAGCCAGCCGCAACAGACCAGCAACGTGAGCCAGCTTCTGAAAGGCTCGGACTAGGGAGTGGTAAAATTCTCCATCCAATGCTGCATATAAGAAAGTAGACGAAGTGGCCAATATGGCTGGCCAGCAGACCTCGATGATACCAGCAGTTGCTTGAACATCAGCGATTTGAGGGTGGGAGGTCAATTCAAGAGGGTTTGGTGGGATGGATGCCCTTCCGGTCAACTCTTTGCGATCAGCGTCTTGATGACTTGAATCGCGCTCCTTGTCTGAACTTAAAGTGTTGCGTTTCCGCTTGCTCTTAGATTCTGCCACAGCCAGTGGAATGATGAATTTGGCCATGCTTTCGGAGAAGGCTGCTATGCAGTTAAGTACTAGGCTGTAGATATATGTATCCGGGGGTGAAGGGGAGTCAATTTTGTCCAGTGTTTCAATATACGGCACTCGGAGGAGACTCCATTGAGTGCTTATGCCACACATCTCTAACTTATTCGACGGGCTCCCAATTATGCCGCTCACGCCCACGGATTCGAGGGCAACCTGATCCTCCATGGTGTCTTTGCTGTTTTGCGGTGTGAACGGCATCGTAGACTGATGACTAAGGCCGATCAATGAGGATTTTTCAGAGGAAAGCCTCACTAAACATGACATATGATCCCGTAGTACGGCTTTGCGACCCTCCTCTTTATCAAAGAGCGTATACATAAGTCGTATGATACCCGGTTCGGTATAAAGAGATCTGAATATCTCCATGCAAAGCACACGCTTCCAGGGCAAAGAAGTTTCTGTGTCAATTAAATGGATTAAAAGCGAGAGGATTACCTCGCATTCAACAGTTAATAATGATAAGTGTGCTTTCAAGATGTAAAGTGTTATCCTCGCGACACGGACAGTCAGAGAAAACGACTGGCGTTCAGACAGATATCTGACTGCTAGGGGTAATAGTCTATGCCGAAGGACTTGGGTATGCTCTGGGTGGTTAGCAAAAACCTCAGTGTTGTTGACTAGGATGCTTTCAATCAATTCTAGTATGAATATTTTGGAAAGCGATTTGATGTTCAAGTATGTAAGTTGTTCACCTTCGAGCAGGCGACACAGATCCTCCAGTATCTAGACAAATGCACTTTTAGTAAATATACCCCTGTATTACTATAATTGGTGATCAGGGTTTCAGTTACCCGGAAAGCATCGTAACTAAATGTAGAGACTTCAAGCTCCTGGTCTTCAACAGAAACAGTGGTATACGAAACATCGTTTTCGGCTTTACCTACCCCTTTCAAGTTAGCTTCTTTAAACTGCAATAACGTATCTGCTGAAGGGATAAGAACGAACCATCTTCTTGGGAGACCTTTTCAAAAACTGCAATGACCAGCTGTTGAAGAGTAGCAGCAGCAGTGTTCGATACTGCGGTGGTCTTGCTGTTTTGTAGGGTAGCGCATATTTCTAGCGTACTTGCAAGAAGAGTACCCGTAAGGTTATCCGCATAAAATCTAAATAGCGACGGCAATGTCTGCAATACTTTGAGCTGTATTTCAAGACCTAATGTAAAAGTAAGCGGTGGACTACCTGAGATATATGGGTATGGACGAACTCAGATTTGCGGTCTCATGTAACCCTTGAACTACATCCTTTAAGCGTTCATGAGGCAATGCACCAATAGTTACTAGTCTTTGAAGATTCGCTACTCCGATAGCGGCAAGACGGGCATGTCGGGTTTGACATGCTAGAACAAACGGCCTGGAAAACTGAGGCTTTCTGGCCAGGTCTATTGGGAGCTCAGCATGGGGTTTAAAGGACAGATAACATCACATAGGAGCAGACCAACCTGCTGCTAACTGTGCTTCGGATGTTGATGGCAGAGCTTTAAGCTCTGAAAGCGATTGCTCGGCTGCCTGTTTTTAACGGTCAACACCACCACTACGTGAAAATTTATTATGATTGAAAAGGGTAGCCACAAGCTTAGACAGACATTTTTCAGGTCAGAGTGTTTCCTTTTAGACTCCTGGATCAGGTTTGACAGCTCCGCCTGCAAATTGTTGGACGTCATGTCAGATATCAGACTTGCGCATAATGTACGTGGCGTCTCATCTAGCAAGGATTGCGAGTCATGAAAATTAAAGGGTCATGTGTACGATTAATCCATTCCCCTGTAGACATCCACCAGGTCTGCCTTGATAAATAAACCGATCTCACGCCAGAGCAGGCCAACCAAAGTATCTTAGCAAGGAGTGTTGTTCGTGCTCGCTATCAACCTCGCCGTTTACTTTGAGATATCGAAACAGTCACGTGGAATAATTAGTCATTATTGCTTAGTAATCACCCTCCTGCTGAAAGTGACTTTCGGCGATCGCAAGGTGCGAGCGAGCCTGACGATAGACAGACAGACAACACTCGAAGACCAAGTCGACAAGAAGATCAGAGAGCCTACCGCGGGCCAGCCTGAGTTAACCTTCGCGCACTACTATCAAGAACCAACCGCCGCCCACATACATACTACATTATAGTCATCATCGCAAACATGACGGCCAAAGTCCCTCGAAACTTTCGCCTTCTAGAGGAACTGGAGAAGGGAGAGAAGGGATTAGGCCCTGGTATGCGACCCAACAACGGTTATGCCGCTTTTTCTAGCATCCATCACTAATTTTAACTTGAAAATAGAGGCATGCTCGTACGGTCTAGCGGACGGCGACGATCTGATGATGACGAATTGGAACGGCACAATTCTCGGACCGCCACACGTCAGTATACACACTATATCAAACGACTTTCTTGATTCCACAAGTCGTCGGTTCCTAATAATGGATGACAATAGAGCGTGCACGAGAACCGGATATACAGCGTCAACATTCACTGCGGAGACCAGTACCCAGATATGCCCCCCACGATCCAGTTTGTCTCACGAGTAAACCTGCCTTGTGTTGACCAAAAGACCGGCAAGGTACGGGCATACGGATATATCACTCTATTGGACTGGGCTCTTTTCTAACGGTCATTTTCTCCAGGTTGATCCTTCCAAGCTTCCATGCCTGGCCCAGTGGAAACGCGAGAACACTATGGAGACGGTTCTTCTAGAAATCAGAAGGTAAACGTCACACAAGCACAATCCAGACCGTACAGCATCTAAATATACTCTACTAACTAATAACTAATCGATATCAGGTACATGGCATTACCACAACACAAGAAACTCCCGCAACCAGAGGAAGGAAGCAACTTTTAAAGACCCCTCATTGAATATTACTTTTGAGGTTGAGCGCAGCCTACGGCGACCATGAACTCTCTGCATTCGATACTTGCATATATACTTTAAGCGCGGTTCCCTTTAGCGGAGTTTGGGACTCCGACTATGATAGCAACTAATTCAACTGTCATCATGAAAAGATTATATCCGTGTTTGATGCCAACATTGAGGGGAGCAGAAGCGCGATAAGATAAGAATCGTCCACGTGACCTCGATAAAATGCTTTTTAATCGCCCAATTTTGATGCAGTTCTTGGATCTCGAATTGAAACGAGAACAGAGTACATAGAATGCAAAGCGCATCACAGCCAACCGCTCCTTGAAGAGTGGCTAGTGATCACTATTCTGGTGTCCCGATGCCCCGATTCCTACACCCAACACAGTCTGGTGTCCACCGTTTAGCATGTAAGTGGCCCGTTCTGGCAATTGGAGCTTGTGTTAATAGATTCACGTTATAGGCCTTTCTCTCTATCGCGCCCTGCTCTCACAGTGCTCGAAGCCATGGCTCACAAACTCGAAGGCATCGCATATACGAGCGCTAATACAGGCTAGATTCCATATAGATAAGCCGATCGAGAGTCCAAGTCGAATTGAGAAGTCCTTGAAAGCAGGCTATGAGGTAGCTTCCCTAGCCTGTTACCCTTGGTTAATGCCATTGCTTACTATTTTCCATCTCTCAAGGCTTTGAATTTGATGAAATCATGCGCAAATGGAGATGCTATAAGCATAGAACGAGTTGATTCCCTTATAGCCGGAACTCAGCCTTTCCTTGAGCGGTATCAGCAGAAACGCGCCCGGTTGGCCCGTGAACGCCAGGAAAAAGAGCTTGAAGATGCAAGGAAGAAGCAGCAAAAACGCCGATTCAGCGCCAAAAGAGTGTTGGAGTCAGTCCTGGCGCGACCTTACCCTACTGTTTCCGGTATACGCCGTGTTCCCCGATTCGCATGTGCGCGTGGCATTCCATTCCTTAGAATCAAGAAACCTCAGCCGAAGAACTTGAGCGTGGCCATACAGATCAGACAGGATGCTCGATGGAAGAATATTCTACGCAGGCAAGAGCTGGGTGTCGATTCCCTCTTCGCAAAGGATGAAGATACGTGGGATGCAATCACTTCGAAAACGGAGGCCGACACGTGGGATAAGGCTATCCAACAGAATATCAGTCGTGTGGTGGATACAATTAAGAAAGGAGATGAGAGGGATCTCGAGCTGGCGAGGAAGATGTGGAATGTTGTTGTGGCTGAGAGACGACTGGCTGAGAAAGAGGCCAGGCAACGGGAGAAGGTGGGTCAGGCTGCCGAGACAAAGCCAGGTTCTTCACATCCTACGACTCAGCGTTGATATGGGTACTGGCTGTCTTCTCGTGGCACGTTGATGCAACGTCTTCATCAGGGGAATATCTACTCTTTACATCTGTTATAGAGTAAGATAAGAGGTATAACACACAAACAGTACTGTGAACGCTTTTAATTGATTGAAAATGCCTTTGATATACCGTCACACTTCGTTTTAAACTAACATCCGCTTCTTACTACTTTCTGGAAGCCAGAATGAGGTCCAACTTTGGCGACTGGTCGATCCAGGCCTTGGTCTTTGGTCTCTCCATGCAACGCTCCCACCAAGCCTTTATCTGAGGTCGAGAAGTAACGACATCCCCAAACCCACGGTCGAACAATCGAGCCAAGAATGGAAGATAATAGACATCGACAAGCGAATATTCATCGCCAGCCATGAACTTCTTACCGGAAGACTTGAACTTGGCCTCAACGATATCGAAGTACTCTTCCAGCTTCTTCTTGTGCTCAGCAGCCGCAGCATTGTCGGCCTCCATGCCGATCACAGGCTTGATGAAGGATTCCCAGATGATGCCAGAGACGGGGCTTTCGAAGTAAGATGTCTCGCAAGAAAGCTCCTGCTCGAAGAGGGCGAGCGAGGCGGCGGTAGCGGTGGCAGGGTTGGGGATGAGAGGGAGGTTGAGCTTTGTGCAGAGGTAGCGGGCAATAGCGCGGGATTCGTACATCACGACACCGTCACTGGTTACGAGGGTTGGGACCTTGCCAAAGGGGTTGCGGGCAAGGTACTCTTCACTCTAATTTAGGCCGGTCAGTGATGTATTGGACGTTGCAGGGGCTGTGTATACAGACCTTGTGCTCTTTGGCGGCCATGTCGACGGTGGCATATTCGAAGTCAGTGAAGCCAGCGTCTGCGAGGGCGAGCAGGACTCTGTCCGGCGCCGTAGCAATTGGGTTGGCGTAGAGAGTGAATTGAGGCATCTTGATGAGAATGATCTGGTAGTCGATTACTGACTGGGAATGTAAGTGGGAGATGGAAAGTATGGTTGTCTCTGTGCCTCAACGGACAGGGTGTTTATATACATAAATATCTACAGTGTACAGCTCCTTCACAACGCCCCGCACGGAAGAGCTGAGGATTACATATCACCAACGGCAAGTCGGACTAATTAATCCCACCGATCTTCGTATGATCTTCGTATAGACATTACAGGCGAATTAGACAAACTCAGGGCGTGGGCCAGGGTCGAGTTAAAACAGATGCTTAACGTAAGTCGTGTTAATTTATAATATGACAGCTGTATGACCAAGCAAGGCCGGCTGCTTCAAACACCCGCTCAGCCAGAGAGCGAGGACGGTAAATAGGACAGCGCTGACGATCTCAACCGGTCGTCGATACTTGCAGAGGGCCATAGACAGGGTGATGGCGGCATGCGACTGGCCCCTGGCAACCATGGCGGCGCGCAGACCTGGCAGGCCGTCAAGGGACTCTGCATTCCACGCGTTCTGGTACTTCGCCAGCTGTTTCTTCTCGGCATGCTTCACTCCCCAGTCAACGAGGGTGTCCCGGTCCTGAAGATATGGCTTCACTGCGCCTGTCTCTGCGTCTGTCCGGACAGCTAGGAAAGGGACTCCGTAGCCGCAGGACGTTTGTACCTGGAGAGCGTTTGTTAGCACGGTGTAGTTACTTGGAGGATTCAGGCAGTTATCGGCTTGAAAAAAACAAAAAATAAAATAAAATAAAATAGAAAATAAATAAATAAGATAAATATATAGATAGTAGATAACCAGTAGAGCGTACTTGGAAGATATCGAGTGCAATAACGGCCCTGGCGCTGACGATATATCTGTCTGCGAGGCCCATCTTGCTGAGCCAGCCCTTGAATGCCGGGTCGTCGTGCTCGATTACCTTGCCGGTGCAGAAAAGCCGAAGGATGCGCGGCGAAGCCTCGAAGGAGCAGAACATGACTGTGATACGGCCGTTCTCATGCACATGGCTGAGCGTCTCGTTGCCCGAGCCCGTAGCATCGAGATAGGCCGCCTGGTTGGGCGAGAGGATGGCGAGAGAGGTCGATGGCAGGCCCTTGGGCGAGATGTTGATGTGCCTCCCGCGGCTGGGGGCCGAGGCAACGAAGAAGACCGGCTGTTTGAGCATCCATTCCTGATGGTCGGGCTCGATAGAAGGATAGAACTTGACCATGATGGCGTCTATCTATTTTATTGTCTATGTCTGGCTGTGTATCTGTCTATGTTGAATATGTGACGATGACAGGAAGATGCTCGTGTTGAGTGGGGAGAGAATCCTTTAAATAACTAGCCGAGAACATGTTGGTCAATCGTTACTCCGTATCAAACTTCACTTGAGAAGAAGAAGCCAATGGAATGCATAGTTGGCTAGTGATTATTGATTGATTGCGTGCTTACACAGGGGGATCCCTGTGGTTAGCGGTTGTTTGTCATAGAATTGAACACGCACCAAGCGTAGTCTATAGTATTCTATGTCCACCAAAGAGACACTATAGATTGATTGGCAGGTCTGGGTATGCCGTCTAGAGCAAAGTGATCATGCCGTTAATTCAACCCTCTCGAGCTTCTCAGGCATCGAGTCTTCCATATCGTCTTCATAGTCTCCCTTTCCAGCCATTCCTCTCTCCCAAAGCTGTCTGCCGGTCAGCTTCTTCGGCTCCTTGTTCGCGCTCTTCTTCTTCTTCTCCTCCGCCTCCCTTTCCTCCTGCCTCTTCTCTTCGGCCTCCTTCATCTCGGCCATGAACTTCTCTCGCCACTCAAGGAACGTCTCACGAGTCACCCGAGTACCCTGGAACTTCCGGTTCTCTTCTTCTTCTGCCTTGGCCGCTTCCATGTCCTTTAGGGCCTGTATGGCCGCTTGGCGCTCTGAGACCAGAAGCTCGGCTCCTTCTTTCAAGGAGTCGACGAGCGAGAACACCATGGCAATGCCCAGGTTCTCTTCTATCGTCGACTGTAGCGACTCCAGCAGCCGGTCTCGGTCTTCCTGGATGTCAAGATGGGGGTATTTGGGCGCATTGGGAGGGGCGGACAGCTCCAGTCGAGGGGCTACGTCGGGGTAGTCCTCTGGATATGTGACTTGTAGGATAAGCGTCGGAGGCTCAACCTCCTCGTCATCATGAGACGTAACATCGAGGAGTATGGAGATGCGATATGAGTTCTCAGAAATTTCTAACTGCCTGTTAGCTGATACACTCTTCTTGCATGTCGCTTGCGTGGGAGGTCTTCTTAGTTACCCGTCAGCTCGTCCGGAAAGATGGACTGCAGCGTCTCTTTCTCTTCCGCCTGCTCTTCACGGCCCATCTTGCACCATATGGACAGATTCCGGCCTCAGGATACACGGTCTAATATCTTTATTATATTGACTCTTTATTATCCCGTCGAGTTGTTGAATTTCTTCTTCTTCTTCCTCGTTTCGTTATCACATTTGTTATCGAGATGCAAACAGGTCAAACATGCGGCTTATTTTTTGTATTTCTTTAAATTTTTGTTTTATCGAAATTCCACATAGACAAGGTCAAGGTTGAAGAAATAATTAAAGAAAATCTACAAAATAACATGTCTAGAGAACTTCCTTTACTGTCTCATTGAATATAGGAATACCAGAGAATACAGCAAAGCTAATGGCCAAAACGAAGCCCTCGAAGAAACAGTCCAAGAAAAAGCGCGAGTCGGTCCTCCACGGCACAAAAAGCATGTCGACGAGACCAACGGAGAACGCAGAAGCCCTGTTTGAACAGGCTGCAGTGTTATTACAGACCGGACAGCCGGGCGAAGCACTACCGCTCGTTGAACGAGCTCTAAAAAACACCTCTTCCGACTCGCCGAAATACCTAGTTGGATTGAACCTCATAGGGGAGATATACGTGGAGCTAGGCGAAATAGATTCTGCACGACAGCAATTCCTACGAGCCGTTGAGCTAGATCCAGAGGGCGAAATAGACGAGACGATTGATGGAGGTGCAGAGAAGTTCTTATGGCTGGCCCAATTGAGCGAAGAAGGTGGTAAAGATAGCGTACGGTGGTTTGAGAGAGGCGTAGGCGCATTGAAGAGAAACCTACAGTCGCTAGAAGGGAAGAACGACGAAGTTGCGCAGGAGATACGTGAAGGGTTTAAGAAGAGGCTTGCACATGCGCTCTGCGGAGTGGTGGAGATATACATGACGGATCTATCGTGAGTATAGGCATTGCGCTGTTGAAAGAACAAAAGTGGCAAGGTCAAGCAGCTAACAACGCAATAGATGGGAAGAAGACGCGGAAAGTAGATGCGAAGCGCTCATAACAGAGGCATTGCTAGTTGCCCCTGATTCCTCAGAATGCCTACAGACTTTAGCATCAATTAGGATATCACAGCTCCGGTTCGATGATGCCAAAGCGGCGCTATCAAGAAGTTTAGATGTATGGAAAGACGAGCCAGCGGAAAGCACACTTATACCAGATTTCCCTTCCAGGATAAGCCTTTCTCGCCTACTAATGGAAGTTGAGATGGAAAACGAGGCTCTCCAGGTGCTTGAGAGAATGGTGTTTGAAGACGACCAGAGCATTGAGACATGGTATCTCGGTGGATGGTGTCTTTATCTGATAAGCAAAAAGGACCAGAAACAGACCCCGGGAGAGGCCAATACAGATACAAAGGAGCAACATGCTGCTACTCTCCTGACCAGCCGGAAATGGCTCAGACAGGCTTTGAAGCTTTGCGAAATTGTCGGCTATGAGGATGAGAAGCTCAAAGAGCATGCCATCGAGCTTGTCCAAGAGATCCAGGGCGAGCTGGGCATCTCTGGAGACGACGAAGCTGGTGATGATGATGTATGGGAAGATGATACGGACTCAGATCCAGGTAATGACCATGACATGACAGACTCTTAGGATATAAAAATACAATTTAGTTCTCCTGCTGCCCCTACATACTCTCTATTCAACGTATGAACACATTCACAAAGAAAAGAAAGAAGCAACCCAAAAGAAACCGAACAGCTTTGATAACTAACACCGCCACAGCGTCTGATGGCGCTTAAGAGCCCTTAGTAAGAAGCGCGGATAATCCCAAACTTCCGACTCTGGTCAACCAGAAGCGCCGCATTTCTCAGCAACATTGAACGGTCAACAACGCCATTGAGCTGTGGCTTGTGTCATTCCAGCCGATTATGGACGTCATGGCGACGCCGGTAGGCAACAAAGGCGTTGAGGGCACTCTCGCTGTTGGAGCTGCTGATGCTGGGGACCGCGAGCGCGCGGCTGTAGAGGACGCGCCGCAGCTACCAGAGGAGAGCGAGGACGAGGAAGAGGAGGAGTCTGGCGAGGAATGGGAGACTGCTTCTCTCTATGAAGATGCGCTCCAGTTCGTCAGTGACGAACAGCTACGCGGTGGCAGTAAGTATTGCTTTATACTCCATATGTATCTGCTTACTGACAGGCGCAATAGTGGTACCCGGAGCATGCACATTTTCAGAAGCAGTGGCGTATCGCAAACGGCTCCGTTCTATCGGACAGGCTGCTTTTGTTGCAGAGACACTTGGCCAGGGTACTGTCACCGCGAAGAAGCTGTGTACGGCCTTTGGAATCATGCCTCCTACCTTCCTTGAGGGTGCACCGGACAAAGCATACCACCCGCTGCTGTCCCTCGGCATGTCTAGAGAAAGCTCGAAACACCTCAAACTGCCGGATTACAACACAATTGATGATGTTGTTCAGCTAATGCAGAAAGCTAAGAATATCATCATCATTACAGGCGCAGGGGTGAGCTATCTCTCTATTCATAAGCCATACAGCATCTAAAGCTGACAATGGTAGATATCTACAAGCCTTGGGATCCCTGATTTTCGATCAAAAGATACCGGTCTTTACTCGAAGCTAGAGTATCTCGGCTTGAGTGATCCTCAAGAGGTCTTTGATATTGAGGTCTTCCGCGAAGACCCCAGCATTTTCTACTCCATCGCCAAGGACATCTTACCCACAGAGAAGAGATTCTCTCCTACACATGCCTTCATCCGGCTATTACAGGACAAAGGCAAGCTTCTCACCAACTTCACACAAAACATTGACAACATAGAAAGTGCTGCTGGAATATTGCCTGAAAAGATGATACAATGTCATGGCTCCTTCGCCACGGCCTCATGCATGGATTGCAAGCATCAAGTTCCAGGCGAACATCTCTTCGAGACCATTCGGCGGGGCGAAATCCCCAAATGCGAGCGTTGTCAGGAGAAACCACCGTCTAAACCGCGAGGTTTGAAGCGCAAACGTAACTCGAACGGCACCACGAGTCGGTCACGGTCTCGTTCTGCCTATGATGATGATTCTGATGATGATGGATATGCTCTCCCTCCTACAGCGGCGGTAATGAAGGTAAGCTTGCTTCATCGATTATCTATTCTCTACCCGCAAAGCTAACTTAGTCTAGCCTGATATCACGTTCTTCGGCGAAGAGTTACCTGATATATTTAAACAACGTCTATTAGAACATGATCGAAAGATCACGGATCTCGTCATTGTAATCGGCACATCCCTGAAAGTTGCTCCAGTAGCAGAAGTTCCTGGGATCATTCCCTCCGATGTTCCCCAAATTCACATCTCGCGCACTGTTAGTATCTTCCCCCGGCAGATTCTCTATGTTGAATTCAATATTCTAATGACTATTTTCCAGCCTGTCTCTCATATCGAATTTGATGTTGACATGTTAGGAGACTGTGACGTCGTCATTTCCGAGCTCTGTCGCCGCGCTGGTTGGGATCTTCAGCATGACATGATTCCCAAGGGCCAACAGGTTCAAGTCGAGCAGACCGAAGGATTCGAGTCCAGATTCACCTTTACAGTGACTAGTCCGAAAAATTAAGGAAACAACTTTTTAATTGCTAGTTAGTGTTGGTATTGGTGTTGGCTTGGGTCGGTTGTTTTTCAACTTGGGGCAGGATTGTTTTGATACACATTAGATTGTCTTTTCTATTTGATTGTTGGATATTTTTTTGAAGGCGTCCCCATGTCTAGAGTTCTCTTTATATTTTGCATGAGACCATGGCGGGTTATTTAGGGATTTTTGCTCTCCAAATGGCAGCTAATATTACACAACCGTCCATCCCCTATCGATTAACTCATCAAGGCACGGCGCCAACGCCCAGTCTGCACCTCGCTCTCCCAGCTGAAAGAACCCAACAACTCCGCCACGTTCATCTTCATCAATAACAATAGGCGCACCGCATACTCCGGCACAGACCTCTGCTCCCGCAGGACCAATATATCTGTATATATTTTCTGTTTGAAACCTGGTAAAATCGACTTGGATGCCTGGGACCTGAGGAGGTGGTACAACCTGGATCCCGGCGACTCTTAAAAATATCAAACCACTTGCCATTCCATCAAGCGTACACCAGGTGTTAAGCGGCACTTCATTTGAGCGAACAAGTCTCTTGGGTGGTTGAGACTCAAAATACTCGTCATTCGTGAAGGATGTCGACGGATGAAGTTGGACCAGGGCAACGTCAAGAGCCATGAAACGTTCAGTTATCTGTCCTATGCAGAGTCCATCGGGGGAAGATGAAGGATGGTACACATCATCGGAGTGGGGGAAACCGTGATTCGACACAGTCAGTCTCTGGCCCTCACTACACGACCTAAGTAAAACACCAGCGGTGGTGGCCATGGTCAAATCAAGGTAGCCTCCGTGCCTAGATGTTGTCCCACTTTCCACTCTAACGCCAGGGCAGAGGCTGTGTAGTTCTGTCGAAAGATAATTTGTCATGTCATGGAGGTTGCCGGTCGGTTTTATTACGCGCTCTCGTCCTTGGACCTTCAGGTCCCAGAACGGCGTTTCGTTATGATGGTATAACGTCAGATGATTCGCAACTCTTCCTGGGAGCGATCTCCTTTCGTACTCCCGTCCATCGTCAGCTCTGAGTTCGATAATGATCATGGAGTGAACGAAGTTGATTGCTCTAATGTTCATGATGTCGCTAAGCTTACGGAACACCACTTCGTACTCCTGTTTAGATGGCCTGCCCCATTTACTGTAATGGAACTGCACTGGGACGGGGTCGGGAAGTCTCGGGTCACAATAGCTGATGTCCGCGGATAGAGGCTGCGCTGGGTGGCCAGGTGGAATAAATAGACATGGTACACAGGCTACCGTCAGAGGCACTGGGGTTGGAGGTGAAGCTGTCTCAATAAAAATTTCCGGCCATGAGATAGTCAGCCCAGTTGCAGAGAAAGTGCTCATTATCCATTGTTTCTCAGGGCCTGTGGGATAGCGAAAATCTTGTTGGGAGCTATCCCATAACGTGAATGGTGCCCTATCCGCGACGTATCTTGACCAGTTGCCATCATCAGCCGTTGTCCAAGATCGCTGAGGACAACGCGTAGCTCGCTTTTGCTCCTGGTCGAGCCCCTGTTGCTGCTGCTCTTCACTGTCACTCAACTCTGGATGTGCATGTGAGGTTGTTGACATGGCTCTTGAGCAAAAGCTTTCCCAGGGCTCGCCGCGCGGTGGAAACGCGATATAAGGAGTTGTGCACCGAAGGGTATCAATCGAAGACGCTCTTCGATGGAATGCCATGCCGACAAATGTGGTATCAGTCCCAGCAAGCAAAGATGATGGACCACAAGGGACAAAAAGGCCTAATGCCCCAAGATATCCTTGGGCACATGAGTGCGAGTCGTAGCTAAAGTGGAATATTTCAACAAAAGGTAGAAGAAAATGTGAGGTAGATTTTAGAGATAACTAGATAACTTGTCACTGTCGGGCAACAAGTCCATACGGTATTTAAAGCATTGTTCCATCGTTGCTTCAGCAAGCTATCATAAGGTACCTAGTAGTTAGTTATCAGTGACGTAAATGACTTGTTAGAAAAGGAGTCTCCTGCAGGCTAGTTATCCTATATTCACTTCCCTAGCGCGTGTTCCACGTGGTAATTACCAGGCAGCAACGTCAAAATAGAGCCTCAACCTTCCTTTCTTTAACTACTCGGCCGCTTTAATATATACTGATGGAATACTCCAATTTAGCTACGACTCGCACTCATGTGCCCAAGGATACCTTGGGGCGCTAGGCATGGCCGACGAGGAGATCCAGAGGCTGCGCCAGCGTTTGAGGGACGAGGAAAGACGCAGACAAGAGGCAGAGCAGGCTCAACACGAAGCAGAGCAGGCTCAACGGGAGCTAGAAGAACAGATACGCCCCTTAACACTCTTTGAATACCTTGATGCCTGCCATACCTATCTCTTCGGCGGGCTGGTCCCTGGAAGCGTAAAAAGCTCAACCAAAGGAAGTGCCGACAATGCTGAAGGCAAATCCCGTCCCTCTTGCATCCGTAAATGGCGTTCATTCGATGATGAGCAAACGGAGATATGGGATCTGCTGCTGGATAAGCAGAATGAAGAGTTTATATTACAGCTCAAGTTCGACTCCTTGCATGCAATGATGGCAATGGGGAGGAAGACACGAAAACACATCCACTCAGAACTCGACCTTCGCTATTTCCAACGGGATGCCATCACAGAGCCTGTAAGGTCAATCATTGAGTTCCTTTTTGGGAATGAGAGACTGCGGCATGTATTTGGACTTCAGGGGCGGATTACCTTTGAAAACCACGGAAATTCACTTGTCGACGGTGAGGAAGTTGAGCAAGTTGAGGAGGTTATAGGACGCCCACCAAAGCTCCGGAAAGGAGCTGGAGGGGCTGCAACACCTACCGCTCCCTCGTCTTCTGCCCGGCCTCTAGCAGATGAGTTCTGCGTTTACAACAAAGGCGAGAATGTCAAAAACCCTGCCTTGGTTGGTGAACTCAAACCCCCACACAAACTCCAGCTCGCAGTTATTGAAAGTGGACTACAAGAAATGGACCTTGACGAGGTAGTCGAGCGTCGTCATGCCGACACGGAGAAGATCAAGCATCGTCGTTTGGTAGCTGCAGTCATTACCCAAGCCTTCTCCTACATGATTAAGTCCGGCGTTGAATACGGGTATATAAGTACGGGTGAAGCATTTATTTTCCTTCATTTCAAACCCGACAAACCAGGGACCGTTTATTATCACCTTTCAACTCCCGAAAAAGATGTGGAGAAAGCAGCTAAAGACGGCATCAACAGACTACACAAGACAGCCGTTGGGCAGGTGCTTGCGTTTGCGCTTCGAGCAATACGCAGTACGCCACGGGGTCAAAATTGGAGAGATTGGGCCATAAGTCAGTTGAAGGAGTGGGTGATCACTGAAGGTGATTTATATTTACCAACCTCGGAAGAAGACGAAAAGCAAGCTGGAAAGCCTCCCACGCCTTACAGGCCATCGAAAAGCGCTCAGATGGTTAATAGGAATACCCCTGTCCGCACCCGATCACGCTCCTCGCGATCGACCTGCAAACCGGCATCTTCGCAGCAAAACAGCAGTGGGGAAGACGATAACGATAACGAATCTGACGATGATTCTCCCACTCGAAGGCCTCCCCGGTCTGCGAATGTCATGGTTGTAATACCTCCACCTCCACCTCCCCCTCCTCCCCCTCCGCCACCTATCCCAGATTCATCCTACAAAGGCCCTGTCTGTAGAGATGGTGCTCGGCGATATTGCACGCAGAAGTGTCTGCTTGGTCTTTTGAATGGCGGCCTGCTGGACAAGGCATGTCCGAATGCCAAAGAACACGGAACAAAGGTCCATCAAATTGACCATCCTACGTTCATCTCTCTCCTTCTAGCACAGATACTACAAACAACAGTACCCCGCTGGAGTCAACCTCTAGGCTGCGAATCGCTTTCTAGACACGGTTCTCGTGGTGCACTGTTCGAGGTTATTCTTTTCAAGTACGGCTACACGCTTATAGGCAAAGGCTTCCCTATAGGGTTTAGCAAATACCTCAGAAATGAAAAGGAACTCTATGACCAGTTGCGGCCGATTCAAGGCGTGCATGTCCCTGTTTGTCTCGGCACGATCGATGTGTCTGAGCGGCCCATGCAGTATGATGGAATCGCAGAAATACCATACTTTTTACTTCTCGCGCATGCAGGCACGCAAATCACAAAATGTGGTGTTGCAAAGGATCAGATCGTATCTGCAGCCTCAGAATCATTGCGGGCCATCCATGCACTAGGTGTTCTCCATCACGATGCGGAGCCAAGAAATATGTTCTGGAGCGAGGAAGGTGAGAATGTGCTGGTAATTGATTTCGAAAGAGCAGAGATTCTTCGCACCAACCGAGCGCCGCTTGGAAGCATGTCACTCAATCGGAAGAGGAAGAAGGGGGGTGAAAACATGAGTGAAGAGACAAAGGCTGTTGTGCGAGAGAAGTGGATTAATAGTAGGGTTGAAGAAGAGCTGAAGGGGATGAGAGCGTACTTGAAGGAAAATCTTAGCTAATAACTCGCTAGCAGCCTTCCACAAGCCATCTTTATAGAAGGAAGACATTGATGCAGCCTTTATCACTAACTCAAACTCATTATGTATATCTATGTACATTAGAACTATTTCAAAAAACCAATTGATCCATATTATGTGCGTGCAAAAAGGTATCATCCCGCCAGCGGTTTATGCTTCTCAATATCAGCAGAAGATTCGATCTTATCCTCCTTTTCATCTTCTTCATGTATACAATTCGCAGCGGCCTTTTCCTGCAGCTCCTTCTTCTCTTTCCTCTTCCTCTTCTTCTTCTTCTCAACTTTCTTGATTGCCTCCTGAGTGAGCTCTTGTCTCAACATCTTCTCAATCACCTCTTTCTTCCTCGTCATCCGATCACCGACCATAATGACGATTCCAGATGCAATGTTGCAGGATATAGATAAGCAAAGGATAGTAGTCGTTAAGGCGGCTGGGCGTACTCGGTAGTCAATACCCCACGTACATGCGCCCAGGGTTATTTGGAAAATAGAGTGAAAGTCCAACAATATAACGACGGCAATGAGCATCCGGACAGGAAAGGCGTGATGAGTGGTTGTCTCGTGAGGCTTATAGAATGTGTGGGATTTGGCGAATTTGTTTGAATGGTGTGTTAGTTTCTTCTGTTGCTCGGGGCTCAAGACCGAGTATTCAGCCTCTTTATCGTTCGTCATAACGTCTCTGGCTGCCATTTCAATATCGACCTCGTTTTCCTCGGCAGCAGATCTTATTGCATCCTCCAGCGGGGCTTCCGGAAGGTCATTCGGGTTTTTGAGCTTTGGAAGATCTTGTTTCCGGCGAAGTCGCCAGGTTAGCCGATGGTAGTAGGCGATATAAATCATGTGGTAGGTATCTACGGCTCTGAATGGAGCCAGACCATCACCAACCACGGCGAAGAGGGCAACAAGGACATTGTCTATAACGTTGATAACATATAACTGGCGGTCACCAACGTAGATCCAACCTTTTATCTTGTTAGTTAGGGATCCAATGGAAAGGTCAGGGAATTGAATACTACTTACCGATTAAGAACAACACCCAAGCGAGGCCAAAAAGAGTAATCAAAGTTGCATACAGAGTAACAAGGAACCCAAGAGCTGGCCAAAACATAGATGTTAGCTTAAATCTAATAAGTGAGAATGGAACGATTGGGAGGATGGTACTCACGCTTGTGCAGATACTGCCAGAACCCTTTCATTCCACGCTTGAATTTCGACCTCCGGGAGTGTAGCATGTGCCTGACATGGTCATTGATTTCCCACTTATCCGACGGATCCCAGCCTTCGAGAGTGGTGCCCTCCGGCAAGACAGCAAACCGGGAGACGCTGAGGTTCGACGTGATTGTTGCCGTTCGTTTGGCTCTGGGTGGTTCCTCTGTATCCGAAGTTGTCGTTTCCTCTTCCTCCTCCTCCTCTTCTTCTTCAACCGTCGATATTATTGACTCCACGGATTCACTTCGAGGTCGTGTAAGGTTGTAGGTAGGCTGGCGGTTTATAAACCGTCCTAGGTCCGGCACAAACAGCGAGTTCTGTACATTTGTCAGGGTTGTAAGGGTCGATACTTCAGGATCTTATGGCCAGAGATATTGATTAGCTTCCTTGCTTTCTTGCTTGTAATAGTCCAAGTCCGGAGAGAGAAATTGAAGACCTACCGACGACGTCAAGCAAATTGACTACCCTCGAATCGTATTCCTTGCCATCGTTCTTCAGCTGGCCTGTTTTTGCAAGCCGTAACGAGGACATCGCCGAGGCACTGGCAGATCTCCATCTTCCACGTCCAGTTTCAATCGGCGGTGGCACTTCTTCCGCCAGCGTCGTCATAGGCATATAATCAACAGCGCCATCGTTGCCGAAGTTCGGGCGCTGGGGCTCCGAGCTGCTTCTCCGTCTCGAGGCAACCACATCGTCGTCGGGACGCCTCGCAGGCTCAGGGTCGAGGCTCGTAGTCCGCGCTATGGGCTCTCCGCCCAAAGATGCCGCAGAATGGCGTATCCGGATGCTGGGCCTGCGGTGGTTGGGGGGACGAGACGGCGGAGGCTGCAGGCGGGACGAACTCGGGCCTGCTGCCTCTGGCGCTTCCGGACCTGGCGTCTCCTCTACGCGGTCCATCTATCGACAGGCACAGCGAAGGGGAATATGAGAAAGGGGCCCTCGGAGGGTGTGCCTGGGTAGAACGCTGGTTCACTAACTAAGGTAGTTATTCATCCATGGATGGCTTCTGCGATAGTTATATAGAGAGCGTCGCCACTCCGTTCGGCCCCTGCAGGCTTTATCACAACCAACTATATCAGAGATACATATACCCTTGCCATCGGTCGCGCTTGTTAGAGTTGGCATGTAACTATGAGATCATCGCGCGTCGTCCGTCTCGAGGTCGCCGGAGGATCGTCTCCCAACAACTCGAAACCCACGGCAAGGAGTTACTAATAAATAACTAAATATTTGGTTTAACGGCTGCGCTGGAAGAGTTAAAAGTGATGGCTCTCTGGGAGTACTCCGTATATAGGGTCTACTCCGTACGTGTAACTATAGCGCTTCTGTTTCTCTGTCCTTCTCTCCTGTTCCTGCTTCTGTTTTGTCCTGCTTCCCTCTGTTACGATGGCGGTGGAAAGGAGCTAAACTAAGAAAAACAACGACTATGATGGCTATGGTAGATTTGGCGGCGTTTCTAGATACTCACTCACTTCACCATACGATTAACTTCCACCCTCCCTGTAGCTTGTACTCCGTAGTTTATGCTTCAGCCTGCAGTGCCGGTGATGTCAGATATTTATATGATGTAGGAGTCAAGGACCCGCATGGCCCATCCATGTCATCTCGCACGAATCCTGCGCGCCTCACCTCGTCCGTTCTCCGTTTAAGTCTCATCTGTGGGTTGGGGGAATGATCGCGATCCTCGCCTCCGTGTCGTTCTCCTCGCCAGCACTGTTTGGCCTGGCCTGGCCTGGCTGGGGAGACCCTCATACGCCGCACGCAGCTGCATTCATCTTCATCGCCTTGAAATCGCTCCGTAAGTTGCCTGACAGTACTCCGTAGGTGCCGCTTCGACTGGAAGAAGAGACGCCGCAGTAATAACTACGGAGTACGGCTCTTTTATTCGCAACTGCTACGCACCGGATCGCCAGTGTCGCTGTTGACCCCGATGTAATCAAACCGCTGCTTCTTGTAGGCTACCGCCACCACGAAATTGTCCACGAAAACCAAGCAAAAGGCAAACATGATCAGGCATGTGGCTGCTAAGGGAGCTAGAATCGAAAAGATGGTGAACCCGTACGAGGCTGACTGGAAGGTGTCGCTCCCAGCCAGCGACTTGGTTGCGAGCCCAACCTGCATGGCCGTGAGGGTGATGGCAACGTACGCTGTCGCAGAAGCCAGCCAGGTGAAGTTGTCCTGGAAGAAGGCCCGGTACTGGTGCCAGTGTGACATGTAGCCTCGCATGAACGGCCGCTGGGAGAGATAGTATATCTTGTTCAGACGGCCCAGGCGAAGTTCGCCATAGATGAACCGCGCGTTGATGCGCCGGTAGATGTGCTCCGTCTCGAGCTGTTCGACCAATACCCTCCATCCTCGCCACGTCAAGGCCTCCTCTGCCGGGAGCAGGTGGCTCCCCTTTGCGATATGGAAGTCGCTTTCATGCGTAATCAGAGCGGCGTACGAGAACAGGAAGCCAAGGGCAGACTTCCACAGCCGGCGTCGGCTGCACTCGCGCACCCCGCTGGCCTCATACAGACACTCACAGCCCTGTCGGCAGGCCAGGTATTCAGTCCAGAAGCGAGGCTCGAGCAGGAAACGCGGTACAGGCTTGAGAAGCACCCGGCCGCCCGTCCAGACGAGATGCATGTCCATCCGCTCTGTGATATAGATCTCGCGGCCAAGGAGGAGCTGGTGGTGGAGCGGGCGGGGCGGCATCGGCCGTCCCGCAACCCAGAGCCAGTGGAATATCCTGGTCAGTCGGTCCAGGGCGAGCTCGCTTTCGACGCAGGCCATGACATCGCGACTCGGGGCGGACAGGTCGTCGCGGGCTGTACGGTAGGTGGCAGGAAGGGCTGAGAGAAGCTGCTCGTCGGGCTGGGGCGAGGCACCGTCGGCCCTGAGAAGCAGAACTGAGAAAGGAGGTGGCTGCGCGGCTGCTGGGGGGTACAAGGGTTAGCTCTGCCTGAGCCTACAAGGTGTATATTTGACAGCACCACGGGTATCTACTCTGTTCTGTGACTTCATCCTTTCCTCCGGACACATTGTTTGAGCAGGATGATACTGATTACTGCTCTGTAGGGGGGAAAGACAGCTCTCTCCGACAAGACGGAATCTCAATAGCGAGGCCGCCTCAGGGTACAACTAATTGGCTGCATCCAGGGATAGACCAGAGCCTTGCAGCTCCACGTGATGGACAGAATTTCTTTCTTCTTGTCTTCAGTCGTTCTCCAGTTGATATTGTTGTCTACAGAGCCGCTGTGTGTCTGCAGCGGCCTAGGGCAGTGTTGGAAAAGCGAGCCCTGGTTTCGTCTAGAAGCTCTTCATCTCTGCAGAGTTACTCTCACTAGGCCCAACAACTATCAGAAGGCTGTTGGCCCCCGCAGAAGACTACCTCAATGGCTTTAATTGATTCAGGCTGGCTTGTTCTCCTAGCTGGGGCTGCGATTCTAGTCTATGTGAGGTTTCAACACAGACCCATCCACCCGCCGCAGGGTAATCGACAGCCACTTGAAGTTTTGTATCATGGCCTGGGCGAAGAAGAAGAAGAAGAAGCTGAAGTGGAGTGCGTCCCCCTTCCTCCTTTTCAGTCTCTGAGAAACAGATTTTATCTAATATTATCTATAGCATTATTGCCGTGCATGGCCTCGGTTCCAACGTGGATTGGGCATGGACCTTCAAGGACAAAACCAGGCATGTCAACTGGCTGAAGGACTCGGAAATGCTTCCCAGTGCTATACCAAGGTCGAGAATCATGGTATATAATTACCACTCTAGATGGCACAAGGACGCTCCAAGGACCCGTCTGCAGATATGTGGCGAGGAACTGGCCCAAAGCGTGCACGACTTTCGCAAGGGTGTTGAACGTCCGATCATCTTTATTGGCCATAGCTTAGGTGGCAATGTCATTCAACATGTAAGTCGAAGCGCTATCCGGGTATATAGTTGATACATATATAATATGCTCTCCAGCCCAGAAACTAATCCACACACCCGCTGACTACTCACACAGGCCCTTTTGCACGCTAAATCAAAGAGGAATCTCCGATGCGTGGTCAGCTCTACTGCCGGTTTTATCTTTCTTGGATGTCCCTTCAAGGGTTCCAAGATGCAATGGATAGCTAATCTTGCCGTCAAATTATTGCTGCTCGCCGGCTCTAACGCAGGAATTATCCAAGTCTTGAGCTACAGAAATGTCAATTTACATGATAAGCTAAAAGAGTTTTGCGACCTTTTGAGAGAAAACCCGATGACGGCTTTCTGTTTCTTCGAAAAATACCACACAGACTTTGGGAGGAGGTTTGGGGTCGCAGGGATTGTTCGGGCAATGGTATGTAGCAAATGACTTCAAGTTGTCTTATTATGCTGAGTCGCTAGCAATAGGTTGTGGAGGAAGACTCTGCGTGCATTGATAGCTTCGATAGCTTTCCTCTTGATACCGACCATTTGAAGATAAACAAATATTTCGGACCAGAGGATCGTTCTTTTTTGTGCGTGTTGGAGAGAATTCGCGAAATCATCAATCATTGGTGCGTACCGTCGTCTATCTATACTATATTTATAATGGCGTATTAACCTAGATGCGGATAACCTAGGAGGGCCACAAATATCCCCGTCCAGAAAATTGATCTAGGTAAATTACGGGTCGTAAAAGGGGCAGAATTTGACTCCTATGAGAACAAGCATGACGAGTGCCTCCCAGGAACCCGAGTCGACCTTCTCCAAGAGGTCGAAGAATGGGCGGAATCAGCACAGGCAAAATGCATATTCTGGCTGAACGGCATGGCAGGAACTGGAAAGTCAACAATCTCCCAAACAGTTGCAAACCGCCTCGATGAACGAAATTTGCTCGGAGCGAGCTTCTTCTTTAAGAGAAACGAAGAGGATCGGGAGAATGCAAAGAGGCTTTTTCCAACGCTCATAGGACAGCTGGTAACGAGGATACCGCAGTTGGCCCCTCAGGTTCATGAGGTTATTGAGAACGACCCCCAGATTTCAGAAAAGGCACTTAGGGAACAGTTTGAAAAACTCCTTCTCCGGCCAATTCTTAAACTTAAGCAGCCTCCTACTTTAACAATGATTATTGTGATCGACGCATTGGACGAATGCGAGGAGAACGATGCAAAAACTATTCTTCGACTTTTACCACAGGTCCAAAAGTCAAGTTTACTACAACTGCGGTTTCTGGTTACGAGCAGACCGAATTTGCCAATAAAACTGGGCTTCAAGGGCATCAGCAGTGACCACCGGGATTTGATCCTCCACGAGATTCCTCTACCAGTCATCGAACACGACATTGCATTATATTTTAAGATTAAATTCTCAGAATTAAGACGGGAACGCTCATTTCCGCCGGACTGGCCTGGCGATGAGGTTATTCAGGCTCTGGTTGAACGGGCAGTTCCACTATTCATTTCTGCCGCTACTCTATACCGATTTATCAGTGATATGAGATGGAACCCAAACAAGCGCATTAAAACGTTGCTTGCAGAGCAGACCACGTACGTGACCAAGATGGACTTCACATATATGCCAGTGCTAAATCAGCTTCTTACCGGCCAGGATGAATATGAATCGCAGCAGTTAGTTCAAGAATTCAAGGAGATAGTGGGCGTCATTATTCTTCTTGCTATTCCACTACCAGCCAAAGCCCTCACGAAGCTTCTAAATATAGAATTGGACGATATCAGCCGCCTGCTGCGCCTGCTTTACTCGGTTCTTAGTATACCCAGCAATCTCGACGACTCTGATACACCGGTTCGACTGTTACATCTTTCATTTAGAGACTTCCTTCTAGACTCGAACAAAAAGGACACCAGTCAATTTTGGATCGATGAAAGGGAGGTGCATCGAACACTTGCTATACAATGCCTGGATCTTATGCAGAATAGCTTGAGAAAGAATATTTGCAACTTACTGGATAATAGTGTGCAGCGAACAAATATCGCCAAGCTTGAGAATTACCTACCATCAGAGTTGCGATACGCCTGCCGTTATTGGGTAAGACATCTGGTACGAAGTCGGGATCCGGTATTTGAGCTGGTTCGACCAGCCTTCTCTTTCCTAAAGGTGCATTTTCTTCACTGGGTAGAAGCAATGAGCCTTCTTAGTATTGTATCTGAAGTTATAGTGGCAATTCGGGAATTACAACTAATTACAAAGGTAAGTAAGCTCCTCTAAAATTCTGGGGGAATGTCTATGGATATACTAAAGAAAATAGGATCCTGAAATATCTACCTTTCTCAAGGATGCGAGAAGATTTATGTTAAAGAATAGGCAGATAGCCGACATTGCACCTCTTCAGATTTACTGTTCTGGTCTCTTGTTTGCTCCAAGCAAATCAACAATTAAAGAGAATTTCAAAGAAGAGGCATTTAGCTCTAGCTGCGTATGGCGCGTGGCCAACGTTGATAAGTCTTGGAGTGCCGAACTAGAGACACGGGAGGGCCATAAAGGTTGGGTTAACTCTGTAGCCTTCTCACCGGACGGCCGGTTCCTAGCATCAGGCGCTGATGACGGAACAGTTAAGCTCTGGGATTCCGCTACAGGTGCTGAATTACAAACCCTAGAGGGACACTCTTCCACCATTCAATCTGTTACCTTTTCACCAAATGGTCAGCTCTTAGTATCAGGCTCCGCAGACAAGACCATTAAAGTGTGGGATTCTAACTCGGGCGCGGAGCTCCAAACCCTAGAGGGCCACTTAGATTGGATTACCTCTGTGGCCTTCTCACTAGACAGCCAGCAACTTCTCCTAGCATCAAGCTCTTTTGATAGAATAATCAAGCTTTGGGATCCAATGATAGGCACAGAGCTACAGATCTTAAAGGGTCACTTGGGCCCGGTTAGAGCTATAGCGTTCTCACCAATGAGCCAGCAGCTTCTCCTAGCATCAGGCTCTGATGATAGGACTGTCAAGCTTTGGGATCCTACCACGGGTGTGGTGCTACAGACCCTGCAAGGCCACATAGGCCAGGTTAGCTCTGTGGCCTTCTCACGGGATAGCCAGCGGCCTCTCCTAGCGTCAGGCTCCCATGGCGGAAATGTTAAGGTCTGGGACCCTACTACAGGCCAGGAGCTATATAGCCTGAGGAATCATAAAGACTGGGTTACCTCTGTGGCATTCTCGCCAGATAGCCAGCTCCTGGCATCGGGCTCAAAGGATAGAATGATTAAGCTTTTGAATCCTACCACTGGCGCAGAGCTACGGGTCATAAGGGTCTTAGACTCAGTTGGCTCTGTGGCCTTCTCGCCAGACAGCCAACTCCTTCTAGCATCGGGCTCTTGTGATGGGGCAGTTAAACTATGGGATCCTAGTGTAGATATAGACCTACAGATCCCCACAGAGAGTCAGTCAGGCCTAGTTACATCTATAGCCTTCTCACCAGATGGCCAGGGATTAATATCGGGCTCTCGTGATGGCAAAGTGAAGATCTGGGACCCTACCACGGGAGCAGAACTACAGACCCTAAAAGGCCATAGAGCCTGGGTTGGATCCATGGGCTTCTTGCCAGACGACCGGATCTTGGCATCAGGGTCTGATGGAAAGACAGTTAGGCTATGGGATCCCATGACGGGAGCAGAGCAAATCCTGGAGGGCCATTTAGCCTGGGTTATATGCATGGCTTTCTCACCAGATGGCCGGCTCTTCGCATCAGGCTCCGATGATGGGATAATCAAGCTCTGGGATCCTGCCACAGGCACCGAACTACGGACTCTAGAGGGCCATGTCGACGGGGTCACCCTGGTGGCGTTCTCGCTAGGTAGCAGGCTCTTCGCATCAGCCTCTCGCGATGGCACAGTCAAACTATGGAATCCTATCACAGGCGCTGAACTGCAGACCTTAACTGTTAAAGAGTTGCCGATTGAGCTATCCTTTTCAAATCGTAGCCCCCATCTGAGGACTAATCTAGGATCCCTTGATATTCAACATTGGCATTGCGATGGTGCTTCTGGATCGTTAGAAACCAGCTCTAAAGTGCCCATACCCACGCAGGAAGACCAGTGGGTATGCATTAAGGGCAAAAGGATGCTATGGCTTCCTCCAGAATATCGGGCGTCGTGCTCTGCGATTGAAGCTGGTGGCACCCTTGCCCTGGGCCACGCATCCGGGAGGGTTTCTTTCATCACAGTCTCATATACTCCGTAACTCTTGGAGATGAGTTACTTACACCGGATCTCTCTGCCTCCATGGTACTTCATCTGGCAGCCTCCTGTCGGTTACCCTGGAATGCAACATTGTATATAATAAAAATGAAGACGTTGTAAGTGTGATTTCGACATCATTGCTCACAGGCATTTGTACGTACTGCTCCGTACCCTTGTTTTATTATATTAGGCCTTGCAAGGGTGAAACGAACGGGGGCTTTGGGGCTAGACGGGGTACCTGGGTGTTCTCTCAGCCTTGATGTCTCGGTCAAGGACTGCTAGTTGAGATATTCGCATTGAGGGGTATGCAAGGGAGTTCCCTATAACTAATAGACTACACCCATGGGGAACCCAGTATCCTCTCTGACTTAAATAGTTATCCTCCTAGCCAAAATAACGTTACCCATGATATCGCTAGACTTTCTTAGCTAATTAACACCGTGTAGCTATATGGGATAGACTATACCTAGTTGCCTAGCGGCTGAGCTGGAATAGTTAGTCTATATAAACCTTGTAGCAGGGTTGATTAACAGTCCATCGAGATCACGCATATTGTATGCTCCGGTTTCATCATCCTGGATAGGCGCTGGCTCCGGCGCATCCGCAAGACGGCTCGTAAAGCCACGGGACAGCAACAATCCCAGAATTCTTGCCGTCTTGATGGCCTGACGGTATCACCGTCTAGTTCTCCTGCCTCCCGACTGAACGTGGTCCAGAAGGTGTCTTCCAGCATGTCATAGTCGTCGTATCTAGCCCAGCCAGTCTTGAGATGGACCTTACATATCAGTCGCTGGTGAGCGTGGAGGTTCAAACCAAAGGGCGCAATCTCAGCTTCGGCCCAGTCCACTACGCCTGCTATATTGCATGACGCTTCATCCACTATGATGTTGCCGACACCGAAGTCTTTGTGAAGCAGCACCATGGGAAGGGACAGAATTGCTGGTAACGATGTAAGTAGATCCTCGATTACAGTCCGAAAGCGCGTGGGGAGAGAAATAAGCAACAGCTCCAGGTCCTTTTTGTATCGCTGGTGCAAGCTGCGGCGGTACATTTGGTCAACATCCTGGGGAGCTTTCCATGAAAGCGCAAAGAACCTAACATGCGGTCAATAGTTATATAGAATAAAGGGAGTGGCAGGAATACCTCGCAGCGTCAGTTACGAGATTCTTGCGCCATAATGAAAACAGAGGCGAGTCTTCCGGTTCCTGGCTGTTGTGCGCCAGGATGAAGTCGAGGTAGCTGATGCCGCGTATCCGGCTCATGACATAGATGTAAAGGGGCTCTTTGCCCTCAACCGCTGCCCCGATCTGTCCACGAAAGGAGACCTGTGGAGCAAACTCGCCGTATATATCTCGAGCCAGATCCATGGTCTCCATGTTGAGCTGGGAGCTCTTCAGGCGAAACTGAGCCACGAATTCGCTGTTTGGGCCGGCGTAGACGGTGTAGCTGCAGACGCCCTGGGCTGCCACCGGGACGACATCACCACCAAGGCCCCTGGCAAACGCATCGCATTCCGAGCGAGTCGCTGCAGTCTGGCCAAAGAAACTCTCGATCTCTTGTTTGCATCCGGCCATGATTCATGTGTCCGCGTGTGCGTGAATGTAGTTATTATCACTGTGTATCAGAAGAGTTTGAACAAAGCTTTGCTCTTGAGCCTTCTATTTCACGATATCTACCTGGTCACGGCCAATCTTCAAGTTTCTCCTTCTCCATCCTTAAAACCCCCCTGGCTTTGAATCTAATAGACGCAAATATAGAGATATACACACTCGAGGGCACTATCAATGCGTTCTTCGATGCACAAGTTTCACCAAGTCAACAACAGTGTGATGACCTCGCAGCAGCGCTCGTCCAGGCTCCAGTGCAGCCAGTGTCAATGCAAGGATCATTCAGCTACACCGTTGCAACCAAGGGCGATGAAGACCAGAAGATTGTTCAATTCCGCGTCAGTCACTCCCCGCTCAATGTCGACACCATCCAACGGGCACAAGAAGTCCATGGTGCTGTTGTACCACTCGCCCAGTACCATGGAGAACTTGGGGATGGCCCGACGGCACCGCTCAAGGTCTATGCCATGGAGAAGCTCCCGGGCGTAACCTACATTGATATGGTGCTCGATCACCTGCGGGACTCCTCCCCTCCAATGCCGAAGCTACAGACGATCCAGGATCTCTCACGGTAACTAAATAACTACCAAGATGTTTCTCCAGTTTTTGATCTAATAACTAATGGTTCTAAGATACTTTACGTCCGCTTGGCTTCACCCTGAACATGTCACACAAGCAAAGCGGCAAGAAAGTCAAGAACATGTCTCTAGAAAACTCTCTATTCTCAGTTCCGTCTTACCCCAGCGCTTTCATACCTTGATATCATCTCTGCAAGCCGATCTGCCTCAGCTTTATTCTCCAGCCTATCCCCAAGTTCTCACTTACGGAGACCTCTGTGAGATGAACATCCTTGTCATGCCGGAGACTGGTCGGATTTCTGGTATCGTGGATTGGGCAGAGGCGAGCATACTGCCCTTTGGAACGGAGCTCTGGGGGCTGGAAAATATGCTTGGAAGTATGGGTTCTCAAGGATGGAAACATGATGAGAACCGAGGGAAGCTGGAAGAGGAGTTTTGGCGGCTGTTCTGGGGTACAATTGATGTTGAAGAAAGAGAGGGCCTCAAGGGCCGGCTAGGGAGAACGGTACGGGTTGCACGAGGCATTGGTATTCTCTTGAGGCATGGGTTTACCTGGGACGAAGGCGTCCATGAGAGGCCCATATCAGCGGCTGATACAAACAGCCTGCGATATCTTGATGCCTTTCTTCTATCAACATAAGATATGTGTCATTGCTTCCTCGACTTGCATGGGTTTGTGAGTAGATGATTCATTGATCTGTAGGGTATTAAAACATCGAAGATATAACACGCCTCCTGCGTCAATCAGTGCGGGCTCGCCTTTTTGCCTCAGATAAAACTATGTGTGCTGTCAACCACTTCTCTCTCTGCTACAAAGAACTCGCCACTGCTCTTTGAGATGTACTAGCCTTCTCCTGCTCTTGAAAAGCTTTGAAATCTCGATGCCAGTTCCATTTCAAATCTTTGCTGGCTAAACGGGCCCTCCCGGATATCTCTCTCCCATCATATCAGTGCCAGGAGGGAAATCATGCTCAAATGTAGGTTCCCCTACGCCCTTCATGTTAGCAAGCACTGAAAATGCCATCGCAGCATCATGGACAAACGTTGGCATAACGGTGACGTCAATTGTTCGAGTAAGTGAATTGTATCCGATACTACCACACGAGTTGGTAACATTCTATTATCTCTGTAGAAGTTGTTAGAGGGGCATGTATTACTGAGCGCAGTATTCCATCAGACGCGCGGCCACTGTCATTTGGACTGTGGCAGATTGGGTCAAGAACCCTGCAATCAACCCTAAACATATCCGGGCCAAAGCACACAACTTTGTATCCGTCCTATATTTACGTTAGTTACCGCAATATATAATATCTATTATTTTCTGGGGGAGAAGGCGCTTTCCAATCCACTTACTTCTGGGTTCATTGAAAGCGTGTATGTATCGAAAAGTTGATGGACATCACTTCTTAGAAGCAATCCATTCTAGACACCATCCTAGAAGTGACAGTCTCCTGTCGAAGCAATGTGCAGGAAGAAGTTTCTCTGTGTGTCGGCCATAGTTGTTTTATCATTAATCCAGCCAGCTCCATAGTTATCAGTGACGTAAATGATTTGTTAGAAAGTATTTGTAGGACCACAAGGGACAACAAGGCCTAATGCCCCAAGGATGCCTTGGGTAATGTGTGCGAGTCGTAGATAACTGTCGGCCATGGTAAATATTTCTTCAGCGAACGCCAGGTTGAACCGCGGTCTTCCCGTTTATTGGGCCTGACAGTTCAGTCATCAGATTATTCAGCCACTCTAAATGGCTTATGTTACTCTCAGTGATTATTTAGAGTAAGTGTGAGAGTGTTCGATGGGCTATCGATCTTCGGGCCGTCAATAAGATGTGCGACACTTGTATCAAACATGGCTAAGATACGGTTAGTATACCGGGAAACTGTTGCTGGGTTCTCCTTTCGTATACCTCCTCCACTCAATGTCAGCAGGGGCTATCTTTGAGCACGAAGGAATGGGCAGTTGGTTGTCAGCGGCGACTCGGAAATTGACTCTGCTTGCTACCCAATGCTTCTATTGTGGTAATACTAATTTGCGATTCAGCCTTCCCTAGTCAGCTTTGTCTCCCCTTTTAAGCCATAGATAGGTGAATACGCACCGTACTATTACTTCTCCAGCGAAGTTCTGTCAGAGAATGTGGGATGATATGTGCAACCTCAGAGTACTCGGAGCTCTCGTCCTCCTGCTCCAGTAACAGCTGCGTAGTAATGCGTGGCTCCTCCTCACTGAAAGCACCTTGCAGAATTAACTGCAGCGTCCTCTTAAAGCTCTCTTGTAGGAGTAGCACTTTCTCTATATCGCGGTGGTTTGTCCTGTAAATGAGATTTTTATAATCTCGATGTTTGTCCTCTCCGACTAGGACACTGTAGTTATTTGCAACTCCATACTCCTTGATTTGGTCGAGGTAATGTATTCCAATATGTATATTGGGCCGATTCTTGATTGCCTGAATACCCTTTGCTCGGTGCGACACGGTCTCAATAACAACAGGGATTTGGTTTTGTACTTGCATCTGGCTTGGTGCTGGGGTTCCTCATCTACTTGCGCATCATCGTCTGTAGGGTTATGGCCAGCAGGTTGAAGCTATATTTTCGGGAGCCACTATCCTCCAGGATCCAAAAATCCATTAAATTTCATGGATATCAACCTCTTTATTCTCAAATAAGCTGATGACTGCGCTGTATACTTCCCGAGAAGATGGAAATATATGCGAGGGTATCGTAAGCTCCGTTTCTGATGGAGAACGGCGGAGGCCATGCTCATATATATATATATATATATGTAATTATTGGTATTCTTGAGTTCTGAAAACTACCAATGGACCGGTTTAAATAGAGGGGAGATTAACTGGTTAGTCACTCGACAGTTCATTGACCGTTGGAGGTCAAGTGAATAACGTCCGTCACTTCAGCCTGCTCACTCTTCCAGCTCAGCCGTTTGACAGATAGCTATCTTGGTAGTCACCATCAAGAGGTGGTAGTGTTAATTAGTTAGCAGCTGGCCAGATTAGTGTCAAAAGTATCAAAACTGCGAGAAGTGATTCCCTGTTATTAATAAGGTGATGAAATGGCCAAGCGGTGCCAACAAGCTACGACGAGGAGTTTTTTCCTGGCAACAAACGATGGGAGCTGAATTCTCTATGCTCTCTACCTATGGGCACGACTAAGTGGTAGATGTATAAAAGGTCCTTGGGAGGTGTGTCTTGATTAGCCTGCTGGGTATCTGGCTCTGCTATTCTTCCGCAGATACCATGAAGTTTTTGAAGATTGATTGCCAATTAGACTTGATTATTTTATGGTTAACTAACTATTTTAAGCTCAATGCTGGATGATGTCATCGCTGCTTGTTTTATTGGGGTTAGCGTTGTCTTGTATTACAAGAATAGAAACGGGATGGGCAGTATTCAGCTCAAGTTACAGTAATTAACTGGCCAAAGTAGTTACTACATAGTAATTTTTCATGTAAACGGGTTTTCCTACGTTACTGGAAGGTTTTAGATTGGAAGTCAAGCATTCAAAAGATTCTGATTAGACAATTTTGTCTGCATAACGTGACCCCATTTGACCCAAATAACTCCAGTGCTTAATAATCAAGAACTCCAGGGTATTGAAAGGGAATACCAGCTGCTGCTGATCCTTCAATAGTCTCTAGCTTGAGGAAAGCTAGACACGAGAACAGTCTTTGAACCATAATTAACCCCGGGGTAGACCAATTAGCCTAATAGATCAAAGGTAATGTCTGTGGACTTCGCTGGAAAGAATTTTATTAAACATATCATCCTCTGTTGACTTCAGATGTCTGTTCATAAAATATCGATAATAATCATTCTTCTTCTTCAATTCCTGATCTGATCGATGACGGTACTCCTTCTCTTTCGCCTGGTTCTCAGGTACGGGATTTTTGGTAGCCAGTTTAGCTACGTCGGTTAACTCCTTTTTAGGGGGTTCATAACTGTCAAGGTAATGTATTGTAAGAGCAGGTCGGCATTGCTCCTTGCTTGGCGCCCAACGCAGCTTGGTCTTCTTGTTTTCTGTATCTAGGTGGTACCACATGCGAAGCACCGCGTAGGCCCGATGAAGATCCTCAAATAATGGTAAATGTTTAGACTCATTGGGTGCATATTTGTATATCTCAGCAAAATGCCGAGGGAAACGTTTAATAACCTTGATTAGTATATTAGTACTGCTTGCCGAATCACCTCACTTTTATATAGCCCCAAGGATGCGATATCCTGTTCAGAAGGGATCTGCTCGTTATTTACCAGAACAGAAAGCTTTATATTGCTCTGGCAACACGTAAGGAAATTAAAGAGATCATGGCAGGGTATATTAAGTTTCCAGTTGCTTTTTTTGATTTCATCATACTGAGCAAAAAGGTCCTGGAGAGAAATGGTGATTTGATGTAATTGTCTAGTATTTTTGCAGTTCTTAAGGTACCCTGCCACGAGTCTTAGACGGTAGTAGAAATGGCTGCGTAGCATACCAACTTGAATGGCAAAAACTCCTTCTGGATTATATGCTTCGGCTTGTGAACAATCCTCAGCACTAGGGGATTCTAGTTCTTTCTGGGTCGGCATATCGAAGCGAAGAGCTTAAGTGAGAGATAAAAGTGCACGAAATTAGTTGAAATGAAGGAAATGTGAAGTAAAGGTGATGAGTAGCTATCGAGGCAGTAGAATTATTTCAGAGGCCGTAAATCTCGATTTGAATAGTTAGTTGTTACTGTTCTTCGTGTTAGTGTTCTTCGTGAGCTTTGGACTATTTGGCTGCTGCATTGGTTTGGTTCGGTTGATTCAAGCTCAAAATAACCTTTTATACGAAGATTAAATTAAGGTTTACATTAAGAAGATTATATAAACGATGCTTAGTAAGCCTTTGCCATTTTAATTCTCGAAAAGAAAAGAAAAAGGAGAAATATATCCAATTTTTTGCAAAACAGCAAGGCACCGTTGAAAAGGTACCAGACGTTTCCAGAGGTGGCCTGCCAGCTATTCCTGTGTTATATGATGGTTGATTATTTGATTCGGTTCGCTCAGAGCCATGAGTCATTTCGCAAAGCAGAAATCAAGGCTCTAGCCAGCTTGGTGGGGGTTGATATAGAATTTCTAGTGTATCATGATAATGTATGTGCATCCCCGCGTAAACCATTATAGACAGTATTCTAATATTGGTATATAGACTCCATTCTGCGTAGTAAAACTTGAAAATGAGGAAGCTGCCCGTGCACTTATGCGCCGCAGCATTCTGGCCAAAAACATATATGAACTTTGGGGACAGGGAGATACTTATGACCAGCTGAAGGCAGATTTACGCCGGCGCACTGAGTCTAGGTGGCCCGATTATAAGACAGTATCTTTTAAATTTGGTGTTGATACTTATGCGTCAACTCGATCAGCGAAAGAAAGGAATGAGATTATTGAGTCCTTTTCATTTTTGGCCTTTGATGGGCCGATAAAGATGGTTGATGCAGATGAAGAATTTTGTGTGTTTGAAGAGTTCTCTCATCAACTTGCCCCTTCGGGCAATCCAAAAACACACACTGAGCCGGTCCTTAATCGTGTCTATCTTGGTCGATGGGTTACGGAGGGTGGTCGCACAGAGATCAATACCTATAACTTGAAGAAACGCAAATACATCAGCACTACGACCATGGATGCAGAGCTTAGTTTGATATCCGCCAACATGACACATGCAGCGCCTGGAAAGTTGTTCTATGACCCCTTTGTTGGAACGGGTAGTTTCCTTGTGGCGGCTGCTCATTTTGGAGCGATAACTTGCGGATCGGATATTGATGGGCGCAGCTTTCGTGGCAAAGAGGCTACCTCCAAGACCGATACTGGAGTCATTGGCAACTTCAAACAATACGGACTGCTATCCAAATATCTGGATACATTTACTTCCGACTTGACAAACACACCTCTTCGAGACATTCGTATGTTTGATGGAATTATATGTGACCCTCCATATGGCGTGCGAGAAGGGCTCAGGGTCCTAGGACATAAGGATGAGAGTCGAAAGGGCGAACTCATGATGTTCCAAGGTGTCCCATCATTCAAGTAAGCCTAGCTTTTGATATGATAGAGGTTTGATGACAACCAAGCTTATATTTATGGTTTCAACAGGCGGGAGAACTATATTTTCCCAAAACGTCCTTACCCATTCAACGCAATGCTTGATGATATACTTGACTTTGCTGCTCACACACTAGTGGACAATGGCAGAATATCTCTCTGGATGCCCACTGCGAATGAAGACGATATTGAGCTTGCAATTCCGAAGCATCCCTGCCTTGAACATCTTGATTCTTGCGTACAGCCTTTTAACAAGTGTACGCTACCCGCCTATATACTCATAACGTACATATCGCTAACACAGCCTAGGGTCGCGGCGACTTCTTGTGTATCGACGATTGCCTGGTAGCGAAGTATCGCCTATACCACTCAAAGAGAAAAAAGAGGTTCCCAGAGGGAAGGCAGACGAATTGAACCCGTTTAGGAGACGAGTAAGCCAGCCATCTTCGACAGATATTCCTTCAAGACCCTTCACTAATTCAGCCGAAGTATTTCGAATCATTTGCAGTGGAAGAGAAGCCCAGCTCATAAGGGTTAGCTTCCTTATTACGTTGAAATAAGTAAATGCACGGGTATATGATATGTACTAGAATCTACAGCTTGGTCGGTCGTGGTAAGTGTCCATCACCAGCCCCACAGTCACAATCCTCCAAATCAACTCCTTCCTCCTCCTTAACCTTCTTCAATTCCCTTGCTAACTCATTCCTCAATAGCGCCGCTAGCTCCTCTGCCTCATCATCCATAAGTTCGTCCCTCTGGCCGCGCCCGAACATGACCCAGCCTCCTTCAGTAGGAGTACTAGTACCGAAAGCAGGTCTAGGTATGATGTGAAAGTGTACATGAGGAACTGTTTGGGATGCCCGTATACCTACACATATCGTTAGGCGTACCAAACTTTAGTATTCGAAAAGGATGGTCGTGGAGACAAACCATTGTTCTGAATAATGTTCCAATTCCCTTGATCGTCTCCTCGGCTGTCTTTTCCTTCACCTAAAACTGTTCGAACGATTACTCGAGAGAGTATCGGTAGCCATTGACCAAGCTTTAGGAAGTCACTTAGCTATCCCGTGCATATTACATTCAATATAGATAGTTTTAAAGAGGCAACTAACCTGTCTTGCTTCATGAACGCTAACTTCACCCATATTATTATAATGCCGTCTAGGAGTAACGAGAACATGGCCCCTTGTCAATGGCATAATGTCCAGGAAGGCAAGAACATGCTTCGTAGATAATATTGTGAATGCTGTGGGCGAGTCTGGGGTATCTTGAGAATTGCCTCCTTTGCCATTGGGTATAGTTGGCGGACTTAACGGTGAAAACGGAGCTGATGAAGATGCAATTTCACAGAAGGGACACTCTGATGAAGTCATTATATAGTAGACAGCCGCAGAATGTATCTATATGGGTATATTACAGCTCCTCTAATACTACGTGCCTTCATCCTCCAGCGCGGTTGCGGCGAGAGTTAAAAGCATTCGAAAGGGAGAGTTGAGCCGAGGTTCAAAATTGATGAGTCAGCAGCCAATATAACCCAAATGGGACGAATATAAACAAACAACAACGCGAAGGTAAGCATGTAAATAGACAGGGAAGAAGCTGATCTTCTCCTCCGAACTGATGTTTACGTGCTTGTTTACTCTTGTTTACTTGTATCTATGGAGATACGAGTGGAAGAAAGGCAGTTGAGAGTAGTCCCACATGTTTTCATTAGTAAAGAGAAAGGTCGCTAGAAACCCACCACCACACCACCTTGTAACTAAGCTAGAAGCAAAAACCAGAAGAGCAAAAACGAAGCAAAAGGGAGAAATGAATCTGTAGAAACAATAGAGAGCCGACCATCAATCGATCCTTCTGCCTCTTGCTCCATTTCAAATCTCCGCCTTTGCTTCAGCTCCTCGTAGACCTTCCGTTCGTCCATCCCCCTCTTATAAACGAAATAACTCAAACAAGCTGTAAAAAATGGTTCAACCGGGCACTCAGAGAACAAGAGATTTGTAGAATAGAATAGACATGAAAAGGCATGTTTTTGAAGGTGTGTAGTGGTTGTTTCAGGTAATTGGAAACGGTAATGCATGGCACAGGGTGGAAGGATGGTCGTGGTGAAAGGTAAGTTTTAAAGTAAGCAGACAATAAAGAATCCCACTCCAGCCTGGTCGCCTAACGCCTGAGTTCGCCGAGGAGAGAGGCCGAGAATGGATGAAAGAAGAGAAAGAGAAGGGGAGGGAGGTCAAGGTAAGGGGGAAGATGAAGTAGACAGACACAACGGCTCGAGTATGCTTTCCAAATGCACAACGCCACCCACAAGCAATACATCCCAAGAAAAAAGCAAATCAAGATAACGCCAAAACAACAAGGTGCTGAATGAGGATGAGAATAAGGGTAGAAGACGGCTTATGTATGTATACACATGCAGAATTAGTGCAGTGATAGGTACAGTACGTAGTAGCAGCCTGTGGGGCGAGGATAAATGGAAATGACTATTAACAGACGTTCTCGTAAAGGGGAGGATGATCAAGAAGGAGACCGTTTTTCTCGTTTAGCCGGAAATCATCAGATGACTATGACGATGCGACTTTTGACTTAGGTTTCGGGTCTTGCTCGCGAGCAGCATTGTTCTTGGCCTTCAGGTACATAGCATGGTACTGCTTTGCCCATTGTCTAGTCATGATTGAGGCTACACGTAGTTAGCAAAAGAAGCCGATGATAAGAAGACGGTTAGGCCAAAGAAAATAGTAGCGCACCTTTGAGGAATCTCTTGCTAGCATACTTCTTGAAGAATGCTTCATGGGCAGGTGGTCGGCAAAGATAATCAATAAGCAGTTCATACACAGGCATAATCTCTTCTTTGGTATAACCAGAATAATAAGCAATGGTTGCATCCTAAGTAAAAAGTTAATAAAAATACGCGTCAAAGGGCAAGGCGAAAAGCAACATACCCATGGGCCGCGATCATAAATGACACGAGCAAGGAAGATGGAGGCAGCGGCAATGTGTGATTGACGATACTTCATGAATCTGTGGTCGACCAAGCTAATCTCCATAAGGTACTTGGCGAGCGTCCTTGTTCGGACGTCATAGTTGTCAGGCTTGGATATTCTGCGCAGGAAGTTCATTGGGTTGGGGTAGCTGAGGTCGTAGTTGAGAACTGCGAGGATATGCCTCTCGGCATCGAGAATCTCCTTGTCCGAGAAGGTGTCGTCGGCAACATGGCTGAAGTTGGCAACGTGTGGAGAGAGAACTTCTTCATACTTGGAAGCAATGAACATAGCAGTAACACCAACGAGCTGGAGCCGGTTAAGAGTGACAATCTCGACAGAGAGGAATCGATCAATGATATTGACTGTGAGGAAGAGAGTCTCTGGGAGTAGACGGAAGCGGGTGTGGACTTCGATGAGCCAGTCAACCAGGATACCTCGCATCTTCCACTCTAGTTCATCTTGGTGGTCCATGTAGTCAGGGTTGGGCATGGTGACAGGCTCAAGTTCCTTGAGATACTCAAAAATATCGACGACGTACTCTGTGGCCATCATGGGGTCGTAGAGATCTTCGGCATCCAAATCTATCACGACGTCAACGTCACGTTCTTCCTTGGCTTCATCCAGGGCTGATTCCTGGGAATCAACGACATCCACTTTGGCTTCGGCCTCAACTTCGGCCTTGACTTTGACCTCAACTTTGACCTCAACTTTTTCCTCTTCTACCACCTTCTCCTCCAACTTTTCTTCTGCTTTTGGTACATCCTTCCCACTGTCAAGCTTCTTGCGTGGCGGCTCCTCGTTAACAACACTTTCAGCTCGGGCAGGCTTCTGGCTGTGGCGTTTTGTCTGGAGACCGCCCATCACACCAGAGCCACTGCCAGGGCGCTTCGGTTCTGCGGTGGTTTCTCTCTTGTTTGAGTCCTTGACCCCTAATGCTGTTCTTGTCGAGTTTGTGCGGGTGACTTTCTGTACGCCTCCTGTCTGAGTGGCGGACTTGGAGGTGAGTGCAGCGCGAGTGGAAGTCGGTTTCTTGAGCTGCTTGCCATCGCCATTATCCTGCTTCGACACGTTGCTCACGTCTCCAAGAGCAGCTCTCTTTCGTTGTAAGGCAGTAGTGGTGGATGTGTTGACCGTGTTTCTCGTGCCTAAGGCCTTCTTGACTGCGCCTGTTTGGGGCTCAGGAACAGAAGACAGGGCGGCAGCCTTGGCCCTGGTGAGCCGTGTGGATGCTGCAGTTGCATTCTCATCGTTTTCATTAGTAGCTGTACGCTGTCGTAGGCTTCGTGTCTATATAAGACGTTAGTGAGCTGAATTCGACGACAAGAGATGTTTAGGAGAAAGGGGTAATAGCGGCTAACCGGTGGCATGGTGAATGTATTTTAACATGCAATATTGGTGATATTACAGAGCAATAAGACCGTATACCGAGTCTCCAGGTACGGATATCTGGCTAGGAACGGGAAGTTCGACGTGCTTGCGGACGTGATCGGAGAGTAGAAGCCTGTTTGGTAGGTTGACGGAGTCAGTTAGGCCTTGGTTGGAAGAAATTCGCGATTCACTTTGTAGCTAGCAGTAACAACAAAAGCGAGAACCAGAATTGCAGCAAGTATATTGTGTTGGCAGTGGTAGTGACGGTTGTTATGCAGTAATGATAGTAATAGTAGCAGCGGTGTAGTGATGTAGTTGTGGTGGTGGAGGAGGATCAAGGGAATAATAACATGGCTGTTGATAGGACGTGGTGGTGGTCGACCGTGTAAATAAGCCTCACCCCAAGGAAGAAGCAAAAGAATTCGCGTGCTGGCATTACCACCAGCCACACACGACGACGGGAAGAAATAGCGGGAGAATTGGAGCAGCCAAACTCACCCTATCGACTGCAGATGGCCTGCTGCTCGACTATTCACTGTGATTCCGAGCGAGAAGGAGTCTTACGTCTGTCTTTCTAGGAGTATGTTTATATGAGTTCAGACCCCACGAGAACCGACCGCGTCAGAGATATATAACCCGCAGGAGACGACGGCAAGCAGGTCATGCGCCGAGTAAGAGATGAGAAGAAGGTAAAAGCTGCAGCCGGAGCGTGGTAATATTCGGCGTAGAGATGCTGTGCTGTCTTGCGGGCGGCGCTGGAGTCGATGTTGATGTTGGAGAAGAAGTTGAAGTTTGCAAGTCAAAGAAAGTCGAAAAGATATAAAAGTTTCGCTGCGTGTATTTTTCGCTGGTAATTTTGCCGGTTTCTGGACTGGCGACGTACGGTCACGATACGCTGCTGGTACAGACGCCATACACGCTTTACACGCTTTTCCACGCTTTGCACGCTCTCGCTTGGCCGTGCAGGCGTATCAGCGTGACGGACGCAGGCCAAAACAAAGGGCGTTACCACAGAAACCGTCATTTTCGTCTTGTCATTTTGGTATTTAGATTACGCCACCACGCGACTTTTCCTGTCGATACTTTTGGCCTTTTTCTTATTTTATTTCTATTTATTGATTATTTATTCATAGTTCAATAGTCCAGCAGAGTAACCAGTGTGTATCTTCCTGGTCGCTGTATCATTTTCATCTTATATCTTGTAAAGAGGTAGAAGGAAGCAGCAGTATATAGTATGTTTGGTAGTGGAAACCGCAGAAAAGACGCTGTATAGACAGATAACCACGGGACTCTCATATCCAATTCCTACCTTTTATTGACATAGTCGCTCTTTATTGTCTTTATTTCCCTTCTCCTTTACTCCTACCACCATCCTTCTCCCTGTCCGCCTGCAGCCAGTCGTAGCCAATTCGATATCACGTGACCGCGAAAAATTGCGGCCAAAAACTTTTTATCAAAAGCAAAAACCGACGAAGAGAAAAACCGACGACGAGCTTCAACGGCAAAGAAAGTCGACTCGAGCCGGCCTGCGCATCATATCAGCGACGATAGGCGGCTGCTACGACCCCTACGCACAAGACGAAAGGAGGAAGAAGTGCAATTGAATCGTTTTTGGGGCCTTGATGGAACAATAAAGCGGAAGAAACACCCGGACTTCGACGAAATTTCCACCGGCCTGCAAAGAGCACACAGGCACTCAATTCCACCATGCTACAGGCTCGTGTGCCGTTTGGCGGCCTCCAACGGTCCTGCAAGTGCCTCACAACGCTCGCATACCGGCCGTTTTCCAGCACTCCCCTCAGAAGACAAGAGACAGCCGCAGACTCAACCTCCCTGGACGATGACCTTTCCCTAGCTCCGCCTCCAGTCCGTGATAAGGGAGCCATCCAGCTACGATCATACACACCACGTACACCCGGTCTCAGACATTTGCGGAGGCCAATAAATGACCATCTATGGAAAGGCAGGCCGGTCAAGGAGCTTACTTTCCCCAAGAAGGGCCACGGAAAAGGTGGACGAAATTATACCGGAAGAGTGACCGTTCGTCATCGTGGAGGTGGCCATAAGCGAAGAATACGTGTTGTTGACTTTGAGCGAAACGAGCCAGGCCCTCATACCGTGGAGAGAATCGAGCATGACCCCGGCCGGACAGCGCACATTGCCTTGCTGAAGTCTAAGCTTACGAAGAAGTTGAGCTACATTCTTGCGCCGGAGGGGATGAGGGAAGGTGATGTCGTGCAGAGTTATCGTCCCGGTATCCCGGATGACCTGTGGGAGGCTATGGGCGGTAGTATCGACCCTGGTGTGCTAGCGGCCAAGACTGCTCGACGAGGGAACTGTCTACCTCTACACATGGTTCCTGTGGGTTCAATGATTTTCAACATTGGCCTACACAAGGGGAAAGGTGGTCAGCTTTGCCGCGGTGCTGGGACATACGGTATTCTAATGACCAAGGCTGGCGAAGCACCTCCACCATGGGAACAAGTCAAGGCCAAGGAGGAAGATGCAAAGGCCGACGGCAAAGAGACCAAAGCTGAAGAATCTACAAGCGAAGAAGCCAAGGATGCTAAGCTTGACGCCGAAGTGGAAGCCGAGATCAAGAGCGATGCCGATGCTGCTGGTGAGAAGACCGTCATGTCCGAGCTGGAATGGAAGAGGCTCAAGAAGATGTCTGAGCACGTTGCCGTCCGCCTACAGAGTGGTGAAGTCCGTCTGATCCATAAGGAGTGCTGTGCCACCATTGGAGTTGCCAGCAACGTCAACAAGAAGTATGCTCAGCTCGGTAAGGCCGGTCGAAAGCGCTGGCTCAACATCCGTCCCACCGTCCGTGGTGTGGCCATGAATGCAAAGGACCATCCCCACGGTGGTGGTAGAGGAAAGTCCAAGGGTGGTGTTCATCCCAAGAGTCCATGGGGTCTACCGGTATGCTCTTCTTCCACCTTTTTCTTCCGGTGTCTATCACAGTATCACAGTATCGTTGTATCATTGCTAACCAATCGGTACAGGCCAAATCCGGATACAAGACAAGAATCAAAGCGAATATCAACAGAGATGTCATTACCCCGAGAGTCCGCAACCAAGGCAAACGCCGCAGAGGATACAATTAACGGCCTCACATCCTGCTGTCGTGTTTTTTCTTGTCGTACGGTTGAAGAGTTGACGATAGAGCTCCTTTTGCTACGGTTCTTTTGGGAGCGTGTACCATATATTCATGTACTAAAAGGCAATCTGATATACTATACTACTATTCTTAACATTCCTATCCCTTTGTATCCCTCCTATCACAAGCCTTTCTTTCAGCTGGAACCGTATTCCGTCTATATATATCATCCTCAACGCTGATTATTAATGCGCATGACGGCACCTCGCATCGCAAAAAGTTTGACTAGACAAGCATAATTTAGATCCACAGCGCAGGCAGCAGTTTTACGTCGCCTGAAGGCAGTTGAAGAACACACCAGACAGCAACAGAAGAAGACACGATGTCACTATCAATCAGATAAATAGACGCCCGCCAGCTTCTTCCATGTCGCCACAGCCGACTCCCGCGTTTATCTGACCCCTGAGCCTCATCCTCCCGCTCTTCCGCTCCAAACCAACGGCCAGCTCCCCCGCAACTCGCCACCGAAATAGAGGAGATACGGAGATACAAAGCCGACGGAGAGACAAACAAGCGATAGCAGCAGTTCTTTGAGCTCACACAGCCATGGCGGGCGGCAACGAGCAGACCGGCGCAGCTGTGGCTGAAAGCGCGGCACCAACAAGGACTCGCGCAGAGTCACCAGGCGCTCAGGAAGGGAACCCAGGATATATCCCTAGACCGAAGCGCATTGCCTGCGTCGTCTGCAGGAAGAGAAAGCTTCGATGCGATGGGACAAAGCCGAGCTGTGGGAATTGTTCGCGCCTGGGCCATGACTGTGCCTATAACGAGGTCAGGAAGAAGAGCGGACCTAAGAGAGGATATGTGAAGCATCTGGAAGCCAGATTAGGTACGAGACCGATATCTACGGGCAGCATTGATTTGGTTTAGCTATATAATATACAAATGAACTCCGCTAATAGTTTGGACAAACAGCGCAGGTTGAGACCCTGTTGAAAGGAGTTGATACCGCAGAATCAAGTCGATCTTCGCCACCCACCAGAGCGCTGGATAGCCAGAATGCGCCGTTTCAGGGACGACAGAACATGTTTCCTATCCGCACTGCAGTCCCAAAGTCAGTGGAGGCTGATCCAAACCTATCTCTCGATGGCATGGATATGTTCGGGGACATGGGGGATATTCTACCTCAACCGCCTACCCTTCCAACGTCGAACAGTGCCGCTTCGAGCGACTTCTCATGGGAAATGATCGGCTTAGGGCTAGAGGAACCCCTACCGAGTCAAGAGGTCATCGACGAACTGTACGTTTTGCCTACGTGGGTTTGCCTGTTGGAAGGAGAGTATGGCTAATAATCGATTATAGGGATGAAATATATTTCGAGAAGGTACACCCATCATCTCCTATGATACATAAACCGCGGTATTATGCTGCAATGAATCTGGCACCTTCGATGCGCCCGCCAATTTGTCTGCGGTACATCATGTGGGCGCATGCTGCTGCTACTACAGATAAATATGCACACATACATTCCCATTTCTACACCCGATCCCGCAAGTACGCCGAATTAGATCAGATGAAAGGTCTAGGCGAGAACATTATTTCAGTGGCACATGCACAATGCTGGCTGTTGATCGGGTGTTATGAGTTTAAAATGATGTATTTCCCCAGGGCATGGATGAGCACCGGTTCCGGGATGCGGCTCTCTTTGATGATGGGTCTTAACCGTCAAGATGCTCGTGGCCTAGATGTTAAACAGACTCTGCCGCCGCCCAGAGACTGGACAGAGCGTGAGGAGAGAAGGCGAACCTTCTGGGCTGCTTTCTGTCAGGACAGATATGCTTCAGCTGGTACTGGCTGGCCCATGAGCGTTGATGAGAGAGATGTAAGTTTTGTCTAGCCCAACTCTCCTGGCAATCATATCCGGTACTGATACTTTAATTTTCCAGATCTTGACAAACCTCCCTGCATCCGAAGAGGCATTTGTCAACAGCAGGGAGCAGCCAACTTCATCCCTTGCAGAGGCCGTATCTGGCCAAGAAACAGGGTCGTTATCGCCTTATGCCGCCACAGTACTGCTAGCATGCATGTTTGGGCGTAATCTACATCATCTTCACCGAGTCACCACTAATGACAAAGACCATGATCTAAACGGCGAGTTTTGGAAACGCCATCGTGCACTCGACAATATTCTCCTTCACACATCTCTCTCGCTCCCTAGTCACCTTCGCCTACCGGAAGGCATCAACAACTCCGAGATCATATTTGGCAACATGTGTATCCATGCCTCGACCATATGTCTACACCAGGCTGCGATCTATAAGGCAGAAAAACACAGCATGCCTGGCCAGATCTCTACGGAGAGCAAACGACGTTGTATCATTGCAGCAGATCAAATTACCAACATAATGAAAATGGTCTCCCATATGGACTTAACAAGGGTAAGCTGCCCGAGTATTCCATCTGAAACTGACCCATGCTAACATTACTTATGTCTAGATGAATCCCTTTCTTGTCTTCTGTCTATATGTTGCAGCCAGGGTCTTCGTTCAGTACCTTAAATCCAGGCCCCAAGACCAAGCTGTCAGATCTTCCCTTCAGTTCTTGCTCTCCGCTATGAACGCTCTTAAGAGGAAAGTCCCTCTAGCAGAGTCATTCCTTATACAGCTGGATGTAGATCTCGAAGGAAGTGGCCTTATAACGGATGAGGGTGTGTCAAGATTCTCCTACGGTCACATACAGAACAGCCCAGAGGACGATGCTAGGCAAAGTGCCCTCCGTGTACGTACTTCTTCTCACCCCTTGATATACATACATCATGTGGCTAATTTCTGTCTCACGTTATAGGCAGTGCGTGCTCAGTTCGAGCAATGCGCTATCGGCATTATGGATATTGCTCGTATGGATAAGGAAAACGAGAAGGCAAAAAACTCCTCAAAATCACCCACAACAAGCTCGTCAACAGATCATACAGGCATTCATAGCCAGAGCCACCCGAAACCGGCAGAACAGCAGTTTCCTACCCAGTCTCAGGTCTATGGCTTGGGGGTGCCTGGGACTATACCCAATTTAGGAATGCCCCCGTCACATGATGACCAGTTCAGGTTCATGGACTTCGAGTTGGATGCTTCGGCCGGCGGTACCAGCACTGGAAGCGAACGACATCTCTCTTACTCAGATAACCCCAGCCCAAACACAAATAAAACCTCCTCAAGCAGCTCATTCTCACCAGCTCATCTAGATCAACCCTCTCCAAAACAGGGGGGCATGCATAACCAGAAGCCGCTTCCGCCACATCTTCCACCTTCAATACCATACGCCACCAATGATACTAGAAGTGGATATGGAGCTTCAATGCAAAATCCAAGTAAATCTAATACTATACCTTTCCCACAAGATTTCCCTGTAACCGCTTCCGAGGCCCAGCTACAACAGGAGTTTTTCAACTTACCAGATGGATGGGATTTTATACAACAACAACAACAACAACAACAACAACAATCCCGGCCAAATGAACCAGAATTGATACCTCCTACCCCTACTTCATCGACCATGGAAGCAGTTTTATCCTCACTTGAAGAGATACCATGGTCTCAATCTCCTGACACCTTTAATGCTAACCAGTGGGCTCGGTAACCCGCGCAATATTTTTGACTTATTGTCCTGCTACATACCACGTTTGATACTCCTTTACTATATATACACCACACAGTTTAATTGAATTTAACAATCCCTACTCCCCTAAACGGCCCATCATTCTATCAAAATACAACTCCATTCCCTCTCTACCACTTACCCCCCAACTTATTTTTCAAGCCACTTCCGGAATCTGTTTTCGTTTTGCATGCGCACCTATACTTACGAGTGTTTCGGTTGTTTATCATGTACCCCCTGTTTTCTCTTGACTTGGGGTCTAATCATGGAGGTTGAAAATCTATGTTCTAACTCAGACTTCAAGGGAAATTCGGGAAACTGGGGGCATTTACACGGAAGATAGTTATTTTCGAAAGCTGATGGCGCGTTATCTCCTCTTATGTACATATACGTCGGCGGGCAATTATACTCTGCATTCGGCTCTGTCTATAACGAACTATTAGAAAGAAAATATTGCATAAAAATTTGCGATTGGGCAAAGTAGTTCATAATATTTGTAGTCGCTGATCAGAAAATAGATTTTGTGGTGCAAGATGTTAAGATCTTTCTCATTTAGAGATAGTATTTCTGGTAATCGATGTGCGTGACTCAATGGCTCCTTCGACTTCGTCTTTGCTCATCTGTGGTCATTCTGCCGTTAGTTTCATTTCTACTTCGCTCATCGATGCTGTGAGTAGCTATTCCTATCCCCAATAGAAACCTTAAGCATCATGGCCACCGTACCGCACCAAGGATATGCCTCACGCCTCTTTCTATTTGGTTCATATATCGTCAACGACATTTAAAAGTCACCAGCGCCAGCTCCCACAATGCGTAGCCCATTATTGCCACTTCCAATACCCTCTGCATATAGAGAATACGCAAGGCAATAACGGGATGGATGCCAGGCCACGGCAGGGACACCAACGTTAGAATTGCCCGTTGGTATAGTGTATACACTATCTCCAGTTTCTGCGTGGAAGATTTCCAGCCCAGTGCCTCCACAGTCTGCTTCGTCACAGGCACCCACTATAAATCGTCCGTCCCAACTCCAGCTGATACCACGAACAGCTCCGCCGCCACTACTTGAGACAGTACGCTGGCATACCCAATTCGTTGTATCCCAGAGAGAAATGAGAGAATCTCCTCCGCCAACAGCTAGATACCTTGCAGTTGGCGCAAGCGAGACACAGAGACAAGCGGCTGTGTGGGCGTTGAGCGTGTGTAAACTGGTAAAAGATGGGTAAGATTCAATCTTGACAGCCCCGTCCCCGGTGGTAAGGAAGAGGCTGGCATCGAAGGAGTGTGAAAATGCAATCCCATTTGTACGGACAGGTTGTTTATGGTGAGGTAATGCTCTGTAAGTTGATGGTGCCTTTGGCGTATTGGGCGGGGGATCGGTAGATATAGTTACTGGTTCGACGGCTATAGGAACTAATGTGTCGTCCTAGATAGACATACGTAAGAGCCTGCTGTAAATATCGAAAGGAAGCAATGAGTAAGTAATTTAAATACCATTCTCCCAGCCAGCAGTATGCTTCCATCAGGGGACCATGCGAGGGAAAAGGCCTCCCCTCCAACATCGACACGGCCAACGCAGTTCTTTGCGCGGACATCCCAGAAGCGGACGGTTCCATCCTTTGAACAACTGGCTAGCTCCGACTCCTTCACAGGATTGAATGCTATCTGCTCGATGCCGGAAGAGTGACCGCGCAACTCGGTCGAGTATCTCACATCAGGTCGTTCTGGGTTCCAGATGCGCAGCGTTCGATCAACAGACCCGGTAGCTATCAACGTTCCCGTCGGGTTCCATGCTAAAGTACGGATGCTAGATAGCAATTGTTAGCATCATATCCCATGTTCTTATTCAATAAATGAGTATTATAGAGAGACAGGCAAGCCAGCATACCTATGAGAACCCGGGCCACGCGCATTAGGATCCGGGTAGCTCTGAGTCCGTAAACCACCGAACAAATGAGCAAACCGATCCTTGGATACCAGGTTAGAAGAAGCTGGTGGCATGTTAGGAGCTTCTAGATGAGCCCTTGCCGCTCTTCAGTTGAAGCGCCAGGGATATTTTTTTTTATGTCGTTGCGTTTGGCGCTTTTTGATGCAAAAGAAGCTCCCGGCTTGGCGGTTTGTTCAATTTTGACGAAGATAAAAGATATCAAAGCAGACAAACTGCAGCGGAACAGATCATGAACCAGTTTCTTTGATATGCCTGAGGAGGTCGAGCTGGATAATGAAAGACTGTGGAGCTCATAGTCTCAGATACCCTTGAGTAAAGTCAGCACTACCCGACGCCGGTGATATCAAGTGTTTTATAGAAGAAACACCAACAACTAGGCACGCACCATGTTCGACTTTGAAGACCCGTTGATGGATAAAGAGAAATGCCTTGTATCAATCGGAAACTTACCTGTATTTGTTGATCCTGCGCAGCCCCCACAGAAGAGGGCTCCTTTCTCTGCCATACTCGGCCATGCATTCAACCATAAGGTATGGGCAATTCCTACGTCTACCACGCACCAGCTTACGTGGTTGACAGGTCGAATTGATACTTCCGCGAGAGGTTCACGAATCAACCTGGAGCTCAATTTTAGGAGCCGTTGAACCGCATAAATATGCGCGGGTTATCTTCCCTCTATCAGCTTTGCTAGAAGGGGAATTTTTCACCAAATATATCAAGATCGGTTGGCGTCCTATTTAGCCCTCATTTGATATTGAGAATTAACATACGTACGTAGGGAACGTTCTTATGATATCAGAGGGAAGAAGAGGCATAGATAATGTGTACACTCTCAAAGATGGTCAGAATTATCTCTCCGGCCTACTTGATTAGTGCTAATACATACGCAATAGGGGTTCTTACTTTAGAACTCGACAAGGCAACATATGAACGTGCGGGCCTTGTGGGGAAAGCCATTAGGTCTGGCGATAGAAAACACATCAAGTCAAGATATAGTAGGTTTGTCTCTAACCAAATTCAACTAGCTGGTCTAACTGGGAATGTAGTGGTGGAGATAAACCTCCGGCCATCATCCATGCTACATGGCAAGAAAGGATTTGAACGGATTGTATGGGCATTCAAGAATGTTTTAAAAAACTCTATAACATGGCTGTTCGTTGGTTTATCTGAATCCTCGAGCCTAACAGATGAAGGTTCGACATTATCCCTATTCCTCTTGACCAAACCCTTTTTAACGGATGAAGCAGACTCTCCTATCAAGAAATATCAACCCCAGATTATTACGCCCTCGCCAGTAGAAACCGTGATGGAAAAAGTTCTCATCCCACCATTCAGCTCGGAGACTCTTCTTCCAATAGAGCAAAGAGTTGCTCTCCGTGATACTTGTGATGAACTACAGGAATGGCTGGCCCTCGTATCTCTTGACTCAGACCGCATTCGGGCAGATGATTCAATTGATCCGTACCTTAGCCGGTATCAAGTTCCTCAAAGAGACGAGTGTCAGACCCTCGATCTGGTGAAGATCACATGGAGAGGCTTAATAACTTCTAGCTGGGTTATGAACCTCCTTTTATCAGTATTGTAAGATTATTTCTCCTCATACCTAAGCTGGATGCTTCCTAACTGTTTAAATATAGACGAAAATGTGGCACAAAGTCTACAGGTGCTGGCCACTGGTTTGGACTCCTTGTCTCAGCAATGGGAAAGGATGCAGTGGATGGGAAAGACGGTTATTCTGTCATAGCATTACCTTTTAAGTCTCCTAAACTGGAAACGGAAAAAGACGGTTCTACAGAGGAGGAGCCATCTCCTCGACGGCAATATGTTTGCTGGGAATATTTTGGTGGTAACGTTGCAAGCTCCTGACTTTGATACTGCAAATAAAAGCAAAAAATAATGTCCTATGACTACTGGATGTATTATATTATCATCATAAAACCCGGATCTGAATCCCCCGCATCATGTATAAACATCATATGCTCACAAAAGAAAGGCACGATTGATCGGCCTCAGAAACTTATCCAGGGCATGTATAAGTTTGTTCCATAAAAACCAACTGGCTCCAATGTGAGTCCAAGAATAGTAATGTAACCGCACTATTAGAGTGCTAAGAGAGGGCCCAGACTCATCATCCAAGCATATCATTAAGAACGTCCATCAGCACCGGCCTTTTCCTGATAATTTTCCCTCCATCCAATGGCTTTCCCACTTTCTGCGGCTTTTTCACGTTTAATGCAGATCTAGGGAAGGTGTTTACTTTATTCTTCAGGGGGCTAAGCGGGAGTCGAGGTTGAGGTTCTTTCTTTGCCGGACTGGGAGAAAGTATATTCGTGGTTTTGTTTGCTTTTGGAGTTCGGGAGTTCATTGCTTGGGTGAAGAGTGAATCATGCTCTGCAAAGGAATGTTGATTGACCGCATTGGGTGGTAGATCATACCGCCATTGATGTTCGTCCATTAGTGCTGTGAATTTTCCCAAGAGCTCGTTTCCCTCACTAAGCGTAGCCTTGCTGCCCACTATGAGCATTTTGGTTCTGGCTCGGGTAAATGCGACATTGACTCGACGCCAATCGCGTAGTAAGTCGCCTACATTCCTGTCCGAATTGCTACGGACGCAGCTCATGATGATTACTTCTTTGTCTCGGCCCTGGAAACGGTCTGCAGTATGCATTTCAAGATCAGCGCCGTGATGACGGAGCTTTTGTTTCAAGAGGGAGAGCTGGCTTCGGTAGAGTGTAACAACACCAATATCCTGTGCAGCAATGCCGACGGAAATGAATGCTTCGACAAGCTGTGCGCAAAGTGTAGCTTCTACCTCGTTAATTATGCGAGAGCCCTTAGCGGAGTCCAGGGCCTCGGGACGAAGAGGGTCGGTGTTAACAAAACGTGCTTTTGCACGAGGGTCGATGAGGTCTCGGAGCCAGCATCGGCTGTGACTGGAACCCAGACAGGGCGATTGGGTAGAAGACGGCGGAAAAGAAGTCGAATGGATACGTTTTAGGCCGTCAATGTTTGGAATAGAGAGGGAGCGTGTCGCGATGGCTGGCGTTCCACATTTGAGACGGTTGGAGTATATCAGGGTATTTGATAGAAGCATGACATCTTCGCACATGCGATATTGATGTTCTAGATTCACCACTGATGAAGGGTGCATGTCACAAAGCAACTTGAACAAGCTGAGGTCAAGACCGCCTTCAACGGCTTGTTTGCTCTGAACAAGTGGTGGTAGTTGATAGTGGTCTCCCACGAGGATAAACTTTTTAGCCATTCGAATTGGACCCAGGCAAACAGGCAGTGTAATCTGCGACGCTTCATCAACGATACAGTAGTCAAAAGTTCGGGTATTAAAGATTCGATGATTGACTCCCAGACATGTTGTCGCTACAATCTTTGAATTCTCATATGAATCTTCAAGTTCTTCGATGGTGTTCTTCGGCGTTGTTGCCATTTCCGCAAACTGTTGAACTTCAGGGTGAACCTTTGAAGGTGTACCAAGACGGAGGATTCTAAACTTGTCATCTCGGATTTTGAGCAGGATGTTATCAACGGCCGTATGGGTATAGGAGGTGAGTAGGACACTTTTCCCCTGGGATACCAAGGCACGAATGATTTGGGCAATTGTTGTCGTTTTGCCCGTTCCAGGCATCCCGAGAACCAATGCATAGTCCTCTGCGGTTAGAACCTTGCCAATGGCCATCTTCTGGTCCGTATTTAGGTTCGGTCCCACGGTCTTTGGGAGACGTGAGAGAGGTGAACCGGATTTGAAAACTGGCGCAGCTCCCTCAACAATCAATTCACGAAGCCGAGCAGATCGAAAGACATCTCGTGCCATGAGGGAAACCAGATTGTTTCTAACAATGGCCAGTCCATTGCTGAATTCATCTTTGTCCAGCCTATAGAGCATTGGATTTTCACGGTTTATATCCATGGCGTTCTTGTTTTTGGAAGAAATATCCATAATACCTTGGAAAGCTTGGTAGTTGACAGCATCGAATCCAGGCTCTTTATTTCGAGCATTATGAAGCCGTCTGTCAACTGCCACCGTGATGCGTCTAGGGCTGATTTGCACGACATATCCGTTTGCAAGAGCGAAATGACCCTGCTCATCGGAGACAACAATTGGTTCGCCAATGTTGATCTGTGATTCAGTGAACGAGAAGCCTGAGGCAGGCTTAGGTTTGACGAATGTATACTGGAATCGATTTATTCGTGGCCCTTCTGAATTCTCGGATGCAGAACCGTTCTCAATAACAACGTTACCGAAACATCGTCCTACTCCCTCACGTTCAGCACTAACCATAGTCCATAGTTCACGACGGAATTTCGACATCTCCTTCTCTTCAAGAGTCAGGAGGTCATCCCATTTCTTAAAAAATGTCTGGTGAGGAGCTGTGATGTGGCTGGAATTCTCTTGGAAGAGTTTCCCGACACCGCTGGTTTCCTCTGTGCCGTCGTCGACAAGTTTGTGATATAGAAAGCATGTTGTCTTTGCGTAGCAAGGGCTACAAAGTCGGGAGTTCTTTAGCATGGGCGGGAGCTCTAAATGCTGACGAAGATAGCCGGCAAGTAAATTTCGCTGTTGAATCATTTGCCGGATTTCCCCTGGTATGGCACGAACACGAAGTGTCTTTGATATTTCCAAGTAATATAATATGCCAAAAGTTACATTTATATCTGCTGGACGTTAATATGACTTCAAAGTGCAAATGGGTGGAGATCAGCATACCGTAACGGTCAGAAAGGAGCAATGAATACAGTGCTGTTTGAGCTCGATGTGAATGGTTCGTATTATTCTTCCCCGTCTTAACCTCCAGAGGAACCGTGAGCGTTTTTTGATTTCCGTCTTCCTCCAGGACAATCTGGACGGTAGCATCGATATTTCCCTTAAGACCATACATGGGAGACCAGACATGTTCTTCAACCTCAAGCAGTTTATTGATGCAGATCTTCGATGTAGCCCCGTTCCTATCATCCATCATCGAGCCAGCCTGTAATAATTGTTTTGTTAGAGTATGGTAAATGTAGAGTGTTCTCGTGGGAAACGTACCGTTGGGCGAGGATGGACGTATAACTTCGCCCAATCTCTGAGGGCAGGCATCTTGGCTTCAAGATAGCTGGTTGCGTCATTAATAGTGAGGTTGACTTCAAACAGACTTTCAATGTATTTTGGTAAGACAGTCTTTATGAGGTTGTTTAACCAAGGCAGGTCCCATGTATTCGCTTTCATAGCCTCCTGGAAGATTTCGTGCAAGATATGACCATAGACCTGAGGCTTATTGGCATCACTGGTGGCCTTGACGCGGTCCTGGAGAACGGCACGGCGAGGGCATGTGAAGGAGTCAGCTACTACAGTGGCAGAGATGAGATGGTCTGGATGTAATATTATTGCATGACTGGAAGAGTCGTCAACGAGGCATTGGCCATTGCGGTCAAAGGTGCCTATGAGGTGGATGTAAGAGTCTTTAGAGACCGCAGATTCAAACCACGAGTCTCGTAGCGTGATGGCGCGAGTTTTCTTCTTCTTATCCTCACGGACGACCAGAACCTACAGAAGTTAGTATGGTGTTGCAAGTAGAGTATATACTGAGTAGGGCAGGAAACGAGTGAGGAAGGGAGCGACGTACTTTCTCCCATTGAATACGGCCTTTGCTATTGGTATATGTATTCTCGGCTAAATCTAGGACAAGATAGCGCTTAATGGCCTGCGGATTTTGACTGGGCTTGATAAAGAGTAAGCATGCAAACTAGATGTAAGGATGTATTTATCAATACAGGGGACGACCAACGTTGTCGCCAGCATCGGAATCAAACGCATCTAATTCCATGATGTTATCAAACCCCTCCTCGGAGATCATCCTCTTCATTTGGCCTTTCTGCGGGGTGACCGGAGGCCTCGTGGTAGCTGTGGTAGTGGTATTTGTTGTCGTGGTATTTGTGACATTATTGGTTGCAGAGACGGTGTTGTTCTTATTGTATGTTGCTATAATCTCGTCCATGCCATCGTAATCATCGTTATCGAAATCGTCAGAATCATCGCTCATATCCTTGGCGAGCTGTGAGAAGGTATCATAATTGGTATTTGTTGTATCGGGTCGTAATGTATTAGGGATATCTTTGCATTTCTGTGTATTTAGGAAAGCCTCGTTTGTCGAGGCAGCCGCAAGCTCAAAGAATTCTTGGTCCTGGTCGTCAGAGCCGTAATCTGACGACGGTAGGTCCTTGTTTGGCGATGGAAATGCATTTGGCTGCCCTCTGCGGGTGGAAGCAGGTTTGGACGGAGACTCGATAGTAAACCTCATGCGTTTAGACGGTTGCTCATCTACTTTATCGGGCAAGGGTGAAGAGCTAGGCGGTGCTGGAGGAGGAGTATTCTCCCTTTTAGAGCGGGACTTCTTTAGGAAGGACTTCTCTATTCTATCAACAAGCATGTTGATTCTTGAGTTGCCAAAGGGGCCTTGCTCGCCTTCTTCCGTGGTAAGGGGCTGCCGAATCCGTCTGTTGGAGCCTGGCCAGTCAGCGGGCCATTTCCCTTTGGTGGCCGATTTGGGCCAGTCAATGGCACAACTGTTCGTTCTTCGCAGACTGGCCGCTTTTCTTGCACTACCCCTGAGACCCGGAGTATGCGGGGAAGGAGGCACATTGCACTCCAGCAGACCATCTGTCTTGCTTACGTATCTAGTCCAGAGGTCCGCAGCGGCGTCGTGCTGAGGCGTAGTCAATATCACCTTGTCTGATGTGAGCATGGTGGTAAAGGATCTATCCCTATTAATATAGGAGGGCGAACTGCTAGGCGACATGCTCCGGTTACGCCGTTTACTCGCGGCATTTGGGGTCGAGCGTGAAAAAGAGCTGCCGTGGTCCCAGAAGACATGGTCTCCCGGAGTGATCTCCTTCTCCGGCGCGTTGTTTAGGGCATCTTCGGTGTTGCTTATCATGTCTGCAAGCGGTATCTTGTGAACTGGCGTCTCCGGACATGGTATTGGCCTGGTCTCCCTAGCCTCCGGCTTGATTTCTGTCTGTTCCATTTCCTCTGCCTCTTGGGTCGGTTGTTCTGGTAGCTCATCCTCCATCTCGGCCGCGCGCTTCGGAGCGTACCTGAAGGCGTCCAACTTGGCTCTCGAGTTCGAGCAGACAAACGGGTCGTGCATCTTCGTGTCTTATGCTGGAATCTCCTTCATCTCGTCGTTATGGCCTTTCTTTAGTCTTCTTCGGCTCGTTCGTTGCCTTTCTTGTCTTTCTCCGTTAAGTGTTTTTTCACTTTGACGTTGAAAACGCGACGCGACGAAGGCACGGTCACGTGAGTGTTACTTGCATCCAACAAAGAAGCAAAGAAGCAAAAGCAAGAAGGCAAAAGATGATAAAAAGGAAAGAAGCTGGAGTTGCACTTGATATCAGATGGAGAGTAATGATATATGACTTACCTTGAAACATGCAGAAGTGCTGTCGGAAGACTTTGACTATATCGCCTATACACGCCTATTTCTATAGTCTACTAGATATTGGCATAGATCATAGTATTAAATCCTCTATGTAATTATTGCAGTCTCTATCTTCTATTCTGATCTTCATGTCTATCATCTTTTCTTTTTCCAGCGTTCACTTGAGCACCTCCGCCCATCTTTACATCTCCTTATCCTTTCCTCCGTACCATCCCATGCTGTATTCATTTCGAGTCTATAGATCCAGGTACCAATTGATCTATATACTAAGTAACATTATCAAAGTGCAGCCATGCAGTCCAAATCCCAACTCTCTCCGCATAACCCTGCCGCTTCTTCCACCGCACCCTCATACTCTCTAATATCTATCTCACTCCTTCTCATCTATTTCTATACATCCTCCTCACCCTTTTTATCATCCTGTTCGTCTCTTGTTCGACTTTTATACAAAAATGCCGCAAAAACTTTGCCGCTTAGTCAGCTTCGGCCTGCTCTCGCCGACTTTTGTTTTTCGGCTTTTTCGTCTTTCTTGTGATTTCAACTTCGCCTTCTGACTTCGACTTCGACTTCACCGACTTCTCTCTCCCTCTTATCGACGCACCCAGGATACTCAAGACACGCGGTACAGCAAAGATGTCGCAGGATAAGGCCCCATTGCCGTTCGCCTACCAGTTCGCCGCTGGTGCGGTTGCCGGTGTCTCTGAGGTTGGTATCTGCCCTCTGGCGCCATTCTCTCGGTCTGCAGCTGGCTAACTCTTAATTACCCCCAGATTCTCGTCATGTACGCCTATACTGTCTTCTGTGCCGGTGCTATGGCCGGTCCCATGCTAACAATCGACCAGGTATCCGCTGGATGTCGTCAAGACCAGAGTGTAAGGCCCCTCCGCCGTCTCCGGCCTCGGAAGTTACACTATAGCCATATACTAACACCCACTCTAGCCAACTTCAGACCGGCGCTGCTAAAGGCGCAGAGGGATACAATGGCATGTTTGACTGCTTCAGCAAGATTGTACGGAATGAAGGGTGCGTCTTCCACGCCCGCTGTCTGCCTTGCGCCAGAGGATACTTGAGCTAACGAAATCAGGTTCTCCCGCCTTTACCGCGGCATTAACGCCCCTATCCTGATGGAAGCACCCAAGCGAGCCACCAAGTTCGCCGCCAACGACAGCTGGGGTGCCTTCTACCGCAATCTCTTCGGTATGGAAAAGGTTAACCAGCCTCTCGCTATTCTCACCGGAGCCACCGCCGGAGCCACGGAGTCCTTTGTCGTCGTCCCCTTCGAGCTCGTTAAGATCCGTCTCCAGGATAAGGAGTCTGCAGGCAAGTATAACGGTATGATTGATGTTGTTCGCAAGATCGTCAAGCATGAAGGTCCCCTGGCATTGTACAATGGCCTTGAAGCTACGCTTTGGCGTCATATCCTTTGGAACGCGGGGTACTTCGGCAGTATCTTCCAGATCAGGGCACAGCTACCTGCTGCTGAAAAGGGCAACCAGAGCCAGCAGATGCGAAACGATATCATTGCCGGAACTGTCGGAGGAACTCTAGGAACAATCATCAATACCCCCATGGACGTGGTCAAGTCGAGAATCCAGAACAGCCCTAAGATCGCTGGCTCCGTGCCTAAGTATAACTGGGCCTGGCCTGCCTTGGGTACCGTGATGAGAGAGGAAGGATTCGGAGCACTGTATAAGGGATTCCTGCCCAAGGTGCTTCGGTTGGGCCCTGGAGGAGGTATCCTGCTCGTTGTGTTTACCGCCGTGACGGACTTCTTCCGCACCTTGAGAAAGGAGTGATTTGTTGGTTACTATTTGAAGAATTTATATATCGGCTCAGGATATAGATGACAGACGAGGCGTTGGCCGCCAGGCGAGCATACTCCGGACGGAGACCCATTCCGATTACTTCTAGCGATTTAGGCATGCCGTACTGATATATATGCATGCATCACCCGCTCAGAGCTCTCCGTCCAGTTGATGGACAGACAGATACACGCACAGCTTCCCTGATGATACCACTATTTTTCTTCCGTACCTTTGGCGCATAGACATTGGCATACTAGAGGAATAGATTTCATTACATTTGTATATCTTTCCCTTCTTATATATTTCATTCAAGAGTTAAGATTAAGAGTAAATAAATGGATACGATTCATGTCGTTATTAGGGGATGGTATTAGCTACATAAATACAAAACGAGGCTAGACGGAAAGATAAGCAAGAGGCAATGGCTGTGCTATTCGAATGGAAGTAATGAGAAAAAAAGGGGGGTGAAGCGGATAAAAAGAAGACGCGTGAGGGTGGCATGACAGCATGGCGCAAGGGAAAAGACAAAAGAGACATGAGTCTGTCGGGGCTGGAGGGGGAAGGAAGGGGGTATGCATGAAAGGTATATCAAAAAAAGTCATCAATCAATCAATCAATCAATCAACCAGGGAATCAACGTCCGCCATGAGGGAGTAGAAGAAGTAGATGAAAATCAAGCAGACGCAACGCATGTACGCGGGACACCAACCAGCCGCCTGAGAGGAAGAAAGCCAAAAAAAAAAAAAGAGATGAGATGGGAAAAGGGGACCTGGGTGCCCTGCTATATGTATAAGATAGATCTGAAGGGGAATGAAACAAGAACTCAGGGCTGAGATGGGGATTCGTGACGAAGAGAAAGGACAGACAAGACGTTGTGGGATATCAAAATCTGTATCAACCCATCAACCAATCAATCATGACTTCGTGGAGGTATGTGGATATATGAGAGAGAAGAGGAAAAGGGCTGGCAGGGGGTGTTGTATAAGGAGAGGAAAGGGGGAAGCTGGTAGTCAGGAGCGTAATGCCATGCTATGCCATGCCATGCCATGAAAAAGCTAATGAGAAGACGAGCAAGCAGGGAAGCAGAAGCAGCAGGAAAGGAAAAAAACGAGACAGTGAGGAAAGAGAAAGCCCGAAATGTATAAGCAAAATAACAGAGCAGTAGGAAGAAGCCTAAGCCGTCGCCCGACACAAGAGTCGCCCAACCCGCCCCACTGATCCAATCGTCTCTTTTCGAGCTGTAGAGACGACACACGTAAACGCCACCAACCATATATGCAAAGCGCAGACCTAACCCTGGGATGGATAGATAAACTGAAGAATAAGAAGGGCGAAAACAAAATGGAAAAAAGGAAGATGTGATTTCTTTCAGATTTCCATTGCATATTCGTCTTCTTCCTTGACGCTTAGGCCGATGTGTCCTGAGCTATTCCAGAACTGGGAGCTGTTGAAACCAGGACTGTTGCCGGTTGTTTGGGGTTGCGGTTGGGTTTGAGGTTGAGATTGGTCCTGCGAGGGGCTGTTTGACTGAGGGAGCGATTCGCCTGAGATGGTAGTATGTTTCGGAACACGGAGACCGCTTCCGACACCGCGCGAATAAGAGAAGTTAACGCCGTCGTTGGCCTCCATGGCATCGAAGACTTCTGTTCTCATTCGGCGGTCTTCTTCGGTTTGTTCAAAGGGCCACTGACCACCTATGGAAGCGATGTACTCTGCCAGTTGGTCTTCCTGTTCGAGCTTGCGATGTAGCGCCCACATGAGGTCACGAGTCCAGCCGACGGCCCCGTTGAGGATGTCGCCCTTGTTTGGACCCTTCTCCTTCTCCTCGATGGGTAGACCCATAGTGATGTTGCCTGCGGTGGCGCGCCGGGCAGACGGACCGGCGAGCAGGGATGTGGCAGGGTTGTGATTTGGAGGGGAGGAAGCGTTGGCGCCGGACGAAGTGGAGAGGGCAGAGTTGTTGACTAATTGCTTGCGGATTTTCTCGTCTTCGAGACGGTGCTGAGGTACGAGATGGGAAAGATCCTGGATGCGTTCGTTGATGTTGTCTCGTCGTCGTCGCTCGACCATGTTATGTGATGCACGGCGCCGACGGCGTTTGGCTTCCTGGGACTCGAGTGACTGGGAGGAAGACGAGTGGTGGTGGCCGTGGAGGGAGTCGACTTTGGCCGGCAAGGAGGCGTGTTTCGCGGACTTGAGCATCTCATGGATGTTGGCATGGTGTGAGGCATGGTGTCCACCAGGCGAGGAGATCGGAGACTCCATGAGCGACTGAGCGCTGCCGGGAGTCCCGTTCCACTGACCGGACATGCTCTTCTGGTGCTGAGACTGTAGACTGACGGCACGGATGGGTTGCGACGAGTAGCTTCCTGAGTCTGGAGTATTGATATTAAGCCCACCGATGCCGATGCCGGGAGTCTTGGGAGTGACGGGGCTTCTCGCGTCACCCTGGAAGGAGTTGCGGGCAGCCTTACCTGCGACAGAGTAGTTCTGGTCAAAGTGGACGTTCATGGCGTTCATGTGGGGCGAGGTCGCCTGAGGTGTATGCTGGACCTGGCGGAACTGGTCGTAGTTGAAGGAGGAGCGTAGGAAAGGCGACTGGATGGGAGCGCCGTCGGGTGTGTTGGAGTAGATATGGGACATCTGGCCCTGGTGGCTCATCGATATGGCGGTAGGCTGACGCTGGTCGAGGCCATCGTCTCTGGAGAGGTTCTGGCCGTTGATTTCGAGGTCGAGTAACTCGTCGGTGTCGATTCCAGCGTTGCCGAGTGTGAAACTAGAGGACAGATTTTGGGAGCCGAACGGATGGTGGTGGGAGACGAAGCCGTTCTGCTGCATGGTGAGCTCAGAGGGATCGATTCCCTCGCTTCCGCCAGCGCCGGCTCCTGAACCTGTGCCTGCGCCTGAACCACCGAACTGGTTGCCGTAGGACGGCGTCGGGATCCCGTAGGCAGAGGGTGACATCATGAACTGATGGGGGTTGTTGGGCTCGTCAGGCTCGCTCTTGATCATCGTGGCAGAGATGTCGCCCATTCCTTGTCTTATCTATCACGCAGCGGCAAGTCTCTTCCGGCTTCTTTCAGACAAGGCGGCTATCTTTCCTCTAGGTCTCTTGTATGCGGTATCGGTGTATTAATATTATGTCGTCCTGGGTCTGCTGGCGATCCAGGGCGGTTCATGAATCTAGTAGCGGTCAGCATCTGCCCACGCAAGCCTCGCTCCCTCTCTCCCGCTCTTTATCTCTTACTCGCTCTTTCTTCGCTCTCTGTAGTCTCTCTGCAGCCGCTGTATCTCTGTCTCTCCGCCGTCTCTTCTATGGCTGCTCGTCTCTCTCGTCTCTCTCGTCTTTCGTCTTGTCTTTCTACGCTCGACGTCGAAGTTGCTGAAGTTGAGAAAAGGTCGCAGAAGGCGGTGGAGCCGAAAAGGGTTAAAGCCGGCAGAAAAAAGGAAGAGTCAAAAAGGCGAAGGAGGAAGAAGCAAGAAGAAGCAACAGCCAGAGAGGATGAGGATGGAGTTGGCGAGGACAAACAACGAGGAGTCGCTTGGCTATAAAAGGGGCAGCCTGGAGCCCGCTTCTTGGTTGTCGAGAGTTAAGGATTCTGGTATTTCTCCAGGCGGACTCAGGTGGTTGGTGTCACACAGGCGGCGCGCAGAGCCTTGATCCGCCAGCCAGACAGACAAAAGGGCGAGCAGGGAGCAAGTTGATACGATGAGTCCGCGGAGCACGGTATGCGGATTGGCCTGTTTAGCGAAACGGACTAGACGCGGGTAGCCTCGAAGTTCGGGGTTCAGGTTCACGAAGGAACGAGACGATATCCAAGGCAGGCGGAATGGCAAGCCAATGCTGCACTGCTACCTGGATTTTGCCGACACAAAAGGAATATACAACTTCACAGCAGTCAAACAGTTGAAGAACATGCAGAAGGAGAGAGAGGCCGGACGGCTGGATTTATGGACGGCCAGCTGCAGCTCTCATTCGTGATGGTTGGTGATGCAGATATGGGGGGGGGGTGGAGGGTTAAGGAGGGACCACTACGAAGGGGGTGGGATGGACGAGGTCATGCAGCCAGTCGATCGGTTTTCTTCTTTCTGCTGTTTCTGCTGTTACGGATGGGTTCGAGGGTCGCTGCTAACCTACGCGGTATACAGACAAGTACATCTGGACGGGATAAGGTTGAGACAAGAAGTAACCAAGTTACCTTTGCCACTGGGCGCGAGAGTTAAAAGGAGGATGGGTGGGAGTGTTCAGCGTGCCAGTCGCATGGGATCAGCCACAGGCTTGCTGTGAGGGCGGCTGCTGGTCGGCTGGGTTCCGAGCGAAGGGCTGCAAGATCGAGGAATATCGGATCAGCTTCCGTGAAGGTTCTCTCGATGCTGAAATGCTGGTGTCTATCGACACTGATAGACAGAACAGCTATTTGAGAGTTAGTGATTTGACTATCGAAGTTGAGAGTCTGATTACTCGAGGATGAAGCTTTGGAGCCATGGTTCCCACGCGGCGTCGGATAAGCCGAACCCTAGCCGTCTACCTGATCCCCTCGTCTCTGGCTTGTCCGTCCCGCGTATCCTGCTGTTGCCCGAGGTAGCCTTTTTGCCTTTCTACGGCTGTTTGTATACTTTTGTATCGCTCTTTTTTGGTTTGCGACTTTGCGCCTCGCCCAAAAAGTGTTATTCCCATCTTATCTGCCTCCTTATCTGAGGTACCTAAGCCTATCTATCTGCATGCTGACTCAGCAACAACCTCACCTCCTGCTTTTTCTCTCTTTCTGCGCGTCTTCAGCTTCATCGCCAGCTTCACCGTCCGCGTTCACGCTGGTAACCGTCGATTCTCGCCGCATACTGACTGTCTGCGGCCTGTTATACGATCCAGCCACTGGCTAATCGACCGTCGACAACTGCTCGACTCACCCTGCTCCCGTCTACTAGGTTCGGCGCTGTCATCTGACCTCTCATCATCCACCGTCTCACCCTCTCTGCTTCTGCCTGCTTATCCTCTGCTGCTCCCTGTATTTTGCTCCATGACTCGCGCTAAGCTAACCTTCTCTTCCAGCTTCAGTGTACTCCCCCCGAGCCTGCTCGCATCTCGAGACCCGATCTCTCAAAAACAAACTACCACCAGTTGTAGCCAACAGGCGGCCTTTCTACCAGTACCCAGCTTAAACCTATCGGGCTTTTCCCACCCTCTTTGCTTCTCTCTGGGATCTGGCAGATCGCTGCTTGTGCCACACGTCATCTGATTCGGCATCCATACGCATCCGGGCAGTCAGAGTCAAGTAAAAAAGAAAAAATACAGGGAAGAGAGGAGCCAGAACAGGACGAACAACAGGACGAAGAAGTCTGGGGAAAGGGAACTGCAAGGATTGCAGCACTGCATCCATACTGCATACCCGTGCAGCAAGGGAACTACTGCATTCTTGCTTTTCACTCCCGCTGCAGCGATCCGCGTTGCACCACTTCGATTAGTCCCCGTCCGGATCCGGTTTATCCTTCTGCTCTTTTGTTATACGGCTGCCTGCCCTCACTGGAAACTGTCGGGCTTCTAGAATAAATACAACATAATTCACCTTACCCCACGCTATTCGACGAGAGACAACAACAAATAGCCATATTCGCCGCGGATACGGGGGTTTATCTCTAAATATAATATATTCTCCTACCACTCATGGCTTCAGCCTCCTTTCACGACTCGTTAAACTCGCTTGGCTGGTCAAGGCGCGGTGAGACGCCTGCACCGGCTCAGTCAAACACCAGCACCCCCTTCTTCTCCAAGTACAGTCATGGAACCCCCTCGGCGGTGGGCGCGGTGGGTATGTTCAGCTCTCACCGGAGAATGCTGCCTCGTCGGCGCCTTTGCCTGCTCCAACTAGGAGGGAGGAGGAGGAAGCCTGGTTTGCTCGTGAGTACTGCCCACTCACACACTGCCCATCTCTCCCTTTCTCATCTCATCTGTTGCTCTCGCATTCGCATTCATACTCGCACTCACCCACACCATTTCTACACCTTGTGTCTACTCACTTTCCACAACGAGATAACCCGTCTTGTGATATCCTGGCCTGCTACCTACCCTTTCACATGCCGTTCTCTCTCCATCTTTTCCCTCTCTTCTTTTCTTTTTCCTTACTTTGTTTCCTCTTCTTTGCTTTTTCCTCTTTCATCCTCGCTTGAGAACGTCGGGCTGTGCTTGGTCCGTCTTGCTCGTTTGCTCTACCCTTAACGCTATTCCTTCGTGCATTTACCTATAGCTATCATCATCCGTCGTCGAACCGCACCGCACCTCTGGTACCCTAGCTCAAGGACAGGCGCTAACCATGGATCGTATCCTCTAGTATCCCGCTGGGACCGAATGCTGATCTTCGCGGCTTGCAACGTCGGAGCTTTCGTATGCTTTGCCATATGCTTCATCCTCATCATGCCACTGATGCTGAAGCCACGCAAGTTTGCTATCTTGTAAGCTTTTGTCTTTCATTTCTTTTCACTTCTGGTTTACGCTTCTGCCTTTTTTATCTTTACTTCTTCTGCCAGCCTTCCTCGCATAAACTCCATTGTTGGTCAACTTTGCACCTTCTCGTTCTCTGTCTGTGAAGATCACAAGGCAAGGCTCCGGGCTGCGGACGGGAGCTCTGCATGACCCTTTATTCTCAACTTAACTGCTCCTCAAAGCCACACCCTCCCTCTTGCTTTTGCTTTTCTTCTGCATCTCGAGATACCCTCTACTACCCACTACTGTTGCAACGCTAGTACCTTACCTCACCCTGATGTTGCTATTTCCATCCTCAACTTCATGTCACGGACATAACTAATCTTCGTCCGTGTGCGCGCGTGTGCGTATACTAGATGGTCGTCTGGCTCTGCTCTCTTCCTCGCCTCCTGGGCTGTTCTCATGGGCCCTGTACCATACGCCCGACACCTTACATCCGGTCCCCGGCTTCCGTTCACAGCCGCGTACTTTACTTCCATCGCCCTGACTCTCTATTTTGCCGTTGGTGTAAGTGAAAAGAAAAACAAGAGGATAGAAACATCCCTGTCCCCTGTTCCCTGCTCCTTGCTCTCCTTGTGCTTCTTGCAACTTCATCTGCCCTTTCGCTGCCCTGAACACTCCCACGCACACCCCCCTTATATCACATTTTATTGTCTATCCGATCGGATGCCCTTGCTAAGCCCTCACTCCCCTGAGCTATACCACCACCATCTTCGAGCTACCCTGTTCTGCGCCTGCAGACAATATGACATCACTTTTTTAGACCTGTGTTTACTCTTTACACACCAACACACCCTCTCACTTTACTCCATCGTTGGCTATGTCCAGTATTTCCTTTCACATATTTTTTTTCCGCTCGGAAAGAGGGTATAACGGATAACGTCACTAACCTTGGTCCTCGTCTATAGCTGCACTCAACTATTCTAACGCTCATATCATCTGCCTGCCAGCTCGTGGCTCTCATCTGGTACCTCGTAAGCTATTTTCCCATGGGCAACACAGGGTTACGAATGGTTGCTCGCGTAGGTACAGGCAGAGTGGCAGCCTGGATGAGCGACTAAACAAACACGTCCTCTCTCTTTGCTTCTTATCCTGCTTTGCTATGCTTTATCTACGTCATTTCTATATATACCCCCTTTTACTTTTCAAGTCGGCAACCCTAAACAGCTACGTACGTTGACATTATGCTCTGTAAATTAATGATGTAAGCGCGTGTATTTTCATTATCGTTTAGCCGTTTATTCTCAAGCTTCATGTACCTTACTTCTACCCCCTTTTTTATAATTTTGCGAGCTTCAAGCAACGGAGTTCAAACGTACTCTGTGCGTACAGTACAACGTCGACATAGTTATACTCCCGACCATCAAAACAGATACATCAATCTACCTACGCATCACAACCCCCACGAAGCCTTCCACAACCTTAACCGAAGGAATCTTCGCCTCCCAGATCCCACTCTCTTCTCCCGCACCCATCGTAAGCCATCGCTTCAACAAATCGTTACTTTCCTTTGGTTTGACGCTCGCATTTGCCGTCCCGATCGTAACGTGGGCAATCTCGTTCGCACAAGGCCACGTTGGTGCTAACTCTCTTTCCCCTTGCCTTTCTTCTTCCTCTCGCCTATCGCTGTGCGCCTCCCCTGAGATTGGCAATGCCGCCGTCGCCACCCCCGTGGTTGCGCCCGAGGCCGCTGGCCCAGACAAAATACGTGCAACAATAGCCATGATACGCTTATCCCATACGAGGGTCTCGAGGCGGACAGAAGCTGCTCCTAGGCTTGGCGTGGGTGTTCCTGTCACGGTGGCTGAGCCAGGGAGCGAGGCAGCGGATGATGAGGTGTTTTGTTGTTGTTGTTGCTGGGCGATTGTTGCCTTGTACAAGTCTGTGTAGGTGTGCCATATTTGGGGGTTGTCGGCACTGGAGGCGCGGTGGATGAGGGTTACATGGAATGAGGGTTGGATGCGGCGAGAGTTGGTGAGTAGACGGTAGAGGTGAGCGTAGTCTGGTGATGGGGAAGCGTCGAAGATGGAGGCAAGGATTGCGTTGACGGGGCCAGCGGGTACGGAGATGTTGAAGTATTCAATTTTCTTGACCAGTTGGTCGAGGGTTTGCGGCTTTTGGTTCTTTTGATTCTGCTGTTGTTGCTGCTGCTGTTGGTTCTGCTGCTTCTGAGGCTGAGATTTGGACTTGAAATTGAGATCATGTTTGATATCAACTGTGTATCCGTCCATGGCCTCTTTGATAGCTGCATCAAGCTCGGCAGCGTCTGGTTTCTCCCGCTTCATAAGCTTGGGATAGTTGGCGTAAAAGTAGTCTACGATAGTCTCTAGATTCTCTCGCGAGGATGCTGCAACGTCTAGGTCAATGACCGATTCGAAATGGTTGTCTGGTGTACGAGCAGTATCCACGGCTTCGAATCGACGCAGGAAGCCCTCCATTATCTGCAATATCTCGCTTTCACTCTTGCTTCCGGCGCGGATGGTCTGGTGGTTATCTCCACGGTCAAGGACTCGCTGCTGCGTGACCCGTCGGATGTCATCTAGCATTGCACTCTTGGGCTCGTGCACCCAATGAAGAGCAATGAAGCGTGCGTTGGGGACGAGAGTCTGCATATCCGTGAATATCTGTTCTCTCTCACGCTTCTGGTGGTTGTTTCGATCCGCTATCACGCAGCTGCTGTTCATCAGATGGTTGACCAACCCCTGAACAAACCGTTTAGGTCTGTTCCCTTTGCCTTCAACATTATCGTTTTGGAAATGGCCCCATCCGAACAGTTTGACGAGAGCAACAGCCACGGTTGTCTTGCCGCAGCCGATCGAAGCAACGGGGACAAGCACAAAGTCTCGATCTTGAGGCGTAGCGGGATCGGCTTCTCCTTCAGCCGCCTCCATTGCTATAATCTCTGATCCCTTGAGGCCTCGTTCCTTGAGGAAGCCCTCACGCATGGCAATGATGCCGTGATTCTGGTTATATAGCTTGGCCAGCTTTGGATCCCTTGCAAGCTGCTTCCTGGCGTATTTTAGGTATTCCTCTGTGATCTTGACGTGCTTCTTAATTGTGGGTAGTTTGCCGGTGATGAGTTTCTTAGTAGCCTCTCGCCATTGACGGTACATCAGGTAGGGTTCTTCAAACTTGTACTTGAAGAACCAGTCATGGTAAGGCAGAGTGTTGGACTCTCGCATCTGGCAGCGGATCACGAAGCCTTCCGTGTCTCTTCCATCCCAGGAGCCTGTCTCTGCACATTCCTCAAGAAACGTACGGACAGATTCAACGTCATCTTTGACAAGGAACTGAGCCTTTTTGAACCCCCAGGCATCTGCAAAGCGGTGCACGTCTGAGCTGCTTACAGTAGCAAACTCAGGCAGGTTATAGTTGATGCCGTGCAGGTAGATACCGGACTCTTCCTCAGAGTAAGCCAGGACGTGTTCTTCGAAGCTATCATCGCATAGTTCACCTACAGCAGTAGCATTCATACTGCGTAGCTCCGCGGCGAGGTCCCGCTCCGTCTTGCCAACGGACTCAACATGCTTCCTGACCCAGGCCCGACCAACTTCCGCATGGCTCATCTCCATATCCTGCCGCGAGCCGGTAGAATGCTTGCTGCAGACGAGCAAGGTACCGTCTTCCAGACCGGATATAAAGATGATGCAGCCGTTCTCCTTGACGCTCAACTCGTAGGGTCCACGGGTATTATTCTCGATATTCCTCCATCGAGTCGAGTTGACTTCCTCGATATTAAAGAACTTGTCGTACCCTCTGACTGCAATCTCTGGGCGTCCAGCGCGGTTGGTGGTGGTGAAGAGGCCGCGCGCATAGGTTGGTAGGCCCGGGTTCTTGTAGTCCCAGTCCTGGAACCGCCACGAGTCGACGGTGAGGTCTGAGCCAGCGACTTCAAAGGTCGACTTCTTGCAGCTGAACGCTCGCTTGACTTGTTTCTTGCGCGCTGCCTCGAGTCTCTGGACGAGCTGGAGGACTTCGTGGGCGTCTTGATGCGCCATTGCTGCGGGCGGCGGCAGAGACACGCTGGAAAACGGGCGAAAGGCAGGAGAAAGGCCAGCAGTGGACAGGACGGTGAAGCTGTAGCTACTCTTCCTTTGCCATAGAGACCTTCCAGAGCCCAAGATGCGCATTAAATAGGCGTCTTTAGATTTGTGATCTGTGTCGTGTGTATTTACTGAGTCACAGGTAGATACTTAGACAAGCTTGTTCGTTCGCCTGGAAGTTTGTTTATGGTGGAGTTTTTTGCATCAAGGATATTTACTCATTCCACCACTCAAGCTACACATCTATCGAAATATCTACTATCTAGGATCTAGTCGAGCGCCACAAAGAGTCATCCGACTGACTCATTGCGCGCCCATCGAGTCATCGAAACAATGGCCAACCCATACATCCTCGCATCCGACAACTCGCCGGCGCTTCTGCCTCTGCTGCGCGCAGACCCAGCCGTCGCCTCCGCGCAGGACGAGCACGGCTACTCGCTCCTCCACGCCGCAGCGTCCTACAACCACTTAGACCTGCTGCGCACGCTAGTCGAGGAGTTCAAGGTCGACGTCAACCTTACAGACGAAGACGGCGAGACGTGTCTGTTCGTGGCGGAGTCGGTCGAGGTAGCGCGGTACCTGGTGGAAGAGTGCGGGATAAACAAGAGCAAGACGAACGACGAGGGGCTCACGGCTGCAGAGTCGATTACCAACGACGGCTCGTTCCCGCTTGTTGCAGCGTACTTGAATGATATCATTGCCGGGGACGTGAGGGCGGAGCTACCGTCGAACGTGAAGGTGTCGTTTGGGACGAGGGGAACGGAGGGCGGGGAGGAGGGGGAGGGAGGAGTAGTGGTTGATACGGCGATGAGGCAGAGGATCGAAGAGCTTGCTGCGCGAGGGAACTTTCATAGCGAGGAGGGACAGCGGGAGCTGCGTGGGCTGGTTGCGGATGCGCTGCGAGGGTCAGGACCGGCGTCAGATCCATCTGCGCGAGACACCAAGCGGCGAGTAGGGTGATACGTGCATACATACATGCACTATTACTGCGAGTGCAAGTACAGCTTCGTGCATTGGTCAGGCATATACATGGCGTTGCGTGTTTGATAGCCGTCATAGAATACACTACCGTCGACCAGTCTGGATATCAATGTCCATCCAGGCCACTATCTCACCATCTAGCCTAGCCTAGCCAAGGTATCTCTTTACAGCGCCAGCCAGCATCAGCATCAGCATCAGCATCGCATCATGTGTCCTGTCCTGTCCTGTCCTGCCTGTGCACCGCTGCATCTGCCGTATGCTGTGCCTGGCCGGGAAGCGCATCCAACGCACCGTACTACATCGGCTCAGCGCCAGCGTGCATGCGCCAGGGTCTAACGTTGAGCAGCGAGTGAGTCACCAGCAGCAGCCTTGTGCTTCACCGACGGCAGCATGCTGTACTCCATTCATCTCCTACCTCTACTATCAAATATCAATATCAACTTCAACTTCTACAACTTCCACTACATCCTCCTATCAGGCATTCTCAGCTCCTCTCGACCAACCGCATGGCTGGATGGTGTAGTTGGTTATCACGTATCGCTCACAAAAGCGAAGTTAAGCTTTGTCTCTTCTTCGTCTTTCATGGTGCCGATAAGGTCCTGGGATCGAACCCCAGTCTAGTCACTCTTTTTTTATTTTTTGCCTCTTTCTCATACATAACTACTGGCTCACGGCGGGGATAGACGATGCTTAGATGGACTTTTATTGCGGTTTGCTGGTGTGGTATGGTAGTGTTACATGATGTGGTTTTCTGACTGGCGTGTGTTGGCTATCTAGTTAACGGAAGTAGACGGAAGTAGAGATGGATGCGTGGTGGGTAAGTAGGCAACGTAATCTAGACACGGAACTTCATACAGCGGGAAGATAAGATGGAGATGATGGTGAGTAAGTGAGGGAGGAATGAAGGTTCCTTACTTACTCGGCTGGAGTGGACTGGAGTAGACTGGACGGACTGAACTGTTGCATTGAAAGGAGAAACGAGACAGGAGAAGGAAAGCGGGATATGAATGATAATCTAGATAATTGAACGAGACGAGACGAGACGAGAAAAGGCGCATGTCGTCGATGGTCGCTTTTGGTCGGTCTGAAGGCAGCAAGCATGAACAACTTTAGGGCATTTTCGAAGACGAGTTAGAGAAGTAAAGGCGTTAAGTGAGATAGATGGATAGGAAGGGAACAAGTAGCATGAACATTAAAGCCGAAGAAGGATGAGAAGAAGAAGAAGCAATCCTGAACGCCGCATGCAGATATTTAGATGGTTGTAGAAGGGGAAGAAGTAGACGAACGACGAGGCAAAACATGGCATGAAGAAATAGATGAACAATCAAGTCAAAAGGGGCCTTGGTCCGCTGTGTAGATAAAGGATCAAGGCGGTAGAAGTAGAATAAAGTAGAAGTGGTTCCGAAGGGGAAGAAAAGAAGAATATACAAGAGAGAAAGCAAGCAAGACGTGTTTTGGAATAACGACTCCCTAGAAGAAGAAACAAGGCAGGTAAGGTAAAGAAAGAAAGGTAAAAAAAAAAGGTATCTCAGATGGCTTTTTAGTTGGTTTAGTTTAGTTTTTCTGGTTTTGTTGCGCTGGCACTGGTCGACTCGATTGAGACCTTGACCTTGAACAGAGATAGATAGCCGGTAACGTTACTCCGTAAAGTGAGTGAGCCCAGAGTTGGGGTGGGTGCACCGGTTAGACATCATGCATGGATCAGGTCAGGTCGTTTTCATAGCGCATTCAATTCATCCGATTCGTCCCGATGGTAGCGTAGCGTAGGGTAGGATCACCCGTCCCTACCGGCGCTTTCGACCCGACCGCGCACCGAGAGCCGAGAAAGTCAACATGAAGGAAAGGACAAACAGGGTAAATCAAACAAATTTCACAGCATAGCATCAATCAAAGAAGTAAATCAGGCAGGCATTGTAATCTTATGTATCAGTCTCGGGATCTGATCGAGTGGAGTCGAGTCGGGCCGTTCAGAGTCGAGTCAGTCGACCAGTAAATCAATCAATTCGTGTTTTTTTCTTCATTGTACATTCATATCAATCTGCAAGGCAAGAAACAAGGTAATCTGCTTGTCTGTTTATCTGGCTGTTTGTTGCCTTGTTGTAATCATTGCAATTTATAAACCAAAAGCGAGTGGGTGACAGTGGCAGCCGTAAGTCCATATTCGTAGCATACAGTACGCTGCGTATCTGTCTGTCTGTTCACTCGGTTTAATTTTCTAAGAAAAATTCATTTTGTTCGTTCGTGATTAGATCGAGATCGAAGCATGTGTCATGCATGGTGTAAGACCATATCATGCTGGGTCGAGATTTTATTGTTTATGCGAAAGGGGGGGTATCATGGTTCAACTTTTTTTTGTGTTCCTTTTTTTGGTTCTTTCATTCGAACATAGTGAAACGAAATGAAATGAGATGAGGTGCGCATTTTCCCGTGCAGCGAGCGATTATTGCCCAACGTTCTGCTTCAGGGTGTTAGTACGGGAATGCCGACCAGACAAAGAAAAGAGATTAAGCGATGGGCGAATATGCGAATGCTGAGGTTTAACGTACCACTGCAACGAAGTTATTGCTGCCATCTGCCTGAGGCTGAGCCTGGCCGTCAACAGGAGCTTGTTCAAAGGATGAAGTGCCATTTGCAGCGAGAGGGGAAAACTCTGGTGCGGCGGAAGACAGCTTAGCATGGCGCTTTGGTTCCTCGGTGGGAGCCATGTCGGCGGGTACGTAGTTGGTGTTCACGTATGTGCCGTTCGCGTGGCCAGCTCCGTGTGCGTGGGCATGGCCATTCATATGCACCTGCTGCTGGGGGATATACTCCTGGGCGGTCGCGGATGAAGGCCCCTCATTCCTTGCTGATGGATCCCGCTCGTCCATGTTGAGCACCCACTGCGCCCATTCCTCGCGCTTCCTGAGCCTGTCCACACCGTCTTCTCCAGGTCGGTACTCGACGTTCCTCAGCTGTCTGCAGACGAAGCGCAACAGTTCCACGTCTTCGGTAAGCGACTTGATGCGCTTGAACGATGCAATGACAGAGAGCAGGACGTAGCCCTGAGAGTCCATGTGGCGGCGCAGGAAGAGGTCCTTGCACAGGTTGTCGACAGAGAAGTAGTACTCTAGCTGCATTGAGAGGGTGCCCATGAGCGAGTATTGCTCCATGTATGGCTGGTAGGACATTGCGGTCATGGGGCCTGGAGGAATCGCATGAGGGTATGGGTAGAGGATGTTCATGTCTGTCTGGATGGGGTAAGGGGCTGGGAACATGCCAGGGTTAGGCATTGAGGGAGAACGCATGTTCATACGGGTGTTTGTGGAAGCATGTTGCTGGGCAGGCTGCTGAGCGCCGTTGGCGGTGGGTTGGATGCGGTGGCGGTCGGTGAAGCTGTAGTTCTTGGATGAGGGGAAAGGATGCTGTGGGATTGGAGCGGAGTGGAAGGATGATGAGGTAGAGGCGTTTTGGGCGTTGTTGGCGGCGGTACCAGCAGTGGAAGTGGTGTTGGAGTTGTTGTTGGAGTTGGAGTAGTTGGAGTGACCGCCACGACCGCCGCGGTAGCCACCACGGCCTCCTCGCTCGGAGCGAGACTCGCGAGTGTATTCACGGTTGTACTCGCGGTCCTTGGTGAAGTCTTTGTCTTTTGGCTGGTAGCCAGAGCCGGAGTCCTTGAAGAACTCGCCGGATCGAGTGCCCATGTCGAACCGCCTGCTGTCATGGTTGACGTATCTGGAGTGTCCTCCTGCATGAGAGTCTGAGTTGGACTGTCTGGAGGCGTGCTGGTCTCCATGTGCGTTCTTGTACGAGCTGCTGTTCTCGTGGGATTTGTGGTAGGACTTGCCCTGGTGGGGACGAGTGGGAGACTGCGACGAAGTAGGGTCAGAGGAAGCGGTAGTAGCAGCGTTGTTGTTACTGCTGTTGTGCACTTGCTTGATGTTCTCCTTTTGCGTCTCAGCAGGAGTATGTTTCTCAGCATCGCCGTTTTTCAGGCTGGCATCAGCGGTCGAAGTGTTCTTCTGAGCAGACTCGGTGGCATCGCTCTTCTCGCGCTCTCCGGCGGACGAAGGCTTAGTGGTGGATGCAGAGCCGGCACCAGCAGCTGCCGCAGCTGCTCTGTCACCACCAGTATGAGCACCGCCCCTGGAGCCGCCTTCACGCGCACCACCTCTGGCACCACCACTGCGGCCACCTCTCCTGGCAGCTGGTGGCAAGGGGGTGTTGAAGACTGCGGTAGGCACATATGGCACGGGCATCCATTTCTCTTTGCCGTGGGTTCTGGAGCCGGCAGGTTTCTCCTTTTCGGGCCGTTCAGGCTTGTCGGTGTGGTCCTGGGCCTTGCGCAGGTCTTCGCCTTGTGCTATTTGTGGAGTTGGCCAGGAGGAGGCATCGTTGACTGGTGGAAGGGATTCACCATCTTGGACTTTGGCAGACCGAGAGCTTTTCCTTGATCCTAGATAGACGTCAGTATAACAAAGATAAAAAGATAGATAGAAGAGAAAGAATAAAGAGGATAGACGCACCATCGGTAGACTTCTTTTTGTCACGGGTGGCATCTGTGGCAGTGGCGTCTGCCTTCTTCCTGCTGCCGCCTTTGTAGTGTTCCGACCTGACATCACCAGATGTCTGAGTGGCGGAGGTCTTTGTAGCTGGGGCAGCCGTGTTACTACCGGTAGTAGTGGTGGTGGTAGCAGGCTTCAACAGGGCATTGGCCTTTGCCTTGGCCTCCAGGGCCTCCTGTCGTTGCTGCCAGATGTTGACTGCTGGTGGAGGAGCAGCCTTAAGCTCCCTCTGCTCTTTCTGTTCCTTCTGTTCCTTTTGCTGTTCCTTCTGCTGTTCCTTTTGTTGCTCCTTCTGTGGAGTAGTGGAGTTGTTCTCCCAGCTGGCCTCTGACTTGGGTTTCTCATCGTCTACTGCCGACGACGAGCTGGTGGTAGTCTTGTCCTTGTTGTCTGCAGCAGTGGAAGCCTGAGACTGCTTCTCCCACTCGGACTCTGAGGCGGTAGCGGTAGTGGTACCATTGGGGGTGGTGGTGGATAGATCATCTTCCTTGACGAGTGTCGAAGTTGTTGAAGTCGACGGTCCTAGCGAGGGTGACGCCGAGACAGCCTTTCCGGCATCTTCAACCTGTCCATCTACAGCTGTGCTAGCACTGGTAGTGGTAGTAGAAGTGGAAGAAGTGACGTTTTCATCGACGCTGGGAGCAGCAGTGGTCTGCTTTGAATCAGCGGCAAGGCCCTTTGCGGCCTGAGCGTATGAAAAAACAGGCATGTCTGGAGTGGAAGTCTTTTTGGCAGAGACCGGGACCGAGACCGAGGCTGCCATGGAGGAGGGTATTTCGAGGGCTTTTGCTTCCTCTGCTCGAATACACGGCAAAAGGAAGAGGGAGGCTGGTCGACGCAGGAGGTCGACGGAAGCGAGAATGGGGGATGAAGGTGAGTGGACCTCTGCCACTAACGGCAACAAGAGAGACGTCGGGAGTTCAACCACCACCAAGCAGAGTCACTCCCCGCCTTTGACTGGCTAGAAGAGAGATATATCAGAGAGAATGTCGTAGAAGTGAGTCAGACGTAGATGTGTGTTTGGGTGTCGTAGCAGAGAGAGAAGAGGAAGAGTGAAAAGACATCGACCGTCTGTCCGTCCGTCCGTGTCTTTCTTTTTTTTTCTCCCTTTGTCGGCTTGTCTTATCTTGTCTTGCCTCTCAGGCTCGAGGGTAGGTAGGTACCTTTTTGTCTTAGTCTAAGCAGTCAGGGTCTTCCTGATAGTGCAGTAGGACGCGAGGAGTCCGGCGTGTCTCTGTCTTGTATGTCTGTCTCTTATGTTTGTCGTCCGTCGTCGTCGTCGTGTGAGAGATGAGGACCAGCGAGATCGACACGGCAAAGATAAAAAAGAACGACTGCAGCGGCAACCAACGCCTGTGTCTATACAAGTCAGCTTCTCTTCTTGTAACCTTCTTGTCTTCTTGTAGCCTTCTTGTATCTTCTTGATGTCTGTCTGTCCTCCGCTTCAGCCCCTCATCCAGCACCTGAGGAGCAGGCAAAAAGACGCAGCAGGCAGAGGAAAAAAAATAAAAAAAAAAGCAAAGCAAAAAGACTACCTTCGCGAGGCCAATTGCCAGCTGACCGCGAGCTCTGCCTGGACACACGCCTAGCAGCAGGACGAAGACGACGATGAAGGCGACGAGGCAAGCAGCTGTCGAGTCGCGAGGTGAGGTTGGCGGTTGGAGGTTTGTGTGTGTGTGTGTGGGTTGGGAGAGAAAAGTGCGAGGAGGAAAAGACAGAGAGAGAGAGAAAAGGAAGAAAAAAAAAAGCTGCAGAAGTTTTAGTGCGGAGAGACTCAACTTACCCACGTGAGAAGCAGAAGACGAGGACGAGGAAGATGGAAGATGCCCGAGGTCGACAGTCGGTAAGAAAGAAGAAGATATAAGAGAATAAGAGAAGAGGAGGAAGATAGAATAAGTCGAAGAGAGAGAGGAAAAAGGGAAGAAAAAATGATGATTATCTTTTTTTTTTTGCTTGTATTTTCCCTTTACTTTATTAGCTGAACTCTTCTGCTCTTAGTGTCCATAGGGCAAACCTGGGTCGGCTTTTTCGGCTGGCAAAGACACAAGCTAAGCAAGTAGTGGATGATAGAAGAAGAAGTGGATGATGGACAGCAGAGGAAGACAGAAAGGAGGGAGGATGTCTGTCTGTCGTAGCTAGTTACTTGGTGAAGCTGAAGTCGAGGCTGATCAAGTCTTCTTCTTCTTCTCCTACCGAGAGCCGAGAGAGACAAGTATCTATAGAGAAGATGAAGAGGAGACAGGGAGAGGCCGTCTACTGCCATCTCTCTCTCTTACTGTTACTATTACTACTACTGCTTCTTCCTCCTTCTCAGCTGAAAGTCGCACAGTCAAGTCTTTCCTCGTTAGTCAGTGTTACTTGCCTGTTACTTACTTCGGCCACTCAGGGCTTCCTCCTTACCATCTGCCATCTCTTACCATTGCTGTCTCCTGTCTCCTGTCTACTCTCTACTCTTACTGTCTCCTGTCTCCTGTCTACTCTCTACTCTTACTGTCTCTGTCTGCTGTCTACTCTACTATCATCATTATCTTCAGCTTCTCTGTTCTTCATCTTTTCTTCTTCTTCCTCTTCATCTCCGACTTCCACGTGACCACGGCTAAAAGAGGGAGCTTCTTCTTCTTCTTGCTATCAAACCCAGACACAGAAACACTTCACACAGAATACGAACACAGACTCAGGGACTTTAAGACACGGTGATCAAGACACGGTGATATCATTCATTACATAGTTAGTTACATAGTTACATACATACATACATACACAGTTACATACACGCATCAGCCATGGTCCTGTCCTGTCTTGAAGGCACCACTACCAATGCCTGACAGTAACAAGCACCTTCTCGCGCTCATCCCACGCCTCAGCCTCCGCAGCAGTGCCAGCAGCCGCGCCAGCACCTCCCGAGACGCCAGAGTTGACGTCCAGCAGGTTCAGCATGCGCCAGACAAGACGGTGCGGCAGGCCTTCACGCACAGTGATCTTCTGCAGCGCGTCGAGGCCGGTGAAGTAGCGGGTGAGCATCGGCCAGTGGCGACGCAGGGCAGCATGGACGTCTGCCTCGGCATCGTCGGTCGAGAAGCTCTGGCTGGGCGCTTTTTCTTGTCCTTCTTTCTCTTGTTCTTTCTGTACTGCTTCTTCTTCTACTTCTTCTTCTTCGTCGTCGTCTTCGCCTGGTGCAGAGAGAGGAAAGGAGTTGTGGATGTGGTCTAGCCAGCGGGACTCTAGGGGTGAAGGCCGGTGAGGTCGGAGGATGAGCGAGGATGTAGTGGTTGAAGTCGAGGTTGGTGTCCTCGTTGCTGTCTGTGGTACTGGAGTGGTAGGTATCCTGGTATTGACACGGCCGGGGACGGGGGTAGCCAGGCCGTCTTCATCTTCATCTTCATACTCGTCTTCTTCATAGTCTCCATCATGAATGATGTGGTGTCCGTTGACCTGTTGGCTCTGGACAGCCATCTTCACCTCCGGACTGGCCTTCACCCACGCAAAGGTCCTCAGCTGCGTCACCCACCCACCTCGCACCAGCCAGGCCAGTATATCATAGTACGCCTCCTTGTGGTCCTTGCTGGGTATATAGCTAAAGTAAGGCCGGGGACTGCCACAGCTCAGCGCAGACAGCATCTTCGCCAGGCTAGGCAAGGTAGGGAACATCGCCTCGTACGCTGCACTAGCCACTCCCAGCTTGCTCATGTCTGCGTTCGGCGAGACGATATACACGTCCTTCTTGTTCAGGGGCGGTATCGCCCTCGCTCGCCGCCAGTACACCAGATGGCTGGCCAGTATCTGGATGTCAGACAGCGGTATCTGCGAGCGAGCTGCAATCTGCGCAAACGACTTGGTAGGCTTGGAGGATCGGATGTAGTGTGCTAGCGGTGGGCCGATGGTGCTCTTCGACGCCTCGATGTCCTTGAGTATGCTCGTCTCGTCGCTCAGCAGCAGCAGTGCAAAGTGTTTGGCCAGCATCACCTGCGACTGGCCCGGGTTGTTCATGTGTGATGTCTCGTCCGTAGACGAGATGCTGTCCGCCGTCGTCAGCCAGAGACCCGGGTAGCCTGGCTCGTTGGCGGACGGCAGGTGAGGCGTAGAGGTCATGGGTGGTATCTGCATCGACATGCTCGTCTGCGGTCCCAGGCTGACGGAGGCTATCTTCGAGGCGCTGATGTTGGTATACAGCGTCTCAATGGCCTGCGCGAGGCTCGACTTCGCAAATAGCTGCGTATACAGTCCGGCCAGCGACACCCCTGAACATCCATTAGCATACCACCCCATTTATACAATCATAAGATAGTAAGTACCTACTTTCTTCACGGCACTTCTCCTTGATGCGCAGGATGTTCTGCGCTTCTTTCCAGACATAGTTCGCCCTCGCCTGCTCGCTCTTCAGCGCCTTGCCGAACTTCTTCACCACGTTATCGTACATCTCCCTCACCCGCACGTTATACTCCAGCGCCGGCGGATTCAGCACAAACACAACATTGAACATCGTCATCCCGTCCTTGATCGTAAGCCGTTCCTCATCAGAGCAGTCCTCGTCTTCATCGCCGCCGTCTTCACCATCGTCATCACCACCACCACCGACAGACACAAGGGGTATACCGAGCTCTACCAACCCAGCTCCAAGGCCAGAGATCCATCCATTCTTCTTCCCTTTCTCCTTCTCTTCGTCTTCTTTCTCTTTCTTCTTGCTGCTGCATTTCTCTCGCTTCTTCTTCCGCTTCCGCCATGTCCCGTCCTTGCGCACGAAGACAGGCCATCCCACAAACGTCAGGTCGTTGACGCCCACCTCGAATCGCCGCTTATGCCACGCAGGTGACGGAGAGAGCAGCTTCTCCCACACATCGTATTTCAGTCCCAGAAACAAATCGGCTTGTAGACTGGTCAATTCGCTTTTCTTTTCGTCTGTGTCTCCCTCGCTCAGTCCCAGTCCCTGGATAGCTACTTTCTTCTTCACAGCGTTAAGCGTCTGGCTGCGACTAGGCGAGCGGCGGTCTCGCTCCCGCTCTCTATCTCTATCTCTGTCTCGCTCGACTTTCTCGCTCCGATCAACAACACTCGACTCCTCTTCAGACGTCGCTCCATCCTCGTCCACCGATGCGCCTGAATCAGTCCCCTTGGCTTCCTGGTCTGGATCCGCATCCTCTTGCTCCTCCTGCTTAGACTGCTGCTGGTCATACCGGTTTGGCGATGTCGAGGGGGACTCCGCGATAGATGGGTTAGGAGGGTAGTGGTAGACGAAGCGCGGACCGGCACGAGATCGAACCACGAGCGCGATGGCGATCAGGCATGGGTCCGGAGGGCGGATGACAGACGACATCGAGTCGGCGATTCTGATGGTTGTCGGTGGGATGTATACTCGGCGACGATACCGCATCTTATCTCTCTTTTCCTCTTACAAGCTAACAAGCTAATGAACTTATCCGGGGTATTAAGGTTGAGCTTGGCCGTGAACGTTTCTTCCGTACGACTTTCTGATGAAGTTTGAAGTTTGAATGAAGTGGAGGGTTCTGTTATTTGCTTCGCTCCCCGTAGATATATATATTACATCCAAACGCCGTATAGCTAGCAGCCAGCAGCTGGCTGGCCAGCTAACTAACTAGCCTAGCCAGTCGAGTCGCCAATGATGCATTGCCAGCCGCAATGCAGTGCATACTTAGCTAACTAATACATTATGCAGTCGTATCACATCCAACGCCTAACCAATGACTGTCTTCCCAGCTCTGCTCCCAGCTTCCTTTCACCAATCACTTCTTACTGCTTAACGGCGGTTTATCCGGGTCTGTTGGTGTGTCTCCCGCTGGTCCGGCTGGCTTCTCGTCGTCAAACACCAGCCCTAGATTCTTAAACTCGTCCGGTGCCATCAGGTTCCTACCAACGCAACATTAGGTCAGTTCACCACACCCATCCATAAACCACATCCGCTAGGTAAAGGTATAGAACGAACTTCTCCATTCGGCAGCTGAGGTAGCTCTTTGCTAGTCTTCGACATGCTTCGTCGTTGACGCCGCTCGCAGACTTGAGGCACTTCAAGTACCCTGCTATTATCGACTTGCATTCTCCTGTAACAGCGCCATCTCAGCATAATATTCGCCCGTAGCCAATTGATTGTAAAGGGTATGTTCTACCATCGTGATCGAGTGGGAAACTGCCTCGCTCTGGTCTGTTCGTATGCCCGTCCGTTAGTCAACTCTGTAGTCAATGGGAATGGAAAATTGGATATGACGCACGGAGTGGGCTTGATGTTAACTGCGCGACCGCCGGGGCTTCCGAAACTCATCTTGACTGTCCCCCTGTCCTCAGTTATCAACCCGGTATGTCTTCGAGTCTGACTCTTTTCGCTCCTTCGTCTCGCTTTCGTTGCGTTCAAACTTCTTTGGCGGGAAGAAAGTCAAAGATGCAAACAGTGCAAACAGTACAAATAGTACATTGGATGCAAATAAGCTAAACTACTGCGAAATGACGTTGGGAGCAAACATAGAACAGGCGAAGATGAGAGGAAACGAGGAGAAAGACGGGATGATACATGGAAAAGGAATATCATTGCATACATAGATGACTCTATCCTTGTCTCTGAAGCGGTTGAGTCGGCATATAAAGTATCGCTGCTCTCCCACTTGCTCAGTTAACAATTTACTCTATTCGACCCTCACCAAATACCAGCATACATCTAGCTCTACACGCAAATCCAACAACACCAAGATGCCGATGTTTGTGCCCCTTTAAACAACCACTAGATATTATGCATATAAGCTAACTGATGCAGGAAGCTGGAAGGAAGCTGCCAATGCGGCGGCGTCGAGTTCAGCCTTGACTCCAACACCCCTGTGCCATACCAGCTGTGTGTATGCAGCATCTGCCGCAAAGTAGGCGGATACATGGGCAGCGTCAACCTAGGAGGCATCAACAGCTCCCTCAACATCACCAAGGGGAAAGACTTGATAAAGTAACGTCAATCCATCCATCCGTCAATTGACTGATTCCTCGACTAACGACAACAGGAAATACCACGCTGTAAAAGACAGGGGCAAGCCGACAGAAGAGAAGTGCAGCTCTGAACGGAACTTCTGCTCAAACTGCAGTACCATGCTCTGGGTATATGATAAGAGCTGGCCGGAGCTTGTGCATCCGTTTGCAGCGGCAATTGATACCGAGCTGCCCGAGCCGGACGAGATGGTGTGCATACTGGCTGATTCGAAGCCGAATTGGGCGCGGTGGCCGGAGGGGAAGAAGGTTGTTCATAAGACGTATGGAGATAGTTTGGAGGACTGGCATAAGAAGCATGGAAAGTATGTTGAGTAGATGCACCGATAAGAGATGATATAATTATGTAGAGGAAGTAGAAGAGTAATCATTATGTATTGAATTGCTATGAACTATCTATCGTGTCGACTGTGGTATCTAATATCAAGTCAGCATTGAGCACCGAAGAGTCAATGGAACATGTCATGCAGTATTTTGTGCAAAGGATCAGGTCTCCAAGGTGATGTGTTATCGTCAAAGTAAGACTCGGAAAGAACACAGCGAAAATCATTGTTTCATCAGGTAATGTCGGGAGTGGGATGAGGGAAAAAGTTGAAAAAAAAAAAAACGACTAACCTTGTCCACGGACGGTACACGCCTACGCTGAAATTATCAAACAAACCTATCCCACGAGTCAAATTAGTACGTGTCGACATCATCATGAGCAAGAAACATCTGCACGGCAAAAGATAACAGGAATCATCTATCATCAGGCTTCCCGCCTATCAGTCAGTATCACTGTAACTAAGTGGCCGATGGCAAGGGTTATTGGCCAACATACCTCATTAAATCAGAATTTTCAGTGTAAGAAGTTTCACCTCTGGCACAGAATGCACAGATCAAACAGTGTGAATAATGTTCATCATGGAAAAAGATGTATCCAATGCAAGCAACCAATAGGCAGTAAAGATGAAATAGATATATACCTGATCAACGACGGCAATGTTAGTGATCGCTTCAAACCATTGATCTGCCTCAGTGACAGGTGAGACGGGTAATAAGCAGGTATGTATATGTATAGTCAGGTGACGAAATCTCAACAAGCAATCTAACCGCCAACTACCCACAGGGTTGTACGTCCTGTTGTAACGGATAGCGGTGAAAAGACGCGATCTGTCCGCCCGTTCGTTCAAATGTTCCTCATGCAAGGTTGTATGAATGTGCTGGTGCATGTGCATGGGCTGTTGTAAGTAGCATACCTATTCGAGACTTATTAGCAACTGATTTTGAGTCAAAGAATCGAAGTAGATGTTATGAATATGGATAGGAGAAGCAAAAAATCAGACAAGGCTGAAACTTAGAAGCTGACAAAATTCCACATTATTGGTTAAGCTTGAGGAATGCCTTTGCATGTCATAGTGTCATCACGAAATGAGGGGCTGGGGTAGAGAGTAGCAAGATGAAACCGTGAGTACACACCTTTTTGAATTGTTCATCGAGTCGTATGGAAGTCAAGGTAGGTCAATGGAAGGAAGCTCTAAAGATGACGCGTTAGTACTCAGTTGCAGTGAGACAGAAATGCAAGCACGTCTGCTATGATATCTTGTATCAGATGGCTATAAAAGACAGATATATCCGTCATGAAGTTTCGGATTTGGATTGTTCAAGTAAAATTTGGTTCATCACCGTTAAAGGTCGAGGGGAGGACAGTGCATGCAAAGAAGAAGGGCTTACCCATTATCAACCTCCAGGCAAGCCAATTGGCCTTACGCGAGAAAAGAAAAGAAAAACAACTGCTGTTACTGCTGTTGATGTTGTTGTTGGTGAAGAAGAAAATGAAGAAGGAAAAAAACTTTGCGGGTTTTTATTTGTGGGCGTTTTTGCTTTCTTCGGCGCGCGGGAAAGGCAGAAAGCGCATTCACGTGATACCCCTTACTAATAAATTTCCCTTTCCTTGGCACGCACATAGTTTCATAAAAGGGGTTTTTATAGGGCAAGGAAAGAATATGGAGAACGAGATGGAGAAGCGATATCATGAAGTGATAAAAGGTGGTATATTCATATTAGAAGACATGCCAGGCATCCCGACTTTTAATACAACAGGCTGGACGACCAACCCCAGAAGCCAATTTGGTCTAGAACGTAAAATGTTTATGAAGAAAGTAAGAACAGAAAAAAAAAAGAGGGAGAGAAGGCCCTTTTACAAGGCAACGGCAAGACCGATAAGACCAGCAGCACCGGCGATGCTGGCAGCTAGAGCGGTGGCGCGAGGAGCAGCGTTGGGGCTGTGGGTCTGCTGGGAACCGCCGTTGGTAACAGTTGCGCCAGGAGCACCGGTCTGGGTACGCTGGGGAAGTGCTCGCCGATTTCACCGGTGATCTGGGCGGCAGCGCTGCTAACTACGCTCTGGGCGGAGGCAGGCAGGTTGGAGAACCATTGGGGAGCATGGTGGTCTGAGATGGCGCTGTGGAGGGAAGAGCCCCAGGACTTGAGGTCGGAGGCGTCTGTCAAGCTGCTCCAGACGGAGGCTGGGATGGCGGTGGCAGAGGGGAAGAGAGAAGTGAGACTCTTGCCAATGTTGCCGATGTCAGTTGCGATGTCACCGATCTCAGAGCCGATGTGGCCGATGCCAGAGGTGCTATTCTGCATGTTAGTATATGCATGTACGGAGTACGTACTTAAAGGAGTAGAAGAGTACGTACGCTTGGTCGATGATATCACGCTTCTCTGGCTGTGGGGAGGCGATGACTGCGGTGGCAGAGAGGAAGAGGACGGAGAGAGCCTTGAACTGCATCTTGACGTAGATTGATGGATTGATGGATGGATAGACGGTGGTGTCTTGTTCGAGAGTTGTTGGTTGAAAGCCGGTGTTCGTGAAAGTTGGTAGTTGTGATGGTGATGGGAGAAACGTCAAGAAAACCTGCGGGATGGTGATAGGTACTTATACGGAGCAAGCCCTTTTAGATTAGGGGGGCTTGTCTACCCGAAATACCTCATTTGGGATTAAGGACCTCGCACTTTTGACTTTTGCTAGCTACCTAGGCAGGGCCCTGCGGCCGTCGTGTGGAGAGCGTCAGGGGGGGAAAAGTCGAGGACGATGCGACATGCGACTGGAGGGCGGGCTGCTTCAGCCACGCTGCCATGACGCCGGTCCAACACCTGGTTACTTAGCGAGTTGGCTGGTGCCATCTTTTCTGTCTTTACGAGGGTGCTCAGCCTCCCCGCGTCTGTCGCCTTTGCTTTTTTTTCCTGCTCTCGTTTTGCGGTCGCATGGAGCGCTGGATTCGACTCGTCTTTCATGATGATGACAATGTGCATAGCTGCTGCTGACGTGGATGTGGCAGGGTATGCATCCTGCTTTGACGGCACCCTCGTCATAGTGAGAGACAGCAGTCGACGTACGCTGCTACGTTGGTGGTGGGATGGGATGTCTGTCTTGTGTCTCTCGGCCCTTAGTAGTTATACACTACGTCAAAGATCAGCTCAAATAGGCTATTTTAACGTTGGCTAGGGCCTTGGGGAGATTTGATGAGACGGAGATGATCAGCTCGAAACAGTCACTGTGTTTCAGCTAGCAGGGGAGACGGCGACGATCCCTGTAGATATGTGGCTGCTTAAGCCGCTTCTCGATCAGTGAGGGTCAACTTGATCGTGATCTTCATTTCAGCAGACATTCATACATAGATAACTATATGATAACTACGACCAGAGGTGTGGTGAGAAAAAATGACCAATACAGCATATCTGACAACACATACTTACCTACCTAGGTTAGTACCTAGGTTGTTTCTAGCAACTTTTTATAGTCATAGAAGTCTAGTACTTCATAAAGTATGATAATAATAAATTACAATGCTAATAATCAAAATATCTTCTAGTTTATAGCTGTTCGAAGAGCCAACTAGTTGTAAAGGCTTTCTATAAAAGATATTCGAGTTCACTATGGGTCCAGTCCCACAGCTTCTTCGCCAGTTCCTCATCTTTGGCAAACTCCGTCTCCGTGCCTCCGATGCCAACTGGCTCGTAGTACCACCCAGACTTGACGTCCTTAGCTACGGATGCCCAGAGCTGAGTCTTCACGCCCTGGTTAACTGGAGCAACAATCTTGTTTGCAACTTTTCCCAAAGCCCGTACAATTAGCGGCGAGCCAGTTGCGTTGTTCATCAAGTTTGTCCGCACTACACCTGGGTGGATCGAGGCAAGGGTAAATTGCGGATATAGCTTCGCCATATGCTTTACCCAGAGGATCATAGCAAGCTTGCTTTGGCCGTATCGGCCATACGGGCCCAGGTCCGCAGCCTCAGTTCGAAGTGTGTTGAATCGAATACCCTCCGGCTTTGGTGCATACATATGGCCATGTGAAGATACCATAATAATACGCACTTGGGAATCGGCGGCTTGTTGGCTCGCTGTCTTGTGAAGTATAGGGAGTAGTAGCTTGGCTAGCAGTGCATGACCTAGATAATTGGTACCAAACTGCAGCTCATATCCATCGGTGGTGAGGCCGGGTGGTACTGCCATGACGCCGGCGTTGAGCATAAGGATATCCAGCCGGTCACATTGCGCAATAAAAGTATTTGCAGCTTTCGTTACCGAGGCGAGGGAGGAGAGGTCCATCTCGAGAACCGTGATGGATGTTTGGTTAGATGGAGGGAGCTGCTGTTGGATTTCCTTCACCGCAGCTCTCGCCTTCTCGCTGCTACGGGCTGCCATCCAGATCTGTGCTGGGCCATGTCGTGCATACTCTAGTATACATTGCTTTCCAAGGCCAATGTTGCCCCCTGTTACGAGGATCACCTTTCCATCGAGCGGAGGTATATCACGCTCCGGTTTGAATGAGACAGACTTTTCACAGAGATTCATGGCAGAGATAGCCTGTTTTGAGGATGATTATACATGTGGAATATAAGCAAAAATGAAGCTTGAAGTGTGGGATGCGGCAGCGCAAAGGTGCGGACATTCATCCATATATACATTACTAGTTACATGGGTGTATATTTATGGACGAAAACAAAGCAGCTGGACATCAGCTGTCCAGGCAGCAGCATTACCATCCGCTGTATCTCTAGCGAGTGACCATACCTGGACATGGCCAACAACCAATCAATGAATGCCATACACTTGAGGGATATGCATCGTTATACCTCGGAACCTCCGGGTTGGGGATGCCCCGAACGAGGGATAAGCTGGATGCTAATATAGTAGTAAAGAGATACAATACAAACTATGTATACCTAGTGGTAAGTAGGCTTCCGGATGGGTGGTCAAACCCGCAGGTCTACCTAGGTAGTTAGTAGGGCAAGCATTAGTTGAGATTCCAAGCAAAGATTGGTTTTATTGGCAGCTGTTCTTTTCTTCCCTTTGGTAACACTCGTCTAACACTTCTCGGTATCTTGAAACAGCTGTCATGAGCAGGTCTTGCTTCAGCTCCTGATGAAACTCCTCCCAGGCTACCACGATGTCCCTATCGTCGGTTGAATCAACCTCGAGGAAGTCGTTAAGTCGAAGTAGGGGCACGGGTGGTATGGCTTCACGTATAAGTACAATGCTAAATACACCAGGTTAGACCAAATAACTAGCAAGACCTACAATTCTAGAACCATGTCTCTTTGCCCTCCTGGTCTGCGCATTGTGCTTCCATACCCCAAGAAACACATCTAATTCGCCAACCCATTGGGTAGTCCCTTGGAGAGTTGGTTTCAACAACTTGCATTGTTTGACGGGATGTAATAATGCCAGTTCAAATAGGCAACTCTCCGGCCTCCAAGTCTAAAGTTCGCCCAGTCAGGCTTTTAACCCCAAAGAATACGCACTTTACAACTGTATAAAAGAGATGCAAAGGAGAGGGGGAAGCGGGAAAAAGGAGGTGGGGACTATGCACCTTTCTTTCCACTTTTCTATTGTTGGAAGAAGATGGGAACGGATAATCATGGGCACACCAGAAGTTCCTAGTGCTGTACGTCTTGGTGTATGTATAAGTCGCCAAAGGCAGGCGTCTGACGGAGCAACGGAACAAGGTAGACCTCGGGATGTCACTATCAGAAGGACTTGGCAACCACCTCTCGCTCTCTAAGCTATAATAGATGCTCGTTACTTTAAGGATCAGAGGCCGTATACCTCATGGTCAACCTTTACGAGAAGTCCCTACTACTAGCAAGGGTTCAGCGCTCATTCTCACCTTCGCCTTAAGCCTATCTCTCTGCAAAATCAAACAGACACGCTATAGGAAGTCAACTTGCTTATTTATCAGTCGAAGCTGCTTCTATCAAGGACAGCCTGTGACGTCAAGTTGGAAGAATTGACGTTGCTGAACCACACTTTGGCAGGCAGAGTGTCCAGCTATGATTGATGCAGATTCTTATTTAACACGGCTGTCGACGTAGAAAGATGGCGACTCGATCAATTATCACTATAGCAAACTAGTTATTTTCACACTGTATTCTGTGAAGCTAAGCACCGCCACCATGCCGCCTCGAGACACCAAATTCAAGCTGAACACGGGCGCTGAGATCCCAGCCATCGGACTCGGGACCTGGCAGGACGAGGAGGCGCAGGAGAAGGCCGTCCTAGTCGCACTGCAGGCGGGATACCGTCACATAGACACGGCTGCCATGTGCGTTATACCTTTTGGTGGTGGGATGTCTTAAAGCAAATGATGAGATTGATAGCTAACTGGTTAATCAATGATAGATACGGTACGGAGGCAGCAATTGGCAGGGCCATCAAGCAGTCTGGCGTCCCTCGAAAAGAGCTCTTCATCACCTCTAAGCTGTGGAACAACAAGCACAAGCCTGAAGATGTCGAGAAGGCGATCGACGACAGCCTGAAGAAGCTGGGCATTGACTACCTCGATCTATATCTGATGCACTGGCCCGTCGCCTTTGCCCCAGGAGACGAGCTCTTCCCCAAAGACGACGCCGGAAAGATGAAGGTAGTTGATATCGACTATGTAGATGTATGGCCCCCATCCTTCCATCTGTCTGTAACCGAATTGGCTGCTAATAGTTGATTTCCACAGACATACAAGGCGATGGAGAAGCTGGTGAAGGCCGGCAAGACCAAAGCTATCGGGATATCCAACTTTTCCAAGGCAGAGACCGAACGTCTGATTGAAAACACCAGCATCGTGCCGGCCGTCCACCAGCTCGAACTGCACCCTTGGCTCCAGCAGCCGTCTTTCATCGCCTACCTGAAGACCAAGGGCATCCACATCACGCACTACTCGTCTCTAGGCAACCAGAACGAGACGTACGAACAGGACGGCAAGCTGCTCGAGGACCCCACCCTCACGGCCATCGGCAAGAAGTACAACAAGTCCCCTGCTCTGATTGCTCTCGGTGAGTCTCGTCTCTCTCCATATCTTTATACTTTCAAGTCAGGTAGAGTGGAAATAACTAACGGCCTGTAGCATGGGGTATCAATGAAGGCCACTCGGTGCTGGTCAAGTCGAAGACGGAGCAGCGCATCAAGGACAACTTCCAGGCAGACTTTGAGCTCAAGGCAGAGGATATTCAGTTGATGCATGAGATGGACAAGAAAAGACGCTTCAACGACTCCAGCGACACCTTCAACTACAAGTTCTTCTCTGATCTCGACTAGTCGTTTCTCCTGTAGTCGTATACATTCATCACTGTTAATGCCTTGAAATCAACAAAATATGCGGGGACCAGCTATGTCATGTCAAGTAGTTTGGAACTATAATAAATTCATAATTCCTTCAGAGCTATCAGACAGCTGTTCTGTTTAATTTATATGTGGGTGTTACAACCCCATGTTTGAGACTATGGCTAGCCTTTTTCAATCGCTCCTGCAGACGTGGCTGGAGAAACTCAACTAGAGTGTCTGAATCATCCGTTTCATCGTCAATCGCCACAACGCCCTTTGCGCCTAAAGAACAACCGCTCAAACCATGCAGGATTAGAACCTCTATTCTCAACGATAACGTTGTGCTGGGAGAGATCATTGTGACAGACAACAAACTCTTCATTATTTGGCTGCTGCAGCTGCCGCTGGTCCTTGAACGATTTTCGCATGACACGATAGGGCCTCCGGCTCTCGAAAACTGCAGCGTTCGAAGCATCTGAACGTATACTTCCAGTTCCGTGTTAACTGTCGCTTTCAAGCCGTGGGAGATGGATTGTCCCCTTAAACTGGCTTGCTTACCGTTCTCTTTTGGTCGAAGTGAACGCTTGATAAAGGAAGACCTAGAGTGATAGTACTTTCGTTCAGAGGTGATGGCGATGCGGTTACTCTCCCCTCGTGCATAGCTACGGAGTGCCTAGGTAGTTGCAGGAACTTGAACTTGAACCAAGCTATCCCATACAGCAAACAAGATATCAAACTGGGGTATATTGACTGCAGCCAGTGAAGCTATTGAGGTTCAAGTTCAACTTAGCGGTTTGATATAATTAACAACGATACGGGGAAATGGGAGAGTTGGAAAACCCTTTAAAGCCTGAAACTACGCGTGAAGAACCGTAGTTTTTGAATCCGCTTATTTCCTTTAAGGCAGTTTTTACAACTAACTTGGTACACCACCAGTCAAGTCACAGAGCAACGACTAAGTTAATTACCTATATTACCTAGGTATTGATACCCAAACGGTAGAATGAAAATAATCTTCTTCTGACACCTCTATATAATATCACCCCCTGACTGTATAGAAAAGAATTATGAATACAAAACGAAACCTTTGATACCCAGACATACATCCACTTTCACCCCTCGCCCTCCATCTTCTTGCTATCAAACGCTATGAGCTCGGTGACGAGCATAAGCCACGGGGAGTAACCAGTGATGGCTTATTTAGTCTGCCGTACACTGGCTACTCAGTCCATCCGTCCTTTCACATTCGTTCTCCAACGGGAGTCATTCAACCAGTCAATCGTCGGCATATTCTTCATCTTTTTTTCGTCTTTGGTACAAGTCACCGTCAACCCGAGACCGCCTCCATTCTGATTCAGCAGCTTCGGGGGAATCAGCAACTGAAGTTCGGTTTCTTTACCTAAGATACGTGAGAGTCGTAGGACGCTAGCTGGGTCCCAAGTCTTATCTAGCGACTTGATATACGCGTCTATGTTGGCAAGCTTCTTCCAGAGGGTCTTTCCGCCGTAGGTTTCGGGTATCCATGCCTTTTTGGTAGAGGAAAGCCGCGCTGGATTTGCAGAGATGGCGCAAAACCTACCATATGCACAATGTTAATAATATCCACAGGGCTTGAGATAATATGGAAAGGGATATTGAAGAGGTAACGCACGAATCCTTAGTCCCGCCTGGCCACCCGGCCCCCTTTGCAGTGAGATAGACTCCTTCCCCTATCTGGGTGTCTCCCCAGGGTTTATCAAAAACAGGGGTCCCGGCTTTCTTGTACATTGCTGCTTGTACCTATACGTCGTCAAGTCAGTCCTCTTCCATCTTTCAGTAGAGAAACAGGCAATTCAGCATACATCAGAAACGGTTCGATAGCCGATGATAACCCCAACATGAGCTGGGGCAGCAACGACACCACCAATACAGGCCAAGGCCACCACCACGAGTTTGCTGATTGGGTACATCATTGTACGTCGAGAAGTCGGAACTGGAAGCTTTAAGATAATAATGAAAGGTGCTCTGAGAAATTCCCTGGATGGAAGGAAGCCCTCGTCCTTCATTTTATACCCAGTTCGCATCATAGACACAGTTCGCATCATAGACAAGCAGCAGTTATGGGCTCAGCAAACCACCTGGAATTCCACCGCCATTTCCTCCTTTGCGCTGAATAACCTGAGTCGTATCCAACCTAACGTGGTTTCAAGAGATTGGGTTGGGGGCGGTGCTGACATGTAGAATTATCATAAGATGTTGGACTGTATAATCAGCTGTACGCTGACTTAAATATGTTGCCAGTGGGGTTGTCTTTACTAGCCATTTGTTATTTTGTCCCCTGGCCGAGCGGCTAATACTCAACATAGGACTGCAGATATTATCCCGATCATTTACTAGAAAGGTATGACTGTATGAACACCATATTTAGCCTGTCAATAATTTAGCTCATGGTTTTGGTGTAGTTGGTTCTATCATAGTATCTGGGTTCTTTCCTATATAAACGGATTGATAATGAAACAAGGGCCATACTTAGTCTAGTATGACAGTGAATACCATGCAAGGTGACCGTGGCTTAGTAAGTTGTTAAAAGATGAGACATACCTAGTTATAATGACCCAAATTAATGCATATGCAATTGTTACTAGCGGGCTGTGAATACTCGGGGTTTACTCGAACCAACAGGTAACTGCTTTATTTATCAGCAGCCACTTTTCCTACTCTCCTCGAATCTTGAAAATTTATAATCGCAGCATACACGTTATAGCGCACACCACATCTCAACTGTTTCCTCTGGATGAAGGCAACATGGCTCACACTGTACTAACCCTGCTCTGCAAAGAAGTGTGGGCACGGGACTCTAGCACTCATTACGATATCAGTTTCAAACTGGATGGCACTGGCGAAGTGAGCATGCCCTTTTGTCTCCAGGATTTATTTGAAAAATTCATGACTGACCAAGTATTCTAAGCTGATTGCCTATTGCTGTGACGGCGGCGGTCCGGGCGTATATATCTCGGCGGAAATCGAGTGGGAGGCTACAAACCCAAGTATACTGAACAAAATCGTTAATATCACTCCCGGTGGTAGGAACGCACAGGTTCTGGTCGAATTTGAAATAAAAATGACTCTTACGAAACGCAGAGCTGGACTTTTCAGAGAACCTCGAAGTCCCCAAGATTATAAGCTGAATCAAGCATACCTTCTTGACGACGCCTTTCTGCCAAAGAAATACAAAATACGACTGGAGAAGGGAAATTTTATATCATCCAAAGAGAGAAAACCAGATGGAACGATTAGTCCGCCTTGGGCGTCTGCTTATACTCTCCGTCTGGTGTTTGACAAGTCACCTTACCCCCCAGCGCAGCTTTGGAAGGATCCAGACGATTGGGACCATGCTATGATGGGCGAGGAATGGAAGGAGTTCCACTCAGGAAAAGCTGACGGATGGGGTATGGCTGAGAATGCGATGCAAGTATACTATTCCATACGGGCGGGATTTTGGGGTTTGGTTTCGAGAGGAGATTGATGAGCTCAAAAATTCAATCAGGGCTCAGCTAAGATCTTCTCTCGGCTGGAACTTCACTCTGGAATGGAAACAAGAGCCCCCAGAGAAACAAGCCTGGCATTTTCATGTCGTTAGTGTCCATTTCAGTGCTGTGTGTTTTCTAATGAGGTTGAAAGGATGGTCAAATAGCGTTAATAATACCCAAGAGTTCCCAAGAGACTGCTTATAGCACCCAATAGGACGTAACCATCTTCTTCTCAATGCCTATATGGTCTGTTAGCATCTATCAGTACTGCGCAGAAGTACGGAGTAAGAGAGCGCTGTTTCGTCGTGCTATGAACACAAAAGAAACGGAGGGTGTATATCTACATTAGTCAGCTTAAAAAACTTACTTTTCATCTGGTCACGTTATGCTTAAAATAAAGCTAGCCAACGAGGAGCTTTCAAACCCTAAAAACTCAACGCAAGCCTGGGTGGCTGAGCCGCTATGCTTGGCTTATGTAGCAAAATGCCCTTTTATGTCGAAAACTAGTACTTGATTACGTCACGTCTCATCACTTCCAGATCGAGAAAGCCTCACTTTTCGGACGCTTTTATTTCCCTGTTTTCTCCTCTTTGGCTTCTTCAGCTTCTTCAGCTTCTTCGGTTCAACGGCTTCAACGTCTTCAACGGCTCGCTGTCTGGTTATATTCTACTATGTGAGGCTGGGTCGAAAAGGGCTGCTGCTTTAAACTCCTGCCATATACTCCTGCATATAATCAACATCTGATATTGAGTTAATCCTTGTCTAACATCGATCGCGTGCCTGAACTCTGCCAATGAGGCCCCTGCTCAGCGGATTCCAAGCCCTGATGGGATCTTCCGCTTCAGATCAATCCTCGCCAGCAGGCAGCATCTCGAAGCTGGTCATCCTCTCCTATGTCCTGGACTGGATAGTCATCTTGTTCGTCCCCCCCTCCTCTGCGCGCATGTCGTAAGGGGCGGCTAGTTTCTCGATGCAGCGCTGACTGGGTGGCTACAGGTTGATGGCCGCGCTTGGCCGCATATTTGCAATTGCACACCCAAATAGGCACTCGTTCAGCCTCCGAGATCCCAACATATCATATTCCTTTGCCGCCAAGGAGACCGTCACAGTAGAAGAGCTTATACTGATCAGCTTTGTTGCGCCTCTTGTCTTAATTGCGCTGTTCAGTCTCCTCCTTATACCCGGCCGAGCGGCCGCTGCAGGCGCACCCAGCTCCCTGGTATGGCGACGGAAGCTCTGGGAGTGGAATGCGGGTTGGATGGGCTTTGGAGTAGCGTATGCCTGCACTTATGCTGCGACAGAAGGGATGAAAGTGCTCTTCGGAAAGCCCCGGCCGGATATGCTGAGTAGATGTGACCCGGACCTAGCTAATATTGCCAAACACGTCGTCAGCGGGCTGGGACAGAGGCTCGAGGGAGCGCCGGTGATGGTTTCTTGGACGATCTGCCGCAATATGTCGAGGGCGCTGCAACGTGACGGTTTCGTCAGCTTTCCGAGCGGCCATTCGTCCTGTAAGTTTTGATCCAATCCTATCATATATACTGCAATTGTCGCTAACCAGTAATTCAGGCTCATTTGCTGGCCTGGTCTACCTGACGCTCTGGGTGTGCTCAAAACTTTTCGTTGCCTTCCCCAACATATCACCAACCCTCTTCACTCGACACATCCGCGTTTCCTCTTTCCATCATCACCCAGATGATGAAGAGCCCAACCACACACAGTCATCCTCGGATGAAATCCCGCTACGCGAGCAGGGAGCTGCACCGCCAACGTACCTCCTCCTTATAGCCGCCGTCCCTATCTGTACAGCAATGTTCATCGCCAGCAGTAGATGGGTGGACAACAGGCATTTTGGATTCGATATCATATTTGGTGCTCTGCTTGGCACACTGTTTGCTTGGATCGGATTCAGTCTTTACCACCTCCCTCTCGCATCAGGTGCCGGTTGGGCATGGGGTCCAAGGAGTAAGCGTTTCGCCTTCTTCGCGGGAGTCGGCTACCCGACTTACGGATGCGCTATGGACAAGCACGAGCATGAGCACGCAAGGCCGTCTTTGCCCAGTGATACCGCCTAATTTTCGATCAACTTTCGCGTATATTCGCATATCGACGTATCATGCATGAATACCCCGGTTAATGCTATATATCTCTTACATCTCTATAATAAGAAAGAATATATAAATATAATAATATAATATAACCTACCTCCATCCTCCCACTCTCCCCTCATCCCACCGTGCCCTCGCTTCTCTTCTAGCCTCCAGCTTGGCGGCCTCGGTTCTAATCCGTCTAATCCATTCCGCAACCTCTCTCTCCCCCGCCACACCTCCTCCGCGCTGCCCTTCTTCTAGAAAACTCTCCTCAACTGCTCTGCAAACAGCCTCCTGCTCCGCCACAGCACCCACTAGCCGCTGATATAACGCCTTCGGCGACCATGGATCCAAAGCAGCGTCCATTTCCGTCTGTTTCTTGCGCCATGATACCTCAAGCGATTGGTGCTGTAGAAGGAGCGACTCGGTCGATGCTCGAAGGGCAGATAAATGCGATTGTAGCTCGAGCAGGTGCGTAGCTAGGGATGTGTTGGTAGCTAGTAGTTTTTCAATATTATTCGAAGCATGCGTCGATGCCGGATGCGTGCTTGCTAGCGCAGATATTAAAGTCGGATTCGATAGTAGGGCATGCAGGTCGGGAGTTCTATCACATCGTTAGTTTTCAAGCAGATTATAATCCTTTGAGCTTCTTGTTGCGCCATACGATTTATCTTGTAATATGTCTGGGATCCATCTATCTTCTATCGTGGGAGTATCAGGTTGTGTCAGTACCTGTTCGAATAAAGGGTGGCCAGTGGGGATGGCGGATGAGCGGCCTGATGTTGGCCCTGACCCCGGGGCTGAGATATCTAAGGTATCGATGCCTGGTTGTGTTTGCGAGTGTATGGGCTCCTTTGGCGGCGTGGAGGGCGGATGGCCATCGTTTAGCTGTGGTTGTTTCGGCGGCGGCGGTGGAGGAGTGTGGGGGTTTTGAAGAGGTGTTTGCGAAGCACTGTTTGGGAATGACATGTTATCGACTCTTTATTATTCTATTCTCGTGTCTTCGCTTGTTGAAGCTGTTGATGGTGTTGATGTTGAGTTTGAAATCGAAGTTCGCGGTTGATGAACCTTGTCTAGCCCGCGGCCACGATGATGTCACCTGATGGGGCTCTGCGAGGCGTTTGTTTAAGCGACGCCAAACTTCAACGTCCAAGCTACTTCGTACAACTCCTTGAGATGAGATAACATTTGGTTACCAAATGGGCAAAACTTGAATCTGCTTGCTGAGATGAGTGTATGAGCTCGCTATCAGCCGAAATAATGAGTCTCTGGCTATTGGATGTTTTGGTATTAGCTGCCATCCAATTTAGGAGCCACATTCCGCAACGGCGTTCGATAACTACGTCTTAGTTATGGCTGAACATGAGATGGCGAAGGTGTCAGGTAGGCTGCGCTGACCTATCTCTACCACGCTGTTGAACTGTCGAATTAACCTGTCAAATTCTTATATCCACTCATTACCAATATCAATACATGGTGATAGCGGCTCTTCACTCCCGCGCATCCTTTAAAGCAACCACTAAGCAAAGCGGCGTAGCTAGTCAAGATATATTGTGAAGTTTGAGTCCAGAACTACTTCACAATTCCAGATTACCAAGTTACTGAGTGCTGGAAATGCGGCCCATAGGCCGATAGGTTACCGTGTACTCACGGCTCGGTTAAATATTGACAGCCATCATCTGAGGAATATATGTCAGCTAGATACCCTGAATGTTCTTATAGAAACCACCAAACGCGATAACTAGTGTTAAATAAGGTCAGTGTTGGCTAACTTTCGTCTCTTCCTTTGAATACCACAAGTTGTGTTTGACTCTGCAAGGGCAACGCATAATATCAATAACATGGCTATAGGAAAATTTCAGGGATCAATACTTGCCGGGATGGTTATAATATCTCTAACATATAATACGGGCCCTGAATGCATTAGAAAGGTGATTGTTAACAATTCTGTCATGTACTAATAATCCTTAGTTAGTAGGAAATGCATAAACACATTGAAGCGGAAATCTCTCTGAGACGATACATGTAAATCTATCCAAGCTTGGTTCTAACCTTTCCAAAATCGCGAATATCACCCCTTTAATCCCTTTAATATTGCCTCTCTCTGTAATGATATAAATTTGTGCAGGGGCTTGGCGGTGCCATAAAGGCGCAAGAAATATCATGATAGCTTAAGTATGGGCAGCGATACAGTATATTACTACCCATCTGGGGGGCCTGTTCGGGCAACTAATCAGGAACTAAGGCCCTGATGTAATTGATACGATGTGCTTCGGATAGGAAACATTCGCACTCTCTCAACGTCGCTTCGAAGTTCAATAAGTATAATGACAGCCTAGCTTCCTCCTTACAAAAGCAAGGGGCAAATACTATGCTAGCTATGAATATTCCGAAGCGAACCTGGGACTAGGTCTTATTGATGAAGCATTGGGTGGAAAGTGAACTGCTTTTGATGGCACACAGCCTTAAACCTGCCATCCAGGACAGGTATGATAGCCCAATTAGAGCGCTCTTGACAATGAGATGAAGACATAACTCCCTTCATCTATACATATTTTCGAGTTCTAGTTGTCGTAAAGGAAATAAGTCACTTGCTATAACTACTTGGTTGTTGCTTTAGGTTTTTAGTTAACGTTCACGCGTTTTTAGCGCCCGCTGCTTCTCGGGAGTGACATCATAGCCTACTGACTACCAGATAAAGTCTTATTTCATCAACTCTTTCTATTTTGAAGCGATAATTAAGAATAGAAGTAGTTAATTTCCTTTCATTTGATGGGTATTAATGATATTCTAGGAACTTTGTGGCGGCTGATGATAATGGAAGAATCTGCCCGTTCAGATACCAGATCCTGTTCACTGTCCTCCGCCTCCGACAAGTGGGAGGCCGCTGAGGAGTGCTCCACTGAGCAAGCCTTTGTTGAGCACCCCTCCCTGTGGTTGGCGAGCATGAAGAGAGCGTCGGCTTGGGTTATCATCGAGGTTGCCAAACTGCTCTCCAACAGCATCTTCGACAGAGTCTCCCACGGCCGTCGCTTGTTTCAACGTCTGGTCACTCACGCACCCTTGGGCTTGTTCTTCCCCAGAGCAAAGGCTGTTATCAGAGCTGCTGGAGCCATCAAATACTTTGTTTTGTGCTCGGGGTTCCTATTATGGAGAAGATAAGTGTTAATGAGAGCAATGTAAGGTTTTACGTGAGTGGATAGGAGACGATGGAGTGAAGTAGTTGCTAGGGAGAAGACTCACGATATTCAACTCTCCAGCTATTTTTCCACTTGGGAGGATGGCAGGGGCCGCATAGACCAACGATATGGCAGTAATAATCCAGTAGAGGAAACGCATGGTGGAATATTGGAGATATGTAGTTGCTTTGACAGTAGGAGGTATGGAGATGATGTTCGTTTGAGTAGTGTTAAGATGCAAAGAAGACAGAAGAAGTAAGAGGACGAAGGCGGTATTTATCTACGGCTGCATCGTTACCCCTTACCATTGTCTAATGCCGATAGCTCAGGAAAATTGGATGTGATGGTCATTTCACATGTATGTCTTTGGATAGGTAATACTCTACCCTAATAGTCTTAATAGATACATTCTTCTACCGTCTGTTGTACAACAGGGCAGCCAACCAAAAGAACCTTTCATCTCAGGTATACAAAGTGAGGTGTCTATTGTACAACCTTCCCATCCGGTTGACGAGTACGGAGAGATGGCTGCGGATTTATCGAACAAATCTAAGGTTAACTAGCTCGCTCTCCTTATCGTACCTCATCTGCAGGGGATCACGCTGGTGTCTCACACAACCGATGCAGTCTCGTCAACGTATTGTCCGACTTACAGGCGTATCCGTGTTCAGAAGCCCATTTACCGTTGTAGCACAAGGGGAGGCAGTCTAATGGCAGGTGTCCCTGCAATTTCCGGGGCAACCATCAATTGCAAACGTTTTTTTCCTGGCTCGTGACTCTCAAGCGGAGTGCACTTTTTCGCCCGGACTGGGAAAAGGTTGGCCATAAGAGAGATCGTACCTCGATTTTCACTGTAGAACTTGTGGCGCGAAGTTGCAGGAGGCACAAACAGAGTTTTGACCCTGAGAGATAGACAATATACTAACTATATTCAACTAGACAGCCAAGCAAAGATGCGGGAGTCAAATAAGTGGATCATGACCAATTAACTAATTGTGGTTAGTGCCTTTATTTGAAAGTCTGGTACTCGACTTCTCTTAACCAGGGCTCGAAAAAAATAACATCTCAATACTTTCCGATGATCACAAAATCATCAGAACACCACACGCTTCTCGGGGTTGTACGGAGTAGTATTCAACATTGCCAAATCAAGTCCAACGAAAAGTATTATGATAATCTTTTTGAAATGTCTAAAATGCTTAAATCGACTAAGCAATCAAACCTCTGTCATTTAACATTTGGTATGTTATTAAAGCAAAGTTGGTAAATTGATATATTAACTGTGTACCAGGAAATAACTATTAAACAGGTGGTTACATGTGTCAAAAAGGGGTGAATATAACCAAAAGAAAGAAAGGCCTTGCTGAGTGTGCTGCTTCTATGCATATGACCCAGACTACTCCCCACTATGGACACATGCCAAATACACAACGTTACCATCAATGGAATAGACGTGGTAACGGACACATTGATTACTGGCCATCTCGCTTGACATACTCCAATACTTCTTAACTATCCACTGACTCACGACGTCCGAATCCGTGGCTCTTGGTATTTCCATGTGAGTTGAGCAAAGAGTCGATTACGGTGTTGGTTCGACTGTTTTGCTCATCCCCGTTTCGCTTGGCTTGCTCACGACGATCAAACCCGTGGTTGTGAGTGTTCCCATGTGTGTTAAGCAATGGCTCGATTACAGTATTTGTGTGGGCGTTTTGCTGGTGGTTGAAGGGGAAGCCATCGTTGTTTCGCTTGGCCTCCTTGGGAACATTTTCGGAGTCACGGCGATCAAACCCATGGTTGATGTTGTTTCCGTGGCTGTTGAGAAGTGGGTTGATCACGACGGAATGTTCGCCCTCTTGTTTGTGATTGAATGGGAAGTCATTTCCATTTCGCTTTTCGCGGCCGAGGTTGTTTGCATGGATGCCGGCGTCCCCTGCATGGATGCCTCGTACGTCACCGCCGAAAGGGAAAAGGCCGTGCCTTCGCCCGATCTTCTTCTTTTGTGCCTCTACATCCCCGGACGAGTCACGGCGGACTATGCCGGTAGAGGAGCCGGTGACTTTCCGGGCGATGCCATCGACAACTTCAAGGGGATTGATAGGCGCCCTCTTCTGGTTGGTTGGGGTTTCTCCTTCAGTTGTAGGAGTCTCTCCTTCAGGTGTGGGAGTCTCTCTTTCGGGTGTGGGAGTTTCTCCTTCGGGTGCGGGAGTTTCTCCTCCAGGTGTGGGAGTTTCAGATGTGAAGGCCTTCCCATTGTTGAATCCACGTAGAAGCTGACTGATGGGGTCTTTGCCAGTGGCGATAGTCAAGGGGTTATTCAGTCGTTCCGGATCCTATAGTATCCGTCAGTTTGAGATGCTTAAAGAGAGGAAGGCTCTGCCCAACAATTGTTGTAATAGAGAGGAGTTCCTGAGTAGCGGAGCACACTTACAACGGCGTTCTGGAGATTCTGGAGATTCTGAGGGTTAATGGGGGTAGCTAGAGCCGCTGGGAGGGCGGCCACAGCCCAGTAGATGAAGCGCATGGTGAATGAGTTGTTCGTCTGGCTGATAGGAAAGACAAGTCGGGATGAGGATGGCGGTGACAATCGGGGCCCTTGGCCTGAGGTATCCCATGGCCATATTTATACAGTATCCTAGCGAGCAAAGGTAAGACATATCGTCCCGGTTTACTTTGTGATATCGCCTTCCCGCACAGCTGGGGGGGAGGGGGGGTGTGCACGTTCGACGGACTTGATCTCCACAGTAATAACAGGCAGAAAGTCCGATAGTCTCTGCTTATTCTACTACCGACCAACTGCCCGTCACAGTCGACGGCCAGCAGTCACTAGGAGTCCAGCACTGTGTGACGGAGTAGGTTTCGATATATTGGGGGTATTGGTGGGACAACAGAGCCGATCGTCATATAACTAGTACTGAGTTGGCGGTCCCTTGCAGCTTTTTCAGGGGCAAGGTAGGACAAGCGAGTGCCGGGCCGAATTGGGATGCAGGTACGTAGACTTTCAACCCGCGGTCGCCGATTAACAATAATATCAGTTTAGTCACCTTTACCCGCCTTGTTATTGTCGCTGTTGCGGCTGCGGCTGCGGCTGCCAGCGCTCAAGCCCGTGCCGTAGACTGGGCTGCGGGTTTTGCCATCGAGCGCCACAGAATCGGCCTTTGCGCCTGGCCAGATGCGAGCTAGTAGGATGATCGATCGATCGATCACTCCGATCCTGGGGAAAGGTGTCAGAGGTAGCGTGAGGTCACATTGAGCCATTGCTGCGAAGAGAGGAAATGCCCAGAGTAGTAAGCCGTCAGTATGGTGGTATTCACTATCTGGCAGTGGCTATAAGTACGGAGTACTCCGTAGGTAACTAAGGAACCAAGTACTCGTGCTTAGGCAGGTAATAAGCTAACTAACTAGTTAGCCAGTGGATTAGCTAGTCAGTTAGTTAACTAATGTGATATATGTGCTGAAATATGAGCAACGTTAGAATCAAGATATTTAAAAATAGTAATCAATATCCACACTGCTCTTTGCCTAGAGGCTGTCCCCCATGCCCCGTAAACGCATAGACTTTTCCTTGACAAGCCTGAGCTCTGCGTCCTGGAGCCTTTAACATGGCTTGATTCTTCTCATGGGGCGCTCAAGGCTTCTAGCATGGCTGTTAATAACTCTTCGGACACCGCAATGCCGCATCCCAAAGCAAGAAGGTATATACATTGTTGCTGATCTACCGGGTCGACTGAGCGGTGGTGGCAAAGGTGAGGGACACAACAGCGAGGGTCAAGCCTTGATAGGGTATTGTACAAGGGCGAGCTTGGATGGGTAATTGGGAGTTAATGAAGGTAAGTTCTCGTTCCCTCTCAGGGGAAGGAAACACAGGCAGGCAAGATGAGTATTTATGCCAGTTCAAACTGTCTTTTAGAGAGAGAGAGAGCCACTGAAAGACCAGCCTTGCTTGACCAGTGTTCTGAGGAAAGGGAATATCAATGAGACGCTGGTGAAGGCATTCTTAATATATACTTAGATGATTCTGCTTCGTCAACCGTTTACAGGGGCCTCTCTCCAATTCTAACGCACTTTGTGACCGATAACATAGATTGAACGACTGCCACTCATTAAGTAGTTAGTTAGTGTCACCAAGAACTGTGCTTCTTTAACTAGTTATTCGAATTATGAGTTTGTACTTGGGTAGTGAGATGCGCATTGGCTTTATCAATATCTGCTACAGGACCGGCTCGCCGCAAATATTCATCCCCTTCGTCCTTGTTATGTCGAGATACTCTGGCCAAATGTTTAGAATCCGATCCAGCCACTATGCCCTTGAAGATCGTATATCCGAGTGCTGAAATTCGATCTCCGAATAAGTCACACCACCCTAACATATACATAGGTACTAGAAAAGATCTTAGCTAACTATTAGCCGGCGCATGATTTTTCTTGATTCCGATAACACTTTTCTCACCATGGTTATAGTACTTTAAGTATTAGATGCGAAGATAGAGGGATAGCGATCACCGGCAGTGGTAAACCGAGCCAAAGTAGCATCAATCTCAGCCATTTCTTCATCTGTAAGATCAATCAACGTAGCATTTTCTTTAGTACGCTCTGCTGTTGTGGCACCCGGAGTAGGGATAATAGTAGGCATGTCTGGACGCTTTGCAATCATCCTCGTCCAATTAATAGCGAGCTGAGCTGGGGTACAGCCCTTCTTCTGAGCCATCTTCTCAACCTGTTGTACAAGCTGTAGGTTGATTTCAAAGTTCCCCGGCTGGAAGCGCGGAAAGTGTCGTAGGACGGAGTCTTCCGGGATATCCTCAATCTTTTTAATCTGGCCCGTTAACATTCCTCTGCCAATAGGCGAGTATGCAATGATTGGGATACCGTATTGTGCGCACGCCGCGGCAACACCATTCTCCAGGATATCTGTGGAGAAGCTGCTGGACAATTAGTACAAGTTCGCGGATATAGTAGCCAGGGGCTAACTTTACTTACAGGGATAGCTCGGCTTCAACGGCGAGAACCTTGGTATGCTTGACAGCTTCGTGAATTGTTTCTGCACGTACTTCAGATAGAGAAATACCACCAATTTTGCCGGTCTGGACATACTCTTTATTAATAACGCCAAAGGTCATAGACATAGGTATGTTTGGATCTCGGCGGCCGTAAGCAAAAATATCCAGTTTCTTACAACCTTTAAGTTGAGCAAGACTGGCATTAATTGACCGGCGTGTATTTTCTGGTGAACCATCAACAACAAATCCATGGGTAGCAATGTCTGTACCGCCTTTGACAATAAGGACAATCTTGTTCGCATCTTCTGGGTACATGTTTAGGTATTGCTCAACAAGTACAAGACTGTTGTACTCGGGCGTCCCGTAAAATTCTGCACCATTCCAAAGGTTGTCTAGAGGACTAAAGTTAGCATTTACTCTAGAATACTTGTTTCTAGTAAGCATGAATGGAGAGATTGATCACGAACTTCCATGCTGGAGTGCGGTATGCATAGCCTCGAATGCCTGCTCCTGGGAGCACGGCTTAGCTCGCCAGGTAAAGCCCATGAGGCCTAGCCCAATAGGGCCGACGTCCTTGCCTGCAAGTTGAGTCATATTTTGTGTCTACTAGTTGAGTATGCGTGTGTTCTTCTGCGTGAGTGTATGTTCGAGATTCATCTTGCAGGCGAGGTTCTTCTGCGTATTTTGTAGTTACTGCGAATGTTAGGCCATGGGCCCCTTGAGGAAGGCTTCGGAGTTTATTATGTAGTTAAAGCCGTATAACAAGCTTAAGTCCATCGCGCATCGGCAAAAAGAGACCCCGGATTAACTCCGGGAATCAGGAGTTTAGACATGCAACCAGCATGCTATCTGTTCTAATGGATGTAACTAGCGTGACATCACCGAGCTGCTGCTAGGTATGTATGTAAAAGCCGGCTAGCACATAACTAGTTATCCTTGCTGCTAGGATCCGGCGGATCAACCGGATGGTTGGTTGGATAACTAACGTAGACCAAGCTGATTCGGACCGAGCCTCTTTCGCTCAGGCATCAGATAGGCGACACGGTCGAACAACGCCTAGTGATATGACGAGGTATAGTCATCATGCGCTATGAGCCCTGGCTTGCGGTCCTTGGAGCTACGCGTTCGCTAGATTGCCAGTTCCCGGTAATATCTACCAAAACCATAATGCCGCTGGAGGGTTAAGACGCGGAAGTACTCGCCGATATTGTAGGGACGCTTCAGCTTTATGGCATTCGAGAAACTAGTGTCTCTGCGCGGATATCATGGGTGAACTGCCCCTTCACTTCAGGCTTGAGCAGAGTAGATTGCAGCATCGTCTGAACTTGACAGTTCTGAATATTCATGCAGGGACCGCCAGTCGGCAGGCCGGGTGGGTATAATAACGAGGCCGGGCTGGGGATCTTAAAGAGTTCATAGCCTTCGGTAAACGACATCATTGAAAGATGTTTCTCGAATAACGAATACACTTGAAACACCTGAGCTATAGTTAATGGCGGAAGAACTAATCCCCGCATCCGTAGCTCAGAATCAAACTTTAGCAAAGAGCAAAGTTGACGGACGAAGAGCTTGAATTGTTGGTTGGTGATAACAGCTTCAAGAAGTGAATGCGTTTACGTCCGACATCATGGAGGTAGCCTCCAGATCAATATTGCAGAGGACCGTCCTCAAGCCCCAGATACTGCGGAGACCGGCTCCCTACCTTGCCTCGACACCAGCCTGCTCCCATCCGATCACACGCCGGCACTTCAGCTCGTCGCCGCGAAGGACAGCGGACCCTAACCATGGGCCTTTCTTTGGCCTCGGTGCCGGGGGGTCACCACCCATGGGCACACCTACGACGTACTTCTCCAACCGCCCTTCATTGCCTGCCAACACCATAGTCAGATTCGTGCCCCAGCAGACAGCATGGATAGTGGAGCGGATGGGGAAATTTAACCGCATCCTGGAGCCGGGGCTGGCTATTCTGGTCCCTTTCCTTGATAGGATAGCATACGTGAAGAGTCTGAAGGAAGCGGCTATTGAGATTCCGAGTCAGAATGCTATCACCGCAGACAACGTTACTTTGGAGCTTGATGGCGTGCTATATACTCGGGTATTCGATGCTTATAAGGCGAGGTTGGTTATTACATCAATGCTACTGACGGACTGGAAAATATACTGATATGCTATCTGTTAACTATAGTTACGGCGTGGAGGATGCGGAATATGCGATATCCCAGCTGGCACAGACGACGATGAGATCCGAGATCGGTCAACTGACTCTCGACCATGTTCTCAAGGAGCGTGCCGTTCTAAACACGAACATCACACAAGCCATCAACGAGGCCGCGCAGGACTGGGGTGTGACTTGTCTCCGTTACGAGATCAGAGACATCCATGCTCCTGAGGGAGTCGTTGAAGCCATGCACCGTCAAGTGACCGCCGAACGATCAAAACGTGCCGAGATTCTAGACTCCGAGGGTCAACGACAAAGCGCAATCAACATTGCAGAAGGTCGTAAACAGTCGGTCATCCTTGCGTCAGAGGCTATGAAGTCGGAACAGATCAACAAAGCTATGGGTGAGGCTGAAGCTATCCGCCTAAGAGCCGAGGCTACTGCTCGCGGAATCGATGCTGTTGCAACGGCGATCCGCGAGGGACAGGAGGCTGCTAGTGGCGCAATCAGTCTCTCCGTGGCTGAGAAATACGTCGACGCTTTCTCTAAGCTTGCGAAGGAGGGTACCGCTGTTGTTGTGCCCGGTAACGTCGGTGACATGGGCGGTATGATTGCCAGCGCCATGGCTGTCTATGGAAAAGTCTCGGAAGGACAGGCTAAGACGATTGCCGCAAAGGCCATCCAAGCTGGTGAGCCAGCTGCGGAACAGAAGACTACTTCCGACGTGCACACAGCTACAAGCAAAACCACTGCCTTTGAAGACAGAGACCACAATTCCGGAACGAGCCGAAGTGAAGTAGCCGAAAGTGTTCTTGGTGGGTTTGAACAAGCCAGCCACCGGGACCGGTAGAAAGAGTTGGCTTTCTATCTAACTAGCTACGACGCTTCATGGCTACCGCTTTTATCTCTTTTATATCAGTTCTACTTTACTCTCACCGGTTGTCACAATGTAACATTAACGTTCCATACACTGTTGTATTTTCTTCCAGGCTCAAGTTGGTTTTCACCGCTCAATGTTTATCAGGGGCACTTGTACGATGGGAAAAGTCAGTCGGGAAACTCTTCACCTCTTTACCAACTACGGCGTATACATCAGGGCCTTACTAGAATTATTCACATCTCCTTTCCAGCCACTTCAGTATGATTTACTTAGAGAGCAGTCTACAAGTAAAACCGAGAGTACAATTAAGGTTTCGGGTTTTGCCGCCGAGCCAAGAGTTTCAAACCCGACGACGTCCATCAGCGACGTCGTAAAGATGACATTTGCAGCTACAATTACAACATGTCTGACAATTGATTGCAGCGACATCTGCTGCTTTAACTATCAGACTCAGAGACTGTTTGTCTCTCGTGAGTTTGTAGAAACCATGTCTCTAGATATCCATCACCTCGATACCCGACATTGTCGCTCAGTGAAGATGTACTAAAATACGTCATCATTCACTTCGGCAATGGAATAAATCTAAGTGAATGTGGCAACCTAAGGAGCCTACTAGAATTTCCCTTCCATAAAATGCCCTTTCTCCCACTTGTATTCCTTTACTTCTATCCTTATCTTCAGGGCTATAAAGGACGCTTCATCCCCTTACCTTTACTTCGAAATTTATTATGCTAACCACTCCCTAAGAATAAGTCTTAATCATTTGTCCACTCAAGTTACTAAACCTAGATTAGGTTGAAGAACCGTCGCGAAATAAAATGAGCGAGCTAGGAGGCCTCCCGGTCTGAAGGTAGCTTAATAATTGGTTCACTTTATGAACCTGCATAACCATACCCCTAACGTTTCTAGGCCACATTCAGCTTCAACCTCAAACTAGTGGAACTATGAGCGAGATGTCGAGTCCCAGTGACCATGTAGAAGGGAAAATGCATAATCTCGTGGTTTGCGGTGCTGTTGACGCACAGTCTCCCGCCGACGCGGCCCTATTTGCAGATTTCATGGGTATTTCGATGACCCTCAGACATGCTGCTCCGGGCGCTGAAGGAACAGCCCTCTCCTGCTTTCCGCTGGATGAGCATTGGGATGTTCTGGAAACTAGAACTCCTCCAATAACAACCATCAAATGGGGGAAATTCTGGCCAAATCAGACTCCATTGTTTACATACTCCAAGGCGCAATCGAGAACAAGGAATAACAAATGGTTCGAATATGTCTGCCCTGAAGATATCCTTGAAAGAGTCACAACCTGGATACAGGATAAAGCTCATAGCGTGGCCGAAAATGACGTGGTAAACATCTTTTTGGAAGCGCATGGGGTAATGAACGGGAAAATAAATCTAGGACCTAAACATCTAGAAATATCTACAGTGACCAACTTACATTCACAATTCCCCACAAACTGTCAAGTAAACGTGGTTGGGTCCCACAGCTGCTCTGGAAGTTTGTTCAGGGAAATCAGAGCCAGTGGCCAGATAGCTCGACCTGTTGTTGCCGATTGTGGGCCTGAGGAATTTATACACTTTACCGCCATCCGTTCCGTGGGCAACAGGATCAGGAACTTCCGTTCTTCGATGCCCTTCGTTCAGTCTCTGGCGCGAGTCAACTTCCCGTGGCTGCCTCGGCAAGCCACTCCGCCTATATTCATTGCTGAACATGAAGCATTCATGAGAGAGGCAATGCGGAGAATTATCCCGACGCTCTCACGTCCCTGTCAAGCCGACACTTATACCTCCCATTTATCACCCAAGGCCCAGGCGTCGGTAACCCTATTGGAAGCGTTGATTTTGCGGGACCATGTTGATGTCGTCTTTTTCAAAGAAACCGTCCACAGAAGGCGACGTCCAGAGTGGCCTACCCTCGACCTACAACTAATGGAACAGATGCAGAGAAGTATATCCCCACCTAGTAGCCTCTAGCTAAGAGGATCTAAAACTATATCCATGCAGCGGCAGCAGAGTGTGATTTCGATAATGCATTTAGGGATGATGGTCCGATTATGGGACGATTAGAGTATCTGAAGACCAATATGCTGGCATATTACGAGTTCTTTACCTTAGAAGTAGGGCATAGTCTGCGGTATGGTATTCATTCCTCATTCTCTGTGAACGAAGTTTCCTCAATCTGGAGATGAGCTTGGAACATCCAATAAATTTCTACACCAAGCCTGTGCCATTACGTAAAGTGATGTATATACGTCTGTGCTTTAAAGAGCTATACGAAGCCGAATGTGTTTGCCAAACAACTTCAACACCAGCTTAAGCACTCCAACCCAATAGCTGGCGGGGATGATATCACAAGGATGTGCAGAGCCAGAGCAACTGATCGAAACCATCCGTTATACGGAGATGCTTGGTTCATTGCTCGAAGGTGAACTACAAAGATTGCTTCGCGAGAACAACGGTGCTATTTCGTTTGAGTACGACCCCCAAGATGGTGGCTGGATACTCGCCGCCACCGGCTGGTTCCTGGCTTCCCTATGGGGTTGGCAACGATCCCTCACTGATTTCTGACATCATTGTCAAACAAATGGCGTTTTTTAACGAGACAGAAGCTCTTTTTAAGGAACATTCTGGGCTAACTAGCTGACGCAGAACTACTTTTAACGCCGCAGAAATTCTCCGCCAGGCAGCAATAAAGACTGAGACGCGTACTCGGGGTTCAGAAGCCATTTGAGCAATATCCACCAAACCCTAGCGGCCAATTATAGCTGAAAACTGTCGAATGTGTTGGAATGATGTAGGGATCGGACCAGAGAAACTCTAAAAGTTGTCTTCATTTCCGGTCCCCGCAATCTATCTACCCTTGCTTCACTCCATCCGATTTTCATGATCGATGAGATGTTGGGGGGGGGTTTGCCATTCGCATAGTTAGCTATCCCACCGATATACCCACCTATAACCACTAACTATCCTTTCGCGGAACTCGACAGATGGGGAACGCCAGTAACTCGCCAACATCGCAACAACATTCACCGCCGGCCCCTCAATCTCGGACTTGCTCCCTCGATGGGGTCTGAGCCAATGCAGGAGTGGTGCGGTTGTTATTCGCCACAATGGCTTGTTGGTGCTAAGCACCATCCTGTGGAGCAACTAAAAGCTAGCTTGATGCTTAGCCCTGGGTTTAGACAAGCCACGTATTATCCCCTCGGTGTACAATAGCCACCTCCTTTTCTTATTGTTGTTGCGGTTTTCCAGCAAGCTCCTGGTGGAGATCCGCTATACAAAGGGTATGTCTGTCTTGATGACATGGGAGCATTTTGGAAATAGATAAGAAAATTCTCGCGTTTCCCTTTCGTCTCCGTGAAAGCTGAGATTGACCATGACAAGCCGGAAGTTAGTTTTGCATTATAGCACAGGCAGACGGCATCTCTCAGCTCAGCTGCGGGGAGGCTGGCATAGAGATTCATCATTAAACCCTGTGTTCTGTATCGATTCCTGTATCGTTTGGCTGCATATCGAACCATGCGCCACTTTGTATGTACCAGAAGTTACTCCGTACTTCTACACCGGCTCTCTTGGGTGTGATGGCATCAGTCCACCTCCCCAATTAATGCCCGCGAGGGTGCCTACTATATTTCTTCGGGTATTCTGAGCATATCTGCGATGTGATGACAGCTTCTAGCGAGTTTCGATAACTGAATCATGATGAGATGGAGACATGCGGTGCATTAGAATAACTACGTGAAGTACATCGGGAAGAACAGCGGGCAATCCACGGACTGACGACGCTGACAGTACATTACACGGATCCGCTGTAGCCACAAGCGAGGCGAATGCTGAACCGGTATTGGAGGTATCTGTAGCAATAGCATCATAGCCCCTCCATGAATATGCTGCTTGCGATCCATCCCGAAACGCAGGCGGGTTAGGGAATAAGGGAGAAGGGGGTCCACACGGATATCGCTGACGGCATCGGCGGCTGGCAAGCAGCGTGTCTATAAATTCACCGCTATATCCCTATCTTCGAGTTGACTACTGAATATAAATCTACATCAAATCAAACTATCTACAGATAAACAAGCCACAACTACAGCACAGCCAGCAATTATGGGTTTCTTTGAGAGTAAGACAGCCCCTTATACTCACTCCAGCTGAGAGCTTGCTAGGACGAGTCTAACGGTGCTTAACTTACTAGACTTCTCCAGCCATGCTGAAGCCCACGAGGAGGTCATGAATGCCCCTCACAAGGCCTCCCTGTCCCACGAGCTGATTGCCGGTGCTGCTGCCTACGAGGCTGCAAAGGCCTATGAGGACCACGTCCAGAGGAATGGTAAGAAGAGACATCTAGTCTACTTGGTATGATTAGCAAGTTGCTTACAGGGATATCACTGTTATAGGAAAGCCAGAGAGCCATGCCAAAGCCAAGGAGATCCTCGCTGGCTTCGCTGGAGCTTTCACGGACCGCATCATCGAGACCAAGGGCCTTGACTTCATCGATAGGGAGAAGGTGAAGCGCCAGGCTCATGAGCATGCCGAGGACGCCCTTGGCCGGGAGTACTAAGTGGGTGGCTTGATGGGATGATTTGATGACGTGACGTAAATAAATATAAACATATAACTACTAGTTACAGAATTAAACATGATCAAGAGAACAAAAGAGCTTGTATTTGGATGATTATCAAGAATATCTCTATCAGTTCCATTGCTCGAGATGGAGCTATATCATGACTGGGTTGGTGAAGCTGTGAAAGTTGCTTCATGTTTGAGTTCTGGTAGTTAACCATTTACTCTAACTCACCATACGTGCGGTAGAAAAGCCAGAGACCCTGGACGAGGCCAAGCGGTTCTAGGGTGACTTCGCTAGGTTTTACGTTCTGAGAAAAAGGAGTATAAATCGAAGATACAGCAGAAGGCTTACGACAATGTCCAGAATACCCCGCAGAGGAGTATTAGGTTGGCAGTTTGATGGGATGATGTAGATATATGTTGTTAAGAGAATTAAGTCAAGAGAACCAGAGAGCCTGTATTCACTATCTAGTATGTCTCTACCAGTCAATTGCTGGAAATGAGATAACCTCCACGAAGCATTAGCGTGGAGAGTATTATTCGTTTCGTAATGTTGAAATTAAGTCTATGACATTTACCATACCTGTGCCCTTTTTGCCCTTGATTTTGATGTTGAATAAACGGAGTAGGAAAAGAAGAAAGAAAATCAGCTAAACCAAGCAAAAAAGCACGCTCCCATGTTCACGTTTCAATAATTTAATAGCGGTAGCTGTATGAAGTTTATTGGTTAGCAAAAGATTGTTTTTTTGGTTGCGTTGTGGTGGAGGGGTTTATAAGGAGTAGTTAAACACTTACATGTCGCTCTTGAAGGGACCCTCGACGTCGAGGCCGAGGTATTCGGCCTGCTTGGCGGTAAGCTTGGAGAGCTTAGCGTTGACGTGCTCGAGGTGGAGGAAAGCGACCTGCTCGTCGAGGATCTTGGGGAGGACGTAGACACCGATGTCACGCTTGCCGGTGGCACCGAACTCGACGTACTTCTTGCCGAACTCGGGGTCGTTGCACTTGAAGAGGAGGATCTGAGCGAGGACCTGGTTGGAGAAGGAGCAGGACATGACGAAAGAGGAGTGGCCGGTGGCACAGCCGAGGTTGACCAATCGTCCCTCAGCGAGGAGGATGATGTGGTTGCCAGAGGGCATGAGGTAGCGGTCGACCTGTGGCTTGATGTTCTGGACGGACTTGGCATTGGCCTTGAGCCAGGCAACGTCGATTTCAATGTCGAAGTGACCGATGTCTGGATCCTGTCAGTGCATGTACTCATGAATATATATTGAGTACAGGGTTTACTTACTGCAGACAATGGCGTCGTTCTTCATGACGCTGAAGTGCTCGCCAGTGAGGATGTCACGGCAACCGGTGGTGGTGACGAAGATCTGGCCCTTGGCGGCGGCCTCCTCCATGGTGAGGACCTGGTAACCGGCAACGGCAGCCTGGAGAGCGTTGATAGGGTCGATCTCGGTGACGATGACGGCAGCACCCATGCTGCGGAGGGCCTCGGCGCAGCCCTTGCCGACGTCACCGAAACCAGCAACGACAGCGATCTTACCAGCAATCATGACATCGGTGGCACGCTTGATTCCGTCGATGAGGGATTCTCTGCATCCGTAGAGGTTGTCGAACTTGGACTTGGTGACGGAGTCGTTGACGTTGACGGCGGGGACGAGGAGCTCACCGCTCTTCATCATCTTGTAGAGGTGGTGGACACCGGTGGTGGTCTCCTCAGAGACACCGTAGCAGTCCTTGAGCATCTCTGGGTACTTCTTGTGGACGAGGGAGGTCAAGTCACCGCCGTCATCGAGGATGAGGTTGAGCTTCTTTCCGTCCTTGAAGGCAATCAATTGCTGCTCCAGACACCACTCGTACTCTTCCTCGGTCTCACCCTTCCAGGCGAAGCTATACATGCAGGTCAGAAAGGAGCCGAAAACCAACAAAAAGTGCCAATTGAAGGCTAACTTACACTGGGGTACCAGAGGCAGCAATGGCAGCAGCAGCGTGGTCCTGGGTGGAGAAGATGTTGCAGCTGGACCAGGTAACCTCAGCACCGAGGGCAGTGAGGGTCTCAATGAGCACGGCAGTCTGAATGGCTGCAAAACTGTCAGCTATACACCGTCGTAACCGGGGATTGCTACCATCTCAGCATGCAGACATACTCATGTGAAGACATCCGGCGATTCTGGCACCCTTCAATGGGGCGTCTGCGGCGTACTTCTTGCGGATAGCCATCAAGCCAGGCATCTCGATCTCGGCGATCTCGATCTCGCGGCGCCCGAAGGCAGCGAGGGACTACGTGTGCCAATTAGCCATGATACTCTCCAGATATCATCGTAGAGCAGGCGTCAACAGAGGGCTCCTTACGATGTCGGCGACCTTGAACTTGGTAGCGGGAGCAGCCATGGTGGGGTTCTGGGAGATGGATAAACCTGGGGAATCGAAGACGACGAAGATGCCGGTGAAGACCTTGAAGCTGGTAGAAGCTGGATGGAGCTGGAAGAAGCAGAGATGAGGATTGAGGATGAAGATATCAGCGAGAAGAAGAAGAGAAGAAGAAGAAGAAGAGGAAGAGAAAATCGGCTTCGACGCTTTTTCTGGTCAATTTATCAAAGTCTCCGAAGTGGGGGAAAAAGTTGGCGCGGGAAGGAGCCGGGCCGATGTTTTTCCGCGTGACCGGTTCTCCAGGGGTAAACAAGAGGAAGAAGATGCTGTATTTGATAGTGATATTGATATTGATACTTGATATTTGATATGGCGAAGGGCAGTGAAGAAGGAAGACAAGGAGAAGAAGACGAGGTTAATGGGATACTGTTGTTATCATACATAGTCTAGTAGGTAGACTTGGGCAGGACGGCAGGCAGGAGAGCGCTGGGATGGAAGCTGGGAGAACCTTTGCAGCCTCGTATCCAATCGGACCCTTGGGATGCTTGCACAGAGCACGGCTGAGAGCGCATCCTCCGACTTTGGCGGTGGGCTGGCAGGAAGACAGGACTGTGAGTCGGGGGCTTTGACGGCTCTCCAGCGTTTGTAGCACCTGTGACGGCCAGTGGTAGGCAGCATTCAGACTGAAGATGGGCAGAAGTACGAGCTCGGCTACTTACCGGTGCTATTCACCCTGTCTTTTCTCCGACTCGTGAAAGATGGCGGTTGGACCTATAAGCTGGGTCAGACGGTTCATTCGGTTCACGTTTAGAAAAGCTGTATCTTGACTATCTTTCTTTCACTGAGGCTTCGGAGGAGGTGCCATAGATCCCCCCGATGCCGTCTTGCTGGTCGGTAGACGAGGGACTTTGAATGACCCCGAGTCGGACGCCGTGCTCGACTGGTTGCCAACCTGCGTAAATGTCCCGCTCTTGAACCACCGGTCTTCTTCTGCGGCTCGTTTCCTCTTGAGCTCTGCCTGAGCCTTAGGGTCGACGAGCTCTAGACCCTGGAAAGGCGTGAAGGCGATGCTACTCGCCGTTCCTGAGCCTGCAACGGGGCCGACGCCTGTGGTACGGAGACCCTGGGCGTTCAACACCGATGCGCTTCCAGGAGTGCTGCCGAGTTGGTGGAGAGAGGATGCGTGACCGGGGGCTGGAGTAGCTGTTCCCCAGCCCTTGTTCGATTTGCTAAGTTTGGCCTTTGTTCGTGGATCGATCTGGGTGGCTCGGATGCGCCCTTGGTTCTCCTGTCCGAGCATACCGAGACCCTTCGTGCCTTCTCCCGTTCCGTAACCTACTTCTTTCTCCTCCTTACCAAAAGCTAGTCGGTTCTGGGCTTTGCGTAAATCAGTCATTGCAGTGGCTTCTTTCGCCTTTCTCGCCCTTCGACCACCTCTTTTCCTTGAAGGTTTGTCATCTGGTGCGGGCAAAGCGCGAGTGCCCTTGTTTGGTGGTGGTTCGGTCAGCTTGTCCAGTCGTTCGAGACAGGCTTGTTTTAGCTGCTCTCCTGTCGAACCATCTCGGCTGCTGTGAACCCTATCCACGCGAGCTGCAAGCACTACTTTAGCTGAAACGATACGCATCGCCTGGATCTTGTAGTCATTCGGTATATCTTGAATGATGGGCGAGTGGTAGAGGAAGCCTTGGTGGCGGATTCCAACATTGGTTGCAAACCCAGATTGGGCTTGCTTCTTAGATCCCAAAGGTGATATATTGCATGAAGGCATCTTGGCCAACCCCGTCAGCCCACCCGCGTAGTTCAGAAGCTGCGCCGCAGTCAACGATCCTACTAGGGCCGTCAGATTCGGGGCAAACATAGTCATCCTTGACTGCACGTATTCTGTGAGCACCGTTTTCGCTTTCTCTAGCGAGAACATCATCTCGCAAGCTCGTAAGACACACTCCAGCTCCTCGGCAGGCAAGGGACGGCCCCGTGTAGTTGTTCCTTCTACAGCAACAGTCATCAACGATGGACCGTCAAGAATAGCTCGAAGTGTCTGTCCAACCAGGTTATCTGTTGATGATGCCATAGCCTTGATGTCATCAAACGGCCCGTTCTTCAGGATGGCAACAGTCTTCGCATAGTCTAGCGGGTTCGAAATCAAGGTCTCTAGCTCCGGGAACCGTGACGAATAGTGGTCTCTGATGAACTTGTGTACAAGCATAATCTCGTTATCAATCGACGTTGAAAGCGAGTTGGACTGTGTCAGGAGATGGTACTCCTCATCCTCTTCCACCGAACCAGTCCCAGCCTCCTCCCTCTCGGGCAGCTGCTTATAATGCGCAATTTTCTAAACACGCGCTGTTAGTATAAGGTGTCTGTCTTGTACTGGCTAAGGCACCTAGAACTCATACCTCAAGAATAGGACGTAGGGTCTCCATGAGCCGCGCCACGCTCCGGACATCAGAGACACCCTTGAACTGAGTCTTCTCAATCTTCTCTTGTCCCTCTTCATCATTTCCGGATTCATCGACGCTATCAGGCAAGATAGACGTATCTCCGGTATCTTCGTCGCGGTCATCTTGCTCCTTGAGTTGCACATCATCGAGGCCTCCTTCACTGCCGGAGTCCTCAAAATCGTTCATCAACTCATCTGCAAGGGTCGCCATAGTGTCCTGAAGCTGTATTTAGTGGTATATCGACGCCCACAAGAGATAAAAACAGCTGGTAAAGTGTTCGCCGCAAGGTAAAGTCCGAGTAACAAGCGCAGTTTCTTTTTGTCCTTTGGAAATAAAGTCGAGTGAACGGCGGACTCTAGCGACCAAAGAGGCAAAGTCTTGGCGTGACGGCCTTGAAGCTTTCGGTTTTTTTATCTTTTGATATCCTGAGAGCAAACAACAACCACGTCTACAACCGCCGACAAGGACAAAAGAAGTTTCTATCCGCGTCATAGGCAATATTTGATGCTGATTCCCAGCGCTGCCGACCATGGATTCCACACGAGGCCCTCCGAGGGTCAAGAACAAGGCCCCGGCGCCGCAGCAGATTTCTGCTGAACAGCTCCTCCGCGAAGCTGTCGACCGTCAGGAACCCTCGCTGCAAGCTCCCACGCAGCGGTTTGCCGACTTAGAGGAACTCCATGAATACCAGGGCCGGAAACGGAAGGAGTTCGAAGACTATGTTCGCCGCAACAGGATTAACATGAACAACTGGATGAGGTATGCGCAATGGGAGCTAGAGCAGAAGGAATTCCGCCGTGCTCGGTCGATATTTGAGCGTGCCTTGGACGTTGATTCTACATCTGTCGTGCTATGGATACGATACGCGGAGGCGGAGATGAAAAACCGCAATATCAATCATGCTAGAAACTTGTTTGACCGGGCTGTTACCATCCTGCCGCGCGTGGACAAGTTATGGTATAAATACGTGTATATGGAGGAGATGCTAGGCAACATTGCTGGTACTCGACAAGTGTTTGAACGGTGGATGTCGTGGGAGCCCGATGAGGGGGCCTGGCATGCATATATTAAGCTAGAGAAGCGGTACAACGAGTTGGACCGCGCCAGGGCTATTTTCCAGCGGTTCATTACTGTTCACCCAGAAACGAAGAATTGGATTAAATGGGCGCGGTTTGAAGAAGAGAACTCCACCAGTGATTTGGTCAGGGAGGTGTACGGCACAGCAGTCGAGACACTTGGAACTGACTTTATGGATGAGAAGCTCTTTATCGCGTACGCACGGTACGAGACGAAGCTGAAAGAGTACGAGCGTGCCAGGGCAATATACAAGTTTGCCCTCGACAGACTCCCTCGCTCAAAGTCTGCTGCTCTACAGAGTGCCTATACCGTGTTTGAAAAGCAGTTTGGTGACCGTGTAGGGGTTGAAGATGTGATACTGTCGAAGCGGAGAGTCCAGTATGAAGAGCAGATCAAGGAAAATCCAAAGAACTATGATCTATGGTTTGACCTCACACGGCTTGAGGAGACGTCCGGCGATGTGGATCGTGTACGGGAGACATATGAACGAGCAATTGCCCAGATACCGCCGTCACAGGAGAAACGGCATTGGCGACGTTACATCTACCTCTGGATCTTCTACGCCGTGTGGGAAGAAATGGAGAATGAAGATGTCGAGCGTGCGCGGCAGATATACACAGAATGTTTGAAACTGATTCCGCACAAGAAGTTTACTTTCGCAAAGTTATGGCTTATGAAAGCCCAGTTCGAGATCCGGCAGCTTGATCTAGTGCTGGCGCGGAAGACACTAGGGCAGGCTATCGGAATGTGCCCCAAGGACAAACTCTTCCGGGGCTATATCAACATCGAGCGGAAGCTGTTTGAGTTTTCACGATGCCGGAAGCTATTCGAGAAACAAATACAGTGGAATCCATCTCAGAGCGAATCATGGATTAAGTTTGCAGAGCTAGAAAGAGGTCTAGATGATGTGGAGCGTGCCAGAGCTATTTATGAACTAGGTATAAACCAGACGGCACTTGACATGCCGGAGTTACTGTGGAAGGCGTACATCGACTTCGAGGAGTACGAGGAAGAGTACGACCGCACCAGGAACCTGTACGAACGACTGTTGAAAAAGACCGACCACGTCAAGGTCTGGATCAACTATGCTCGATTTGAGATCAATATACCTGAAGGCGATGAGGATGAAGACGAGAATGAAGAGCGGCCGGTGTCTGAGGAAGCGAAGAGCCGAGCTAGGAAGGTCTTTGAACGGGCCAACCGTGTCATGAAGGAGAAGGACATGAGAGAAGAGGTCAGTTCCCAACCTTGCTATTTTTATATCACCACGATCTTCTGTATGTGTATATTGTATACGCTGGTCACCTGCTGACAAAATGAACTAGCGTGTCGCACTTCTCAACGCATGGAAAGCGTTCGAACACACCCACGGCTCCCCAGACGATATCAACAGTATCGAGAAACAGATGCCCAGAAAGGTGAAGAAGAAGCGCAAAGTAGACGACGACAGGTTCGAGGAGTACATCGACTACATCTTCCCAGCGGACGACGAGTCGACTGCCATGATATCGAACCTGTTGTCCACCGCACGCCGTTGGAAGGAACAGCAGCAGCAACAGCAGCAGCAAACCCAGAGTTAGACATAAACAAGACTCCTCTTTTTCTTTATCTTTATCATCACCATTTATCAGCGGCCTCTACTCTGTATATTCCCATCTCCTTCCCCTCCAGAGTTCCAGGACACGCACAAAACAGGCCATCCCAGTGCGACCTTTATATACAAGAAACAAATGATCGATCAACAAGAAAAACAAAAACCAGCATGAATGGGGAAAAATACATAAGCGCACGTATGTAATTTACCGGGTGTGGCTTGGCAGGGGCTTGAGGAAGGGCTCCACCTTGTTCTTCAGCAGGTACTATTGGTGGAGAAGCTTAACAAGCTCCACTATCCGGCCCGGATGGATCCTTGGTGTTACGCTCTGGTTGGCTGGAAGCAGTATCAACCCAGAGTCTGTGTATCCGCAGTACGCTGCCTGATACGGCCCCGATACGGCCCAGGGACGGCCGTGTTATTAGCGTTATTAATGCATCGTCGGTTTCAGGTACGGGTACTCCCCTTTGGCGACCAGGACGAGCGTCGCGGCATGAGACATCCCATCTCTGCCCCTGGTCTCATCGTCCGTTCTTCCCTTCATCCTTCCAGCAGAGATCTCTCTATTTCCCTCCTTCTTCTCTCTCCTTCGGCTTGCAGAGCTGTGCCGTTGGTCGTCCCTTTTTCCCCTTCTCATTTTTTTTTCTTGCCTTGTGGGCGTACATATTCATTCATTCGTTTTTGACTTCAGGTTTATTGGCTTTGTGAGTCGTTGACCTGTTCGTTTCGATTGTTCAATATTGTCCTCAACCGGCAGGACAGATCATATTGATCTTCTCTTTTTCCTCCTCGAGACCAAGGACGAGGCTGCAAGTTTGCGGCTCGGTTCAACGGAGTGACGCTTGGTGCTGCGCAACCAGCAAGATTCAGTCCCCAGGTTACTGTCTGGAAAGGGACAACTTATCTTCTTTCTATCGGCCTTTCTTTGGCTCGTCTCCCAGTCTCAGACAGACGGACAGAGCGGCGGAAGCTCTCCCTGGATGCAGACGCCACGACTGGCCACTTGTCCGTTTGTCTGACGCGGTACGGTGTACCTCTGGTAGGATACTTACTCTTCGACTTTATTTTCGGGTTGTACATCTACTACCATTCCAGCTGGCGGTAGAATGTTTTTGGCAACCCGCTGGCTGGCGCTGTTGATATAACGGGTTTTGTCCCTTTTCTCCTTATCGCCATCCATCAAACGGCGGTCCTTGACGATTGATTTTAAGAACGGCCCACAGTCATGCCATCCCCGAAACCTCCATTCGAGCTCAAGGACCACTGTACCCTCATACACCAAAATGTCCTCTACGTCTACTCACCAGCTGGGTTTATGTCGCTTGCCCTGGAACCGAATGCGAAGTGGAGCAAGCTAGCCGTGGGGAGATCTGTGACCGGAGCGTCCTGCTTTAAAGGTCCGACTGATGGGGACATGAACAATCCGGCCTTTTTTGTAGTCGGCGGTACTGGTGGTCCGGATGACTATCTCGGGGTTCAAAGCTACTCGTTTTTAGACAAAAAATGGAGATTTCCGAGCCTGGATGGGAATAATTTGAAAAATAGGGTCAACCACGACGCAGTGTTCATTGAATCCCAATCATCTATCCTCGTTTTCGCCGGCTCTACAAATGGCAACCCTACCCCATCAACGGAAACGTTCATGATTTCTATGAGCCCCAATCTATACCACATTGAGTCTCGTGGTGGACCTGTCGCGCCATCTACGAAACCGGTGCTTTTACCTTGGGGAAAAGACACAGTGCTACTCATCGCGGGCAGCGGGGATAACAAAGTCTACCAATTCAAGGACAATGCGTGGCATATGTTTGACTATGCTCTAGAGAGCCCAATAGCCGACCCGACTAATACCCCCATTATCGCAAATCCGTACATAGACGGAAACATGGCCCTGCAAGTTTTCGATTTGGCAGCATCCCCGATCACTGTCCGTACAGATAACTTGGTTCCGCCGGGCGCTCCTCACAGACGATCCATTCATTCCCGGCATCATAATCATGTCAATTCGATTATACAGAAACGAGACTCGTACCCTGCTTATAATTCTACCTTAGCTCCTACTGGATCGCGTACCGGAGCTTCCATTGCGTCTGACCCAGGATATAATAATAGAGTAGTAATTTCCGGCGGAAACAGCGAAGAGCCCATTGTCATCTTTAATCAAGATGATAATGCGTGGCTGGATATCAAGCATTTCTTTTCTGTTTCTACCACCTCTTCGGCTTCTTCCTCGACCATGACCCCTTCCTCCATGACCGCCATCAGCAGCACATCAACGCCCATAATCACGTCTGCACCCACATTCACGCCATACCCAACCGAGACAGAATCTCCTACCTCCAGTGAACGAGTCGACAGTATTGTTCCTCCAGATGGCCGTACCTTGACCATAATTGGCGCCACTCTTGGTACTCTCCTAGGCATCGGAGCCATAATCATAATCATCCTACTTATACTTGCCTGGAGGCGGCGGACCAGTTTATACTGCCAACATACCAAAGAAAAACACATGAATTCAGACGATAAGGATAGATTCAGCTTCCAGGATGCTGGTGTGGAACCTCTCACCCAATCAATACAGCCGATTGCAAGAGGCCCTGTTCCTTCAACTGACTCCTGGGCATATATCTCCGGCCAAGCTGACGATTATTCCCGAGCATCCTTAAACCCTCCGCCTCCGCCGCCAACCAGAGGTATGCCTATATCCGAGAAAAGCCCAAGCCCGCTTCGGGTTGTGGAAACGACTCGGGATGAACGGCCCGATAGTGATGTCTATCCTCCAGTTTCAACGAAACAGGTTTTCGGGGCCGTTGTAGATCATAGACAAAGTGAGGCCGATGACAGGCTGACGGATGAAGGTTGGAGCAAGTATTTCCAGCGTGAAAAGGACAATGGATCGGTGAAATCTCGTGTTTCTTCCGTCGACTCCAAATACTCCAAGTCGGATTATAAATCGGACTACCAGTCAGACTACCGAGGAAGCGGATGGCCTCACACATCAGCTCAAGTGCCACCTCTAAGGTTCGGCGGGCCACAGCCCCTTGGAATGGTTCCAAGTGGTAGCCCCAGCACCGAAACCCCTCCCAAGTGGTCATTCCCACAGCATCAGGCTATGTCTGCTAAAATATCCAATGCAGACTCGATTAGCATCAACTCGGACGACTACTACGACAACCAAAGGGACACAGCAAAGAGCGATACCTTTTCAACTGGGGCTCCAGGCAGCACCCATGACGTGGATCGCTGGGGTAGAGTTTCGAGAGAGCCTCGGGTGGCCAGCAGCAATTACTCGAATAGTGTATACTACGATAACCCTGGCCCTCCGCATCCTGGGGGTCCGGACCGACAAATGAACCCAATGTTCCCTGGAAGTCGTTCTCCCTCATCATATTACGGGCGTAACAATCGTTCTGCGAGCAGGGGAATACTCAGCTCCGATATTAGCTGGCTCAACATTGGAGGCAACAGATAGACGGCCTCGACTGTTTGTGTTTCTCTTTTGGATGCATATACACACCATTCTATGTGTCAATGTTGAGGAACCCTGCAATTACCATATTGGGGTTGGGGCCAACAGATAAGGGCAGGTTTTCGCCTGCCCATTATCCCCGATTGGGACAGTTGATCGGGTAAAAAGTACCGATCCAGTTCTGGTATGTCCTGAAATGGGGCGGTATACCGGTTGTTTCGACATCCTCTTTCGTATAACCTGCATCACCCAGATGGGGGCGGAAGCCGTCCTATTTCGGACTCCGGTCACCCTGTCCACCTTTGGGGCAGGGGACCTTATTGGCTGTCGCCTTTTTTTCATCTTCCATTGTACATGTCCCTTCTGCTCCATATTTTGTTTTCCTTCTATTCTTGGTTTTGCGACTTGAAAAGACCATGGCTCTACGACCCGGTATATATGGTTTATTATTTTCGCCCTCGCATCCCACTGCCTTTTGGCCCTCCATTCCTTATCCATTTATATTTATTTTCATGTACATCCTTTTACCGTCGCGCGCGACTCCGATCGTTTGATTCCCCCCTTTTTTTACTTTCCTCTCCTTTTCCTCCTTTTGGCTCTATAACAACATGCATGCATGTAATAATACCCGATCTGAGCCATTTCCAAGGGCAGGATTCCACTCATGACTGATGGCTGTTGAACAGTTTTTGTTGGCTGGATTAATGCGTTGGATCTGGTGCTTTCCCATCTCCTGTCTTATTTTCTTGTTCTGACTCTTACTATTATTCTTCCCTTTTCCTCCTTCACCTGCGATCTGTTTTTTATACCATATCCTGTTTGTTTGCCTGGCATATCAGCAACATTCGTCCCTTCTCTAGCTTCCTTCCACCCCCATGTATGTATTGATGGACCGCCCTACAGTAATATACTCAATTTTCCTCAGCCTTCACAGTTTTGTCAGCAACCCTGCCTCGTTGTGCCGACTTTGTTGGGTACCTAGCATCTACCTCCCCTAAGTGCCGTATCCTGAACACTGCCATACAGCCTTACCCAGACTGAGCTGGCAACCGCTATCCTGGATTTTTAGCCTTTTAATAAACATTTTTAGGCACGAGGTGAGCTGAAGTTTCCAGTGAGAAGGTTCGCGGGACGTTTAGGGGGAGCAGTTTAGTGGGAATCATGCCGGATGCCAACGGTTCAGGGGCTCTCAACTGTTGGCATTGCTCTACCCATTCCTTATGTAAAATGCGAAGAGACGCCGACACGTACATACACATATGCGTATGTACGTGGGATGGATGCACAGCAGCAAGGAAAGGGGAGGTCGACGTCGTTCTTTATAAAGACTAGCGCATAGATGTGCATGTTGATGTCGTTATTCATACCCAAGCCACACCACATCGCCTGATGCATTCGATGAGTATAAAAAAGAGGACACCACTTCTAGGAATATCACTCCTTGTTCCGTGGCAAATAATACGTCTCGTTTTGTCTTCATTATTTGCAGATTTGGCTGTGGTTGGGGGCTAAAATTATGCACTAAATATATGTACATGAACGCACTCCGTACATTCAGGCGGCTTTCACGGTGCCTCCAAGTAGATCTCCATGCAGACAAGCGAGCTGTCTTATCAGATCAAAATGAGGATGTCTGACAGTCCGGTGGCAACATGACTCGTTGCCCTTGTATTGTCCCGTATACCCTGGCACTTAATGGATTGACTGCGCCAGAAAAAGGGGGATAAAGCCCCTGAGGACCCTGTCTTGTCCGTGGGCAGCACTCGCATAACGAAGTGGCAAGTAACAAGTAACGCTGTACAGACAGGGATAACTAAACAGTTGGCCATTCCGTCCCTTCCAGCCATTATTTCTCTCCGGACCAATCTGCGTGCTGTTGTTCTATTTATTATTGGCACTAGAAGCGCGCTACCATCCCGTTCTGTTGGTTTGTGGAGTGCCCCTAAAACATCCACACAGGAAGCCTCCTTAGCTACATAGTGACATAAAGCGTTTGAGTCTGACACCGACACGCTCTTTATCGACCAACTCGTTGCCGGCAGAGGGTGCCGGCTGTTGCTGATGCAGTTAATATATTGAACCCGGTTTGATCTCTACGCCGTCCCCCCTACTTGCCCGCCCCTGGAAGTAAGCAGACATCCATATGGATCCAAGGCACAGAGAGGATACTGGCCTGTACGCGCAGCCATGCGGCTCCCGCGTCACCCCGTCTTCTTCCATGCCAGCTCATACGATTAATATGGAGAGACAGTCACCGGGAAGGGATGTCTAACCCTGCCGTCCAGGGATTTTAGATTACGCCGGGCCCAGGTATGCCAATTTAATCTGTATGTCCAGGGTATACGCCCAAGACGTCTTCCCATAGCTGACCAGACGCCGACATAGCGTAACTCTACGTACATACATACATACATACATACGCACATATGTGTATATATATAGCTGTGGACGTTCTCGGATTGGAGCTTTGGGGTCCACACCTGCACGATCTGTTCTGGAAATCTTCCGTCCAAGTTATGCTTATAACCACGTCTGTACGGCGTAACTAACTATCGATCCCACATCTCGTCAGGGATTGCTTTGATCATTTTACGCCGGCGCCCTAGGGTGGCATTGCATTCCTACGGACGGTTACGTTAATTTGAGACCCGGTCAAATCTATGCCCCCGGAGCTTCCGCCCTTCGCGCATAGGACGGAGAAGACCCTTAACTAGTCAACTAACTAGTTAGTTACGCGGTTCCTGCGTTGCTCGGTGGAGAACCTCCCAGCCAGTTAGCGTTGCATGAAAAATTTGCCAGCAGTCATTTCCAACGGGCTGAGATGCGGATGGACTCAAATGTTCATGCGTTTATGCGTGAACCAGGAAGTTAACCAGTTATGCTGCAGGGAATGAATGACACCGCATGAACTTCCATTTTTGGGACTTGGGCGAGGCGTGAATGGGATGGACGAGTACGAAGAGGGATAATGGCCTGTCGGAAACTGGGTGTCTCCCCGAGCTGCTTGCATGAGAAAAGATATGGAGACGAGCGGTTAGCTAGCTGTCTTGGACGACAGGATCGTCCTCACGGTCCGGGCAGTGCTCAATATTTGAGTGACAGGACTTTATCCATGCAAGCACTGATGTCTTTCTAGACAGGATGGAAATGCACTTGTCAACAACTAGCTAAACAAGCAAACAGAAAACCGGCAGATATGATGCCGACGGTCGAGAAGATCTGCTGGAGGCATTCTCGTGATGGAACTGGGCTGAGGCAGCTCGAGTCGGCTCTTTCGTCTCTGCCTAGTCTCTTTGGCCGCGATTAAAATCAGGGGGTGTATCTGATATCGTCGATTGGGCGCGGATGTACGGAGTAGGGGAGAGACTAAGCGATGGTCAGGAGAGAAAAGAAACCGCCTCGAAAAAAACAAAGATGGGTCATCCATCGTGTCTTTAAAAGACGCCTCAAACCGAGACTCGCTAAAGTTGAATATCCATCTGATTTCTGTTGCCGAGATATTGGGCGAAGGAGGCAAAAAGGTGCCCTTTTCAGATGGGGTCCTCGCCAAAAACGCCTCTGTTGCACAGTCTCTTGTAGGCCCTTCCGTGCTCTGTACCCGTTCGATAAGCCTCTTCCACACTGTTCGGTCCGCGAGAAGCGGCCCTAGGTGCTGCCGGGACGATGAGCAGAGTACCCTCCACGATTCCGTTCCCCTACATATATACGTTGACGTGTGTATGTCCGTATGCATGACAGAGGGGGCCATGGGGTGGTGGTTAACTAATCAACCGTTCAACCAGGTGAGCAGACAGGGCTTGCATTCAGCTCCAGCATCAGCCAGGCCACCAGTACCAAGATGCCCCTGGCTCGAGTTTGGGGGCCGAGTGCCTAGTTAGCTAACTAGAGATCCCACTGCCTCGTCCTCGGTGATCCCTTGGAACTCATATCAGCGTCATCTGGCACGGAGAAGCGGTCATTCCCCTATTAGTACCACGCTTATTTGCCCCGGGGATCTCGACCACGCCCAATCGTACCTCGAAGACGCGCTCTACGCCACTTAAAACCGCCGTATTTACTTATTTGCCATGGCGCAACCTGGAACCTGTTGGCACAGACTGGCCATGTGTCTGAAACGTGGATGGCGCAGACGAGAAGACGAATCACACTTGGGAGGCTCGCTATCCAATGCAGTCAAGCAGCTCTTTATTCTTTTTTGGCTTTATGTTTTTTCACTTTTCCCTTTTTACCCACATTAACTATACTCCCTCGAGCCACGCGCAGATGCAGTTCTCGAGACGGCGTAGCTGCGCCGTTATGCAATCAGATGCCCGGGACCCTGGACGGCTACAAGCGTCTACCGCTAACCAGAACATCCCATCCCGTTGCTATGGACCGGGATATCAAGAATAGGCCAACCTCGCTCAGCTCGACCAACCCTACCAAAAGGAACCCCCGAGAGCCCAGGCAAGGGATTTTACCAAAAAAAGAAAGAGAAAGAAAATAGGCCGAAAAAGAAAAGATGAGCAAAAAGAGAACATATCCAGCCTCGATGGTGCTGGGTCCACTATGACAAAGGAGGTACAAAACATCCTTGACTCGTCTTGCTTTTCCTGTCGTTATTTGCTTTTTTTCCTTAGCAAAGGGGGCCAGAAAATATTTATATCTGGTAGCGATTTACATTGACCCGGACCGCCTTCGTCCCCAAGACTGTTCTGTATGCGGTCAATGCAGGAAGCTGGCTCGGATCAAATTGTCTGTCATGCACCCGACGGGTGCACAAGCTCCTCTTGGGCTCTCAGGCGTCCCCATCATTACCGATTCTGCTGGTCTGTGGGATCATTACCCTTGGCTTTCGCTCCAGGGATCATGTATACCAAGTCCAAATGAGTTACAACAGGACCCTGGAAATCTCTAACCTCTTCCAAATATGGAATACCAACTCAAAGATTTTGCACTAGGCCATTTATCCCTTTCGTTGGCTCCAGTTTTGGGAATAAGAACGTGGGAGGCCTTTTCCCACTCTCTCTCATAACGCGGGCCGGCCTCCAGATTGGGACTATCATGAACCTGAATCACCGGAAGCGGGCATGTAACGTCACTATTTCAATTCGGGTTCAGCAAGTAGGGAAGTCCGCGCGGTGGGGGGCCCAGGAGCTTAAGCACCCTTGAGTCTAAATTCGTCTTTGCAAAACATATGCAAAGGTGTAATATTATTTTTACGTCGTTTATGTTATTTTATTTCTTTTACTTGCAGTTCCCATGTGCTATTGGCAACTGCTTATAGGAAAAAGAGAACATAACCTCTACCCCGTGGGCTTGAAACCCCCCCGGCTTATCAAACTAGAATCTCCGGTCATCAAACCTGCCTTAAAATAAAGGCTGATACTTTCTTTCCCACCCGGGCCTCTCGTTCCTCTGTGCATTATCTATTTACAACAAGCTTTATCCGCTGACTCAGTATATATATATACATCCACCCATCCTCGCCTCTCCTTTTCTTTCACGCCAGAAGAAACACAATAATACCTTTCCATACTCTTATTATTCCCCAAATCCGCAGAGGAAACAGGAACTGGATACAAAGGGAAAGGCTTCCCCTAATACAATCTCCCAGATATAACCCCCACTGCTTGTTGAAGGCTTACGTATAAGCCTCAATTCCTACATTATTTTTACGTGAAGCTTGTGACTCGCCGGGCCACCCCACACCTGCCATCCTTCGGTCATATCGACATTTGGGTTTCCTCTACCGGAAGTACCCGCCTTGTAATACTTATACAAGGCTGACATTCGTATAGTCGACCACGACGATATTTGACCCTGCGAAACCCCCTATCGGATCGCTGAAGGACCACTTATATACCAGAGTTTCTACCAAACGCTTTCCACCTCCTTGTTGTTTCTTCCCTAACCATATCGAGGTGAATACAAACGCCAAAAGGGTATACTCGCTTGTCATCTCGAGACACCGTTCCTTCTCCTACTTAGCAAGCCCAAATCATCCTGTCAACAGCGGACAATATGTCTAGACTTCCCGAGAAGCCAAGGGTAATTTCGATATTGAACAATGACGACAACCCTTCTTTTGCGGTCCGGCCCTCAAAATCATCCAAATCCCGACAAGAACCAGCAGGCTACTCCTCACAACTTCACGGCTGGCCAGCATCAGTAAAGGGAAGTCTGGAGTCAGCCAGTCTCCGCCTCGGGGATAACCGGTCACAGGGGAAAGACATGACATCGTACCCAGAATCGCATTTTTACTCTTACGGATTACCACCACACTGCTCCCCGCCTGCTCAGTATGTCATACCGCATAACTTACCGCACGGATATGACCATCACGAAAGGGGGCTTATTCAGAATGAGCATCAGGCAGGAGAGCGAGAGGTAGTATCACCGCGATCGAGTTATAGCGAGTATGCAGCGCCACCTACTACCAAAAAGAATAAGCATGCTTGCCCCTACGCTGCCTCCCACGGCTGCTCAGCAACGTTCACGACCTCAGGCCACGCCGCACGTCATGGCAAAAAGCACACTGGTGAAAAACGAGTCCACTGCCCAGTGTGTAATAAGGCATTCACCAGAAAAGACAACATGAAACAACACCAGAGAACCCATCGGGAATCAGGCATTGATGCTGATGTCGATGGACATGACCAGAATATTTCCGACACTGCATACTCTCAGTCTCCGGGCTCGACTACCGCATATTTCTCCACATATGATACAGAATCAACGGCGGACCCACGATATTCACAATCTCGCCGACACTCAAGCCGCTCCACCACTAGCTATGAGGCCTCTCCCAGATACCTGTCCCGAGAGCTCCCAGACCCCCAGGATGCGGAAGATGACAGACGGCCGCGTTCCTCGGTATACCGGTCTGATAGTATTTCATCGGGGCTGGGCTCACTAGCAATTGAATCCACAAAATCAAGCTATAGCAGCAGGCGTATCTCAAGGAGCTGAAGTCTACCTTCTTTTAACTATTTTATTTTTCCATTTCTTGCAAAGATCTCTTCAACATAGGTTCAATCTGTATTTAACCCCTTTCCCCTTTCCTTTGTCCTATTTCTATCTCTGCTTAAGAGATTACCGGGTATATGAACACTAGGCTGTAGACAGGACTTAAATCAGCGTCTTTATCCCACGCATGATCTATAGATCGCTCTCTATCTATGAATGCTCCCCCTGACAATAAGCTATTCCCGAACCATGGACCCGGCCCGCCGGAACTGAGTTAGGGTTCGGGTGACACGGGCCACCCTGCTGATGATGTCATCAGCCAAGCGAACGTGACCTGCATTGCTCCAGTTATGTTTTGTTTCCATATTTCCATGATATAAAAACCAAGCCACAATCATCCACTTCATACGTCACTGGCGCCTGGTGACGATATAAAAACCGTTGATGTACACACACAAACGCAGACTTCATCAGTTCAAGCATACCTGATAACCAGCTCAAGACGGCACATCTATCATGGCAGCTGACTATTATAAAAACCACCCTTATAACCGGGGTTCGTCAAGACATCATGGCCCTCCGGCGGGGCAACCCGTACCCGGTCAAGGCTATGGTCCTGGCTACTATTCGCCCGGTCAGGATAACGACGCATCCTACAGTGATTCAAGACCAAAAGAAGGCGGCCGACATAGGCGATCTCACTCGGCTGGGGGAGAAGGCAGACATCGCGGAAGGAGCAGATACGACGAATACGATGAAGAGCCTCGCCGTAGCAAACATCGCCGTGAGTTACCCTATTTTTCATCTCTATCAGGAGTCCTAACCTAGTCATCATGATTATACTTACTAGGATACGGAGGCTAACATTAATTTTAGATAAAAACTCATCGCGCTATACACACTCGGTGTCGCCTCCATCGCGGTCGCCTAGCCCCTTGCGCCCACGGAAGTCACTAGGCGATCACGCCTTGGAAGCCCTTGGCCTCACAGGAGCTATGGATGACGCTCGCAAGCATGGCGACCGTGGCCAACGTCGTCGGCACGAATACGATGATGACCACAGAGATCGTAGGAGTCATAACCGTCATCGTTACGACTATGATGACCGTCGTCAAGAGTCAGGCCGTGGCAAACATCGTCGCAACAGGAGTAGTTCATCAGACCGTCGGGGTCACGGGTCTAGAGATGATCCAAACAAGACTCTACAGAATACTATTACTGCTGCCTTGACTGCAGGAGTATTAGAAGCCTATCGCGCTCGCAATGAGCCGGGAGACTGGACTGGAGAAAAGGGAAAGCGTGTGCTCGCCGCCGTTGCCAGTGCTGGCGGCACCGAAAAAATGCTCGACCGCGGAGGTGCTAGCAAATCTACCAAGAGGCATATTATAGAGTCCACCTTGGCTGGCCTTGCAACAGGCCACCTAGTTGGCGGTGGTGACTCGGGGCGGCACCGCTCACATTCAGAGCACCATGGGAAAGCAAGCACTGGTGCCACCGCAGCACTACTTGCTGCTGCCGGCAAGAAGGCCTTTGAACATTATCAATCTAGATCTCGTGATTCAGGAAAGCATGATTATTACAGTGACGATGATCGGCCAGGCAGGTCTGGGCGATCGAATCGGAAACGAAGTAAGAGTTTGTCCGACTACGTTGCCAAAGGCATGGCTACTTTGGGACTAGACGAGCGCGGCCGTGACAGTGGTCATAGCAACAGTCATGGCAACAGTCATGATAACAGCCATCGAAGACGCCGAAGTCGATACAGCAGTCCTCCATCCGATTATGAATCTGACTATTCTGATAGACCTCGCCGCAGAAAACGGCATCATGACCGGTACTAGCTTTCATGACATAGTTAAACTGGTTTGAATCTTCTTTTGGTTATGACGATATATTCACGAACCCCTGCTTGCTTATGGTTATAACGATTTTCTGGTAATGCTCTTCTGTGAATTTTCCTTTTGTTCCGGTTAAAATTGGTTTCGGATATGTTAAATAAACCCTCTAAATTTCTAAACATATAATAAACATGATATACTGATGGCTCTGAGCCCTACATATTCGCAGCTATTACGAAACAGAAAGCTAGCAGTCAGATACTCTCGAGTATGGCAGTTGTGAGATTCTGAAAGGTCAGACAGTTCGAATGATTAAAACGGCATCTAGCTCGAAATTCAGTAAGTCAATAAGATATGTGTCTACCCGTGGATTTGGTTAGTTAAATGATTGGGGTACTTAGAGCCATAGTGTTGGTTCCGCTTCAATCATATTCAGGCCACAAAACCTACCATACTGCCTGGTTTTTCGTGTAAGATAGTTAACTAACTAATCTGTCCAAAAAATAAGTGATAAAACGATTTTAACTGGCCCGATATAGTTATAGGCCGATGGCACGGGTTAACCACAGGACAACTAGTTACCTCCCCTGCAAGCAAGTACTGTTCTAGAACTAGCTGTGCGTATCCCATAGAGATAAGCATTGATTTCAGTTAGTTTTCTTGTCCCCGAAGTAGAGCTTCTAGTAATTAGTTAGCCGCAAATTGCAAGCAATAAGCGCGAGCGGAAAGTTTATTTTGCTTAGCAATAGCTCACTTACGACGTCACTACAACAACCAAGTTTTCATCCAGTAATAAGAGCTAAACAATATTATCAGCGGAATATCAAAATAACCTAGTAACTCATTCTATTCTCTGACATAGGTGAGGTTCCATTGGCCTTTATTAGCTCGGCGGGATACTTACTATGCTTAGGTGGTCATATAACCTTCTCAAACCAGCTATTAGTGATTTACAGCAAAAGGCTGGTTTTTAAAGTACAACAGGCAACCACAATGCTGCCTATTCAACGACAATTTTGCAGGCTGGGGACCACTGCATGGCTACCGAGGATACCGTCTGTCCGCCTCCCTGATGCGGAGTGGGCAGGCGTTGCAAATATATCACAAAAACGCCAGCTCTCTTCATCCCGCGGTGATGTCCCTGGTAATCCTTTGATTCACGCCACTATCAACTGGCCAGGGTATACAAACTGGGCGCGCCATAGGATCCTAGTTCTACGTCCGGTGGCTACTAGATCTCACAAATATTTATCTCCAACGTCGAGCGGCAGGAATTATTCAACGAGTCAATCAACGAAAAATATCACGGTCGATGACTATATTCAAGAAATAGAGGACTTGTAAGTGGGATATTATTGTCGGCACCTAGATATTTCAACTAATGCCATTTAATAGATATGCAATCGCCAAAGACGAGGTATGAATTAGACCTTCTGTGAGGCTTTATTTTCGGGGCATAGCGGGGTTCACAATTACAGGCTCCCTATCCCCCCCGGTGACGTGCTTTATTAGATGAACCTAACAGTGGTATCTAAATTAGCTGGAAATAGCGGCCGAGTCTACCGCCGCGGCAACTATATATGCTGCATCGGACCGCATATCTATGCGCGAAGCCTTTGACGATCTTAATCATGCATACGGTGCATATGCTGACAACAACCCGCCGCCAGAAGACATCGAGTCAAAAGATGGAGGTGACGGTACTGGTATTACAGAAGTGCGCTCCACCTCTTACGACTCGACCAATATTCCTGCAGAAGTCCGGGCAGAAATCAAGCGAAGGGTTGGTCACAGGATAAGGGAGATAGAGAATGCGGTTAAAAGTCTGGAGGAAAGTGCTCAGCATGAGTAACTTTGTCAGTACATACCTCATTCGATTACGAAGTGCGGGAGTAAGAGGATCGTCTGTAAACTAGGAGGTGAGCCGGAAAGTGATATTTACCCTTCCAAGGTCTGCATATGGCGGAAATCAATGCTGAGTGCTAGCAGATGGTATGTGGCGAAAAAATCCTCATTTGAAGCATGTATTCAAAGCTAAATTTTTATTAGCCTGGTCGAAGGACCATCTGTACTGTTGAATAAGTTAACTGCGGAGATGAGGATCAACTCTTTATTTAGTTTAAAGATCAGGTCACCAAGGTGGTATGATCCCTTGAAAAGTACACACGCTGCCAGACTCCAACAAATTCGTAAAAGGAAGCCATTATATCGTAGATGCCAGCTTCTCTGAGAAATCTCTATCATGATTTTCCCAGCTGGCCTGACGTACGGTGTATGCTGTCGGATCCGTCCTGTAGATCATCCCGGGTAGACCAGTGGCCTGACCCATCATGAGATGCTAGTCTATTTAGGCTCGGGACTTGATTTAAGTCCGCAACAGCGGGTGGGGAGAGCGTAAAAAAAGTATAAGCAAACGCGAAGTATCCCACAAAAGTTCCATCAAACTGTTCTATATCATGGGTAGGCTAGGAGTGATTGGACTAGCCATTCGTTGCAATGAAAAAAGGTCGTCTTTGTGAGCGGTTTTTGCATGTCTTTTTAACTGATCTAAATATCTGGGTTAGCAAGGACGCCATAGATATACGGACAACGTAGGGAACGGCACCTGGTCGTGTAAAACTTTTGGAGCAACCAGGGAAAGGGCATTTGTGTCGTCGTTCCCCATGCGCTAGAAGAAATTCCAATGTTAGAATAAATTCAGCCCCTATCGGAACCGACCTGGAGAAGGCACTGAGGGCATAATGCGTTTCTCTGGTTCATCGTGGAATAACTTACTTAATTTATGACTTGACATATTAGATGACTATCATCGACAAAGAGGTTAGTGATCTGCAGTAAAAGAGGATGTGAATAGGTCTAGCATACATCACCAGTCTCAAACGTGCAGCCGGGATGTTTACACTTGAACGGCTTCTCTCCCGTGTGTATTCTCCTGTGAGTTTCTAAATTCTGTTAGTAAATTCATGTTCTCCGGATGTTTGCTCGTGGTAATGAACAAGGATAAACCTACTAAGTTCACTGCTATCCGTAAAAGCTTTTCCACAAATCTTGCATTTGTAGGGCTTATCTCCCCTATGGCTACGTTCATGCCTCTCCAAGGTCGCTTGGCGCGCAAATGATTTCCCACATATAGAACACTGGAAGTTTTTATCTATAAAAATGGTTAGAATATGCATCATATAAAGGGACGAGGGGTTTGAAAGGGATGAGCCGCATACAATTACTATGTGTGAGATAATGGCCTTGGAGTTTTGATTTCTGTGAAAAAGGTTCATGTGGACGATGACAGCCTTCCCAGCAGCAATAATATCCGACTCCCTTCGCACCGTCGGTCTGGTTGGCGTGTTCCTGGACAAGATGTTCCTGGAGAGATTTGGCATCCGGAAATGTAATACCGCATACAAACCCCGAGTCGCCGTTTGCAACCCATTTGCATATATGCAGCTCGTCACCGCTATAGTCCATTGACTGTATGCTAACTTCTCGACTTGTTAGAGCAGTCATTGGGCTTGACTCTAGGCTAAGCCCAGGAGTAGAACGTGTGGAAACGGTCGAATTATTGTTCATGGCATCGGGTATGAAGCTTGCACTGCTTGATTGTGAATGAAAAGATGGATCGTGTCGGTGCCGTTGCATTTGAGCGGACCACTGGGCAATGTCAAAAGCTTTGTCGAGATTGGCCCTTGGTGTGAGGTGATTAAGGTAAGGGTGATGGGTGTGATTATGATCTTTTATGTTGCTGCTGCACCCGCCGGCCGCGTTGGCCATTGCCCATACGCTCCCTGCATGATTTGAACACGGCACGCCAACAGCAGGTCGAGAGTGTTTAGGGTTGATGGCTCCATCTCCCAGTCCTTTCGAAACCGGGTTTAAATCCAACGAGTTTAAAGTCCCAACAGGATGATGGAAATGAAAATGCGATCGAAGATTATCGTTGTCGAGGTTGCAATGTTGTAAGGAAACATCGTTGACGGCGGCAGTTGTGGTGGCAGATGTAGCAGCAGCAGCAGCAGCGTTCTGTAGGTCCAGACATCCCCAATTCAGCGGTATTCCCTGGTTGAAGAAGTGACCTTGATCGAGGGATCGCAGAGATTGTTCACCCTCTGCGACGCAGTTCAGATCAAAACAGGCTGTTGCCTGGTTGTTGCAGTTCATATCGTTGCACTGTGGCTCGGAGCAGGCCGTTGACTTATCACAGTCCACAAAACCGTCACATATGGTAGCACAACTGGGAGAGCACTGGTCGTTATCACAGCACTCCGTGCCAGCACCACATAGACCAAGAGACTGATGTGAGAAGTCGGCTTGGTTCCAGCAGCTCGCATCGGCACATCCGGGCGGCAGCGCGGTGTTGTTGTTGTTGCTGTCAGCGTCTAAGCCGGGCCAATAGCACTCCCAGCAGAAAGATGAGCGCTCGTCAAACTGGTCCGCCATCTTGAGTCCTCTCTAGTTATATGAATGCGGTTGTGTTCCGGAAGTCCTGTTAGAACTTGGCTGGACTAGGCGAGCAAGGAACATGTAAGACTGTGGCTGATTGTGTGGGAATAAACGGAGTCCCGTTGAGGACTGGAACGTCTGATCGTCCAGTGTCTCGCAGATATATCGGATATGCAGCGAGAAGAAGCAATTTAGACGTCAAGGAGTGACGGGAAAAAGGGCGCTTCTTGTCTGCGAGTGTTATTTTTTTTTTAGCCGCGGCCACGAGAAAAAGGCGACTACCGCTTTTGGGGACCTTGGGAGCCGCGCGCTTTCGTCATATGACCCCGCGACTTAGTAAGCAATGACTCAGCAAGGCAACGCCCCAAAGCTAAAAGACGAGACGTCGAGGCCGATAAGGCGACGACACAGGCCGAAGAAACTGCGAGAACGGGGAGAGAAGAGGCCAGCGGAAACACGGAACAAGGGGATGGCCAGACGGATTTAAGGAGAAGCCAACCCGCAGCCGACGCTAGCTCGACAACCTAGCTATAAAGGGGAATAATACGAACGCTGGGAGTTCCCCGGGGATGCATCTTCAAAACCTGTTTGGCAGTGTCTGAACCAAGGGCCAGCCGATACAACAGCCCCGCCGATTCACACATATATCAGACCGCAAAAACTGCTCGGCTATATTACCACAATGGGGAATATTTGCTCTAAATCGTCAAACCAAACGGATCCATTTGCGCAGCCTGGCCGAGTCCTAGGGTCACAGGCGGCTTCAACGAAGCCTACGCCGGCCAATTCGAACACACCTCTAATACGGAATACCAACCCTTCCGAGCAGCAGTCGTCAGGTGGGAGGACATTAGGAGGTGGCGGTAAAAATGCGGTTGGAGGCGGTGATGCCCGCAGTGCTGCCGCTAAGGCTGCTGAGGTTCGGAGAATAACACCCAAGATATGCTCCGTACCAATAACCAGTTGCAGACGAGCTAACCTAGTACTCCGCTCTCGATCAATAGGAACGTGCCGCGAAGTACTCAACAGCCGGGAAGGGGAAGTTGGCCTCTCAGCTCGCAGCGCAAAAATCAAAGTCTAGAAACGAGACGCTAGATGATATAAGTCGGGCTGAAAGGGCAGCGAGAGATGCCCAGAGTGCTGAGGAATCTCGAAGGTGGAACTGAACTTTGTCCTGTTTTATTCTCCGGACGAAGAGGAGTTTTTTTTCGTAGATTTATGATAGCTGATGGGTTTGTTACGCTGCTGTGTGGCCGAACTCTCTTTCTACTTTTTGGTTTTGGTGGCCGTTTCGTTTATGATTCAATGCTCGTATGATTCAACTTCCTTTTATTTTCCCGTTAATATTAATGTTTTAGATTCCCTACTGAAGTTACAGGACTAGAACAAGGGATGGCACCTAGTTACCTACTTCCAATAGCATTTTCTATATGCAGAATATATTATAATATATATTCACCATTGTTAGGTTCCTAGTTGGATGCATAATCAGCCACTTTATTTCTTAATGATACAAGAAAAGATTTTCTGCGATTGAAACGAACGGGGAATTGCTAGTTTATACAACATTGTAGCGGCCAGACGGCGCCCTGGCATCGCTATCAGCTGCTGCAATGGTCCCTTCCTTTAATAATCGCATCAGCTCTCGCATGGCATTGGTAACTACCAGCTCTGTATCGCCCTCAACAAGAATGTAAAGTTTAGGATTCTCGCCCTGTTGCGGCTCCTTTCCTGCTGGATAGAAGCTGCCCTTGGTGGTGATCGAGGTCCCGGTTGCTTCTAGAATTTTAGCAACATTGGTCCGGTTGGTAACGGCCCATCGAGCTTTCTCTGCGATGTAGTTAGTTATCTTATTCATACCTGTACAAGGAAATTGAACGGATAATGAAAACTTACGTGGGAAGTCATTGATCTCAAGGGTGGCATGGAAAGCTCCCGCATCAGGGCCCTTGTTATCAATCGGTACACCGGATCTCATGACACCAGCCTTGTTAAGTCGAGCATGGATGTCTGCAACAGCAGAACCTACTTTATCCAGTGTATTCTTGCCAGAAGATGAGCTTGTCTCTTTCTGTGTCCTGTGGACGGTGATTTTCCCGTCAAGGTCCACACCACCAGGTGTACCCAAGGCTGGAGTTGCGGTGGAGGACTGAACGGCCGATGCAACTCTGCTGAACAGGTCAGTTTCTTTTTCTTTCTTTTCTTCCTCCTTATCTTCATCTTCGCCCTCTTCTCCAGTTTTATACGTCTTCCGCTCTCGGTTACGAGTAGCATCACGTTCTTGGTCAAGTCGCTCCAGCCCTTTACCTCCAAATCCAGATCCACTTGCTTTCTCTTTGCCTTCCTTGACTTTATCCAGGAATGCAGTAACCATTTTCTGAACGGGCTCAGGGACCGGCTGACCACTTTGCTTGAGGGCTTTGGAGATATCAACGGAATACCGCTCTTGGTCTTCTGTTAGGAATGTAACTGCTGTCCCGGTATTCCCCGCTCTCCCTGTACGACCTGCTCGATGAACATAGTCCTCAAGATGGTTTGGAGCATCATAATTAACGACAAGCTTGAGCTGCTTTACATCAAGCCCTCGCGCCGCTACTGACGTGGCAATGAGAATGGGAAATATGCCCGCCTTAAAATCATCGATCGTTGAATCGCGGTCAATTTGATCCTTTCCACCGTGGATCGACATGCACGGATAACCCTTGCGCATCAGATCACGTAGCAAGCGATCCGCAGCTTCTTGCCTGTCGACAAACACCAGCGTACGAGCGTCTTCATTCTCATCATCGGAATAAAGATTTCCTAGTAATTCCAGGAGACGAACGAATTTGGCATCATCGTTTCGAACTTCAACAATCTGCGTGATCTCCGGCGCGACAACGCTCCTTCCGCCAACTATAATCTCAATAGGCTTTGACAGGGTCTTTCGGGCCAACGCTTCCATGTTTCGAGGGAAGGTGGCGGAAAATAAAACAGTTTGACGATTGGGCCGAATGTTTCCAAGGATTTTCATCACTTGAGGCTCAAATCCCATGTCAAACATACGGTCAGCTTCATCAAGGACCACATACGTCACTCTTCGCAGGTTCGTCACTCTCCCCGAGTTTGCAGTAAGCAAGTCAATCATTCTGCCCGGAGTGCAGACTATAATTTCCGCGCCCCGTTTTAATTCCGCAATTTGGTCTTTTATCGGTGCTCCTCCGTATGCACAGACAGCCCGAAGATTCAACGCCTTCAAGAAAGGCCTGCATTCCCTATGAATTTGGGTGGCAAGCTCTCGAGTCGGGGTCATGATAAGACTTATTGGACCTTCCATGTTCTCTAACGGTCGCTGGTCTCTAATATGCCGGAACATAGGGAGAAGAAAAGCAATGGTCTTTCCGGAGCCTGTTTTTGCCACTCCTATTACATCCCGACCGGACATAATTGCCGGGACAGCCTGAGATTGAATTGAGGTTGGTCCTTCATAGCCTAGTTTGCGTATAACATCTAGGGTTTGGACACCTAAACCACACTGAGACCATTTCTGAACGGGTGTCGGGACGTCAACGCCTCGGACTTTTATCCCGTCTAGCTCTAGCCGTATATTGGCAACCTCTGCCTCAGTCAGGCCAGCAAGATCAACAGGCTCAGTGTAGAAGTTCTTTCGAAACGACTCGTAATTTACCTTTGAATGGTTGACAGTGGGTATATCCTTTTTGCGTTTTGATTTATTAGCCAACGCGAAAAAGTCGTCCGTTTCCGGCTCGACTGGGTCCATGTTGATGTCATTTTCGTCTCCAAACATAGCTTCCGGTTGCTGAAGTTTTGAACTAGAAGTTTTGATATTCTTCTGCTTCGGTGTCGATGTGCTTTGTTTTAAATTGGACATGAAAGCATCCAGCGGATCAACATCTTCATCTGCCTCTGCGTCAGCCCCGCTGTCGGCCATGGTAACATCGTTGGAAGGTTCCTTTGACTGAGGCTCTTCAGGCTTTTCTTCTTCTGAAGGTGGTTCAGGTTGTATGCGGTTCTGTTCACGTCTTTCTGCGGCTGCCCTTGCAGCAGCGGCGTTCTCCTCTTCGGTGCCTCCGTCTTGCATAACAGTGTCATCATCGTCATCGTCATCACCGTCTTGCGGGGCAGTGTCAGTTGTAAACTCCTCTAGGGAAGAGTCAGGCAGCTTTAAAAGCTTTGTGCCTTTGGATTCCTCGTCACCAAAATTCAGTGTCCTTTTTACACTTAATTTACTTGAATCGCCGAGACCTTTGGTTCCTAAACCAAACCCACTGAGATTGCCTGACGTTTTAAGAGGCGCAGCAACTAGAAAACAAGATTAGTAATTGGTCGTGTATTACTTATGGTATGAAAGTAGAGGTTGTGCTTACCGGAGGATGAGCTGGCACCAACTGCAGATTTGTTAGCCACGGCACTTGCAGATGAAAGAGTAGAGGCTTCAGACACTTTAGTACTACCGGAAGCCACTGCTGTTTTCTTAAGCTGCTCAGGGGTCGGGGTTAATTTCGTATCCGTAACTCTTGCTGCACCAGTTGTATCGGAGCTGGCAGTCGGCGCTGTGAACGTGGTGGTAGTCGTGGTTGCACCGCGCGATAAAGCGACTTTTTTATCAATTTCATCAAGGATGCCTCTTGGTCCGCTTGCAGCTAGTTCATTCTGCTTTCGTTCACGTTCCGCTGCCTGTTTCTGCTTCCATGCCTCCAACTTTGCTAGTCTTTCAGCCTTCTTTTGTTCATCAGTTTGAGCAGGAGCCGCAGCAGGTGTCTGCTTGGATATCTGTATAAACTTAGCTCAGTCCTCTATTACCAGCACTGCATACTTGAAAATAACATACCTCACGAGACTTTGTGCTAGACTCCCTCGTGTCTCGATCTCTACTCCCATCCCGTCGAGAAGTACGCCTGGAGTCAGTAGAGCTATCCCTTCGTCTACCACCACGATCACGAGAATCATCTCGTCTGTTCCGGTAGGTCCTGTCTCTGCTCCTGCTTCGATATCGGTAGCCACGATTGTCTTCTCGTGAACGAGAACGGTATCTGGGGCGCGAACGGCTTCTTCTGGGGCGATACGAGGTATTGTTACGAGAGTCTCGAGTATCAACAGAGCGATCTCGGTGTCGGTAAAGGTCTCTATCCCGGTCCCGGCCTCGGTCACGATGGCGTCGCTAAAACAAGGAGATAGCAAGAGTTAACAAAGCTGTATCATGAATGGAGTCGGAAAGGGAAGCTTACCTCGGGACTGCGGGACCTCCGATATCCCTTCACATCATGGCGTCTGCCCTTGTCGTAATTATCATCGCCTCTCCGGCTTCGTTTCGACGAAGAATACGTGCTGCCTACAGGTGATGGTGAGCGAGTATCCCTGGCCATGGTCAACTGGCCGAAGTCTAACTTTTTATATTCCTTTTCTCTGGTTTGCCGTTGTCGAATAAACAACAAACTGGCGACTCAGGAGGGACAGCGCTTGAAATAAATACCGACTGTCAAGACAAGACGTTATCATGGCCGTCCGAGCGACCTCGATGCTGCAAATACAATGTTTAGCTGTACGGAGTAAAGCTGAAGTTGAGGTTAAAAGCTGAAGATGCAAAGTTGACGTTGATAAAAGAAGCAAAAGTATGATAAGCTTTAGACTGCTTATGTAAGAGATCAGAAGAGGCTTAGCTCTCTCTAACCCAAAACAAACACTTGATATCAAAATAACGAAGCTCAAAGGGCGGAAGAAAGACGGGAAGATAGACGAAAGCGAAGAAGGCCACTGTCAGTGTTACAATATCCCGGATTCTGATCGCAAGCACACTCTTAAACTGCCACCATGGTGTTTAAGCTTACTCAATGCGGACGATTTGTGTTCCGACGCTTCAATAGTCGCGTGCTTTACGTACCCAGCTCCGGGCTGCGGACTGAAGTTATCGCCAGCTCCTTCGCAGCAAGACCCAGTGTCGAAGGCCTCTTTCGGTCGTTATCCCTGAGCAATTCGTATGCGACAACTGCCGCCAAGCCGAAAACAAAGGCAAAGAAGACCGTAAAAAAGAAGGCCTCTAAGAAACCTACTCCTCCTCCAAAGCGTGGCCGCCCTGGAAAGAGTGACAAGGAAAAGAAGGCCGAGAAGAAGGAGAAAGAAGCAAAGGCTCAGGCAAAGGAGGACTTGAAGAATCTTAAAGAGGCTGCTCTGACCCCTCCCAAACGTCTACCAACGTCCAAGATCTCGATCTTTTCAGCTGGAAAGGGACCTCTTGTGGAGTCGGTGAAGGCATTTAAAGAGATATCCGCATTCCAAGCCGAAGTATGTTTCCACATTCATTTAAAGTGGTTGTTTCTAAAACGATTTGATAAGCTAACTGTGTTTGTAGGAACTGGAACAAACTGCTGAAAAGAATGCAGAAACCAACCGACATAATCTCGAACAGTGGATAGAATCCCACACCCCTCTCGAGATAAGGAATGCGAACGCCGCTCGCCGTAAACTTCGCCGCATCCTACCGAAGAAATCTAGAACCTACGGCGCAATTAAGGATGATAGACAGGTGAAGGCACCACGTAACGCTTACCTGCTCTACTCCCTCGATAAACATAACAGTGGAGAGTTCAACCATCTACCTGCCAAGGAACGTATAGCAGAAACTGCTCGCAGCTGGAAGAATGCAAGCGAAAGTGAGAAGGAGGTAAATTGACCTTTATTCAATTTATGCAATATTTTAAAATATACTAACATCAGGCATAGAGATACAAGGCCCTGCAGGAGGAGGATCGAACGAGGTATATCAATGAGTACAAATCGACGTACGGCGAAGAACCAAAGATGCTGGAGTCAAGTGATGCCGAAGATTTCTAGATACCGGGTTATTCCCGTTTCAATCGTGCCGTGACTCGTTCTACATGCCTCTCCTCTTATCCCTGTACCAATATTCTGGTTTTCACCAGCTTATTTTCTGCCCTTTACATCTCGTTACTGTCCTCTTTTTATCGTCCTGTATCGTCACTGTTAAGGTTAGTTGTTTCTCATTCAAATGTATTCTACACAGGCTCGGCAATGGTATATGGAGGTTCGCTGGCGCGTTACTCTTCTCAAACTTATCTCTTGAGTACTGCTTATCTTTTCTTGCACTACAAACTCTGTGGTCCATGCGCAACCTTGGGCCAGAATTTCGAGCTCCACCGGGTACCCGGAAGCTAGCTTGCCCAGGGTTTGACATGCATATGATGCCCGGTACGTTTTATGTAGGTAGAGGATAATATTCATTGCAAAATATAACTAGTTAATGATTTGATCAAAATCTTCCTCACATACTAATCATGATCATTATGCAAATTGACCAATGATTACGCGAGTGGCTAGATTACAAGGTCATCATCATCATCATTCAAAAGTAGCGTAATACCATCAGAAAGGAATCGAGGGGAAGGGGGTTCATAACAGGGTACGTGGTACAAAACGTTCATTGCGCTGGGGTATATTGAATGAAAAACGCAGTGAGATAAGAAAGGCATAAAAAGACATCACCAAAAGTCATTAAATAGGCGGAGCCAAATTTCCGAGAAGAAAAAACACTGGTTCCTCAAAGTCCCAGCCAAGTATATCAACCATCCAAAAGCCGCCCCAAGGAGATTTGACCGAACGCATGACGAATAAAAAAGAGACGCATGAGTAAACAGAAGGAAGGAAACACAAAGTAGAATCGTTGTTCGCGCAAAGTGGCAAAGAGGAAACGCTCAAAAGCCACTGGTAAGTTTCTTAAACCAGCTCGTTCGCTTGGTATTCATACCGCCGTAGCGATTGTCCATATCGCCACTGCTTTCGTTGCTTCGGACTTGGTCGCGACCTTCTCGACGAGATTCACGTCTGCGAGGTCGTCTGTCAAAGTCTATGTCCATTGGGTCGACGGGACGGGACTTTCTTCGAGAGCGACGATGGATGGCTCTTCGTGCTTCTTCGTCCGATGACAAGGAAGCGTTTTGAGGCTCTCGCGCAGGATTGGGCATGTCGATAACCGTAGCGACGATGGGAGGAGCTTCCGGAGGGTCTGAGATCTGGGATTTCACCCAAGAAGAGGTTTTATCTTTGCCCCCATTTACCATGACTGGGTAGGGGACAGCATGCTCATGGCGAGATGACTTTTCACGTCGAGAGCGGTGGTTATCTGGCGAGGATCGACGGCGCCTAGGCTTCCCGCCTTCATCATCAGTACGATGAGAGCGATGGCGACGGCTTTCGTGGGGTGAGAGAGGGTCCTTTGGTGGTCTCTCCGAACGGGAGCGGCGGTCTGCTTTCTTGTCTCGCTTAGATTCATGGGGGGGATCCTCCATTTCTCTGGCATGTCGTTTTTGCCGGCGGCCTTCACGTTCAAGTTCACGAGCTCGTTCATCCCTTTCTCTCTCTTCACGCAGTCGTGCTCGCTCTGCTTTGCGTTTTGCCCTCCGAGCCTCGGCCTCCTCAGTAGGGCTGTTGTTTCCAGTCCTCATTGCATCGGTGGTGAAACCCTCGCCATCAGTGTCAGGCCTCACGGATCTTCTATGGCGTCTAGAATCATCCTTTTCTCTATCTGGTTCCCTTCTTGAGGACTCATGGCGAGAACGAGATTTGGGACGCTCGCGGACCTCTGGAGGCCGGGCTCCAGGCTTCCTCAGGGACAAAAAGCCGAATAGACCTTCGGGGCGTTTAGGCGATGTATTAGAGCGACGCAGCGGCGCAGGCTCTCTCGATGAGTGATGCATGACTCCAAAGTCGTCTCTACCCATCGGCATTTCACCTGGCGGGGACAAAGCAGGGTCGCTGCTGTGTTTCTTGGACTAGTTGATCAAACCGGTTAGCTTGAGAGAGTTACAAGATTCTTTAGTACCGGGTGACTGACCTCTTTCCTTGATTTGCGTCGTTCTGGGTCCCTCGAAGATCTACCAGGCGGGGAGACCAAGCCATCATCAGGGCTAAGCATTTCTACGTCATCGTCAAGTGCATATGGGTCGCGTGGGACTGAAGAGAAGAGTGTTAGTACTTTGATACTTGCGCTCTATGCCGTACGACATTGGTGGATCGCATACCTGATCTCTTCTTATGGCTCGAACTACGTTTGATGCGCTTGGACGACTCCACACCCATCATTCTTGCAGCCTTGTCTGGAATATCTGGACTCTCGCGGGGAGTCAAAAGACCTGAATCATTAAGCTCAACCGAGTGTCGCCTGGAAGTTGGCTTCGAGGCAGACGTTCGCTTGGTGCTTTTGGACCGGGCAGGCGGCGGTGGCGGCCCCGAAAGCATAAAGGGAAAACTCATCCCACGGCTATGTTTAGAAGGCCGCGAAGTGCGTTTATCCTTGTCTGAGCCAGAGGATTTCTCCACTTCAGCCCCTACGCTGGAAATCTTCTCTTTCTTAGTAGCTGATGATTTGGATCTGCTCAGCCCAGAAGGCCTTTCCTTATCCTTTTCTCTCTCCTTATCCTTTTTAATAACAGGTTCACCAGGATCCTTAGATTTGGATTCCTTTTTCGATGACTTCTTTGGAGCGGGTCCCGATGCCCCGGCAGCAGCACCCCAGAGAGCCCAAGATGCAGCTCCGGAGCTCCGATCGATCCTAGCACGCTCTTTCTTGGCCGACTTCTTTGGTGGTGTCGAGTCTGGCATGACACCAGCTACATCTCCGTCTGCCTGAGGTGCTGTTGATGGACGCTGTGACGATCCCGCCTCCGGATCTGATAGAAGTTCCCTGACCTCAACTGGCTCTGGTTCGGGGGGCGGAGGCGGCGCTGGTTCGTCCGCGTTGCTAGGCTGCTCTTGCTCGTCGATATCAGCCAGCTCGTCGAATCCGCCTGGGAAACTTCCAGGCACAGAATCACGTGGAGTCGGCTCTTCAGCTATCACCACGGGCTCAGGCTCAACAACTGGCTCCGGCGCTGGCTCCTCTTCAACTGCTTTCTTTGACTTCGACTTCGACTTCGACTTGGATCCGGCTGCGGCCTTGGTTTTGGAAGTCGCAGTGTCTTTCTTCGAGGCCTTCGCGAGTTTGATGGCGGGCTCCTCCACCGGCTCCAATACTTCTGGTTCAGGAACAGGCTCGACGGGCGGGGGCGGGTCGGGTTTAGCCTTCTCCTTAGCCTTGGACGCCTTCGCGGCCTCCTTCTCGGCCTTTTTGTTCTGCTCCAGCTGCTTGATGCGCTCAGCGACGGACGCCTTGCCAGTTGCTTTGGACGCTGAGGTCGTCGCAAGCGGAGGAGGAGGAGGTGGTGGCTGCTCGGTCGCTTTGTCAGCCGCAGGCGCGCTAGCCGCTTCAAGCGAACCTTCGTCTTCCTTCACTTCGTTATCAACAACTTCCAACTTCTTCTCCTCCTTTTTGGCATCTTTCCCCCTTTTCTCTTTCTTCGAGGCTTTAGCGCTGGCCTTATCGGCCTTACTAGTTGTCTTAACAGCGGCAGGCTTGGGCTCTTCTTCGACAAGGTCGAGCAGGTCATCTGCTGGTGCATCTACACCTCCTTTGGCTGCTTTGCTGTTGGTCTTCGCACCTGATGCCAGCCCAAAGCTGCCCCAGTACCCTTTGGTAGCTGTTGCAGCCGACACGTCCTCAATTGGAGTTTCGAGATTGGGAGTCTCAGATACATCAACGACCTCCAGGCCCTTCCCCTTGGTTTTACTGAGTTTGCTTTCCTCAATATGAGATGCCTTTGATGTTGACGTAGTCGTTCGTGAAAGGGAACCCTTCTTCATAGAGCTTGGCCAGGGAGCAGTAATATCATCCCACGTATCGCCAATGCCATCCCCTCCATGTTCAGGTGGAAATTCTGGTGGTGTAGGCGCAGGCGGCGGCAGTTCGTTGGCGCCCTTTTTGCCTTTCTTCTTGCTGTTGGTGATCGTACCCCAGATGTCCCAGGTACTTTCGTCCTGCGCTTTGGGAACGGGCACCAATTCTCCGGAGCCAACACCATCGTCTTGCGGAAGCACGTCAACAACCTCTTCAGCAACATCTTTTTTACCTTTCTTTCCTTTGGCTGGTTTTTCAGGTTCCTCTTTAACCTCGGGGACAGTAGCTTTTGACTTTGACTTTTTGTCCTTTGTAGTTTTGGACGAACCCCAGAGACTCCAGGAAGAAGATTGTACTGGTTCGGGTTCGGGTTCGGGTTCGAGTTCCGGCTCTGGCTCTGGCTCGGGCTCAGCTACCGGTTCTGGTTCTGGTTCCGGCGCAGCAACAACCACTGGTTCCTCAATAATTGACTTTGTACCCTTCTTCTTTTTCTTCTTTGTGTCCGCAGCTGGTTGGTCGAGTAGGTCATCCAAAGCAAACGGATCTTTCTCTGGCGCCTTACTGGCCGTATCTGCTTCGACGGCAGCTCCCTTCTTTCCTTTCTTCGATTTGGTTGTTGTGCCACCAAAACCCCACCCATAACCCACGTCATTAGACTCAACTGGGTCAGCTATTGGTGCGGGCTCTGGTTCCGGGTCAGGGAGAGTTACCGCGGCACCCTTCTTCTTTTTCTTGTCCTTTTTACTGGTAGTTGCTCCAGCTCCAGTATTCCAGCTATCAAACTCGTCAACAGGCGGGGGAGCCAGCGGATCAGGCTCCTCTTTGGTATCTTCGAAGAAGTCGACTTTGGGCAGCTCTTCTTCTGGTGGGCTTGCTAACGCTGCTTTCTTCTTCTTCTCTTTCTTAGAAAGCTTGGTCTCTTTCACGGCAGGCTTCTTCTCCTCTTCTTTCGTGAAGGTATCTTCAGCAGCCTCGTCGATAAATTCGGGTATGTCAAGAGGGTCCTCATTTTTAGCAGACTTCTTCTTGCCACTACCCAAGCCCAACCAGTCCATGTCATCCCCAGCCCCTGTAGCCTCTAGTGCAGGGTCATCGCCGAAATCAAAGGCTCCTGGCGTCACAGGATCCGCCGTTTTACCCTTTTTGTTCTTGTCCTTTTTCGAGGACGTGAATGATCCTAGCCATGACGTAGTAGTATCTGCCTTGGGGGGATCATCTAGCAGGTCTGTGTTAATTGCATAAATATTAGTCAAGCCCCAGGTTAATGCTAATAACAGCAATAGTTGAATAGATGCAAACACACCTGTACCCTTTGACTTGTCCTGATCGAATCCATCCCCCCAGGAATCATTATCAAACAGATCCTTGGACTTATCAGGCTCAACAGGCAGCGGCTCGGGCTCTTCCTTCTTTTTCTTTTTCTTCTCCTTTTTTGAAGAGGGAAATCCCCAGAAACTATCCACCGGCTCCTCTTCCTTAATCTCATTAACAACTGGCTCAGGCTCAGGTTCAGGTTCAGGGTCAGGAGGGGGTGGTGGTGGAGGCGGCGGTTCAGCAGCAGCGCTCTTCTTCTTCTTCTTTTTAGAAGAGGTGGCAGTAGGAAGGCCGAAACCCCATCCAGCTGCTTCAGCGGGCTTTTCTTCCTCCTGCGGGGGTGGCTCAACAACTGGTTCGGGTTCAGGCAGGGGATCTGGCTCGGGTGTCGTTTCTGGAATAGATGGCTCTGCCAGGGCGTTTTTCTTCTTCTTCTTATCTTTCTTGTTGGATGATGGAGTAGCCAGTGACCCCCAGAAGCTGCCTTCTTGTTTCTCTTCCACCGGCGGAGCTTCAACCACGGGATCGGGTTCAACCTCCGTGATAACCGGCTCCGCGGCCGCGCCGCCCTTCTTCTTCTTTTTGTCCTTTTTAGAAGTTAGAGCTGGAACACCTCCCCAGGTATCGAATGGCTCCTCGGCAGGCTTTTCATCCTTGGGGGGTTCGGGTACGGGTTCGGGTACAGATTCGGGTTCTAGAACTGGGTCAAGCAAGGCTCCTTTCTTCTTCTTCTTGTCCTTTTTAGTTGATGTCGTGGTATTACTAAAGGAGCCCCAATCTTCTTCCTCAGGCGGCGGATCTTCCTTGACCGGCTCCTCCTCCTTTACGGGTTCAGGAACAGGTTCAGGGACGGGCTCAGGGTCGGCTTCGGGCTCTACTGCACCCTTCTTCTTCTTCTTTTTCTTATCCTTCTTGGACATAGGCGCCGACGTACCCCAGGCATCCTCTTCTACTGGCTTTGCCTCGACAACGGGTTCAGGAGCAGGTTCGGGTGCCGGTGCAGGTTCTGGCTCGGGTCAGCGAGGCTGTTTTTTTATCCAGTCAGCGAAGAATCGCCCGTCGATCCCGATGTCACCACCTAAGATACCAAGGAGATGCTTCTTCTTGCTCTTCTTCGAGGTTGCGAGGTCACCCTATCAACCGAGGCCGCCAGAATCTTTCTCCTCAGAAACAGCAGGTTCTGCAAGCTGCTCCCCCCTTTTTCTTCTTCTTTTTATCCTTCCCGGTTGTGGGCGCGGGCAAGTCCCAGGAACTGTCGGCTTCCTTGTCAGCGGCCGCAGTATCGGCGCCAGGATCGGCCTGTCCAGTAGAATCGAAGCTAAAGTCGAATGCATCAGATGCTGTAGGTTTCTTATTCTTCTTCTTGTCGGCACCGCCCCAGGGATTCAAGCCGTCATCTTTGGTATCACCGTTTGCACCGAGATCGAGTTCGCCGCCTGTATTCCAGCTTTTACCCCAGCCACCAAAACCGAAACTCGTAGACGCCTTGGTCTCTTCTGCACCAAAAGACATGCCGATTTGCGGTGCTGCACCGCCGTCATCCAAACTGACGTCCTGGAACGAACTTGGAGCCGGGTCAGCTGGAGGAAGCTCCATAGTGGTCTGCAAAGTAAACATGTTAGTATTCTGCACGGTTTGGTTCAGGTCATCCATGCAGTAAAATTCAACCGACCTTGCCCTTTTTCTTTTTCTTTTTGGAGGTGGTTGCTGGGGCCCCAAGGTCACCCCAGCCGGAGGCTGCATTGGTATCGTCCGCCCAAGACAGATCGTTCTGCTTTGCCTTGCTTTCCTCCTCCAGCCGTTTCTTTTCCTCTTCTTCTTCCTGTCGTTTCCTCACCTCTTCCTCTTCCTGTCTCTTTTTCTCCTCCTCTTCCTCTAGACGCCTCTTCTCTTCTTCTTCTTCTTCCTGTCGTTTCCTCTCCTCTTCCTCTTCCTGTTTCTTCTTATCTTCCTCCTCTTGCTTCTTCTTCTTCTTCTTCTTTTTCTTGCTTCCACCTTGGTCTGCATCCTCTTCGCCTCCGCCTTTATCCTCGTTACCTCCGGGGTCGTCACCACCACCTCCGCCGCCGCCATCATCCCCTCCTCCTCCGCTACCACCACCATCTGCTCCTCCTCCTCCTCCTCCTCCTCCTCCTCCTCCATCAGCGCCTCCATCAGCGCCACCTCCTGAATTATCTTTTCCATCCTGACCTGTGCCGGAATCTGCACCGGCCTCAGTATTTGCCCATGGGTCTACTGGCTGCGGAGCAGGCTTTTTTTTCTTCTTTGCCGCGGTTCTGAATCTAGATGTGTCTTTGAAATCGACTGAAATCTTCATGAGAGGGTCCTGGTATAACGAAGATGGCTTTTTGGCTGAGCGGTGCCTGGCTGGAGCAGGACCGGACTGTGTATCAACATGTGCGTGGGCGTAGTCTGGCGGGAAGTCGAGGATCGCATCCTCGTAGGTCGGTAGCGGAGAAGCTTCTGGAGTCGAAAAGGCTGCCTCAATTATGGATCTGAGGTCTTCTATGCAACTAGGTGTTCCCGTATTATTACGATTACGAGTTGAGTATACCTCCACCTATTAGATAGATATAAGCATTAATTGACCTGTAACGAAAGACGAGAAAGAGAGAGAAAAAAAGATAAAAAGGTTCATTTGCAGTAACTCATTAAACCATAGATCATAGAGCATGCAAGCTGCGTAGCGGGGGGGAAGGGGGGTAAGGGAAAATATCAACATAAGGGGGAAAAAGGCGATAAAGGAGTCAAAAGGATGGTGCGTACTTTCGGCGAGGTGCACCGTGTCATGTTCCCGGCAGTTGGAGATGACCAGGCTAGCAACTGTCCCACGATCAAACGGCGATGCAGCCTTCTTTCTGATGCCAACAGACCTCCGTCAACCAAAGGAGTATCGCCCACACGGCACAACGGGCTCCAGGTGTCGAGCATCTCCACGTCCGCGCAGGCCATGGTGCTGGATCGAAGCCTTCCTAGACGAAACCGAGTACTGGGGAGGAAGCGAGACGGTCATGAGTCGCACAGATCAGGCGTATCGGGCGGGCGAAGGATCCTGATGCTGCAACTTTCTGCAAGTGAGGTCGTTCCAAGGGCAAGGAAGCTCGACGATAAGCTTATCGATAGACATAAAACAGGGAACAAGCCCTCGCCTATCGCACAGAAAGCCGCTCGTTCGAGAGACAAGCAGCGAAAATTGACGAGAAAAAAAAATGTAAAACGGTAGCTGATCGAAAAAAATAACAGGCACCCGGATGTCTAAAAGGTCAAAGTTCAACTTTTTTGTGTTTATCTTACCCGAAAGAAAAAGACAAAACTGGAGCCTCCTCGACTTGACGCCGCTGGTGGTACAAGTAGGGACAAAAAACTAGGAAAAAACGGATGACCAAGGTTAGAAACGAACCCAGCTCTCCAGCAGAGCCCAGGCAGAGCGGAGAAAGGACAACAAGAGAGAGAAAGAGGGAGAGATAAATCCTGTCTCCTCTCCTCTCGTCCTGTGATATGAGGTCCGTCCGGGGAAGGTCGAAGAAATAAATACTGGTCCGTCCAGGCAAAAGGTTGAACCCAAAAATTGGAACCTAAAAAAAAAAATAGAATAAATAAACAAGAGGAAAACGGAAAGGATCACGATGCTGATGACGATGATGAGCAATGGACCGCGGGACTCAGCCGGCTCCAAGATAGCATCGAATCACAGTCGGCCGACGCAGCTTTCAGTTAGGGCTGCAGGGTCCGTCCACCGGGGCGTTGCAAGGCCGACGGAAGGCAAATGATGATGAGGCGGGTGGGAACGAACAGTTGTCGTTGTCAAGCCTTCATCCACAACTAGAACTAGTTTTTGACTAGGACAAGAGAAGACAAGACAGGGAGACAGCGAGAGGCCGATGGATATGGTTATGGCTATGCGAGACAGAAAAAGACCCGGCAGGGCAGCGAGAAGATGATGCGAGGCACCAACGAGCGCAGCCTGCGATTGGCATCAGCAACGGCGAATCATGGACATGGCGGGGGGTTTTACCTGCAGCGACAAGTCGACTCGGCGGGCGCGAGACAACAGCAGCAGGGCGCGCCGTCCTGGAGGGTCGCCTCTGTCTCTCTGCTCCGCTGGCTTGCTGGCTTCTACTGTCTTCTACCGTCTTCCGTCTTGCTATTTATTGGTCTTAACAAAAAGACTTCTTGTTTCGTACGTCCTTGATGCTTCATCTTGTTGTGGTTGATGTTTTGATTTGAAGTAGAAGAAAAAAAAAGAAAAAAGGGAAAACCGCGAGTTCTCACGTGACTCACCGCCTATTTGAGGAGGAAAAAAGCTGCAGGACGAAGATGGAAGACGAGGACTTATGCAATGCATGTATGGATGTGTGGATGAGATGGATATACATATGTAAGTATAGGGGGCAGAGGGCATGGGATGACGGGCAGGTTGGGCATGCGTACATCCATGAAACGGGCCGGGGAGCGCGTCAAGCCAAAACAACAGATCGCCCCGGGTCGGTCACCAGCGGACAGCACATGATAGGAGAGGAAAACTTTGAGCCGGATGCTGCAGTTCGTATCGCGGAGCCTACGAGAAGAAAAAATATACAAGGGCGGGGATGGAAGGGTACGGTCGGTAGTTGATGCGTCGATTCTGTTGATTGCCATTACATAGAGGAGGAGGAGGAGGAGGAGGAAGAGGAGGAGTAGGAGCAAGAGGGAGGGATGATGACTCTTTATAAAGAGGATAAACCAGATCCAACCACCGGACGCCGTCATGATTTCAGAGATAATACGAGTCATATCATGAGAAAGGAACAAACATGAAGAAGAGGAACGAAAGAGAGAGAGAAGATCAAGATTGGCTGTCGGGGAGGAGGTTGCCCTTGACACCAAACATCTTGCCTGTGGTGGCTGCCACGAACCCATCGATCTGTCGCGAGTACTGCTCGGCCTGGCAGGTGTTGAGCATGCTCTCCAGCCTGCTTGGCTCCTGCGGCAGCTTGAACAGACGCTGCCACTCGTCCTCGGCCAGCAGAGGCTGCTTGAGCTGGGCCCGGCTCACGTTCTCGGCCTTGCGTTTGGCCTGCCAGGCGGCGATCTTGGTCTGTTCTCGGGCCAGGGCGCGCTGGTAGTACTGGAAGTTGTTGTTCTCGGTGTGGTGGGTCTCTATGCTCTCCAGCAGCAGGTCGCAGTTCTTCTCCAGGAACGGGTCGATGTTGAGGGAGAGGTTGTCGAAGTTGGGCGTGTGCATTGGCGGGGTTGGACTGTGGGCTGGCGAGCAGAGCTGCAAGGGATGGAGGCAGGTCGAGCTCTTCCTTCGGTGCAGTGGTGGGGATCTGGTGCAGATAGCTCGTTAGGAGGTGCGAGTTGTGGATCGTCACCGGTAGCTCGACGAAGATGTCACTGTGTCTGAGGTTGGATTTTTGAAGGCTACACCTCTCGTTAGTATTGACAACACATTGAAAAAAAGAAGATAGACGGGGATACGTACTTCTCGGCGGTGAATTTGTTCTCCTTGAAGGCAGTCATGAACTGCGGGGAGAGTCTGAAGGCCCGCAGACTGAGCGGTCCCTGAGAGCTGCGGCTGACATCGTGCACCAGGGTGATGGCCGTCTCGTTCATCTCCTTCTGGTAAAAGTACTGGTTCTCAATGACGTTCAGGTTCAAGAAGTTGCCCATGTTCGCACTCGTGTAGTACCCCACATTGTTGGCGTCGATGTTGACCTCTCTCAGCATCCGGATCATCTCAGCCTGGTATGTGACGTTCGACTTGGCCCTGGGAGCAGCCGCAGCGGTGTTCGAGGGCGATATGTCCAAGTGTGAGTCTGGGGGGAGGTCGACTATCGGGAAAGGGAACGAGTTGGTGACTTCGAGGTTGCCCTTGACATCCATGCCAACCAGCGATCCCGTAGCTGTCGTGGGGAATGTCTGGGTGCAGTGCTTGATTATTTTCATCACCACCTAGCCAAGCCGTCAGCATCAACCCCTTTGCCGTCGCAGTCATAGCGGGTATAATAAATGTAAATTGCGTACCAGCGCGTCCACCTGGACCGTCTTCAGCGGACCGTCTCTCCTACCACCATCAAGTCAGCACTCTCCACCCCTGCCAAACCTCGCAAACCCAGGAGGAGCCACATACTCTGCCATCTTGTCTGATTCAGCGAATGCAGCGTATACCGTCTATCCAAATCACGAATCGTCCAGCTGCGTCGGAGGGTTGTCAAATATCTCGAGTTCGTCCTCGTCGTCGCTTCGTCTCGTCGACTTTTTGTGTGAATAAAAAAATAAAAAATAAAAAAAGCGACAAGAGAAAAAGTCGCTAAACCGGAAACAGCCTAGCGTTGTGCTTATATAAGCTCCCGTCCGAACCTCGACTCTTTTTGTTTTGTTAGTATAAAAAGAAGCAGAAGAAGCAGAAGAAACAAAGAGGAGGATGCGCAGTTTGTGATTGTGGCAGGCTGAATATGCAAGGATGGACTCGCTTCACATGCATGCGCAGAGACGTGGACCGGGTGCGATGCGCGGATTCTTCACGAGGGGAGCAAGGGGGTCAGCCCGTATGAGAAGAGCTTGCTGAGGGGCAACCTTGGGATAAATAGGTCCTCGTTTATCTCTATCCCCATCTCCATCTCTGCTCTATAACCACAATTACATCCAGACAAATTAGTCAATCAGTCAAGAGAAGAAGAAAAAGAAGAGGAAGAACCATGGCAGAGACAGACTGTTACGAGAAATATCCTTTTGGGGAGCACTACCTGCAGAACGTCTACGTTCATATACCAGAGGCTCCCGCCCCAATCGAAACCGGCTACTGGATAGTGTATGCCCTTCTATAGTATATGATTGTATATTATTGTTGTATATTAACTGGGATACCGGTGTTGACGAGACTAGGTATATCCACGGAGGCCGCCTGGCGGGATCCAGACATCCTCGCTCCCTCCTTCAAAGCCACACAGGAGCACCTACTAGCTGACTCCTCGTCCGGCGCAGCATAGCAGGCATAGCATCCATCGACTACCGCCTGTCGCCTCACCCGAACTACCCACAGGACAAGTCCAGCCTGAAAGCAAGTGAGTACAGAGAAGCGTGTCA